TTCTAGTAAAAGCTTCATATAGGCTTACAAGGTGATCATTAATGACTAGTCCATTTAATGTTCGATTTCTAATATAGATGCCTACTTAATAGGCCTCTACCTAGAACTCTGCTAGTAGACCTAAGTCCTTAAGAAGGGCTCTTATGTCATTCTTAATCTATTGGTTTTCCCTCTTAACTAGACCGTTCTGTGTTGAGGTGTGTAGGACTATTATCTAAGCTTCAATTCCATACTGTTCTTCAAGTCTAGAGAAGTGTTTCACTAGTTCCTTTGCATTGTTAAGTCTAACACTCTTAAGAAGATGTCTAGACTGTCTCTTAACTTAAGTCTTCTAGGTTGCAAGCTTATTAGGGCATTCCTTTCTCTCCTTAATAGGGATCATCTAGGACATTCTTATATAGTCATCTTTAATAACTATTGCCTAGGTAAAGCCTTCTCTAGAGGTAGGGAATGGTCCACATATATTAATAGATACCCTTTCTAGAGGGTGTTCTTTTCTAGCTAATACCTTGCCTTTTAACTTGCAGAATTTTGTTAGTGTGCAAGTCTAGCATGTATGCTTAACAACTTTGACTAGTTTAGCTATAGTTATGACCTTATGTAGGTTTGCAATCTTTGTAGATCTAAGGTGGGCAAATCTCCGGTAGTATAGCATATAGTTGTTAACATCTCTCTTATTAGAAGCATTAGCATTAGATTCACTATTAACTTCTTCTTCTTAAATAGAAGGTAGAGCCTTAGGTGAATTTGTTGCAGGTACTATAACATCTGTTTTAAGTAGGTTATCTAGTTAGGACTGAGTTGCTATAAAAGCCTATAGATTTAATTTTGTCTAAGCTAGCTTTAGTAAGATGGAATCTAGGATATAGATTCCTCCTCTCTCCTTTACATATAGAACAATGTTACTATCCTTATTAAGGTAGTACATGTTCTATAAATTAAAGCTGCCTTTCAAACTAGCTTTACACAATTTTCTCCTAGAAAGCAGATTAACTCTAAGCTTAGGAACAAGCAGAACATCCTTTAATCTAAATCTCCCTCCTCTATAGTCCATTACATCTATAACTCCTCTCTTTGTTAAAAAGAGTTTCCCTCTACTAATAGCGATTGTTGTTCGTCTTATAGTTGTAGGAGGTTTACTAAAGAGAGAGGAATTATTAGTTATGTAAGAACTTGCGCTAGAGTCGGATATCTAGTAGTCTACTATTGTAGTACTAACATTTTCCTTACTTAAGTTTACGAATTCAACTTCTAGTTCTCCTTAATCACTTCTAGATAGGCTATCTAAACTAGAGTCAGATGATTCTAATTCAGTCTGTGTTGTAAGATAAGCCTTAGTAAACTTACTTCCCTACAGCTGTTTAACAGATTTCTTTAGGTATTCAATTTCCTTGTTTAGTCTTATAACTTTAGTTCCTTAAGAAGATATCTGCTCACTTAACTTCTTGTTGTCTAGATGCTCTCTTCGAAGCTTTCTGCTATAGGCCTTAACTATAGAGATGTAGTTGTAGGACTTCATCTAGTAATCGGGTGCACTATATAGATAATAGCTTTGTCTATCTCTCTATAAAGGACTCCTTGCTCTAGTAGGTACATCTCTCTTCTAGAAAGAAGATTTGTTCTAGAAAGAGGACTTGTTGTTCTAGTAAGGCTTCTTTACATAGTAGGTAGCCTCTAGATTAATAGTTGCCTATGCCTTATTTAGAATAAGTAGGACTTCTTTAGGATCAACTTTTCCTCTAGCATTAATTCCTACTTTATATGCAGCATACTCGATAGGTAGTGCTACAAGTAGTTGCTAAATTCTGGACTTAATTAAGTTAAGAGATTTCAATTTAGGTCTTTGTTTAACAACCTTCTTGCCTAGGGTATTAATTTGTTGCTAGGCAGCATTAATTGAAGTAGATACATTAATCTTAAATGTAGAGAATTTAACTAGGTATTGTCTACCTATAGATGCAAGTCTTGTCTTATACTTCTTCTAGAGTCTCTCCTAGATGGCTTTAGAAGTCTCTTCCTCTTTAACTAATTTAAGGTTAAATTCATTTAGAGATAATCTAATATAGTATCTAGCCTTTACATCCTTTTGTCTAAAGAGTGTAATATTAGTTGTTCTACTAATAGGTAGATCCTAAAGGGAAATGTTCTTTACCCTATCTATAATAGATGTAGGTGTAGGAGGTGTTATAGGGGGTGTAGATGTACCCTCTACAGTCTAGAAGACTCCTTTAGCTTTAAGCTAATCTCTTATCTATATAAACTATTTGTCTACATTGTCTCTACCTAGGGTTGCTACCCTCTAGTGTTTAGACATTATGTAGTTGTCTACTAAATCCATCTTATAAAGATGTTATAGTTGTAGTTACAATTAAGCTCTCTTTCTATTGTCGTGTTGCAATTTCTAATGTGTTAGTTACAAGTTAACTTGTTGTATGCTAAAGGTGTGTATTAGTGGAAGGGATGGATTTCTAAAGGTACTTAACTAAGGCGAAATTGCCTAAGTAGGTTTAGTTATCTAAAGGGTGAAAATGGGTAACTATATGTCTCTATTTCTATAGTTGTGTAGGTTACTAAGTATCTTAGTTGCCTTAGTAATGTGTGTGTGTAGCTATATATCCTTGTTTCCATAGCAGTAATAGGTGACTAAGTTTCTCTATTGCCTTAGTGGTGTAGGTGACTATGTATCCTAGTTGCTATAGTCTCTCTCCTCTTATTTATCTCCTACTATTCTTAGTGGAGCCTTAACAAGTTATACAGGTTCTAGGATTATGCAAAACCTGGGCTCATAACTAGTTGAAATAAGTCGTGCAACGGGTGCATAAAATACTCTAGCTAGCGTAGGGAAGTAATCCTAGAGCCTATAGAATTAACTGAAGGTAGAGACGCGACCTTTGCTAGTGAAAGCGCGCTAACAGTATATAGCGTAGTGATTAATTAAAGAGAAGAAGAGTATCTACGGGCGCAATCTGTTAAGAGCATCCTGCTCTACTAAGGCGTTAGGATGCTAAGCTAACCTTATTATCCCCTCACTTATTGTAGCCTATTACAGACCTATCTATAACAGAACCTTACCGTATTATAACAGAGTTGCAACTCCTCTAAGTGTGCTAGGACTACACTATTTTCAACTTTAACTATACTTATAAGACTAACCGCTATAACATCCCTCTTCTTAACCTCTATAGTATAACGTTAAATAATAAGAATATCGCTCTCGGTTATACCTTCCTTAAAAACGAGTAGGTAGACGGTATAATAAAATAGTCCCTTAACTATATTAGGGACATATTCGACAAGCTATAGGTCCCTCTTCCTCGTATTATTATTTACGATAGAGCTTAGTCGCTAATTAACACTCTTAATAATGTCAAAGGCGCGTTTAGTAGTATTCCTTATATACTCTATCGATAGTATTAGAATAAGTGCGTACTCGCGTAGTTATAGAAGGAGAGCTATAGCTTTAGTAGAACCTATCGAATTAAAGGTTAGCGTATTAATGCTAAGGGAGTAAATAGCGCTCTAACTAACATCTATTATCCTCTCGTCGATATAAAGACTAAGGACGACTTCGAGGAATAACTTTAGAAGCTCTACGACCGTCTAGAACTATACTAGCGAGACTTCTATCGCTACCTTACTAATACCTAGTTTATATATAAGGACCTCTATGTTACTACTTAGACTAACCGTTACCTCCACTTTAGGAACTATACTACCTTAAGGCTTAAGGGCGCTTATACTAGCCTTAAGCGCTAGCTCTAAAACTCTAAGTATAATGTGCTAACGTTTATTAGACGACTCGAACCCTAGTAGGTAACCCTTAAAGTAGATTACTATAACGAATTGTCGCTACTTAAGACATTAGTAGTCGTCGTATTTATAACTAACCCCTTCCTTACTAGGGTCGTTCGAGTTATTATACTAGCTAGTCTCTAGAAGTTAGTACCCTAGCTCCGTAAGGCTAGAAAGATAAGAGCTACTATCTAGCGCGATACTAATACTAATAGAGGTAAACGATATATAGGGTCCTTCTTAAGTATTTAGGGTGTTCCCTATCGTTACTAGCTCCTCGAGTTACTTAATTAAACAACTAGCATTAGATCTAGTTAGTTTAACTCGCACTAGTTTATTAACTATAAATAAGTACTACCTCTTCGCGAGCCAACTCGACTACTTAATTTTAGAACTATTAGTCGCCTCCGTCCTACTTAGATTACTTACTAAGCTAGCACTAGAATAACTAGCAACCGTTATATAATGTCGAACTTTAAAGACGGCTTCTAACCTCCTACTTAGTTAGCTACCCCTACTCTATCTACGCCTATAACTTTAACACCCTTAACTCTATTAATAACCGGCTATAGCCGTAGCCGCCCTTAAGGTAGTACTAACCGTATAAGAGGAGGACCTAGTTTAAGAGGAGGACGTATAAGAGGTAGTCGTAGTCGTAGTACTACTTAGATAGTCGAATATACTACTATAGGTACCCTCGCTAACGTCCTTCGTAAGGAGGAGGCTAGAAGTACTAAGGAGGCTACTCGTACTAACGACGACGACCCTTAACTCTATACTTGTAGCTTTAGCTATACCGAGCATACTTAGTAGATAAATTTAATAATATGTGCTCTAATTTCTTATGGCCCATCTAACTTCTTAAATTTAGCTAATTTTGGTATGAAAAAGGCCCGTGCGCGGTGTTTAGACGGGTAAGAAGAATGCAGCTACACGTCCTCTAAAATTTACTACACGTCCTCTAAAAGCCCCCTAGAAACAACAGCTGCAATACACTATATCGAAAAGTTCGTGGAGTAGATGATGGTGAGGTCTGGTGAGTAGTTTTCATTCACTACATACGTGCAGTCACACACAGGAGAGTCATCATGATGCTTGAACCATTCTTCGATAGCATATGTCTTCGCATCAGCATTCAAGCTGGTTAGAAACAATACTGAAAAGCAAGCCACAAACAGAAAATATCAAGCCGAGCCCATGTCATTCGCTCATCTCAATGATCTCGCGCTGTGACTCTCATCATCATACTCTGGCGGACGCTCGTATACAGGCAAAGCCTCTTCATCAGACTCATCCACAATCATGGGTACTTCTCCAGGCATAGATGTAGCCGTTACTCTTCTGACGGGCTCTGCTCGGGGAGACCCTGTGTCTCCTTCTGGACGTGCAGGGGGAAGTGGCTCATCAGGACTCCACGAGAAGTTCGAGTTGCCACGGTCATTGGGATGTGCAGGAGGCAGAGGATCCATGGATGTGTACGGACCACGAAGGGGTGGGATGAATGGTCTTCTTGAGTCGTACCAGATCTGGGGCTCTGGCTCAGAGAGGGCTGGCAGGTGTGGAGGCATAGAGTTGACTCGATCGCCGTATACAGGACTGTAGGCTTGTGGTGATCTCCAAGCGAAGGCTGGACGTTCAGCAGAGGGGGTATCGACACGTTGGGGTGGGGGCGAGTTGTAACGGCCAGCCCAAGTGTACGTAGGAGTGGTGGGAGATTGCGGACTCGACGGTTGACCACCTCGAGGGTTTGGTCGACGTCGACGCTGTGACGGAGAGCGTGGATGAATTGGTGTAATGTTCACGTCAACTCGAATGCCTGTCGTCTCATGTCCAAAGCCATAATTGGCGAATGACTCGGGAGAGAATGCCACAAGGATGAACATGATGATGATTGCTGGAATTGCGGCGAAGACGAGACAGGTGGCGGCAATCACAAGAGCAGCACGTAGTATAACAGTGCCCAGGACAGATAGTCGACGAGGATTGTCGGCCATTGTTCGTGTTTGGTCGAGAGAGGTTAGTTAATCACGAATATAAGTAGTCCAGGGCCCCCAATCAGGCAGGTGCATTCGTCGAAGCACATGCTATTCGCGTCAGGCATCGACGTGGCTACGACAAGCTTCAAAGAAGGCACGAGGGGCTTTCGACGAGGTCATTGCAGGCTTTCGACAAGGCCACACCAAATGTCGATGAATGACATGTGACGGCGTGATGGTTTCGACGCTAGCAATTCTCTTGTGCGGCGTGATTTGGTAGGTTTTTAGAATATCTCTTCGGTGACACGTCTGCCATACCACGTGGAGAGTTGATCCTCTCCCTGTGCATGCTCTTCGGCAGAGTACATGAAGAAATTAGTCAGCTTTGTCGAGTCTTCATCTTCTGCGACAGGCCAATTGACCTTTGCAGCAGGCTTGACATCAAGCAAGTCTTTGGCAGTTGACCAACTGAACCGACACTCGTTGCCCCAGCCAAATAGAGGGTCCATGTTCTTCTTTAGCCAAGTCGAGCAGCGAGCATCACTCGGATAACCAGAACCCCAACCTTCGGCGGGCTGTTCAGGCACGTCCTTTTGACCAGCAACAGCATCCTTGAAGACTTGATAGCAGACATCAAGAGCGGCATCTCTTGTGACTTTGGCGCAGACACTGGCGGCTGAGACACAAGGGTACAGCGAGTCGGCCTTCTTTGCGACGGTGATGCTGACTGTAGGGAAGATGCGTTCGAGCTTTTTCTGGTATGCGGCGGGTTGGCCAATTGTATCGATGTATATCTCTTTCAGATTGACACCCTGTGCGAAGACGGCATGGATGAGGTCGATGGTGGCATCCATGGCTTGAGCGTTGAGGTTGTATGTAGCCGTGGGTCTCATCTGGGCAGAAGAAATGTCTTTGGCTGACATGACACGAGTAGCCCATCCAGAGGATTCGTACAGTTCGGATCCGGGGGTACAGATGGCCTGCATTAGGGATGAACGTACAGCTGGCGAGAGGACCTTGGAGTCGTCAAAGTGATGAGTGTCGGCGAGCAGTGTGCGGTGCATTGACAGAGGTAGGTAGTAAAGGCCGTAGACCATGGGACCGAGTACAGGACCTCTGCCAGCTTCGTCAACGCCCAAAACACACTCAATCGACATGTCGTCCTTGAGCATCTTGGGGACAGGAGAGATATAAGAATATGAATCTCCCTTGGCGATATTAACCCTGTCAATCGAGGGGGCCATGAAAACGTCATCAGGGGGTGTTTCGAGGGAGATGTCCTGCTCTTGGGAGTCCACAGCGTTCTCCATTGGTTCGTCCATGATGTATATGCGTGGTGTTTAAGATGATTGAAGATAGATGTGTTGGATACTCGTGGTGAAAGCAGAGTTGGCTTTCGGTAAAGAAAGTCGGACGCGCAGAGGGGGAGACGCGACGTGAAGGCGGGGAAGCCAAGCTAGCTCGAAGGGGAAGTCAGTAGCTTGGCGTGTTGTTTACAGCTTCCAAACCTTGTCGACGCCCAAAACAAAGAAGCCATCACCCGGCGACATAGCACTCATCATATTTCTCGACCAGGCGCATTTGTCGCATCATCCTAGGAACCTACGCGACATCATGCCTGCTCGTGCCGGTACTTCAAATACGCCGCAACGCGCTTCGCGACGACACAACAACTTCAAGGAAAACATCAACTTCTTCGAGCCCGGCAAGCAAGGCCGTCGCACCGGTCTCGTTCTCAAGGACAGCGGAGTACGCGATGAGCATGGTTTCGAGCCCGTCAGTGGCATCTTCTCGTCACCCGAACCTTCACCACAGCAGCCCTCACCCCAGCGCCTCCCACCAAATGGTAACGACACAGCCCTGGGATCGTCGGAGATGGTTCTGCAAGACAGTACAAAGAGAACCATGTCCGCACCGTAATCACTGAACATGCGCTGACTCAATCTTCACAGGCTCAATTCCAGAAATCACAGAAACCCTCAACTTGCGCAAGACTCCTCACCTACCGCCAAAGACTCAGACTCCGCGCCGAACAAACATTGGTGGCTCGCCCGTCCGTCACTCTGCTATCAAACCTGTAGATACCCAGTCATCACCTCAGCACCCGCTATCTGTTCAATCCACGAATCGCACAAGCAGACGCCTCGATTTTGCAAACAAGCAGCAGAACAACAATGCCCAACCAGCCGTAGCCCCCAGCCCGAGTCCCTTCAAACCGCGTTTCGGAAAGTCGCGTAAGAGCGTCTTCGATTTGCAACAATCTCCAAACAGGCCACAACAGTACCTGGAAGAGGACGACGACATTGACAACTCGGTTCAGCAAGTTCAAGATGCTGTCAATGAATTGTTCGACCAAGAGCCGCCAAAAGACGTCCTGTCTTCAGCCCGCAGCACCAGATCACAAAAACGCAAACAAGCAGATCCCGAATCGCCCGTCGCAATGCAACCGCCTCCAGTACCAATGTCTAATAAACGCTCAAGGCCGAGTCTCGATCATCAGGACGACCAGACGACTGTGGATCAGACAGTCGCAGACCAGACCGAATTGCCCGACCAAACTGAACTTCCAGATCAGACCAAATTGCCTGACCAAACCGATGCCGAATACACATACATCACCGTGGACCAGACAGAAATGCCCGATCAGACTGAACTGCCCGACCAAACAGAACTTCCGGACCAGACCGAGTTGCCAGATCAAACCGAATTGGTCGACCAGACTGAAGCGCCAGATCAGACTGAGATGGTTGACCAGACCGAACTGCCAGAAGAGACGGGTGTCGAATATACATGGATCGACCAAACAGTCATGGACCACACGACTGTCGATCAAACGATAGCAGAAGAGACGGGCGTAGATCAGACAATGGCAGATGAAACTGTCATGGACCGGACAGAGGCGACACACATGTACGATCACACCATTGCAGATCCTACCATAGCCGACGAAGACATTGCAGAGACGACCGAACTCCCGGATGAGCCTGTTGTGGAGAGAAATGCTCCTCTCTCGACAAAGAAGAAGCGGCCATTCGAGGTGCGAAAAGATACACAAGAGCAACCTCACGAGGACGACGCGAGCGACCACGATCAGGAACACGATGTTTCCTCTCCATCACATGCCGCGCAAGATTTCATTCCTCCGCCCGAGGACGATGTACGAGACGAATCTGAACACGAAGCGCAACCAGAACCGGCTAAGAAACGAGGTCGCGCCAAAGCTCCGCCAAAGACAAAAGGGAAGAAGAAGCAGGCTTCAGCAAGTGTTGAACCTCGTCCGAGGGCGTCAAGAGACAGCGAATCAGTAGGCCCGGATGGTCTCAAGAAGCCAGGTCCCAAGTCAATCGTGAACCTGCGTGCTGGAACCCCCGCAGAAGACGAAGGTGCCAAAACTACAAGATCTGGACGTACTTCTATCAAGCCATTGAAATACTGGTGCAATGAGACCTACATCTGGAACCAGGGCGAGGTTGAGGGTGTCGTTCGCGCAGAGCCTGTAGAGCAACCGAAACCGAAGCGCGCTGCTCCATCCAGGAAGAAGGCGACGAGATTGGGTCCCATCAAAGAGGACGAAGAGGAAGACGAGGATTTATTGCCAGAAGCCTGGGAGCAGGAATTGGGTGTTATTAACAGTACAGTTCGAGCTTGGGATCCCAAAACTGGTACTGGCAGCATCGAGGCAGATGGTGTGAACGAGGGTATGAATGTCTTCTGCGGTCCTTCAAGCACACATCACTAACAAACGATAGACATTGCATTTGCCGCTACAGCCATTAAAACACAAGACGTTCACGGCTCGTCATTCCGCTACGCGAAGGTTATGACCCTTCCGTTCTTCGGATCCGGCATGGTCGAAATCCCACCTGATGGCTACAAACGCATGAAGAACTCTCGCAAGATGCAAATGGTGTTTTTCGTCCATGAAGGCAAGGTTACAGTCGATATCGAGGACGTACAATTTGGTATGACCAAAGGTGGTGTCTGGCAGGTACCGAGGGGTGAGTCTTTTTTTCCTTCTTTCTTTGCATTTCCTCTTCTCCCATCACCTGTTCCTTCTTTCATTTCTCTGTTTGTTTGGCATCAGGAGAGCAAGAAGATCTACGACATGGCGGTCAAGCTACTCTTCTTCACCGCAACACGATGCTGCAGAAATCATGCACGTTTCGACACACACCGACTCCATCAAGGTGACACCGAGGGGTTCCTCCTCCTTGCACGACAGCAGACGTCGAAATAGACTTCCATCTCTCTTTGACGTGGCACGAGTCAGGGGCGAACTGTTCACTTTCTTGTGTCACACGCTTGGAGAACCTGGGGAACTGCAATATCAGCGAACCATGGTATTGGGACCTTTTGTTTCCAATGACGGAAGATCCTTCACGGACCTTGTGGCTTGTTGCTTTGCATGGATTGATGATTACTACCTTGATTGTTTGACACGAGAGCGGGGATGTCTTTTTGTGACACCTTCCTGATCCTGCTATTGCTTTTCTTCCCTGCATCATCATCATCACCATTGCAATTTCTAGTTTGAGAACATTATGTGGGATTTATGCTGATAATTCATGTTCTACAGGAAACAACTATGCCATTATGAATGAGAGTTCGACACACTCGGCCAAAATCTTCTTCGCCCAAGGATGCGAGATACAAGCTTCGATGAATCAGTTCGAGGATATGGGAAGGGAGTCGCAGTCTTGAGTGAGCTTCCTTCCCTGTGATTGATTCTTCTGCTCTTCTTCTCTTTGAATTGGCAGTTAGTTTGGTCATTCTTGCCACTTTCTCGTCTTTTTTCGTAATCATAGTCATGGATGGATTGTTTTTGGCGTTTTTCTTGCGGACATTGGGTTGGTGTCTCTTGGACTCTTGGACTTGTGCCTTTTTTTTTTTGCAATGGTGGCATCATTCGGCATGGGTTTTCTTCTTTTTCTTCTTCTTTTTTCTCCTTGTCGATATTAGGATTTTTACGAATGTTTATGAAAGAGTCTCTGCCTTAATCATCTTCTCCGCTGCTCTCCGCCATGTGATCTTTCTATTGCTAGAATGACATCTGGGAGCATTTCTTTGGTGCTTGATCTAAATGGTTTATCTGCACCGGCATAGCATCATGTATATTCGGGCTGCAAAAACTCTTATCATGTATGCGTGTACATGTGTAGGAGTAGAAAAAAGATACATTCCTGGACATTTCCGAATTGATGAGACGGAGCGAACAAGCAGAGAAAAAAAGCGCATGCATGTAACAGTCCAGCCAGCGGAAAATGGCAAGAGCCAAAAGGAGAAAAAGGGGATAAAAGTCATATATGCTACCCTAGTGACACGAAGCGGCAAGACAAAGCAGAAAAAATCGAACTTGGAACGGGGAAAATCAGAGAATTGGGAGTGGTGATTGGAAAATAGTTTAAAGACGGTTTTGGAAGAGTACATTGTGGGAGAAATATTAGGACAAATAAAAGAGGATACGAAGAGATGTAATCAAGTTAGGATAGATATATGGTACCGGACGGATCATGGTCAAATGAGAATTGCATGAATTAGTCGAAGCAAAGTACGGTGCACACAGTCTAAGCGGTAAACTCGTCCCGAAGGCGTGTATTTAGTAAAGCAGATTAGTAGTGTCGAAGGAAAAGAAAAAGGAGTGATCGAATAGAAGAAGAGCTTGTGTTTTCCTCGTCACAAGAAGAGAACGGAGAATGACATGAATGGAAGAACGACACAAAGGCAGAGGGTGGATTGAGGTGTGATCTATAAGGTTTGATAGACGGTTTATTGGAGCGATTGAAGAAAGTGGTGGGAGCAAGAACCTTTATATCAAGTAGAAGAGAGCAAAAAAAGCGAGTCTCGAGTAGAGAAAACGCAGGACGTTCAATTCATCCGAATCAGCGAGGAAAATAGGAACGGGTGGAGAAAAATGGTCAGATAAGAAGTGGAAAGAGCAATAAAGCAGAGTAAAGCAATATACCTGCATGGGGACACTGTAGACGTGGAAAAGAAGGAATAGAAGAGAGATTGACAGTCTAGCAACCAGGGGACATGACCTTGGTCGAGTAAGGAAGGAAAAGCGAGAAAGATCATTTGAGACCAATATCTCAGTATCATGAGAAAGAGCGATCTCACAACAGAGCCAAGAGTACAAGATAGGAAAGAGCATAGCTTTTTGCGGATAAGTCAGGAGCTGGATCAATCTATCAAGATCACCTGTCTGATGAGTCAACAAACAGCACTAAAAATCGATATAAAGTGTTCCTGCACTATCGGGCATTGCCAAGGCATGATGGCTGGACCATACTGGCAGCGTCCCATCCTTCCCAAGTGTACTCCTGCATTTCCTAGAACCGGTGCTGTATGGAATGGATATAAAATGTCTTTCGAACAAACTGGTGGCTGAGATTCCAGGCGCTGGTAGCAAAGATCCATTTTTGCTCTACCAAGCCACTACTTCTGGAAGCCACATGCAGGGAAACCCGGCGAGCGACATGTGTGCAATGCATCTGCTTGTAACCTGTCGTTCAGGAGTCGAGAACAACTGTTTCCATGTCTAGTCTGTATGACTGAACCGCATTTTCAGCTCTCATCTCCAAAAATCCAGAACCGGTTTTCCAGCTCGTGCACTTTCTCTTTTGACAAAGAAAAGGAGTAAACCCGCGAGTCTGGAATCTGACAACTTGACACGGAACCGGTTCGTTCCAAACGATTGACTGACTGATGACACCAAAAGGGAGACGTTTGTGCTCGCTTGGAAATATCTCTCTCTTTTTTTTTTCCGCTGCGCTGGGAAAGCGGTTAATGCATGACAATGACTCTTCAAAGCCCTATACCTCTGACTCGGTTGCATTTCTCTCATCTTCTGCTTGTTCCCGGAGAAGAGAAAAGACGGTAGTCTTGAAAGTTCGCAACGCTTATCAGCCGGTTGATGTGACCTACTTCGCATACAGATGCGATGGACTAGACACGAGGAGACGAAGTCTAGGGCTGGAGATTTCGGCCGATGAAGTTCGCAGAGTCATGGAGAGAACCTCGTAACGAGACGAATAGTAAGTCGGATGTGGAGGATCTGCTTGATTTATATTGTGGCTGGTGTGAGATGTTGACTCGGGGTTCTGATGAGTCTGGAAGACTGGAGGGAGTCTGTCGTTCACGGACGACGTATCTCGGAGCTTGCATGCTGTGGTATTGGCCAAGACACTTGTCTGGTGGGTGACCCTGCTTGATGTATCAGACTCACGTTTAGCATCGTTGTATCAGGCGTAGAGGTGCGATAGCAAAAGACATGATGATATGGATGCGGACAAGTACACGAGGAAGGAGGATATGATGCTGTGTCAGACGATTTGATTGGTTTTCCAATGGGACAGTACGCAATCGAACCCTCATCAAAGCCTCCCACCTTGATGATCAATGATCATGGCACTCTTTTCACCGAGTCTAGTTGCCTCTGCTTCTCCCACCGTATGGGGATGAGAATTGTAAGTGCTTCCAATTCAGCAAACAATCAGTCTTGTTACCGCTACTCGACTCGAGCAATGGTGAGATTGCCAATCTCGTGGCCTTCGCATCTTCCTTGGCCTTTCAGCAGACCCTACTGTACTTACCAATAGGCGTGTATGCGGAGTAGATAGAGATCCAGTGATTCGCGTTGACAGATGCAGTAGTCAGTCTCTCTCACGCTCTTCTCGCCGTAAAGTCTGATGTTCCATAGTGGCCCTCCTCTTCCTGGCTTCTAAACCTAAGAGAGCTCGTCGTGCGCTAGATTTCAGGAAACAATTCGTGCTTTCCAGGTGTCTAACCTAAAAGCCACACCGTGATAAGGCCGTTCCTCTGGGCCTTGTACGGAGTAAGGATGAGAGGAAGTAATGGTGTGATGATCCTCAAGACGCGACTCAGAAGTCATACAGCCAGAACCAGACTGACACGACATTTCGATGTCAGGTCCCTTCTGCCGTTCGCCATGCATATACTTTTGTATGCCAAACGCTAGTTCGTTGGCTTGCACAGGGCAGAGAACATGCTTCTCCAACTTGCTCTGAACCTTGCCGTTGGTCCGCGGCCGGAAATTGTAGACGACGATAAAAGCATGACAACGCAATCTTGATTTCTAAAGAAGCCCTTAGCCTGGACTGAAGTGGACACTCGTACATACGCTTTTCGCATGACCAGTCACAATGCAGATCGCAGTCAAGCGTGCAAGGTGTGTCGATTCGAGCAGAACGAAGCTTGCGAGTCACGAAGGTCAAAGTTAGGGCACGGAGACAAGTGGCGGCTGATGGGGATCGACAGGTTTCCCGGAGCGAGATCGTCTACCAAGACTTCCGGAGAGGGGTTGAGCACGATGCAATCGCCGGTTCGTCTCCGCGTGATTGAGGCTCAGTTTAGCTACATCTGCTTGCGAGGTGTTTCGGGTTCGTCATTGGCCAGGATGATTGATCAGCGACGACGAGCGGTTCGCGCGAACTGATCGCTTCTGGGGTGCAAGCCGAATTTCAACCCAATCCGAACCACACGTCCGTAACTCAGACATGGCCCTTCCTGCGGAACGTACATTACAGGATAGGGAACGAGGGTAGGTACTCGCACTTCGGTTACAGAAATATAGTTCAAAATAGAGACGGACGACATGCGAAGATTTCCAGCGAAGGATCTGGAGGAAGGATTGAAAGCTTCTCAAGGCAGGAACAGATAGCTTGGCCGAGCATCGAGACGAGGCTAGCCGACCGATGCTCAAAATCCGTTCTGCCGTCTAAGAGAAAAAGTAGCAAGTACTTTTGACTCGGAGCGTCCGCACGTTTTGTTGGAGATACGGACGTACTTGTGCATGCCGCAGCAGTTGGATTAACGATAGTTCGCTCACCGTGCGAACGATCGATTGAAGTGATGATGAGCTCCCCACTCTAATAGCATAACGGACAGTACTTCTAAGCGACGGCGATGCATGCGGTGCATACTTTGCTGAGATCGGAGTGTCGTACGACTCCCCGACGTACCTAAACAAACCTGTGGCGATGAGAAGCAGGCCTTCGCGATCTCTCCGGTCGCTCCGTATGAGCCACTAACCTGGTTGCCAGAAGGAACTTTAACATGTTCTGATGTACAGAAAATAGATACCTCTCACTCAGACATGGTTTGGCCTAAGCAACTGTTCGTCATCTCGGATCACTCGCCACATAAAGACTGCGGCCAGATGCGGCTGACAGCAGGCTGCGAATACTGTCAGTGTACACTACGAGGTACCCATCGTAGCAGCGACAAATCTGGGTATGTCATGACCGTGTGCAGGTGTGGTTGGGCATCAGCATAGAGAGATGGAGAGGAGTGAAAAGAGGCCTATTGATTGTCTATGCTAGATGACTGAAAACTGTCCGTTTCTTCTTCGCAACTCTGGGCGACATCATTTCCTGTTACTCCAAAGCCAATCCTGGGAGAGCTGGGCTCCGCTATTCAGCTTGCCTTGCAGGGCAGATACATGATAGGTCGCCGTCCCAGGTCTGACGAGTGTCCACAAATAGTCACAACAACGGTGCTGCTCCAACACTCCCTTGTCCTGGTTCACAAAAACATGGAAGCCTTGGTGTGACCACGTTGTCCCATGCTCAGGTTGCGTAGATGGGACACTCATTTGAGTTGATCCCAGGAGTTTCCGGTTCTGAATACGGAGTACGTCTAAAGATGTACTGAGCTCGCCCGGGTTCGACCGGCTCGCGGTCTATGATACACACACTGTAGTCTGCGGTCGTCTGAACACACGTTTGGAGTTTGTAACCATTGCCAATATAGGTGTGTCGGATAGTACTGTAAATGGAAAATTAACTTTGACACTTGCTGCTTGGAGCTTGCGGAATGCGGCTATCCCCCAGGCTTCTTCGGATAGGTAGTCCAGTGCCTTGGAGCACATCGAGTCGAGTAAGGAAACGGGTTCCTTGTTCTTGGTATGCTGGGATGAAGTAAAAGCCAAAGTCTTAGGCCCTTTCAGATGATTCGGTTGTCCCTCCGTAGGATTGTTCATATACAGTTCAAGCCTTCGCACGATGCAGATAAGGTGCCGGCACAACAGTATGCGTGGACCGAGTTAGATAGACGTTGTCATGAGATAAGACTGATCTTGGTCCACCATTAGAATTCTCCACTCGTGATCCCCAGATTCGAGCCGAGCCTTCAGTTGCCGACACACAAGTGGGAAGTGCATGAGGCAGCAATCTGGTCAACCACGGTAATCATCGGGCCGGCAAATGTATCGCTCAAGACTCAAGCAATTGATTGTTCCAGTCATGGTGGATGAGTGCAAAAGTGTTGAGGCCTGCGATGATTCATGATACCCGGAGGCTGACTCCGTGCCCTCCAACGGCAGATTCGAGCAGTGAGATCCAACAGTCAAAGATTGACTTGGCATTTTTGCGAGGCTGAACTTTAACGCTCTATCAGACAAACCACACATGGCTTCAGGGTTCCACTTCGCAGTACGCTCCGACACAAGTTAGAAGGCGGCGTAAATACACATTGTTGGCAAAAGTCTGAGTTTTCGCGTTGTTTCCGACCTTTAAGGTTAGCTGGTGCAGAACGAGTGGCTTCCACGTGCAATTTCACACGCCCTACGAAGTTCTATCTGATAAATCCGGAAGCCGAACGGCGTCATGGCTGCAAGAACCTACAGTGTAGTATTTGTAGTATTTGAGTTTCAAGTCTACCCTACACATAACTAAACGTAAACACGACTTTGCAGATGAACGGAGGGTATGCCAAGTAGAGGATCATGAAAAGCATGAATAACTCTCAAACAGGAAATTGAAAGACCTGAAATCGTAGAGTCGTGTCAGCGGTGTATCTAGAGTTCGACTCTTCACTGGTACCTAGGTGTTATTGCAAATCATCAATAGACGCTCGCTGTATTGCGACATCACCGAAAGGAGTGGATAGAAGCTGTAGAAACTTGGCAGGAAGCCACACTGGAACATGATGAGTAAACAGCCGCGAAATTGTGATTGCAAGAACGATTTTTGGCGAACCTGTCCCCTAAAATCGGCAGTTACGTTCATAAGCGGGTAGGGCGTCTGCTCCTGGAATGCCGGGACTGCGAAGCATGCCTTCCGCACGTTTTACAACAATTCGCGGCTCAGGCTCGCAAGGAAACATGATGGCCAAGACAATCACGCTGCTCAAGATAGGCACTGTGCACTAGAGAAGGGGTACACAAATCTGGGACGGAACATGAGTCGTTGCAACTTCTCAGGTCCGTCTGTCCAGATGTGCGAGAACAGGGTTCGAGACGAGTCAGCAATTGTTGCGAACAAGTCCACGTGTATACAATTGAGGCGCGAACGCATCAGCCACGCCCAGCTTGCGCCGTGACTCGCTGTACAAAATGAGCATAGGTGTCCCAATGTGTTCCATCGCTTTTATGGTGACAGCGGCATGGCGTCCTCTCACCGAGGAATTACTGCTCCGTCGCTGCTTATTTGCTAAACATGCCATGGCTCTTCATGTTTCAGGGCCGTTGCCAATATTCAAGTGTTCCACGTCCCTACCACGCATTTTCCACGTGCGGTTGTAGCAAAGAATTTGGAACTCAACCTTATTGTTGAGAGACATCGGTCTCCATCTCATACTCGGTCACTGGTGAGCCCTCGTCTGGTTGACTATTCGTGCGCTGCGACTGTGAAGATGAAACGCTCGCGGTATGTAAGGTTTCCCCTCGCTTCTACTTGCACATACGAACACGAAATCCGCGGAGCGCTATTCACATCATCATTGATCCATGACACCTTTATCCATACTTTTTCCTGAAAACGCCTCGAAACCCTCCTAGGGCAAGAACGCCTTGTGCTCGTTCTGTAAGTGTTCTAGATCATACATTGACAGCAGACGTTCCCTTGCACGCAAAAGTTATCACTAATCAAAAGTAGGCGTCTGAATTGAATCACGAACGACTGGCGACATTGAAGCAGCTTGTATTTTGTTTGGAGACATTGCGCAAGCCTCCTCATGAGACAGCAAGGTTGATTGATAATCTACGAGTAGCTTTGTGATAATAGCCCAACACTCGCTGGATGCAGCCAGGCTTGAATTGCTTGAAAGGCGCCGGGTCCTCGCGTCCTCGACTTAGAGTTCGGAGAATTTACACCACATTCCATGATGATAATTGTTCCTCGATACTTGATGTCTGACACGATGCAAGGCTTAGAACTCCTCATCGCTGCCGAATTCATCGATGACGTCGAAATTGCCAATTTCAACTCTCTCCGGTCGCACGATGACACCACAATTGGCACCGCATTGGAAGTAGCGAGTGCCTTTGACAGTACCATCGTTCTTACCAGTAGGTTCGTCCAGAGCTATGCCGATCCAAGCTCCGATACCAGGAATCTCAGGAACTGCGCCAACGAACTTCACAGTTCCACGACGCTCGATTGAGCTTTCGGTCTGATTTGCAGCGAGTAGGCGACAACGTGCATTCAGCTTGATTCCTAAAGCCAAGCATTAGCAGATATTATCAATCAAATGCGTAGCAGGGGTCCAATGATTTACCTCTTTCTTCAATCTCTCTCTCGATGCCGGCGACCTTCTGCTGTTCGATGCTCGGGGCATTAGGGTCGAATCGGCCTAGCTGATGTGTCTTCTTCCAATGCAGAACGCTATCAGTTCTGCTCTCATATTCATCTGGCGGCATCTCATATTTTTCAACCGATGACACATCTGTGTAGTTGGTGCGGAGTCCTGCTGGGCGAGTGTCTGCTACCTTGACAAATAATCAGCAAAGATCAACATTGTTTTGGGCCATTCTTGTTGCATTGGCGTCGTATCTAACATTTCTCCACCAGGTTGGGCCCTCATTTGACGATCGCATCCGACAGAGCAACATGCGGAGAAGGACCGCAGTCGAGACCACTGATATGTCTGTGCCCAAACCCATCCATATTCCAATGAACCGGTTTAGTAGTGTACAGCAGATGATGGTGCGGGTCTAGGCAAATACCAATATGCAGGGCTTACGGTGATACAGCCGTGTTGCTCTCAGATCCGGATCGATGAATATTTGAACGTTTCCAAAGGAGTTGAATTGACGGCGTGGGACTAAGGAAGACGGAGGCTCGTCGGACTGTACGGACGCTCGAGCGTCCGAATCAGGAGATCCACGTACCTTTCCCGGTAGTGCTTGCTCGGCACATACAATGGAAGAAACAACTGAAATGATTGACTTACATGAAGTTCTGCATAGCTTTGTAGAGTGAAAGCGGCGAGTTGTGTGTTGTCTTCGTTGACTGTTTGAAGGTTCTGGTCAGGCCAAGAAGCGACCTTCAAGACTAGTCTCTGTGATGAAGCTGGGATGCCTGTGATAGGTTCCAAGCGCCCTTTCAGTTGAGCAATAGTCCAAGCAGGTGAGATGCGTCGTTCGGATTGGGCATTATCCGAAATGATGATAAGGGGTACATCACTTGCTGCTGCCATTGCATTCAGACCAACGTGGCGTTCTAGGTTCGATCCGATGTGGACAGGTTTTGTTGTGTGCTCACTGGGAACAGTTGGAGCAAGGCTTGATGGCGATGGCTATCCGAGTGCTGCGGAAGTGACTGCCGTAAAGCAGCAAGCGAGCGTGAGTAAGACCACGAACGATGGGGACGCAGCTGAGGCTCTCTAGTGAGCGTTGGCAATTGCGGATGTGGTTAGTGTTCAGGATTCTCGATTGAAGCTGGGCAGGCTGAAATGCGCAGTTGGAGCAAAAGCGACTACTGTTTTCTCTCTCGGCTTTGACCGCGTAGGCGCGTGTCCGTCTTGGCAGCTGACCTTTGGTCATGACCGTCTAAGCGTTTGTTAAATCCGCGAGCAGAAGGCAAACTCGACTGAAGCCCAAATCCTTTTGGCAGCGCTTTTTTGCCAGAAGCAGTATGGTTGGGACCCCGAATTTCGTTAAACGAACATGAACCTCACTGCACCGAGGACGAACGGGCGCAGGCAGTGCGGCCAGACTAGCCCATCCTCAGGTGCAGCTCACCTGGATACAATCTTTTACCGCTCTTTACTCTGCGGAATCATCTGCTGTTTGTCTATGACATACATGCCGACAGACGAGCCAGCATTGAGCAGCTTGGCCTGGTTGGTTGAGGTTTGTTGTTCAGGAACAGCCATGAGCCGAAACATCTCGGAAGTCTGTGCCAAGGCAGGTGCACTGAACAGCGGCCCCGTGCTTTGGCGCGGATATGCCAGTCATCACTTGCATCGAGCATGCAGTTTTATATTACCAGTGGGGTCTACAAGGCTGCAAGTCCTTCACACCGCTAGAATTCCTGCATCAAGGAGTCAAACACCTTTATTCCACACGTCCGCCTGCCACAGATACAGGTTGGTCTGTCTCTTTTTCGGATTCCAGGCTCGGAGTAGGCGCCAGGGCGATCGCTGTCTGGAGAGCAAGCCTATCGCGCTTGGAACTACTACGTTTTCAAACCGGCCAGGAACAAAGTTACCACGTACAAGCATGAATTCAAAGCTCTGCTTTCTTTTCCATCGTTTGCAGTTGCCTTCGGCAATACACACGTCTGCATCATGTTCGACCACAACCTCTTTTTATGTCCGGCTGAGTCCTTAATGGGACATCTCTCGGCTACGATTGTCCCCGTTCCAGCATGCAGAATGACAAAGCCCCGCAGATCACAGTTCGTCTCAATTCTCGACCCCTGTATTCATTGTGGCTTCATGCGGCTCCCTCACTCTACGCTCACCGCTCGTGGGAGACTGCATGGATCTCAACAACGTGTGGACAAAACAATGCTCGTGATTGTTGTGATGCGCTACCGATCATGCGGCCTTGGAATTGCTGTCCCAATTGCCGGCAAGAGGAAACGGGTGTAGGAAAGCGTTGAAGCAATTGCGCAAAATATCCACTTGTAGAAACGTTTCGGCCACACAGGCACGACTCAGAGGAGCCTCATCGACCGCATCAAAGGAAAAGCAAATCACCACTCGCCTCGGTGCATGAGCTAACCTAGAGAGCATATCCTCGGTCAGCCGTTCGCGAATGGCTTCAGCGCTAAGCCCTGGCTCCCAATCTCACCCTCGAGCGCATGCTGTGGCGCAACCGTCCTGTCACGACTCGCGCGCCCAATTGTAGCCAAGGGAGCGCCGGTCCGTACGCCCATACCAAGCAGGATCCGCATGTTCGCAACACCGAGCTTGATGCCCTTCCTTACCTTAGTGCACCGGTTTCCGCCATTGGTTGACAGTTGTTTCATCCCTTGCTCTGGATGTCTGATGGTTCTCGACTCGCATGTACATCTTACAGCCGGGCAGGGGCTACTTTATTCATATAAACTTGTCATGCTGCGCAGCCTCTCGGGGTACATCCGTGTCTGGCGTTGATTTCTACGCACGAGAAAAACTCTAACCACCTCTGTTCTTTTTCGATTGCACTAAAAAACTCCTACTCGAAACTTCCCCACTCAAGGCGACATACGGCTTCTGATGTCAGCCGAGTCACGCCCATAACTCTATCACAGCCCTTTAGGCGATCTGTTGGAGTCATTTCCAGACCATCCCGTCCCTGTTCTCTAATAAACTCCGCCGTGCCCCGACCTTCTCTTGTCTCGCACCACCAACGCCCCTACCTGCCGATCAAAACCGAGCTCAGGACCGATCTGCCGGGCACGCGACTCGCAAGATTTGGTAGCACTGAACTCGTTTCTCGGAACCGTTTCCTAGTACCACCACTGGCTACCCAGGTTATATAACAGGGTCGCACAACTCACCGCAAGCATTTGCTTCGGCTCGTCCTCATATAAACATCCTCCCTCGCACAGAGTCATATCTTCCCCTTCCCATCTCTACCCACCTTAACTCAACACCTTTACCACCTTAGCATATCCATCCTCTATGCTTGCTCTGAAGCCTTCAAGTGCTTTCAAGATGGACATCTCCTCCCTACTAGAGGGATCTAGAGATCCTCCTGCCCGCTCGCCGGGTTCGGTCTCCCGCTATCCTTCCAACAACTCCTTGCCCAGACTTGATATGGACTCTGGATACATTCACAACACACAGCAGCAACAACAACAACAACAACAACAACCCAACTTGATGCCTCTCCAGCCGAGCATCCAGCAGTCGTTACCAACTCGCTTCCAACCACCTTCATTCTCATCACAAGGTTTCAACCCTCAGTTGCCTCCTTACCATCAACAACAAAGCTTTGGTCAGCTTCCTCCCATCACAACTCAGGATCAAAGGCTGCCTCCACCACCCGTCAACGGATACACGGCCAATGGCCCTGTTAACAAGCGATTGGCGCCCTCCGGACCCCACCCTTCCGAGTCTCCAGCCAAGAAGAAGCAGTCCAAATGGAGCCCTGAAGAGGATGCCGCCATCATTGAGCTCCGTGGTAACGGCATGAAATGGGAAGATATTTCCAAGCACTTGCCTGGTCGCAGTGCTATCAGCTGCAGGCTGCGTTTCCAGAACTACCTCGAGCGACGTTCTGAGTGGGATGACGAGAAGAAGAACAAGCTTGCTCGTCTTTACGAAAGGTGCGTTCACTGTTGATATCCAATCGAAAACAATATGCTGACTCAAATTTCAGGTTCAAGAAGGATATGTGGGAGAAGATAGCCAAAGAAATGGCCTTGCCATGGCGAGCTGCCGAGGCAATGCACTGGCAAATCGGTGAAGTCGAAATGGCCAGTCGCGCCAATGTTCCTGTCTTCCATCTCGCTGGCTCAGCCTCGCAATCTCAGACAAATGCCTCTAGAGCACAACATTACTACTCGGCGTCAAGTTCAACATCGGCATCTGCTGGTCCTGGTGAACCCCGCAGTAACAGTACCTCGCCCACCTCGGCACACAGCCACTACCAGCTTCCTTACACTTTCGCCCAACAAACTCACAACCACACCCTGCCACAGATGGTCCAACCACAACCTCTTTCTCCTGGAAGTGTAAGGTCTCGTAGGAACAGTGCAGCCTCGCTCAATGGTGCAGATATCAGAAACCGTGCCGACAGTGCACGCGATTCTGTTATTCCGCAGCCACGATCAACTCTTGAACCCAACCGACAGCAAATTCACAAGCGCTACGTTTCTCCTTTTGCCGACAAAGCCTCGGACAGCGAAACGAACTGAGATGTTATCTCATGAGTCTTTCATCTTCACGGGAGAAAAACAGTATTCCATGATATTCTGGTATTCCTGCATTTTTTTTAATAGCACAGATGGGCACAAAGATGCTGCCCAATACACACGACAGGCGCTGTTCTTGATTTTCCTTTCTCATTTTCATCATGGCATATACATTTGTTCGGCGCGGCATTTATTAGGATGTTTTTCAATTGTTCTGTACAACAACGATCGGTTCAGGCTCGGAGTCAACATTGGATCGCCAAAAGAAAGGCGTGCGGGAAGAAAGGTTATTCTCAATCGTCGGTCAATCAATGGTCAATCACCATCTCAAATCACAACGCGGAGCTCATTTCTCCTTCCATCATTGTTCAATATCTCCCGTGCGAATTGAGGTTATTCATCATGCAGATACGCTAGACCAGGGCCCTGTCGGGTTGTCAAAACTCCGCCACTGCTTTATCTTTGATGCTCGGTGTACACGAGTACGCAACTAGTCAAGCAATGTCTGCATTCAGCTCTGACCTCACTATTAGACATCGGCTGCAAGTCCGAAGCCCAAGACTCTAAATGGTGAGTCGTCAATCCCTTACTAACAACTAGCACAGCGTCTAGCTGGAGGATGCATATACATAGCCCTGGAAAACTGCTCGGTGTGAGGTCCGAGATGGAGCAGAAACCATAACGAAAGTTATTTCCCGCTCGCTTGTCGTGCCAATGTTCTGTAAGACACGGTCTTTGCGACTCGTTGACTGAGCCGACGTTCGTATTTGGTCATTTCCATCCTTCGATGCCTTTTTACTTTGGAGAACCCCGCCGGGGAGCCGCACTCGTCACGCCCGTGTCTTGGCGCTGAGCCCGACGTGCAACCTTCCTCGCCTTCTCGAGGGCTTGTAAGGTCTTGGGTTCTCGACATCGATACCTGACTCCTAGCAGACGCGTCTCGGCTTCCACAGAGTATGCCGACCCTCTCGGTTGTAAACTTCAACATAGTTTGTGCTACACTTGGAGGCTTCATCACTCTTTTTGGACTTGTGTCGTATCTCCTCAAGGAAAAATACTACTTGTCAGAGGCTTGTGAGTGTCTGCCATTCCCATCGCCAAACGAGGCGCCTCGTTAACAAGAACTTTGAAGTAATTTCCCTGATCGGAGGTCTCATTTTCTCTCCTCATGCTGCCAACCTCATCCGCCCGCTCGACTACGCCCAGGGCAATGCAGAGGACCTCGAGACGATAACACTCTACTTTACTAGGTTGGTACTGGGCGTACAGCTAGTCTTGGCCGGTGTTCAGCTGCCCAGCAAATATCTCAAGCAAGAATGGAGACCTTTGGCGCTACTTCTGGGACCTGGAATGTGTGTTATGTGGATAGTCACTAGCCTCCTTGTCTGGGCTCTGGTTCCCGATATCAACTTTCTGTTCGCACTTGCCATAGGAGCATGTGTCACTCCTACCGATCCTGTTTTGAGTAACAGCATTGTCAAAGGCAAATTTGCAGACAAGAATATCCCTCGAGACCTACAGAGAATCATCATCGCCGAGTCTGGGGCGAACGATGGTCTTGGCTATCCATTTTTGTTTCTGCCATTGTACTTAATCAAATATGTAGGACACCCAGAACTGACGGACGGTCATGGTGCTTCGAAAGCAATTGGCCTGTGGTTTGGCGAGACCTGGGGCTATACCATCCTTCTGAGCGTTGTGTACGGCGCCGTTGTCGGATACATCGCGAAAGAGTTGCTTCATTGGGCAGAGGAGAAGAAATATGTGGACAGAGAGAGCTTTTTGGTGTTTGCTATCACCCTCGCCGTAAGTACATCTGCTATCTCGTAGGGTTGGTCGCGACTAACAAGACAGCTGTTCATTGTTGGAACTGTTGGTATGATCGGCTCGGACGATGTCCTTGCTTGTTTTATTGCTGGAAACGTTTTTACTTGGGAGTGAGCATCGTCCGACATGCTGCATGTGACTCGCGACTAATCAAATCTAGCGACTGGTTCCGCTTGGAGACACTTGATGATTCTCTGCAGCCCACAATCGACATGCTGCTCAACGTCTCGATCTTCATATGGTTTGGTGCAGTTACGCCCTGGTACGAATTCGCGCACAACAACGTGATCCCTCTTTACCGGCTTATACCGCTGGGTATCCTGGTTCTACTGTTGCGTCGATTGCCTATCGTCTTCGCTATGCACAAGAAAATCCGGCAAATTGAGGAACCTCGTCAAGCTCTTGTCGTAGGTTTCTTCGGTCCGATCGGAGTCAGTGCTGTGTTCTATCTGTACATCAGTCGAGAGTTCCTTCGCGGTATCAACCTAGACGGTGTGGTCAGAGACGATGCAGAACGTTTGTCCGAGATTATGCTGGTGGTTATTTGGTTCTTGGCCATTTGCTCAATCGTAAGTGGCAAACTTCGTGCTGTGCGAAGAATCACGGAACTAAATATTGCATAGATCGTGCACGGTATCAGTATACCTCTAGGCAAACTTGGATTCTACCTCCCAAGGACCATCTCAGCCGCAGTCTCGACTGAACCGCTCTCTCGAAGATCTTCAGACGATCCGACGCCCATAGGTGAGGGCGCTCTCGCCGAGGGATCGACTCTGGTCAGTCGTTTCCGGAAATACAGAGCCGATACCGCGGGCAGCAGTTCGTCCCTACCCCGATCGTTCTATCGCGTAGGTAGAAGTATGGTTTCCGACGTGAAGAGAGGACACCAGAAAGTCACCGGTGCAAAGGATGACTCGGCTCCAACAAACCATGCGAGCAGCAAGAACATCTCTGGGCCCTCGAACCCCCGCCCGCTTGGTAAGACAATTGTTGGAAACATGAATACCGATTCTCCACTTGGCGCCACGCCTACAGCAGGCCGGTCCGGCGCCGTCACGCCTACGGGCTCACCACCACCCTTGAACAGAACCATCCGCTTCCCTGATGACAGTCCCAGCACGGCCCATTCCTCCTGATCACCAGATCTCTCTTGCGATCTAGCCTTCATTTGTACAAATAGACCGCATACCCGTTTCGACTCTGCTCTGCACATCACACAACACTACTGTTGGCCTTGAGTCAAGCACGATTCACGTATGAAACGAGATCTCGCAGAAAGAGGCAGGAAAGGGGCACAGGAGTTGGGAATCTGTTAGAGCTGCATGGCTGTTGGTGTCGTTCTCGGACTCTGCTAGAGCTAGGTAGCTGTACAGCTGTTGGTGTCGTTCTCGGGCTAAGGTCCGAATAGACTCCCCTTTGTGGGTCCCTGTGCTCGTTCTATCCACCACGTCTAGTTCATCCGTCGCTTGACTTACACTCAGCACTGCCTGTTTCCCCCTACCTATTCCACCGGTTGGGCTTTTAGTTTGCATGAGTCTGTCACTTTTCCGTATGCAATCGGCTTTTTTTGTTCCAAACGATGAGCCCCCTCCAAGATCCATGAAGTCTACGCCGATACAAACCGGATGTCTGGAACGCGTTCCTGCATGCCCCGTCCGTCCTTAGTCCACGGTCCAATTATGGAGATATACAAAAGGACTTCAAACGTTCGTTGGCCGGAATTCGTGTGGAAAACTGGAATTTGAAAGTTGGAGACTGCACGTCTCGGTTTCGGGTTTACTTGTCCACTTCGCACTAATGACACCACCCTCAAGAAAAGAGGACGGCTAGCTCCAAAACCAAGAAGCGAACGGTAGAGCTGTTTATATTCACGGGTAGATGTTGAACTGTTCTGGGGTCCCGTAGCACGTGAGTCTAGACTTCTGTCGTTCTCTGGTGATTCTGACGCTAAGGTCTCTTGACGGATTAGGAAGGTGCGTTGGCCGTGGAGGCTCTTGCGGAGTTGGACGGCCGCAAAGTATTTCCGGTCCGACATCGTGACGAGGGTTGTAAAACGTCTCGGATGTGGGAAGCAGTCGCCATCCGTATCGTTTATTATGTTTGTGTATTATGTCTATATCTATGGAGAAGAGATGGTCTAATCTAATGTCTAACAGTTCTGCAGAGTGGGGTATCATGCGGTCCTCGAAAGGACAAAACAAAGCAATCGTCTAACAATGCAAAAGAAAGTGAAAAAGGTGGAAAACATCAAGACGCTGAGAGAACATCATCGTCATCTGGTATCCCGAGTGAAGTCCGAATACCAGGTCGAAAGTGGAGTGGTTGGAGTGATGAACGTCAGCGAAACATCATCATCGCGCCAGGCGCGGCTGCGGTATGCAAGCCGTGGAGAAATGTTAGGAGAAACACTCGGTCTTTCGTAAATCGTAAAATCTTGCTGGCACTTTCATGGTATGCGTGCAAGCCTCAAATCCTGCGACAGGTGTGAGATATCGTTCGTTCCCCAGCAGTTGGTAAATGCAAAAACCATGCTGGGTGAAGATCGTCGCAGTGTTTGATAAGCGGCTAGACGGTCGATGAAGATGCAGATGCTCGAAACGACGGACATGTCGCAACCAGCTCGTGTCTACGCCGCAGATAAAGCGCTGCGGATATAGTCGGTCTTTGACTTCGAACTTCAGTCCAGAATTCATTTCCGGATATGAAAGCACGAACGCGTTCGCGAGAGAGGGGAGATGTTGCGGCTGTCGGCTCAGCGGAACGACTCCGCAATATAAACATGACAGCCGACCGAGCCGCTCCTGTCAGAGAGCATTAAGAAGTGAAACCATCTGCTCGCGCGGTTCTATTGTGACTTCAAGTCTGTGTCGTTTTCGTTTCAACTTGCTGTGTCGTAAAAGGCGTCTTCAAGGAGTCTAGTTGTTCCAATCGTCAGTATCTTATTCGGTCTCGAAGCAACAGGCGATGCGCGTTCTCACCTTAACTCCTGACTCTGGTCGAAGTTCGCAGACACCTGGCTTGGGGAAGAGCTCGCCTGAGAAGGCTCCCCGTACTGTCCTAGTGAAGCAAATGACCCAAACAAGGACGATGATCGCAGTAAGTGTCTAAGACATGTCAGTATCAAGACTTGATGTGTATCGATATCCCATCAACGAACCTCTCCAACTACGCGGAAAAATGCGGAGTCCAGTTCAGCACTCAGAGTAATAGTAGCAGAAGCGACGCCACCTGTACAAGTCAAATCAGCATGATCGAACGCAAATCAAGCTGCGGAAGCGGAAGAAGCATACCAACTGGATACAAGAAGGCCCACCAGCCAATGTTGAATGGAAACCTCAACTTGAGACGCAGAACGGAGCCCACAGCAAAGCACATCCAAGGAATTGCCATCGCCCAGATAATCAGACCCATGATGACTCCCATGATGTAAAGTATGGTTCCAGCTTCTGATGGTAGAATTGTAAGCTTCGGGAAGATCATCTTCGCAGCCTTTCCACATTGCAATATTCTGGAGATGCTCGTTAGCAACACTCTTGTTCTGGAAATGGCAAGAGCACTCACCCGAAGCTTCCTTGACCTAGGGGGCCCAAGGACAAAAACACACTAACGACAACTTCCTGAGAGGGAAGCTTGAACAACAATAGCCTGTAGAAGTAGATGCACAAGATCATCAAGCCAACGAATACGCCGATAGCCCAACAACAATAGCAGGTGAGCAACGTCCAGAGCGCTTCATGTGCCTCAAGAGCTTCCATCTGAGCCACTTGACCGCCAGTCGAGGCAGCGACGATGCAGCTGACCGCAGGAAGCAAGCACGCAGCCGTCAACTTTTCTGGAGATACGTCATGAACCGAGATCCTGGAGGGATATGTCAGTCACGACTCTTGCAGCATACTTCCTCGATAGCAAACTTACATCAAAAACGCAACCGAACAGCAGATTGTCACTGCAAGAGCGGCATCTATCCACCACAACGCCCATGCCATCGTCGCTGCCCAACGACCCCATGCAGGGACGCAGACCAAGACGATCATGTTCACGATAGTCGCAAGACCCATTGGGAAACAACCCAAGAACAGAGAATGCGTCGGATGGTTGATCATTGCCGGCCACAACTCAGGCCACAAGACATACCTCAAGATGGATATGAACAAAGCGCTAATGAAGATTGAGACGTTAAGTCCAAAGATAATGTAGCAAGGATAATTCGTCCAACTGCTGTTGTATGGCATCTGATGCAACAAGATCGCCACGACACCTGTACCCATGGTTATTGAAAACATGCTTCACCCGCTGGTCAGCCATCGACGTTCAACAAGCTTCAGGTTTCATGGAGATAAGAGCCAAACATACGAAGGAGTAAACCCGCGGACAATTCGTCGCCAGCCATGATCATCTTGCCTGGGGAGATCGATCTCGGTCTTATCCTCGAAACCCTTCTCGATATCCGTGGTGAACTGGACATCTGGAAATTCCGATGGATTGACCGGGGTCATCACCCCAGACGGCGGCTGCGTGACAGCAAGAGTTGTCTCGCTCAGGCTATTGGGCATGCCTGGTCGAAGTGTGCAAGAGGAGGCGAAGCGGCCAGCGCGTCCGAACGGGTTCTTTGTCGGCCAGAATGTGATACGCATCCACGCTGGACAGAGTGTGAGCGAGGCTTGACTCGGGCTTGTTGAAGCTCCAAACACAGTCGCCAAAGATGAGACGGCAAGCAATTGTACGGTGAGAGAACGATTGATAGGTGATGAGCCATACCGCCAGCGCGCTCTGCGAAGTTTTTGCCCATCTTCTGTCGTCCGGGTCTCGCTCGGGTTTCTCTCGTCATCCTCTGGTTTCTTTGCCTGCTTTCTCGCAATCTAAACAAACGGCGAGATACAGTTGCTCCGAGATATGGCCGTCTATCTACAGCCTTGTATGAATATCTGGGGTCCCTCGTTCCTCTTCGACCTTATTCACTTGGTCAGCATGGTCGACTTCTACATCACACTCTTTCCCTCCTCCGTCAATAGTCGCAACAATTGCTCTTACTGGCGTGTGAACACTCAAGCGATGATGATTTGGAAGATGATCTCGCTTCCTGAGAATCGCTAGCTAGCGGGCCGTTTCGGAGCAGCCTCACGGATCCATTGCCTCGAATTCGTCATTGTTTTTCGGCAATCCGTAATTTTCTCTTGAGCCTCAAATCTGATCGACGACCGCGAGAACACATGTTCGTCGGCGAGTTTGTTTTTTTAAACGCTGTCGCTGCAGCATCTATATCAATGAGATGCTATCATATCCACCTCTCTTATACCTGTTCACTTGCTTGAGTCGCAAAAGCTGTTTGTTTTAACTGCTGTCAATTCGTGTTCTGAACGCATGATCCGGAGGTTGGTGGGTCTTGTCGCGACGCCAAGTTTGGGAAAAGCCGAAAGATATCCGCGATTCATGCAGCATGCTGGAATTGAGGACAAGCCCACCATCTGGTTTTCTGTAGGTCTTTGTAGCGCTATGAAGATATTCTGAAATACAGGACAAACGATAGAAATGTACCGTCACGATTGTATCATGGAGTGCTCGAAAAGTACAGTATGTTCGTACTCAAGCGCACCCAGAAGCATCTGTTCTGTTTCCAGGAAATTGTCAGATGCCCTCGACGAGTCCAATTGCCCACGCAGCAGTGACAAGGACCTCAAACTCAAGAGACCACAAGATCTCTCGCCCGAGACACTGCCAAAATCACCAAAACACCGTAACAAGCAATAGCAAGATCGAAATTGACGTGAATTAGGACTGTCAGGGTCTTCCCCCATACCATTCAATCCCCCCCCCTGGCAAATTGTGAAATATAAATTTTGCAAGCACATTTTATCCCATCAATCCGATATGGTCTAGTGGCTAGGATTTCTCGCTCTCAAACCGTTTCTCCCAAGAAACAACCTTTGTCGTGATAGACCATGTTCACCCCGATGAAATGCCTTTGGACACAAACAGTCTGAGCCTTTTGAGATTTGCAGTCGGGTATAGGCACATGTCCGTGCAATCATTTATGAGAGATGTACGTGGTCGGGTCAATAAGAATCGTTCACAACACGCAAAAAAGTCTTGTCAAGAATGAGCAAGTAAAGCTGAGACTACGATTCAGTGGTTGATAAGATAAAGCAGAGTGGTATCGAAGGAACGGGTGATAATCATAGAGGAACAAAAGAGCAAAACAGGTATAATCCCTCCCCGAAAACGCCATTCCAGTGTAGTAGAAACGCCATACGACCTTGTACAGGATCGTCCATTAATCCCTCCTGATTGCGAGAAAAATCTGCTCGGAGTCTGCAGGTCCAAAAGGGGGGTGTGGATCATGCCTGATATAGAAACGAAGAACGAAGAAAAGCGCGAGTTACTCGTGTCGGGGAAAATATGATGCTCTGGTAAGCCAATCATGGGGTTGTGTCAATACTCTTGATGGCCGTGTCAAGGGTCGAGCCATCATGGCATAGAATCCACAGGGCCGCCAGCTGGGGCGAAGATTGCTGCCTGAGGGAAGGTTGCAATGGTGTAGTTGTTATCAGCAGGACTGTCAGCGGGTTGAGCATGCGAGACATGACTACCAGCACTGGAAGTTTTACTGCCACGCTTCTGCTTCTTCCTAGTCGAATGCGATGATGATGGTACGCTGAACGCTTGTTCACTCTGAAGGTAGGCGCCATATTGATGGGCTGCAATTCTCGAGGCTGATGCATCCTAGGCATCATCGTCACGGTTGCCAGCAGCGTTTGCGCGATCTTCGTCGGAAGGTTCGAGACCGGAACGTTGAGCACACCTCTTCCAAGCATCCAGGTCCTTGTAGACTTGATTCAGTTCAGCCTTCAGTCTGTCGCAGGATCCGCTCAGTTCGGCAATGGCTTGTTCAGTGAGGAGCTTCTCCAAAGTCCACTTCTCGATATTTTGAGATTCGTTCTCCTTGAGCTGAGTGATGAACTGAACTGCGCGTTGAAGAATGCTTCCCTTGTTCTTCTCACAGCCTGGTACGATCTTGGCGAGCTCATTAATACCCTCATTGATGGTTTCGCGGCGGCGACGTTCGACTGGATTTCAGGTAAGTAGCCGCAGAGGAAAATGGAAGCTCGTGGTTTATTACCTTCTTTGTGGTTATCTCTGCGCACCTTGTGCCACTCATCAGTACCAACAGCAGGCTTGTTGCCAGAGGGAGTGGCCGATGGCGAGCCTTCAGTAGTACCCAAGACCGAAGTCTGTGGCTGTGCTTGTTGCTGCTGTTGTTGGGGAGGTTGGGCGTTCTCTTTCAGTTGCTCGAGACCAGCAAACTCGCCGTAAGCCTCGGAGTTTGATTGGCCAGCACCGGCGTCGAGTGAGAAAGCAGCGCTAGATTCTCGGTGGCCATCGTTGTGGGTCAGGAAAGATTCGTCGTGGTTCTGAGGGACGCCCATGGAATAGTGCAAAGCAGCATTGGCAGTCTCGCTAGCGCTCTGTCCATTGGTGGGAACATGAGAATGGACACTGTGGTCGTGCATGGAGTGATCATGGACACCGTGGTCACCAGCATTGTGTTGAACCAACGCATCGGCGAAGTGCGGCGGCATGTCGTTCTCGTGGCTTGTGTGGAGGAAAGGAGCCTCGTAGTCGACTTGACCATTTGGCGAGCCTCGGAACTCTTTGAAGTCTCCAGATGCAGGCGCATGGCCAACATCATGATCAAGCGAGTCACGCTTGCGTTTGTGTGCGAGGGAGGCCATGGCTGGGGTACTTTGTTACGTGTTGGTGGAGATGCAGAAGATGATGGCGGCTTCTGATGGCTTGTGCGGAGGTTGCGTTATCTCGAGGACTCGTCGCAGGCGTCAAAGGAGTACGATGCTGAGCTATCGTGGCAGGGTCAGTCATGCATGTTTCATGAAGTAGTCACAGATGGTCATGGGCAGCGGGCAAGCTGTCAACGGCAGAGCTCCAAGCGACGTGACCGGCACGCCTCTACGACGGATGCTTGATCTTCCGACGACCCTCCATGTCGGTAGTCGTTGATCGAAACAAGACGTCGGCGGTCAAGGTCGTCGCGACGCGTGCGCAAGCAGCGAGTCGCGACATGGCAACAAGCATGCGACAGCCAAGTCGGTCGAGGGCCATGGTGGTTGGAATGTGCTGAGCATCATGGCCGAGTCTATGGGCATTGCCGGTTGCAAAATAAGGAAGCGGATGCCACTCACCGAGTCTGAGAGTCGACGTCGTTTTGGAGATCCCGTGACAAGTCACGAGTTAGCAAGCCGGGCGCTTTAGTCTGCTAAGTACGCGACAAGACGGGCAACTTTGGTACCAGGAAATAGACGTCGACAAGAAGAGAATCCTCAAGCTTTGTGCGGCGCAGTCAGACTTGGACAAATTGCGATATACTATCGTCGAGATAGCCAAAGACCAGGGATGGAGTATTCGAGGTCACGTTGAAAGATCACATGGGATGGGGGATGGAGGAAGGTGGTCCAAGACCCAAGTCGCGCCGGCAGACTGTCGCGAAACTTCCGACAGCCGACACCAACTCGACAAAGCCGCACGCCATCCCACGCCGCTCATCCTTCCACTGCCGTCGACCTGCAGAGAGTACCGACTTCTACTTCCTTATTTTTATCACTTGAACATCTTGTTCCGTTGCTCTGACCTGTTCATTCTTAACGACTCTATATCTACGAGCTCGTCGCCATCTTGCAAACAGATGCAAGAGTGTCTTATCTACGAGTAGATAGCTGCCACACGCACACCTCTGCTGCACTCGCATTGGTCACATTTACAACAGGCTAACGTCGCGGTTGAAGTGCTCGACTCCCCCGAGTGCTTTCATGCATCCACCCTGATGAACCTTGGACGCGCAGTAAAGCAGCATATCCGGTCATGTGCACTCGAGACAATGGCCTCAACCGTCTCTTTGTTTGAGCTCGGCATGTGTAGGGTGTCGTCCATATTTTCTTCTTCCTCCCTGCCTTGCACTCAGAACAAGTAATCTGAAACTTCTACATATTCACGGACAAACAAATTCGAGAAAGTCATCAAGTATAATACCGCATCATATGTTGACGATCCCTTCTGCAAGCCCCTCAGACTGTCCAGACCAGCCAGAATGAGGGGCCATGTTCTGCATTGCTTTGCATCGCTCTAGGCCGGATAAAGATCAAAGAATGATCGAACAATTGTCAGGTGTCAGGTGTCGCTTTGTACCGTGGTTTCGTCCGATCAAACAAACAATCAGATGTTATGAAGAGAAAATCCGAATACCATGTACAACTATAATGGCAGACCTGAGTGTCTCGCATGACCCGACCTTGCAATTCACAGACACCAAAGGGTCGTCTACCTGAGCGAGCTTGGTTTTAACTTTATGGGATTGGTCAACAATCTCCGCATATAACTCCATCTAGGTCAGATGGTTATGAACAGTCCGAGACAGTTCGGGTCGCACAAGTTGAGATAACATCAAACATGTGACTAGCAGGCAAGAGTCTTGTTGTGGTCTGCCGCAACACACTGCAGTGCAGTGTCCAACGTCGCTACATGCTCCACGTGCGAGACGCGTACCCAAGGAGTTGACTTGAACGCGCACTCTGCTCGAAACCTCTTCTTCGTGAACGAAGTTGTGGAGTGGCCGTGGAAGATATGTCGACAAGCATATGCATGCTCATCGAGGCCGCCTTATCAGCACCCAAGATTGAAGGACTGAAGACCACCGGCCGCAGTCGTCTCACATGCTTGATGCGCGGCAGGATCAGATTTCTTACCTGAAAAACTCCTTTAATACAAGGATCCTCAACATAGCCACGTAGTCGTCCAAAGAATAACCCAACAATCGTAATGCCCTAGGTCTGGATGTAAAAAGTCAGCGATATGTAGTCGGTTGTCAGGATCCACGAGTCGCCCCCTTATGCACGCCTTGACCATCTCACTGCTGTCGTACAAGAACATGGCGCCATGACCACGGAGAACGCGCCACTCAGCAAGTGGATCAAGATCAAAGATATCGCGCTGCTCCATGCTTCGCCTCGACCCCACGGCCACGGCTTCCTCATGCAAGTGACTAGAAACATGAGCGGTCGTAGACGCCCAACTGTCTCTTTGCAGAATGATGGACGGTTGTGAAATGCTCGTCGTGTCTTTTTAGAGTATCTGCACTATCCAGGAGCATTAGCTTGTGGGGCTCTGCAACAGTTACGACTCCGCCGCGCCTGTCGAGAACAACGCGATTCTCCTAGGTCGCGACCTCACAAGCCAATAGGGAGACCAGATGCAAGGCCAGTACGAACGGGCCGAGTGAGCGGTGGAGGGAGAGAACGCTGGCGATGCTCTCCAGGGACCAAGAAGCACAGGCCATGGATTCGTTTCACCATCTGTCTGAAACCTCTTTCTTGTCTTTCCGCCGTCCAACACGTCGCCCTGCGAATATTTGACCCGCTGTTCAATACCTTTTGAGGATAGTAAAGCAAAGCTTGAATGCAAGTTTCTGCGGCCTGTGGGTTCTATATGGAGAACTTGAATGTGATCAGGACGTGCAGTCGCGGCTAACGGCTTCTCCTACTGGTCAGCCAGGCGGCAACCACGGTTTCAACGTCCTTGGTTAGTCAGTTCACAACATACTGAGTCGGTAAGTCCTATCAGGGGGAACACCTTCACAGGGGCTGCGTGTGCGGACACGATAAGACTGTCGCGCCTCCCAATATCTCTATTCTTTCTTTCAGCATTCTGTTCGAGTTCCATCCCCCAGCCTAGTGCTGCCATTCTTTATTTGCGCTCTCTGTGAGAAGCCTTTACGCTACTTACGTCCTTTCATTCGAGTCTATCACTCCTCACGATCACTACCGGCGAACTCAACGGTCTTTTACAACTCTACTACGTCTCCCTGGGATACAATCTGCCCAATAGATTTCCAATAGCCACAACCGGAGCCACGTCACAGTCTCACGACATATATCAGTACACACATCTCACACTCTTTTTCGAGAAGATACCGCTGTTGCAGAAATGTTCAGCTTAATCTTCTTTGCTTTTGCTTGTTTTGCGTTCTTTTCTTTCGTTGCGGAAGCTTTGCCTGCACCTGTTGCATCATCCTTCCCGCTCAAATCTTATTACCACGGACCGCCAGCCTGGAGCCCCTCGGCCACGTACGAATCGACTTCGACCTTCCCGACCCTCTCTATTGGATCACAACACATCGCACCTACTGGAATTGTCCCCTCTGGATATCTCGCCTCTGGATTTTACCCAACCGCATCTGGATATGCTTGGCCTACTGGAACTGGATTCCCTTCTGGAGTAACTGGACACCCTCAACCTACTGGAACTGGACAAATCAATGCCACCGCATTCTCTTCATGGTGGACATCATACCGTCAATCTTCCGCCTCCCTATCTCTCTACTCTTCCGCTTCATACAACAGCACTACCTCGGTCTCTGTTAACAGCACTATCCCTACATCAGTCTCGGTCATTGCTTCTTCAACATCGGCCGCCGCTTCCAGCACTGCAACTGCCTCGACGGGATCTGCTGTGCTTCCTGACGTCCTCCGCGGTGTCAACATCGGTGGCTGGCTCATTCTGGAGTCATGGATGAACTGGGACGTCTTTGCTGACACTGACGCAAAGGACCAGTTTTCTTTCGACAGCTGTGATGGTGCCAAGGACAAGCTCGAGAAACATTGGTCTACCTACTTCACCGAGTCCGATGTTGAGGGACTGGCTGCCGCTGGAATCAACGCTGTGCGTATTCCTATCGGCTTCTGGTCTTACCTGGATACTGCTCCTTACCTTATGGGCGCTGATGCCTACCTCGAAAAAGCCATTGGTTGGTGCCGTAACCATGGTATCAAGGTCCTCGTTGACTGCCATGGCTCGCCCGGCTCTCAGAACGGTTTCGACAACTCTGGCCGCTCTGGCAATGTAGCTTGGCAACAGGACGATAACATGGAACAAAGCATCAGCATCCTCGAGACGATTGCCAAGAAATACGGTGCTCAGGAGTACGCTGATGTCGTCTTTGGTATCCAGCTCGTCAACGAACCCATTTCGTGGGACCAGAACAACATTGACACCACCAAGGAATGGGCCAAGAAGGCCTACACCGCTGTCAAGTCTGCTTCGACCAACCAAGACCTCGCTGTCATTATGCACGATGGTTTCATGGGACCCTCGGACTGGGAAGAGGTTGGTGCTGCTGTCAACGGTGGTGCCTCTCTTTCTGACGCCAAGTTTTGGATCGACACCCATCTCTACCAGAACCAGGTTGCAGATGACTCCAAGTTGACCCAGGACGAACATGTCGAGAAGGCCTGCAACTGGTCATCAACCGAGCTTCTGCCATCATCGTCTAACCTACCGGTCATCGTCGGCGAGTTCAGCGCTGCTACCAACATCTGCGCGAACCCTGACGGATCCACTGTTGCCGGTAGCGTCTGCTGGATCGACGGCTGCCAATGCTCTGCCAATGTCGACATTGAGGACTGGAACGAGCCTCTGATCCAAGCTACCCGCAAGTTCCTCGAAGCTGAGCTCGATACCTTTGAAGCACACGCTCGCGGATACTTTATGTGGAACTTCAAGGGACCTGGTGCCTGGGGCTACCAGAATGCCATCAAGTATGGCTTGATTGGAGACAAGATCACAGACAGAAAGTATCCTGGTCAATGTAGCTCATGAGAATAACGGATGAAGAGAAGAAAGATAGAAGAGGCGCTGGACGCCGACGAAGAAGGTTAAAAAAGTGATTGCGATATACCCCTTCCATGATTCAATGGACTAGATTTCGATTCGATTTTGTAGATAGATTCTTATAGTGCTATGCACTGAAACAAACATTTTCTCAATACCACATACGCCGCAATCTCTTTCAGTTGTTCTCAATCGATGTGTGTCTCCTAGTGAATGCTGGATTAGACGGTAGATGGACAAATGGCTGGATGAGTGAAAGAGTGAAAGAGTGAAAGAGTGGAAATAAGTCGAAGGTCTTGGAACAAAGTCCGGCGCGTGCTGGAGCTCGCGCACGGACCATGGTCTAGTGTTTGTGCTGGAAGAGCTGCAACTGTTGCACCAAGAGAGTTTCTGTATCCACAAGCACGCGACTTGATTCTTTTTCCCATCTCAAGCCTGGAAACACATCTTTCCATCATACACAATGTCTGCCGATACTATCACCAACCCCCCCACAACTGGAGAGTCAAAGAGCGCTCGCAAGAAGCGCGAGAAGGCCGAAGCCGCCGCCGCTGCTCAAGCTGCCAGCCAACCCCAGCAGGACAGCGATGGCCAGAAGACCCCCGAAATCACAGAGACCAATGGCGACTCGTTTGAGAGCTCTCACATGAAGGAACTGCAGAAGTTTGTCGGACAAATCATCTATTGACAGATCGTCCGAGCTGACAGACTCTAGGAACCTCCGCAATGTGAACAAGAAGCTCGTTAGTTCACTCGCACCTTCATAACTGTCGCAGAGGACTAACCGTACACAGAACTCCATGACCAAGTTGGACTCGATCCTCGCCGAGAACCCCGACAAGTCCTTGGACGAACTCCTCGCTTCCCGCAAGATCAACGCCGACCAGAAGGCCCAGGCCTCGAAGAAGCCCGCTCTCCAAGCCCAGGCTGCCCAGCTCGAAGAACAGATTGCCCAGTACAAGAAGGTTGATGCCGACTACCAGTCGCGCATGTCTGCCCAGCACTCACACCTTACTTCGACTCACCAATCCGAGATTGAGAAGCTGAAGGCTTCCGTCAAGGAGGAACACGAGGCTGCGCTCAAGGCCGTCCTGCGCGAGAAGCTCCTCACATTCAGCCAGTTCCTCAGAGCTGCTGCTGCCAAGCGTGTTATCGAAGAAGAGGCCGACACAGACGAGTCTAAGGCATTCGAAGGTGCTCTGTTGCTGGTCTACGGAGGTGACGACAAGGCTGTTGATGCTGCCTTGAGCTTGATCGAGGGCTCTGACGAGCAAGTCCCTTCGGTTGAGGGTGAACTGTTGCCTATCAAGTGTAAGGAAGAATTGTGCTCTAACTAGTAGCCACGTGCTGACACGGTGCCACAGATTCGCAAGTCAAGCAGGCCGCTGTTGGCTTTGGCGCATTCCCCGGCGAGGAGACCGCCCAAGAGGAGGCCCCTGTTGAGTCAACAGACGCTACCAACGTCCAGCCCGAAGACACTATCCCTTCGAGCGACCCCACCATTGCACACGCTGGCCTCACCGAGTTGGGCATTAACCAGTCCGCTGAGGAGGAGAAGCCTATCGTAATTGCCGACGCCGAGCCTCAGTCTATCGCCGAGGCCTCTACCGGCGACGAGTCGGCCAACAAGTCCGCCGAGACACAGTGGGACAACGCCGCTGCCACAGCCGGCACCGACCAGGAGCTGGACGACTCCTACGAGATGGTCCCCCGCCCCGCCGACGAGACCGAAGCTGTCCATGAACCCGCCCAGCCTCAGTCGACCAGCTCTTGGGCCGATCAGACATCCGCAAACGCCACTGCTACTGAGGCCGCTGCCGAGAACAACAACGCTACCAACGGACTCGCATCGACCGACGCTGAGGGCTTTCAGTCTGTTGAGAAACGTGGAGGAAGAGGTGGCCAACAGGGACGTGGAGGCCGTGGACGCGGTCGCGGTGGACAAGGCCGTGGCGGTCAGCAACGCGGCAGCTTCAGAGGTAGGGGACAAGCTCGTGGTCGTGGCCAAGCTCCTCAGCCTCAAGCATAGGAAGTCTCGCTGAGATACACCACCGAAGAACTCTCAGCAGCTGAAATACTCAGCGGCATGCAGAAAGGAGATCACGAATGGGACCAAATAAACACGGACAGGGAGGGGGGCGCTATCATGGAGAAATGACTGACATTTGATCACGAAGGCGTTTTCTTGTTTCTGCACACACTTCTTTTTACACACCTCTTCTTCATCTTTGCTTTCTGGGAAAGAACTTGCTCTCGTTATGTGTTTATTCATGCTTGAGCGTTGGGTTGTGTATTGTTTGCTTTTTGCTTCGGCGTCTCGCTCTGTTTCCCCCTGCTGCATAGCTATGGAGCTCTGGGATGTATGTTTGGATCTGCTTCCCTTGCTTCACTTTTCGGTTCCTGACAGTTGGAAGAAGAAAATTGCCCTGGCATTCGAGCCTTTCTACGACGGAACTGACAAAACGTTGACGATCATCTTGTTTTCTCTTCTCGCATCTGTATCACCACATTTCTTTCTGAATTTGTTTGCTGCACATATTTTTGGCTTCCACATCACCGATGGCTGGCTTCTATTCAGTGGCTGCACCTGCACGTCGACGGTGAGGCGTCTGTTCGCTTTGCGCCAAACTATGGTTCGCCAAGGACTTCAAGTTCGAGGTGCTCTCAAAGGTCTGGCGATGTGGGCCGGTGGAAGGCACAGTCTGAAGAGTCCAGCTACCCGGCCGGTTGTCGCTTGCTCTGTATACGAAGATCATCAGGACCGGAAAAGCTTTGACGGGAGGTGATATCTCTTGGGACTCAGCCCTGTCGAATGCAAGACTGGGGTTGATCAGGAACAGGGGGCTTGACCCATCTGCGGCGGATCTTATCTGAAGGAAGTGGCTCCGGTAGTTGAGCATGGATGATCTGCACATAGTGTGTAATGATGGAGAAAGCATACATAAATTATCTATAGTTTGAGCTGCCTGTGTGATCACATCATCGGAGCGTTCTCTCAACAAGAGGAGAATTATTACCGAATCCAATTGTGCCTTTTCACCATTGAAGTTGGTTGTGATTTGAGATGTCGAGGTGAGGCTGCCAGACTTCGACCTGGACCGTGCCACCCGGAGTGAAGCGTGCCAAGTCTCAAGAGTCGAGTGACATGGTGTGAGGACGGCAGCGACGACTCTTGGTCCAGGATTTGATCGCATTCCACGCACTACAACGACGAAGACAGCTGGAAGCCTACTCTGCTGCCATCACAACTGGCTTGCGCATGCGACAACTACTCTGCGCTCTGCTGCGACACCCGTGAGCAGTCGACCTGGACTGTCTCCCCCCTCTCTTTGCCGCCCGCCGTGTGCTGTCGCTTGCCGTATAGCCCACCCGGACGCAACCAAGCCACCGACTCCAGCAGTCCACACTGCTGCCCCCACATCGACTTTTATCGCAATCATAAATTAGTTCTGCCCTTTGTGGCATTACTCGATCATCTCGGCCATCAACATGGAAGCCTCGATGCCTTCGCTGGCCGTTGCGACCGAGCCTTCGAACGTCTCCTCCGACGCCGCCCTACCTGAAGCTTCCAACTTGTCCAAGCACTCCGAACCAGCCCACGCCTTAACTCCTCCCACCTCCGAAGACAACAACACCAGAATCGACGATGACGCTTCCTCTGACTTGTCCGAGCTGGACCTTGACATGGACGATGAGGAAGAAGTCGTGCCAGACCATTACTGGGACGACGGCAAGATCCCCGTCTTCAAACCTGTATGTCACCCCATCATTTGTAAAAATTCTACTCCATTCTAACACGTTCGCGACAGACAATGGCACAGTTTCGCGACTTCAAGAAATACATGGACCAAATCGACAAGTACGGCATGAAATCTGGTATCGTCAAGGTCATTCCCCCTCAAGAATGGAGAGACGACCAACCTGCACTGGACGAACTCGTCAAGACCATCAAGATCAAGAACCCAATCTCGCAAGAATTCATGGGCACCCACGGCATCTACACACAAGCCAACATCGAGAAGCAACGCTCCTACAACTTGCCCGAGTGGAAGGCACTCACCGAAGAAACTCAATACCAGCCTCCAGCCAGAAGAGGAGAACGTCGCAGAAACCAAGGACAAGTGGCTAGGGGTGCCACGGCTAGGACCCGTAACTCCACCCGGACATCGACTCCAAAAGATGCCGGTACAAAGAGAAAGCCCGGCAGGCCTCGCAAGAATCCCTTGCCTCAAAAAGATGACGAAGATGAGGATTATCCCTCCAGAGCCAGCCAAGTGCCTCCAACCCCCACATCTCCCGTGCTCAAGTCCACCGAGCCTTCTGAACACACAACTCCAAGCAAACCAAAACCGAAACCCAGAGGTCGCCAGCCAAAAGCAGGCCAGCAGAAGTCGGTCTCGTCGCGCAGAATGAACAACACTACCGAGACCAACGACATCTATGACGAGGCCGCTTTCAAGGATTTCGACTACCATATGGATGACTTGGACGAGTTCACCCCGGAAAGATGCGCCGAACTTGAGACCGCTTACTGGAAGAGTTTGACCTTTGCTCAGCCCATGTATGCTGCTGATATGCCTGGTTCGCTGTTCAAGGACGAGTGCGACATCTGGAATGTTGCCAAACTGCCCAATCTGCTTGATGTACTGGGAACCAAAGTCCCCGGTGTCAACACTGCTTATCTGTACATGGGAATGTGGAAAGCTACTTTTGCATGGCATTTGGAGGATGTTGATCTTTACAGTATCAACTACATCCATTTTGGCGCACCCAAGCAATGGTACAGCATCTCGCAAGAGGACGCCAGGAAGTTCGAAAAGGCAATGAAGAGTATCTGGCCAAATGACTCCAAGGCTTGCGATCAATTCTTGCGTCACAAGACTTATCTCATCTCTCCGGAAATCTTGCAGAAGCAGTTCGGCATCAAGGTGAACAAGCTCGTCCATTACGAGAGCGAGTTCGTCATCACATATCCCTATGGATACCATTCCGGATACAACATTGGCTATAACTGTGCCGAGTCTGTCAACTTCGCAACCGAGGCCTGGCTTGATTATGGTCGCATCGCAAAGAAGTGCGAGTGCGAGTCCGATAGTGTCTGGGTTGAAGTTGCCGAGATCGAGCGTAAGCTCAGAGGCGAACCTACTCCCGAATACTACGAGGAGACCGACGAGGATGACGAGGACGAAATGGATCTCGATATCACGACTGATCTTCCCAGTCCCCCCGCGAGTGTCGCAGGCAAGCCTCAGTCACAACCTCGTAAGCGTAAGCGCGATCCCAAAGACAAGGATGCAGACAAGAAGAAGAAACGCATCAGAATTCTTATCAAGGGCCCTCACAGAGAGCCTTGTGTCCTCTGTCCGAACGACCCTCTGAGCGAGCCTCTTTTGCCTACAGACAATGGCCAAAAGGCGCACCGCTGCTGTGCACTGTACACTCCCGAAACCTGGATTAACAGCGAGGATGGTGTTGAGAAGATCTTTGGCGTTGCAGGTATTAATAAGGCACGTCTCGATCTCAAATGCAACTTCTGTCGCTCCAAGCGCGGTGCTTGCTTCCAGTGCCAGGCTAAGAAATGCACCCGAGCCTACCACGCAACTTGCGCGCTCGCTGCTGGTGTACAAATTGACAATGGCCCGGTGCCAACCTTTGGCGAGGATGGAACCGAATACTTCGAAGAGGGCTTCGACTTGAGATGCCGTTTCCATCGACCCAAGCGTGCAAAGAGGGCAGACATCGATGCTCTCGACGCTCTCGAGACTAACAAACTCATCAACAACTTTGCCAAATGTCTCAAGAAAGACGACGCTATTCAAGCTCAATACCCATGGGGTGACATCTTTGCTGGCATGGTCGAGGAAAATCGTCCAGGCGAGGCTACAGTTCTTATCAATATGCTGCCTTCTGGCGACCAAGTTGAGGTCGAATGGAAGTGGATTGTCGTACTGGATCCTATCGATTCTCAGCGTCTGAAGCCGTCACCTAATGCCATTCCCATGCCTGAGGGTATGAGCAAGCAGTCTGTGTCGATCAAGAACCGTCAAGATGGCATCCCTATCTTGGAAAGCACCTTCCACGAAGATGCCGCTTACAAATGGGCCGAATTCCGTAACCTGCAAAGTCCTCCTCAAGGTTATAGTACTTCTGTTATCAAGAACCCTGATCAAGTCAGAATCAACCTCAACAAGCCTGATCAGCTTTACTACTACTTGCCGAAGAAGTCGACAGAAGCCAAAGGCAGATTTACTGACGATCCTAAAGGCCAGAACCATGTTTTCATGGGCGATTTCATGGAGCGAGTCAAGCCTGCAAGACCTTTCAAACCAGTCACTGCATCCTACACTGGCGGCGGCTACACCGGCGGTTATACCATGCCGCAAATTCAGCGACCTGCGCCTGTGCAGGTACAAAACAGTGAGCGGCCCTACATGTACAAGCCTAAGACACCTGCTCACCCTGCAGTGGGCTACAATGTGGACCACCGAGCGCTGGCCTCGCAACAACAATTCACCCAGCAATCTAATCCCCGAAGAGCATCTCACTCGACCAACCTCTACTCTCAACCAGTCCCTCCATTCCTTCAGCAGCACAGCGAACCTGCACGCACGACCCAGGCTCCTCTTCGTCCTTTCTCAGAAGGATACTACTCGTCGAGAACATTGCCTGCTGCACATCCTGGAGAATACTCGCAGTACTGTCAGCAAGTCCGCCGTACATCAGGAGGTCCTGTCACATTGCAGTCCTACCAGACCCAGCCTTATACAAGCACCCCTCAGAGATCTCAGCAAAGTGCAGGTAGCCCACAGACAGGAGCCGGGTATGGCCAGCCACAAAGTGCCAACCGCGCTACGCTAGCATCCTACAGCAATATGTTCAACAACAATGCTACTCCTGTTCAGCCTTCGACACAGGATAGGCGGGACTCGTCCGGTAGTAGACCTGTGGCTCAATCGCCGACTGCAACCACTGCTCGCCAACAATGGACCCCACCTTCACAGGTCTTTCATCAAACATATCGGGCACCCTCGCAATTCCCTCCCACTACATACCGCCCACAACTCACATATCAGACACCGCAAGAGTTCCAACAACAGATTGGCATGCAGGCTCGTCAGCCAAGTGTTGGCGACTCTTACGGAGGCTTAGGCCGTATCTTGAGGGATGTTGCATCACAACCAACACTGCCTCCTATGACCAACCCTTACAACATGTCAACGACAACGGCTGGCGGCGCACCCAATGGTTTCTCTATCCCTCAAACATATCCAAGCCCAAAGGCACCCACGGCTAGCCCCTTGAGTGATACACAGACACCTCGTGCACCCAGTCCTGGCATGGGTTACCGTGGCCAAGCAACCGCGTGGGGAGGTCCACCGCAGCATTTGTCCTCGCATAACTCGAGCAACACTCTACCGTCACTGCAGTCCATGACCCAAGGAGTACCATTCGCCTCTACTGCATCAAACCCACCGCCCACTCAACAGTAGTATGGTTGATGAGCGTGAAGGGCTCGTAAGGCATTGGCATGATCATGACGGAAAAGAACAGATGAGACCAAGACATGACATTTAATATTTCTTTTCTCCTTTTCTGAGTATATGGGTATCTAGAGAGCATTCACTACGCGGGGCGTGTACAACAGGAACAATTCTGAGCGTGGGGGCTCATAGGTATGAGGGAATTTTACTCATCAGGAAGAGATGACTTTTCTTGGGCGGCGTTCTCTTTTTCTTCTTTCTCGTTCGTTTCAAGTCTGCCAGTTTTCGGCTGCTTCTTTATCTGCTACTATGCAGCTTCTTGATGCTTAGTTGTATCCTAGGAATTTTATTACTGCTTTTTCTTACAGGTCTTGACCCGATTTTGTTCTGATTATTCCTCCCCGTGTGCTAAACTTTGTCACGCGTACAACTGTAGAACAGCACAATTTCAGCATTGTCAGGGGTAGCTTCCACTAAAAGCGTGGTAGTTAGCGCCTCTCTACGGACGCCTATACCAATCCGAAAAACATTGGGCATTTTTACAGGCTAGACGACCCTGGGCGTGGCAGCGGGAGATGGCCAGAGTAACAGATTTTAGCACACAGGGAGGTTGTATTCATATGTGGTGCTTGAGCCAAGCCACTTTTTCGTCTTGCCTGTGTATCCGTAAATGTAGCCTCGAGGAAGTGTGAAGAGGATTGTGATGGTCTCACGACCGGGTTTTCATACGATTCATACTCTACCTATCGTGCACCTCTAATGGTCAAATTGGGCATCACTTGTGTCAGGGTCGCACTTTCTATGCCCCTAGGACGGGGCTTGGCAAGTTTGTTGCACAAGTTTGTCTGCAACGACGCGCTTTCATCCTTTTCGATCAACAACAAACGACACTAACACATCACCAACACGATAGCAACAATACCATTTCTGGAGATAAATTCACACCGTCGATAACTCGCATCTCGCACATTATTGTCGTGTCTTTGAAAAGATCGCGAAGACTGTGGAACTTACGACGTGGTCTACTGGATTTAGGACGCGTAGTCTTTGTCGTTGACGGGGTGTGAAGTGAATTCGGAGGAAAGTGTTGAACAAGACTGGCTTGATAGAAAACGACGACGAGCGCTTTCGCAATCAAGGACTCTGATCAACTCATCCATCTGAGGATCCAAAGCTCTGGTCTCTCAAGGACTCAAAAAGACAAGAAACCTTCACTCAAAGGGAACACTCCATCCCCAGCACATCAAACCAACACCTTCGACACTTATCATCCTCCCATCGACCACCAAACCCACTTGAACTGCTATCACAACCCAAACAACCTCGCAACAATGCCACCAACAGCTTCCCGTGTCTCTGATCAATTCGTCCCAACCACCGCAAATGGAACATCACAAATGGTCCTCTGCGCCCACTGCCACGTCCAAAAACTACCGAAAAACTCTCTCCAACGCAAAGAGGAACATTTACGTTCATGCGCCTCTTTCGCTCTTTCCCCTCTGGCTACCGAGCGCGATGCAACGGGTAAAACGATGTTGGAAGAAAGCATCGGACGCAGAGCTGGAAGAACGAAACCGGGGAACTCCAGGGGAGGAGATGGTAGGGCTGAAGTGTTGCGGTTGCAGAGGATTGGTGCAGCATTGGGGTTCGGGGATGCGGGACAGAGCGAGGGAATTCAAGAGAGGGTTGAGAGGATTCTACGAGGTGAAGGGTTGAGAAGAGATGATATTGATGAGCATGGCACTTCTGCTTATCAATCTCCTGATATGGGTGGAGGAGGATATACGCCATTCCCACCCGCGTCATTCGAAAACAATGAAACCATGGCTGCGTTGTTGTCATCCGCCACCAGAGCCACACCGACGAATGCTGGAAACATCAATCCGAGAAAACGACCACTACCCACCGATCTTCACGACACCGCGTCACCGTCAAATCTCCTCCCCATCTCTCAACATCTGAGCAATATGCATGCTGCTTCTGCATCGCCACAACCACCGAGCAATGAACACAACAAACGACTTAAACATGCGGAGTTGTATCTGGACGAAGCTGATTTCGATTTCGTGTGTTCGGCTCAAACGCCCAGGGAAGAGAGATTTGCGGCGTTGGTGGAGAGGTTGGCTAGGCTTGTTAGATTGAGGGATATGAGGTGATGATGATACTGAAAAGGGAAAGACTGAAACAGGACGGTTGCTGATATGAAGACGGAGTAGAGGCCGCTTTACAAGATGAGGAAGGAGCAGAAGAGAAAGAAGAGACTCTGAATTACTTGTCGAGCCCTCGAGGTCATGGGAAGGATGGGATGACTATCATGAATTTATCACACACAAGAGATGCATGACATTAGAATCGAGGTTATCATCCATCGCTCGAACTAATAACCTTGCTTGGTTCGTTCGTCTCGTCCCTTGATGATGAACTTTGTGAATCTTTTGAGAATCCAGAGAAGCAACACACTCTCAGACCATGCAGAGCTCCTTAGCTTTTCGTCATGAACCTATCCTCATGAACAGTTGAGCTAAGTTTAGAATTCGAACACCAACCAAGCTTGTCGCATTTGGATACTTTGTGTATAGAGCTCAGCTATACCGCGCCTTGCCGTATTCTATACTCTTTTTTTAACAATGCGAAATGCAATCCTCCCCCGTTTGCTAAACTTTTGTCCACCTCGACTCTTCAAGTCGCGGCGAATGCGCATGTTCCACCCAATCAAAATGCACGATAAGTTTTGGGAAAAGAGCGCGCCGTCCACAGAGAGCGACTATTTGAAAGCCCTCTCCTTGGGGCCTAGCTCTCCTCTTCTAAAATCATCGTGCATTTTGACAGCAAGTGTCGGTGACAGACTTTTGGCACAACACGGGGAGGAAACATCATGTTCATCTCTACTTCTTCTTTCCCTTGGTCTTGTCCACAAACTCCACCCAGGCAGGTCTGACACCCCTCTTATCCAGCGCTTTCAACACGGCATCTTTCTGCGGCCCTTGGATCATGATCTCCATAACAGGCGCTTTAGGACTACTCCCATGCAATTGCTCCACACTACTACTTCCCGCACACATTTTTCTCAACTCATCTGCAAGTGCTTGAGGTGGGATGAAGTAGACTTCCACACCGGAGATTTTGGTCACGGTTTTGTTGCCCGAGCGTGTTTCCAAGGTAATTTTTATCTTCGGGGCGGCGCCGGATTTGGGTTTGGTGGTTGGGTCGTTGTTGCGGATGATGGCGTAGTGGGGTGTGCTGGCTTGAAGGACGCGGTCGATGAGGGCGTCTCTGGGAACTGAACCTTTGGCAAGAACTTCCTTGTCTAGGGAAGTGCTGCCGTCGAAGACTGCATTCGCCAGTGTTGGGTTGAGAGTGATTAGACGTTTGTTCTTTGCGTTTACCAGATTTTCGGACTCGATGTAGGAGGTTATCAAGGGCTTGAGTTCGGCGGCTGTGAAGAGGGAGTGTGAAGTTGCTCCTGCGGATTCGAAGAGTGGCAGCATGCGTTCTTTGAGTTTGTAGTATTGGAGTTTTTCTAGCTTTTGGCCGATTGAGGCGTCAGAGGTGTCGAGTTCGGAGGTTGCTTTGTTGCCGCGACCGAGAGCTGTGCCGGCTGCTGTCTCTTTCTTGGGAAGGCGGTAGGGTGTGAAGTTTTGGATGGAAGCGTCGTTGAAGTCGACGTCGAGGATGATTGTTTCGTGTTGGTCTCTTTCTTTTGTCTTGACAATCTTGGCCTTGTCTAGAGACTTGATGAACTTCTTGATGTTCTTGTAGCTTGACTTCTTTATTTGCAACGAGTTTGCTTGTTCGGGGGTATATGCTGGAAGGAAGGGCTGGACGAGGGTTGACATGACGAAGGATTGAGTCAAGGGATATTCGAGACCAAAGTTTGGTTGGTTGCTGTTGGTTTCCTTGTAGTGGTAGACACCGTATAGGAAGGCTTTGCGGAAGGCATCGTCGATTTCTGTTGTTGTTAGTGTATGTCAGACATGATATGGTGAAAGTAGACACTTACCCTTGGTGGTCATGTCCTTGATTTCAACCTTCTCGACGAGGCCATCATCTGCGGAAGCATCCTCGCCTAGGCCTTCTGATGGGTCTGGCCGTTCGGCAGGAGACTTGTCCAAGTTGACGCCCCCTTGATCTTCGTCATCATCGTCGATATCCAGGTCGGCGGCCTGCTCAACCAACTTCTCTTCATCGCCCTTGCTGGCTAGCCATCCTTGGATAGATTCTGGCGGATTGAGGCCAGCCTTGTTTGAATTGCTGTAGGACCACATCTCATCACCAGCCCAGTGCATTGTCTGGACGGCATGCCCACGGGAGCCCTGGACGGCACCGAGCGAGCTGATGTCGATCAGACAAGCTCCAACAGCTACGGGTACTGATGGTTGCTCAAGACTTGCAATGGCGACGACAGCTCCCTTGGTGGCCTTCTGGTTGAATGGAGGACCGTTGGCGAGACCAGGAGTCATGAGGTCTGCGCCACCTTGCAATTTCTGCACGACGAAGCCTGGTGTGTGTAGCAGAGGGACAATACCGGGTTGTTTCCATAGAGTGTATACGGTGGGATACATGCGATCCTCAATCTTGAACCAGAGTACTCGGGCGTCATCTCCGGGTTGTGATCCAACATAGACAGTGCCTGAGACTTGCTTGAGGTCGGGCCCATGTGTTGTTGTGAATCTTGCAGTCTGCACTCCATCAGGCAGAAGGGCGTTTCTCAAGGCGGTCGTTTCTGCAGTGGCGGCTGCTTTGTCTTTGACCTTCGTATCGTCCTTCGCTGTTGGTTGGAGGTCATACTCGGCGATGATGCTGTCGGCTGTCTTGCGGCGATCCGATGAGCGCAGAGGGGCCAGAGGCTTGACCGTCGGCTTCTTCTTAAACATGGTGATGTTGGAGTCTGTGTATTGTATGTGTTTCAAGTGTGTTTCCTTGACTTGTCATGGCAACTTTTCGTCATAGCATCACATGCCTTATCGATAAGCGTTTCCGCCGTCCACTTGCTCCCTGCACCCCACCTTCTGCATCAACTTACTTCTACTTTCTGACCTCCATCTCATCACATCAACAAAGACTGTTGTCTTCAACAGCGAGCAGTCTATCAGCATCCATCACCTTGCAGAGTTCGCCCAAGTGCACACCGCCATGACCAGATAATCACCGAGATACTAAGCTTGATAGTCTTGACTTGCATACCAACGCCACATCCACAGCCACTCCTCTGTTGTGATTGGTTCAGCCATCCAAAGTCAACACGAACCGCTTTCTACGAGCACCATCTTGACTCTTCTAGGCTACTCTACTTCGACTGCCGCTGTTTTACGCAACGCTTGTGCATCCTAAAATGACGTCCAATGCGGGGAAGCTCACTGTGGAGGGGCAGAGACCGAGGAACAAGTCCATCTGTCTGCCGAACCTTGCTACCATAAAGCATGTGCCATCTGCTCTTACAAGGTGGGTCCATCTCATACTCTCAATCCTAAACCAAATCATCATGGCCGCTCCCAAAAGCACTACAGGCACCCGCCTGACCCAAATCAAGGACTTTCTGACCATGAACAAGACTGCGAGTCTGTCCATGCCTTTTGATCCAGACTCAACCATCTTTCCTACTCGCAAAGAGTTACCCAACATTCCTGGTGCACCAGAAGGAGCTGCATGGGTATGGGGTGAGAATGACAACATTGGTCGTCTCAATCTATTGACTCCTACGAGAGTTGCTGCTGCTGGAAAGGAGATTAAGAGTGGTGAGATTGTGCCCGTCAACCTACCTCTCAACACTCCAGAGGTTCCTGCCTTCCATCGCGAGCAGTTCAAGCATGAAATCAAGACGCTTGCAGAAGACGTTGCCTACGATGACTGCTACCATCTGAACACGCAGTCGGGTACACAGTTTGATGGCTTCCGTCATTTTGCACATATCCCTTCTGGCACATTCTACAACAATACCAAAGGATCTGACATCGTCGGACCCAATGCTAACCACAAGTGTTCAATTCATCATTGGGCTGTACATGGTATCGCTGGACGCGGCATTCTTCTCGACTACCGTGGATATGCTCACCGTAAAGGCATCAACTATGACCCTTACGAGTACTACCCCATCTCATTCGAGGAACTCAAGCACTGTGCTGCAGACCAAGGCATTGACATTCGTCCGGCCGCTGAGGGTGGAGATATCAAGATTGGGGACATCTTGTTTGTACGCACCGGTTGGGTCGAGGCTTATCACAGCAAGTCACCCGCTGAACGCAACGAACTGGCTGTCAGACCACACGCTCTAGGCAAGGATGATGGACAAAGATTTGCTGGACTGAGTCAGGAGGAGCGTATGATTGACTGGCTGCACGATTCCTACTTCTCAGCTGTCGCTGGCGATGCTCCTGCATTCGAAGCATGGCCAACACATGAAGGTAAGCGATATCGCAATATGAGAGTGGAGATGAATTAACGTTTGAGCAGAATACCATCTCCATGAGTACATCCTCGCACTCTGGGGCATGCCTCTGGGCGAGATGTTGGATCTGGAGAAGCTATCGCAGACATGTCGTGAGAAGAACAGATGGACCTTCTTCTTTACTGCTGCTCCAGCCAATGTGCAAGGTAAGAATTCGGACCACGCTTTGAGACCCTACTGACGTTGATATCTAGGTGGTGTAAGCACACATGTCAATGGCACTGCGATCTTTTAGTCTGCAACTTTCTCGGTGCGAGAACATGATTGACCTGCTTGGTATGAGGTTTGGGTTATCAAGGATGATGAGCGGGAAGTGTTTGGCAAGCAGGGGGTCTGCAGTTGCACAAATTCATAAACCCTATCAATCTCATCACCACATCAAGCCCCTTTAGCTCAGTTGGTAGAGCGCGGCACTAGTAATGCCGAGGTCACCGGTTCGACTCCGTTAGGGGGCATCAACGTTTTGTCCTTGATGTTGGAGATGCACATTATCCTTTTGCTCGATGAATCGAAGTTGTGATTATTCTTTTTGTGCCTTCCAAAGTTGCGAGAAACGAGTCTGCGGGAAAGAGCTTCGTAGAGAGAAAGCTCTCGTTAGCAACCAAAGACCCTTGGGAGCTTTGAAAGCTCGGACCCACATCCATCCCGCAACTCCAGACCAAGCAGTTCGCGACTGGCATCATCCAAACCAAGCAACCGTCGCAACTTCGCCGACACAATCTCACCACTCCTCACGACAGACCACAATCCGGAGGCGCATAACACCACGCCCGCTCGCCACAATGAAGTTCCTATCCACCCTCGCCCTCCTAGGCACCGCAGCAGCAACATCCCTCCACCTCTCAATCTCACCCTCGTCCTCCCTCCTCGACCTCTCCACCCTCCCAGCCTCCACCCACGCAACCCTCTCCGGGCCCCCAGGAAAACGCCACCGCACCCCCTTACGCCTGGACAATTCCTTCGTCTTCACAAACCTAGAAGAAGGAGAATACCTCCTCGACATCCACTCTCGCGATCATGTGTTTCCTTCCTTGAGGGTTGATGTACTGGATCCCGTGTCCATCTTACCCGTACATGCGGATGGTGATGGTGTAGCTGCTGAAAAGGTCCAACAACAGGAAACAGTGGTGGTATATCTCACGCATCCGAGCAACAAATGGGACCATCTGGGTGCCAAGATTGCAACTTCTTCCGCTCCTCTGTCTTCAGATGCTGAAGTAAAACTCGCCGTGTCGGCGTTGGGGAAAAGAGAGTTTTTGGAAAAGAGACAGGGCTTTGATCTTCTTTCCTTTTTCAAGAATCCCATGATTTTGATGGGCGTGTTGAGTATGGGATTGGTGTTTGGAATGCCTTATTTGATGGACAACAGTGAGTTTTTTAAACCTTCTCCTTCCTATCCCCTCCTCTCCCTCTATACCACCTCCCCTCCCCCTCTCTTCTTGGAAAACAATTTACTGATATATCATGTCTCCTCATTTCACAGTGGACGAAGAAACAAAAGCCGAATTCGCAGAAATGCAAAAACAAGGTCCTCTAGGAGGTGCAGGAGGATCGGCCGGTGCCGCACAAGCCGTTCAAAACTTCGATCTCGCCGGTTGGATGGCTGGAAAGAGTGATTCTGGTGCTGCGAAGAAATAGAAGATGCGGGAAACTTGTACTACAAACAGGGTATGGGGGTTGAGAAATGGGGTATAAGGGCTTACTCTTTGTACAAACACAACGACCAAGACGTATATTATATCATCAGTATTGGTTTAAGCTTTGAAGAAGTGTGTCGGGTTTTGTTCCTCGTTTTCTGTGATCAGGCCGTCTGTCCTCATGATCGAGTCTGCTGCAAAGGCCGAGACATCGTCAAGTGTCGGGGATGTGTGTGTATGTGGGATATGTGTTTCATCATTTGTTTGCTCTATGCTGGACCCATGACTACCATTGATGCCCCTTTTACGTCTCCATTACTGAAGCAAATGCGGAGAACGGGTTTGATGAAAGGTTTGTATTTGGTACACATCATGTCAGGACGTCAATTGTAATGCTCTTCTTCAGCTTCCGCTTCTCTCAGTTTCTCTCTCCAGATCATGAGTCAACCTCCATGGACTCTCCAGCAGCCTCCGGTTGTGCCGGTGCATCAGCAGCGGGAGCAGCAGCATCGTCATCACCACCGTCATTCCTGTTCTCAAACGTCGTGTCCAACCACTGAGCAATCTGCTGACCCTCGTACATGGTGAAGTTCTCCTCCAATCCACTGACACCCAACGAAGTGTTGTCGACAGTAAGCTCCTTGTCCTGAGGCAGTGACTCGTTGAGTGCGCGCAGAGCGTGCTTGATCAACTCCTCTCTACTGCTTCCCTCGAATTGATCAAGGTTGCGCTCGAGATAGGTTCTTGCCATCTGAGATCTAGCGCCGATACCACAAGCGACCATCTCCTGAGTGATACCTGAAGGTTGGAATTCGAAGAGGTGAGGGCCCTTTGCGTCGACACCAGCGACGAGGAGACCTACACCGTAAGGGCGGCGACCGTATTGCTGGGTGTTTGTCTGAGCGCGGTCGGCAACACGCGAGGTGATTTCTGAAAGCAGGATGGGGCGGCCGTAGGTCAGGCGGGATGAGAGCGATTGCTGTTTCATGAAGTTGCTGAGGACGCGGGCGTCGGAGGCGAGACCGGCGAGGGCGAGGCCATAGTGCGAGTCGACGGGAATGATCTTCTTTTGGTAGGATGAGAGTTCTTCGGCGTTTCTCTGGGGTGGGTGTTAGAGGATGGCGCAGATGAGGGAGTTCAAGAAAGGCGGACCTTCACTGCGGCGAGGACGGCGTGGGTCTTGCTGACGATACCAACAACGACGGAACCTTGCTTGACGGCTTCTTGAGCGTATTCGACCTGGAAGATACGACCTTGCGGCGAGCTATGAAGGATCTGGGTTAATGGGTGTTGATGGATGGCGGATAAGATGGTGGACGTACAAGGTGACGGAGTCGTTGTCGTAGTTGTTGCGGAACATGGTTGCGGTTTGATGAGGAGGATGTGAGTGTCGGAGATGAAGGGCGTATAGAAGGAGGAGTCCAGCGAGAGATGGAAAATGCAATACAAACAACAGAAGGTGCGAAAGGAATCTGTGAATGTTCAATGTCCGACCTTCAACTCAGTCGGCGATGATGGAATGAGCGTAAGGGCCAAAGCTCCCCAGATGCTTGGCGACTTGCGACCGAGAGACGCGCCTGCTCCGCCAACTCATGCGCCGACGACGACAGCGATAGCAATTACCACAGAGATCGACCAGCCGACGGACAATCCACAGACTGTCCACTCTCTCCCAACAAACTCAACATGGCAGGCCTCAAAACCATCATCGCTCTTTCCTTCGTACGCTCCCCACGTTCCCCTCTTTCCAATCCACCACCTTGATGCGCACACGAGACTAACAAGCCTTCAAAGGTGCTGGCCATTGGCTTCCTGCTCGTCATTCTCTCCTCAGCATTATGGCACAACTACCTGCCTCTGCTAGTCGTCGCGACCTACGTTATCGCTCCCGTGCCTAATTGGATCTGCTCACGCGCTCAATCCTCGGATGACTTCATGGACGGAGGCAGCAATGCTGTCGTCGAGCTTGGTCGCTTCATTACCGGTTTCCTGGTCGTCATGGGTGTTGGTGTGTCATTCTCTACGACATGTTGGGTTCATTCAGGTACTAATACACGTTTACAGCTCTCCCCATCGTCCTTGCTCACACCGGCATGATCAATGTCCCTGCTGCCGCCATGTCGATAGCTGGTGGTCTCCTCATCTACTCGACCATCATCAGCTTCTCGCTGTCCTTCCGTGAAGACGAAGAGTTCTAGTCACTTATCAACTCCACCTATATCTAGTCCTTTATACCCAACATCCTCGACTTGCTCATCTGTGAGCCTTTGTATTACCTCTTTCGAACGAAACATTCATGCCGTCATATATCGAGTGTCTCTTTATTGCTACAAAACTGTGCGCTCCTTTTCTTGGATGGTGCTTTAATTGGCTCTAAAAATGTCTTTTGGAGAGATACAGAGCGAGATTCCTTGTCTTTATGCTTCCAGCAATGCACCATGTGTTGCAGCAATTCCCTTGACCGGCACCCACTCCATGCTATTGATGCTCCATATGTCCCTCACAAGCAACGCCATATCCTTCATATCGTCAATCCACCTGTGCATCATCCATGCCAGTCTTTCATCTTCTGATCTCGAACTTGTCTTGAACCTTCTCGGGTACCCTCTGCATCCATTTCTGTGCTTCGGCACCTGCTTCTCCAGCTTCCGCTCTCTTGCCTCCGAAGTTGAACGTGTTGGACAGCATCTGGTTAGCAACAGCCTGCCAGAGTGGTGTTTGCGTCCTGTCGGCCAGTTTCTTTCCCGCTCCTGCCGACATTTCCGCCTTTTCTCCCATAATGTCCACGAAGAAGTTAGATGTCATCAGGTTGATCGCCATGCAGAGCATCAATGTGTTCTGTTGCTTTTTGGCAATGCTGGCAGACATTGATAGGTAGTTCTTCATTTTGAGAATGGGAAGTGCATCTGTTGATGATGCTCTGACGATTTGCACTGCGACCTTGTAGTTGGCATTGGGGTGATTGACGCACAGTGGTTCTACCAGATCCATGAGAGTATTGACTTCATTCAAGTGTGCGCGTCGTGGCCGTAGGATTAGGATCATGTTGAGTGTGGATAGGATGCGTAGATCCTGGTTTGCTGCTGCTTTCTGCCCGGGCTGTAACGTTAGAGCTGGGCTTCTGTAGAACTGGAGAGCGGCGTCCAAATCTCCTGTCGCCTGCTTGACAACGCCAAGCAAGTACAGCGCCGATACCTGTACAAAGTCTTGCTCGTCGATGGTGTCCGAGTGCATGTCTTCTGTCAGTCTATCCAGCACTTCTTGAGCTCCTTCCCAGTCGGCACGCTCGCACCTGAATGAAGCGAGCAATTGAAGACACACTTTGTGATAGAACATGCGTCGATCCAGATGTGCAGACGAGCATTGTAGTGACTGGACTTTGCGCTCATTCTCAGGATTGTAGTCGTCTGAGAAATCTGGTTAGCATCTCTCAAGCGTACAGCACAAGTGAAGCACTTACTTCGTGTGAGTTTATCGCCCTCAATCACATACTTCTCAGCCTTGCGATCAACGATGTTCTTACTAACACTGGCCAAACTGCTGAAGATGTAACCGAGAGCGAATAGCTCGCTTCTGCGTAACCACTGGAAGACGATGGCGCGTCTTCCTTCGGCTGTTCTTTCCATGACGCCGCCTGTGTCAAGGGAGATGTCTTCCGGCGCGCTATCTGTCGTCGGCACGCAGAAAGATCCATCAGAAGCAGTCTTCCTCTTGCCACCATCCAGCGCCTTCTGCATAACGTTCATTTTCTCCATTAGCTGGTCGGGTTTGCCGTTTATCAAGTCGCTGCATAAGTCCAGGCAGTCGAGCAAAGCTGCGATTTGAGATATGCCAGCCACATCACGATTCAACTGGTGAGTACGAGCTGCCGCTAGAGATCTTTGAAAGTTATCCGCCGAATCTGCTTGCCCACTCCTCAAATGCACTAACGCTTCCAGGGCTGAGCATGTGGCAAGTATCGGGTACTGTCTTTGCTTCTCCGCTTGTTGAGATATACGTCGTAGATGTTGCAAGGCTCCGGATAGGTCCGGGTGTGGCATCTGGAATGAGAATGACACCCGTAAGAATCGGAAGACGTACATCCAGGGGTAGTGAGCGTATGTTTCAGTAAGCTCAATCATCTGATCCACCATCTTGAACGCCGATCGAGGATGGGTACGGAACAGTGATCGGGCCTGAACATGTTTCATACTGTATTTCAGATCGACCAGTCTGTTGCGCTCGCATAGCGCAATACCTCTGGTTAATAAATCCTGCAACTCTCCGTCGTTTTCCGTCTCTTCAAGAAGCAGATTCGCATATCTGAGTTGGAGTCGCGCTTCCATTTTGGGATCCGGAAATTTCCAATTCTTCAGCACTGACTCCATGCAACCAAGACCAGCAGATATGAGGCTATAGTACTGTTCGACATCTGCTTCTTGGGGATTGCGAGCGAGGTACGAAGACATTCCGTGAGCCTTGCTTATATACTGGTCGGCCAATCCTAGAAGGACAGGTTGCAAGTCTATAGCTGAAGGTTCTCGCGGAGCAGAAACCGGCGTTCGAGAAGTCACCGGTGTGACCTGATTCTGTGATGACGGTCGTCTCGTCTCTATGACCACTTGCGGAGTTCGAATCTGCGATGACGAACGCTGCTGCGATCCTGGCTGTGTTTGAGAACTAGACGTCGGCTGCTTAGATCGAGACTGTGGTTGAGGTGGTGACATCGCATACTTGGGCGCTTGAGGGGTTGCGCTAGGTTGAGGTTGAGGTTGAGGTTGAGGCTGACTAGGGACTCCGTTATGCGACTGCATAGGAGATTGCGTGGGCTGATGGTGCGATTGAGAGAATGGCCTAGCATGATTCTCTTGGTGCTGCGGTCGCGACTGGTTTTGCATCCCCGATGAGGTGCTGGACATAGGACGTGGATGAGGTGCTGGTCCAGTTGTGGGATAATTAGGAGTTTCTTGTGGGCGAGGTCGCTGCTGACTTGATGGCGCATGCTGTCTCTGGTTTCCCTGTGAGTGGCGCGGTCCTGGAGAAGAATGATCCGGGGCACCATCCAACTGATATGCTTGGACAGTTTGAGAATGCATGTATTGTTGCGGTTGTGGTTGACGTTGTTGGGCTTGGTGTTGTTGATTTACCAGCATTTGTGAAAGTGATTGTGGAACTTGCTGGTGAGTCTGGTAGGAAGGTGTCTGTGGTTGATATTGTGCTTGAGACATGGAATACTGAGGCTGTTGCATTACCTGCCCCATGACGGGCGCTCCGGGAGATGCCATGTACGCCTGGTTCTGGTGTCGTCCTGTTTGTCCGTTCATAGAGTATTGCGGTTGCATGTTGTATCCTCGTCCAGGTGTCGAAGGTGTTGGCATCATATTCATAGGATGATGTTGATATCCAGTCCCTGCAGGCGGCGGCGGGTAGCCGTACATGGCCTGCTGCTGCTGTTGCTGTGAAGGCACTCCATAGCCTCGTCTGGCATCGAATCCATTATTGTTGCTATTCGGATTGTCCATTCCCGCCCTTATCTCAACAATAGCTTTCCGGTCTCGAACAATCACATGAAAGACTGTCAAGAATCAATTAAGAAACGCGCTATTCGGAGAAAGTACGCAAATAGTCTTGGCAGCCGAGGCAGCAATCTCAAGGGCTCGTCGTCGCGAACAGAAAACACTGGTGCACTTGGGCAAGTATTTCTTGCTATACTTTTTGCATCTTGAAAACACCAGATAGACCAATGCTCTTGCTGGAGAATACACATGCTTCGCGATGATTTCTCGATGTAGTCGACATAGCCGAGATTGATCGGAGGTGCCGGGCCCGCTAGAACCCCGTCACGGTATGACGACGATCCGTGAGCGTTCTACCGTATTACTACTATCGGCGTATAAATAGGTACTATCAACGTCCCCTAGATCCAGATTTGCTTCTTGCTTGTCCCACCACACTCGTTGACAGCCACCTATATAAGGACCAGGACCTGGAGACTCGATTGACCGGTCCCTAGCAAATCTAGCCCTAAAATCTCAACATCTCTAACCCTATAGAAAAAAATCCATGGATCTCTCGTGGATACTGGGCCATGCCCGTGTCTCGTTCCATCACTCGAAGAACACGATTTCTCTGGCCTCAAAATCTGGAAAGACTGCTCTCTCTGATATCTGCAAGGCATCCACCCCTCCCTGCAAATTGAACCCTCTGCTCTTCAATGGCCATTTGCACACAGCCTGGACAGCCGTAAAGGCCGCTGGTCCTCCTATCGTCTACAAGCGCCAAATCTTCGAATCTGATGACCCGCGTTTTGCTGGAACCTTTGCCGTGGACTTTGTCTCTCACAAGCAAGCACCGGAGGAAGATCCCACCTTGCCCCCGCGCACAACTTATTTCACCGAAGATGAGTTTGCAAACATTGGCAGTGATGACACTAAACCCATGTTGATCACTCTACATGGACTCAGTGGTGGCTCGCATGAGATCTACCTCAGACATGTATTGGAGCCTTTGGTGGATCAAAGTGAACAAGGCGATTGGGAGGCCATTGTCGTCAACAGTCGTGGCTGCGCTATGAGCAAGATTACTACCGGTATCCTGTACAATGCAAGGGCTACTTGGGACTTGCGACAGACGGTCAAGTGGTGCAGAACGATGTATCCCAACCGTCCGCTTTATGCGATTGGTTACTCTTTGGGTGCCAACATTCTTACAAATGTACGTAGATGTGGTCAAGGTCTCAATAAAAAGGTTGTGTGTTCTAATAATTTGCTCTGCAGTACTTGGGTGAAGAAGGTGATGCGTGCGAATTGCAAGCTGCTGTTGTTTGCTCAAACCCCTGGAAGCTCGAAGTTGCGAGTCTTGCTCTGCAGCGTACCTGGCTTGGTCTCAATGTTTACTCGAAGACCATGGGAACCAGCATGAAGAAGTTGTTTGCACAGTAAGTCGCTCGCTGTGAGAGACAGTAGTCTCTGATGTTGATCAATCTATAGGCACGCAGATCAAGTGGTCAAGAACGGTAATATTGACCCAGAGAGGGTTGCAAAGGTTACATATTTGCACGAGTTCGACAGAGAAATCCAGTGCCCTACTTGGGGTTACCCAACAGAGTACGCATACTACCGAGACGCATCTTCGGCAGACTCGGTCACTTCCATCCGCATTCCAACCTTCGCCATCCATGCTGAAGACGATCCTGTAAGCCCCCATCTTCATATTGATTGACCTGCACAGTGCTGATCGTCGTGTCCAGATCGCCGTGGACGAGGCTGTTCCTTACGAGGAGATTAAGCAGAACCCATACGTTGTCATGTGCTCGACTTCGACCGGTGGCCACTTGAGTTGGTTCGAGGTTGGCGGCACAAGATGGTTTTCCAAGCCGGTATGATTTTCTTTTGGGTGACTTCGGATGATTGAGATGCTGACTTCAGTACAGGCAGTCAACTTCCTCCAGAAGATGGCGCGGGAATACGAGACGGCCAGAAAGGACGGGCCCACGGGCACTTTGTCTGAGATGACCAGGACAGCAACATCCAACACTGGATTCAAGAGTCCGTTCGTGTTTGAGCCGATGCGTAGAAAGATGTACCTTCCGGAACAGAGTATAAAGATAGATGCATAGACGTGGGTATCGTGCGCGGAAAACAGACAAATAATGCAAGGCAAGCGATTGCGATTGCAATCAACCGAATGCAACTCTCTTCTTCTTGGGCTTCTCGGCAGCGGGCTCGGTCTCATCGGCCTCGGGCTTGCTGCCCTTCTTGTTCTTCTTTCTGCGGAGATCATCCTTGACTCCCTCCTGTGATGTCGTTAGTGGCGTGATACACTCCGGGAATGTTCAGAAGTCTTACCAGCTTCTCCTTGCGACCAGCCTCTCTCTTCTCAGCCTCGGCCTTTCTGGCCTCACGGATCTCTTCCATCTGACGAGCGCGGATCATCTTGCTCTCAATGTTTCCCTCCTTCTCAGCCTGGACCATGGCGAGGATGGTCATTAAAGACTCCTTGTCGTCGACAAAGGTCTTGCCCTTCTTGACACCATTGGGCTTCTGGATTCCAGCAGGGCGAATACCGTTGAGAGTGGGGATGTTGAGCTCCTTGTCGGTGTAGACGCGCTTCTTCTTCTTCTGAGGACCGTGGGATGTCGACTTTGTCTTTTGCTCGACAGTCTTGGGCTTGGGGCCGGTAGGCTTCTTCGGTCTGACGCGGTCGCCAGACTTGGAGGCGGACTTGCCACCCTTGGCTCCACCCTTGGAGGGGGCTCCCTTTGTTGGTTTCGAAGGTGCCATTGTGATTGTGATGTGTCGGGTATGCTGTTAGTATGGCTGGCTGCTTTCCGAGTCGAGAATTTCCAGATACAAGTCCTGGCAGAACAAAATATTGCCAAGATATTGGGGAGCGGGCGGTGAACGGCCAGACCTCCGGGCGCCGACCTCCGCGATCGCGACTTGCGACAGCGTCACCCAGCGTGAGGCCTCCACCTTTGCGTTATCTCGACCAGTATACCACCTCAAGTCGCTCTCTATATCTACCTGTCGCCATGTCTAGCGAACGCGTCTTCCGTCTCCCTTTCAAGAAGCCGCAATGGATGAACAGCGCGACTACCCGCACAGCTGGCGTCTACTTTGCCGGAGCCTTGGTATGCCTGCCTCGGGCTTGGTGGTACTCGAAACACTGCTAACAGGCTTCCTACAGTTTGCCATCGCCCTCTTTGTCTTCATTGATGCCGCCGTCTACTCCAAATCTTCGCTCAATGGCTCCGACGTACACATGACATTCATCGACTGGATCCCCGTCATCTTCAGTGCCCTCGGCATGCTCATTGTCAACTCGATCGACAAGACCCGCCTCTCTGCTGATAACTTCAGCTACAGTGGTGATGGTATCGCTTGGAAGGCTCGTGTTGTCTTGTTCATGGGCTTTGCTGCTATGGCCGGTGGTCTTGCTGGTGGTGTCACCGTCATGGTCCTCAAGTACATTGTGCCACAATACTCTTTCCCTACCCTCTGGTTCGGCGTCGCCAATGTCATCGCCAACACTCTGGTCTCGCTCAGGTATGCTGTCTGTTGTTTCTACTCTTGGTCCAATGACTGATCACGTTCTCAGCTCGGTTGTCCTTTGGGTCTCGCAGAACATGGAGGACGACTACACCTACAACCTACAGTTGTAGTAGGCTGTATGCATCTGGGTAGTTTGTCTAGTACTTGGATACTCTTGAATATTATCATCACATGCCCCTTCTCATACTTTTGTGCGTTGCCTTTTGGCAGGCGCGTTATATCCCATCGGATTGGTACACATGAAGACCATCGCTACGCATCTAGTTGAAATTCACACGTCCTTGATCTTCTCAAGCCCGCGTCAAGTGGATACTGTTCTTGGATACTGTTCTTGGTATGTCGTCGCTCAAGACGTAGATGAGCCTAGGCGGGTCGTTGAGGGCAGAGCACATCTCAGCACTGCGCATTTCCATGAAAACGGAATATCGACAGCGAGGACCACAAATAGACCATACGTTTTCAAATACAGCATATGAAGTGACTAAGCGTTCACAATATGATGCCGTGTGGTCTACTCTCTCCATTATCGTGCTTTAACATGGATGGAGTTGGATGATAGATTTTGACAGGGTTATCCCACTCACAAGTATGACGCGAAGGCGGTGAGGAGCTGCAATCAATCAATTCCGCGTTTGGCAATGCATCAACATCGCAACCAACACACCCATCAGTCTTCGTCAAACGACAACCAAACCATCGCATTCATATCAATCTATAACCATCACCAAGAAAACACAAGCCACCATTCACCGAACACGAGTAATCAACGTCATCGCAACCCTGCGCTCGGCGAAAGCGCGACAGACGAACCCAGCAAGATATTTCTCTCTCGATATATTTAATCAAGACATGCCCGCCAAATTCTACGTCGTCAAAGCTGGTCGCAAACCTGGCATCTACAACAGTTGGGATGAATGCCTTGCGCAAGTCAGGGGTTATAAAGGCGCCACCTGTCAGTAGTCATCAGTGCACCGAGCGACAAGCCAACAACATTACTGAAACCCAAATCAGTCAAGTCATTTCCACAGCTCACCGAAGCCCAAGCATGGCTGAATGGCTCGGATACGCCATCTACATCCTCGTCGACGGTATCTAGCAAGCCTGGCAAATTCTATGGAGTGCACAAAGGCCACAAGCCAGGCGTCTACACTTCATGGGCAGACGCGCAAAACACCATAGCAGACTTCAAGGGAGCTGTCTACAAGTCGTTCAAGACACAAGCCGAAGCAGAAGCCTTCTCCCGAGACGGACATGCGCAAAAGAGGCCATCAGAAGAGCCATCGCAAACCACCCCTCCAGCAAAGAAGCAAAAGCAGGACACAGACGACTTGGAAGACCTGGTTGAACACGCAGCTGGAGAGGGTCCTCTACCTGACGGTGCCGAGGATGGCTTTGATCCAAGAATTACTCTGAATCCTGTCACTGGAAAGATCGAATACAAGGAGGCTACGACAAAGTGGCAGGCTGTCAATCTGCAAGACGACAAACCTGTTGTCATCTATACAGATGGTAGTTCACTAGGCAATGGAGCTCATGGAGCTGTTGCAGGAGTTGGCGTCTACTTTGGTCCTCAGGACAGGCGGTACGATGGCAGTCTCCAATGCGACATCTACTCTTACTGACATAATTTACAGCAACCTATCTGAGCCCCTCTCCGGTACTCGCCAAACAAACCAACGCGCCGAACTCACCGCCATCCAAAGAGCTCTCGAGATTGCCCCACGAAACCGTCCCGTCACCATCTACACTGATAGCAACTACTCTATCAAGTGTGTGACTGAGTGGTTCGTCAAGTGGAAGGCCAATGGTTGGCTCAACGCTGCTAGGAAGCCCGTCGAGAACAAGGATCTGATCGAGAAGATTCTCAATCTGATCGAGCAACGAAAGAACATGTCACAAGAGATTAGCAACAAAGTCGAGTTCGTATGGGTCAAAGGACATGCCACCAACGAGGGCAACATTGCCGCCGACGAGCTTGCCGTTGCCGGTGCAAGAGAAGCTAGAGAAATCCTCGCCAACCCTGACATCGAAGAGCCGTAGAGCCGTCTTTACCACTCGGGTTTTGCTGCAACACTGGCGCGGTGTGGGGTTTGATCTACACAAATGAGGGGAAAGGGGACAGAGCTCACGACATTATGACTTTAAATAATACATAACGGCCGTATGTATACTCATCATATGCCTCTACGATGCTTGCTGAGAAGAGCTTGGTAAACATCTGTCGGGATTCAGATGTACAACAGCGACTTACCAAGCACATCTACCATTGACAAAGCGATGTGATAATCTTGTCCTTGATATAGAGCGGATAGAAGGACTTCCGAGAGGATCAAGTGGGATTTCGGTCGGTGCTCCGCTCCGACCATGACGTTTCTGCCTTTCCTCAGCGTTTCGGCCCTGCTGTTTCATCCTGGCAAGATCATCGCAATAATCACATCCAAACACCGACCCACGCGAACGTCAAATTGAGCTTCTGCGGGGCCAATTTACGTCGCCGTGGTTGCTGAGCGATCGATGTGCTACCTTTGTGATCGCGACTCCTTCGGCCGTGGCCTTTCCACCGATGGAGGGCAAAAACCCTCGCGGTCGTGCCAAACACAAACAGGTGACGCACCGGCCTGCTCGACCACCTGATTGATCGAGTCAATCACCATTTCATTGCATTTTAAGCTTCAAGGGTTGTGATGCTATCACCGTAAGTCCGTACGAGAGGTATATATACCCCTGGATAGCGCCTCGTGTTATCGCCTCTTCTGCTCTACTAGCTTTTGTATACCGCTCGCCACTTTTTTTCTATCCACCTTCACCATGTCTTCCACTCTCGTCGTCCATCATCTGCGCGTTAGTCAGTCTGAGACGATTGTCTGGCTCTGCGAGGAGCTCGGTGTTGCATACGACTTGAAATGCTACGACCGCGAGCAGACACTTCTGGCGCCAGAGGTGTACAAAGCATTGAGTCCTCTCAAGACCGCACCAGTCATCGAAGACGTCGACACATACCAACCCAACCCTGAACACATCAAGCTGGCAGAATCGCAAGCTTGCGTCGAATGGATTTCCAGAAAGTACGGTCAAGGAAGACTGATCAACAAGCCTTGGGACGCTCACTGGAAAGAATGGCTGTTCTGGTAAGCAGTGTACAGAATGACAATGTGTGGCTACCGTTTTGACTGACTCTAATTTTAGGTGGCACTTCACCCACGGCTCTCTGCAACCCGCCCTGCAAATGAAGTTGCTTACTGCAGCACTTCCCAAGGACCACCCTGGCGCCAAGGTCGCCGACTCAAGAATCGAACACTACCTCCAGCTGATCGATGAACGCCTGGGCAAGTCGCAATACCTGGTTGGCGACGATTTCACAGCTGCCGATCTCATCATGGTCTTCCCGCTCACCACAATGAGAGCATTCATTCCTATGGACCTCGGCGCCTACTCCAACATTCTGAGATACCTGAAAGAGATTGGAGAGAGACCTGCATACCAGCGAACCTTTGAGAAGGCTGAGACGAAGCTGAAGCCCATGCTGGACGCCAACCCTCCTTCTCTCTTCTCCATGTAAAAGTGGCTGAGGGCATGACATGAACGACATATTTACACTTCTCTACTCTTGGATACAATGGCCTGACAAAGGACTTGATTACTTGGCGCATATGTGGGACTCGGGCATAGAACTAGATTTGGCTTAGACAAGGCTACCCTATAGACGTGGATACCATCTTAAACAAGGTGCCCACACCTCTTTTCTGTGAAACTGTTCAAAGACAAAGTTCAATGTATAGTGCCTCGAGCCCTAGAAATCATGTCTCAAACCAATCGGAGGAATACCTGGCAGCCACAAGTATCTCTATTGGTCTTACACGAGTCGTGAACATACCCGTCTGTACTCCCCAGTGCCCACGTAAATAGGCCAGGGCTTCAACCCCCAAAAAGCACTGACCCCTGTCCAATTATCTTGGGCAACACCGAGTAGGTTGTGGTTCCTAAAACGTTGGTTAGTAAGGTCGGCTTTGCACTCGGATGGCTTCAGTCCGCTGACCGAGGAATGCGAACCTTTTTTTCGCCGTTGAAATGTTTGTACAACGCCCGATAGATAAAGCACATGGCTTACCCAACTTGTTCACGGCGACGCCGCGTGCATCACCAATTTATATGGAATATGTGCAACCGTAGAAGGGCAGAAGAAGCTTGCTGGATCTCGCCATGAACCTTGTCTTAGGAAGATCAACCTAAGCCTTGCCAAAGGTTTCGGCAGTCCACGGAGAATGCACCGCGATACTCACAACACGACTACATCCGGGTGCTGTACCCATTGGAATCAATCGCCAGCTCACTGCTGCCATCTCAAATGCCATCACGCTCGAAATTATTATGCCGCGGACGCACCGAATCGTCTTTATCGAAGTGGCAGCGCCTCTCTCACGCCTCTGAGTCGTAGAACGATGTGTTCCTCCACTCAACGCCCAGCCAAGTGCCGAACGGTTGTCTTTCCAGTTATACCGTTACCATGTCTGAGCCCTAACCGGAGTTTCTGTGCGAGCATTCCATCAGAGGATTGTGAGTATAGTCTTATAAGTATGTAAGTTGGGGAGTTCTCTGAGAGGCTCTTCTTTCTGCTTTTCATATACCCTATCTAAACCTCGTTCAACTCACATACATTCTTTATACTGCCCTACAGGCTTGACATTCTTTTGATCATAATTAATACTATACACTCTTTACACAAGCATGGCCCCCGCCCCCTGCGGCTTCTTCGGCCTCTTCTGCGACTCAACTAGCGGAACTACTACATCGGTCTCTACCTCATCATCTTCAATCATTTCTTCAACTACTTCAACAATACTCTCATCATCAACATCAAAGGTTGTGGCAGCCTCGTCCACTTCTTCCGCAGCACCAGTCTCTACTCTTAAGACATCAAATGCTGGCGTCTACTCAAACTGCTACTACAACATCGATGGAGTAGGGGAGTTCAACACGAGATGGGTCGCAGATTGGACGACTGGCGCCACACAGGATCTGACAGGCATTGTCTCTTCAGCTTATACCGTGGGAACTCCTAGCACCTCATCTACTACAACCAGCAGCAAGATCAAGAGAGGTTTGGGCAGTCTCTTCTCCTTGTTTTCCAACTCTCTTTCATTCAGAATCGTGCCTTCATCAACAAAGGCAGTGACTTCGACGGTCAACAGCGCTGTGGGATCTACAGTTGGCACAGTGGGGTCCGTCGTCTCTGGTGTAACAACTGGAGCCACGGCAGCAGTCGCAGCGGTAGAGGCATCTTTGAGCTCAAGCACCCAGCTCTATACTCAGTACAACGACATCTTGTATGGCAGTGTCAGAGCTGTTATCCTGCTGAGTAATGCCACCGGCTTCACTTCATTCAGAAGTGATACCATGGAGATTGACCTTAACTGGTTGAATTACCACTCTACCTACGATACCACTGCTGTCTCTGATGCATCTACAGCATGGCACGAGTACCGTGTTGACTGGCTACCTGGAGCTACCAACTACTATATCGACTCCAAGCTCATGAGTAGCACAACCAGCGAGACAAGTCCTGGTCTATGGCTGTGGAATGCTTGGTCTGATGGCAATGACGACTCTGTCTTCCAGATGCGCAGTATCGATGCTTACTTCAACCGCACATCTGTCACTACAGATCTTGCTAATGGGGTTGCTGTCTGCAAAGAGGTCAACGTTGCCACTGCTGCTGCGTCATCAGTGGTTGATACTGCCACCAGCCTGGTTGGTACCGTCGCAGGAGCAGCAACTGGAGTTGTTGGCGGTGTAGTTGGTGGCCTCGTAGGCGGTTCGGCCTCAACCTCGAGTTCGTCGGTCACCCCTACTCCTACTCCTGCGCCCACCACTCTTAGCACCTCGGCCAAGGCTCCTTCGCTCTCTGCCCAAGCCACCGTCTCTTTCACGACTATTAGCTCAGCTTGGACTGGCAAAACTACCTCGACGACAACTCAAGTCAACGGTCTCTCCGCCACCGTCATTGTCCTCACACCTGGTGTGGTAGCCGCAACCACCTCCTCTTCCACTTCCAGCTCAGGCGGCTACGTCTACATGACCACTACCACCGACTCAGGCACATTTACCGCAGTCCAAACCAAGACCTTGCTCCCCACCATTGGCACAACAGCCACCGTTCAAATCATCTACCCCACCCCCGTCACTACCTGCAGTAATACTGGCATCGCCTACGCCGGCTACACAAACTCCTTCGCCGGGGGCCAGGCGACCTACGGCTACCCCAAGTTCACCCCCACCGTCTACAAATCCGCCAAACCATCTCAAACCGGCATCACAAACTACATTGCCGAAGTCAACAGTGGAAGCACGGGCGCCAATGTGGCATACTACGGCCGCACCACCACGACCCAAAATTGGGTCATCGATCATGTGTTTTATCTTTTCGCAAGACAGGATGGTTATTATTCTTTCAACATCCCTTATACGGATGATTTGCAGATGGTGTGGTATGGAGATAAGGCTGTTAGTGGATGGACTAGGGACAACGCGGATATTGTGCAATTCTGGAGTTCGCAGATTGCTGTGCAGACGCCGCAGACTATTGCTGTGTACTTGACTACTGGCAGTTATCTTCCTCGTAAGTACCTTCCCTCCCATATCGCTGACTGAAAGGGATGAAAGCTAATATTATCTGAACAGTGAGAGTTATGTTTGCTAATGGTGGTGGCGCCGGTGAATTGGATTTCAACATCTATGGACCGGATGGAAGTACTATTCTTGCTTCGAATAGGGGATTGGGTACGGGAAGTTCGTCGATTGATATCGTGCAGTTCCCTTGCGATACTACCCAGGGCAAGAAGTTCCCTGCCTGGGGCGCTGAGACTTGATCTTGTTGTTGACTCATGCCGTTCTGGCCTTCTTCTTCTGCTCTCATCATACGCTTGTTTCTTAGCATACTCTAATCTTCTGGCCTTTTGGGTCCTACGAAGTCAACACTACTCTTGTTATCATGGTCAAGTCAACGAAATACTTTCTTGAAGATGGTCGCACATGTGGAAGTCATACTTATCATTTCCTGTCTCCAGCAGAAGAAAATGGCTGCTCCATCTTCATACTCCCTTCTACCAAGACCACCCGCATTGGCCTGCCACTCACCGATTCGACTGCTGAACATACCACGGGAAAGTTCCTTCACAGCGTTTGCCACAGGTTCTTGAACCTCTTCTATTTGGAAGCAACTCCTCAAAATCTAGAGAGGTACTTTCAAACATGTGCAAAACAGACCTCATTGGCATTTTTGGATGTTCCGATACAAAGCTACCTCCTCTCTTCCTACATCCTCTACGAAACGCGCCACAATCCCACAAATCAATAGTCTCGTTCATCTCGAAGCTGCTCCCAATTCTTCTTCACCCGCAGCAATCCCGCCATCTGTTTGATAACTTCCTTGTCGTCTTCCTTACTTAACAACTCCAAAGCCTCATCTTCAGTGACCCAGATGGGCGAACGTTGTTTCCCACGTTGTTGTTGCCGTTCTCGTCTCGTCGTTGTCAATTGTATATCACTCGCCCCAAACTCCTGCAACGTCTGACAGGGAAATCTCTCACTGTTTGCTTGTAAGGCGAACCAAAAGGTCAAACACATAATCGTATAACTCCCTTCATCCCAGAGTGAATGCGTTATGGCGATCGGTTCGGTAGTGTACATATCTTCCCCAGGGATGATCTCCTCGTCATCATCGTCAATGTCCATGTCTTCCTCTGCTAGATCTGGGGGTAGTGCCATTGAGGTTGTTGTGACTCCTGTTTCTCGCCTGCTTTCTCGTATTGCTGTGGTGAGGAGGTCTTCGGTCTCGGTCTTTTGGCCTTTGGGTAGTTTGTAGGAGTAGCTGATGTCGCCGGATGCGCCGACGCGGTTGGCGACTATGAGGTAGAGGTTTTTGTCTGGGTCGTGGATGACGCCGCCGCAGTTGATTGAGAAGTTGCGGGAGGTGTAGACGGTTGTTTCGGTATTGGATTCAGGCATGTTGAGTTTGTGTGGGTTGCAGGTCGACGGAGTAAGGTACAAAGCGATGGGAGTAAGGTAGACGAGGGCGAGCGTTTATCTAGCTGTAGTCAATCCATGTCAAATCATGTCAACCTGTTTGCTACCACCAAGCAGAAGCACTGTGCTACCCGATGAGCTGGCCTCCTGACAATGGCTCTCAGAGGCGGTCTGTAGTCTGTGGTCAGACAAACCTGCTGTCATGCACACACTCAAGTAGCCTCGAAGCCAACGGACCTGTTTGTGATGCCACTTGAACGCAGATTGTCAAACAAGCCAGCTGCCCCATCTACCCAAACTTCGGCTCGATCAGGCTCTACTGTATGGTGTACACTCGGCTCGAGTCAATGTCAGCCAGCTATCGCACCAGCACGACGAAGCTGGAGGTCATGCGTGACAGCACATCCTCATAAGGCCAGGGGCTCAGGGGCGCAGTCTCCAAGGCCCAGGACACAAACAGTAGCAGAAACGTGTTACTCCTCCCAATGAGCGTGAGACTCTCAAAAGTGCCATCAAAAGGCACGATCTTATTCAACAGTACAGCTTGTCCAGAGAGAGTGAAACTAAATGTGTCTCTCACTGGACAAATACCGTATCTCGGCCGAAATCATGCCTTTTGACAAGCAGTTCCAGAAGCAGTGCATACGGCCGAGAGAAGGCCTTTTACAGGAGTTTGACTCAGCCGTATAAGGTTCTCCTATCCAAACGTCGTGCTTAGCTCCAGATGCAAGTGATGACGGGAATCCCACTGTGAAAATGCACGAACTTTTTGAGAAACCATAATTTGTCCAGTGAGAGTGATAGATCGGAGCTCTCAATGTATAGTCTCTGAGTCTTCGAGCGTTCTTGTGTCGTATTATGATGACAGGATATGTCTGGCCTGCGTAAGCAGGCCGGTCAGACTCCCATCAAATGGTCGGTTAGCTCAGTTGGTTAGAGCGTGGTGCTAATATCTCATGATGTGATACGCCGAGGTTGCGTACAAAAACGGAAGGTGCGCTTGTACCCTTAGCAAAAGGAAAATCTACTGCATGATAAGTTTGAGATAGTGATATATAGCCCAATAATGCAAAAGAAGAAAATGATGGTCAGTACGGGGGTCGAACCCGCGACCTTTTTACTTCTAGGAGGTTCACTCCAACAAGAGCTGGAACGAAAAAAGTAAAAAACCTTCGAGATGAGCGATAGCGAGTCTCGAGGTTTTTACTTTTGGTTCCGTTCTTTTGGAGTGAGCCGGATAGAAGGAAAATAGAGACTGAATCAAGAAAAAGAGACTGAACCAAGAAGAAGAACAAGTCCATGACCGTGACTCGAGAATTGACCAAGGATTCCCTAGAATTGACCAAAATTGGAGATGAATTGATGAGAAAAAAATACTTGTAAATAGATGGACCAAAAACAAAAACCAATTCCCTTGTATTGACCGACAAACTAACCAAACCCGAGAACAAACCATCTACCGTTAATCTTGACCGAAACAAGAGTTGAGAGAAATAGTCTGACTATGAAAAACAAGACTGACCATGAACAAAAACAAGCACCAACCATGACAAAAGTAAAAACCAAAAACAACCATCCCGTAGATTGACCAAACAACAAACCAAGCGAACCCGTAAATAAACCATACAAAGAACAATTCTTGAATTGAAAAAACAGGTCCGAAAAACACCAATAATCGCAAACTTCAAAACACGGTCAACACATCAAACACTGACCCTGACCTCGACCGTCATCTTCACTTTTGTCATCAACAACTTCTTCCATCATCGTCATCAACCAACAACATCAATCTCTAGACCTCGACGCCACAGAAACTCATGCATCTCTTTGCGCAAACACCATCGACCCGTAGAAACATTGCGCTCATGCATCACAAACAACAAAAACACGTCCATTAATCTCGGCGACCTTCTTCTCCATGATTGCGACACGTCCCTGAACTTGAGAGTCACCCTCAACAATGCCAAATCTCAATCAACAATTCTTCGTTCCTGCCCTCGAGTATTGTCATATTGTCATACTCAAGCACGCATCAACGCTGTCGTCGTTCAACACCTCGACTCGCTCAAACCGTGTCCCTGCCCGTCAATCTCATGGTCGCTAATCTCCTCCCCTAGTCATCTCAGTCCCGCACCTTCCAGACCCTCCCTCTTCCTCTCCCAGCTCAGGCTCAATCTCGCCAACCGCCGCACCCTTCCCTGATACACGCGACGGTCAAACTCAGTTCTACTACTCCCTGCACCACCTCCGAGCCCAGTCTCTACCTATCCTCTCCACGACATGCGTCACGGTCAGAACTTATGCATGCTCCTTTCCATGCCACGCGCCCATCACAAACACCAGGCTCGCGCATGCCAAATCTACCGTCTGACCACCACCAACCTCGGTCTCCGGCTCGCCTCGACCCCTCTACTGCTGTCGCTGACCGCAAAGTTCTCCTCTCTCCAGATCAATCCTTCAGCCACCTATTCGACCTTCCTCCTGATCCGCCTCAGACAACGCCCCTCACTCAGAAAAAGAAAGAGCATGGTCACACAATACAAGAGACAAGGGTCAAGAAGAGTACGGTCAGACCTAGAACAAGGTCATCCCATGACCACGGCTCAAGCCTGCCTCCTGGTCAACCCTTCTCAAGCATCCTCACTTTCACCAGGGTCAAGGTCAAGCTTCAGCTTCCCTCTATAGTTGAAGATCCTTGACAGCCGAAGCGAGGCACAGAGTAGGAAATCTGTAGTCCGTAATCAGTCTCAAATTCCACCCCATCCACCGTCACTTCTGAAATTAAGTGACGACGCCAACCACATCTCAGCCACTCTCTCTCTTGCACTCTTCCTCGCACATCACCTCCCACTCCACCACAACATCCCACTCCTCCATACAACCCACACTACCTATTTACAACATATTTTACACCTATTCTGGTACGTTTTACTGCTATACACATTGCGCACAGAAGCTGCAAAGCGTAGACGACCGGGCACTGCTGTGCGCACACGAGACGAATCGAGCGGCACCTGTGCACATCACCCATACTGTCATTCACTTCCGACATTTTACACCTCACTCGATTCATCCCATCCCGACCCGTTCCTTCCTCCACTACCACCTTCCACCACCATCCTCCACTTTCTTCCTTCACTACCCGCCCTTCACTCTCTCATACGTGGCACGTCTGCCAGCCTTGATCTCCTAGCAACTGACGGTCAGGCGCCTATAGAATCAACAATTCTCTAGGTGTCCCTTCTGAAAAATTTCTGGTACCTTTCCACCAACCCTGACCATCATTTCCATCGAGCTCAGCTGACATGATGCCAGAAATTCGCTCCCTCAAGATGGCGAGATCGGCTTCCACGTCTGACCCCCAACCAAACTCCGACACTCAACCGGAGCACCCGTGTTTCACAGGCAACGAGATCGCATTCATTCAACACAATGGACTCGATGTGCCCACCACTTCCATGATCTCCAAGGTCAAGCACAAGCTCCGATTCTACACGCCAGCACTGTTGCTAGAAGCCAACCTCGACAAGGAAGGAGATCTGGGTTTCTGGGCGCACACGTTCGAAATCTTCGACCAAGACTTCACATGCCCAGAGCCCGGGCATGACCATGACCCTGACCCAGAGAACGACGAAGATGACCCGTTCAACCCCGAAGGCAGCTGGGCTGATGACATGATCTTCACCCACCTCCCTGACACTTCCTGCTCAGGTCAGGAGATGTTGGCTGTCCTCATTGCTAATCCGCCCGAGGATTTCAATTCAGCCACCGAACGTTTTCATCCTCGCGAAGGCTGCCCCTTTGGCCGTGACGCCAGATGGCTTGATGACCAAGATTACGATGAAATCAAGAGTCTCGAGTTCAATGTTCCACAGGACTTTGCTTTCCGTGACCTTGACAAGCAAGAAGATGAAGGCCATTTTCGGTACTACACTCCATACTTGTTGATCAACGCAAGCCGGGAGATGGCGTCCGACCATGAGGACTGGTCTGAATTGCTCTCCGTCGTTCTTGGAAAGCATGAAGCACTTCGACTGCTCAAGCGCCTCGGCTATGGTGATCCCGAGGCCCAATACATCCGAGGCAAGGATCTTGAGAAAGCTCTGACCGAACATGGCGCTTCACAGAAGCTGCCCGGCTTCGAGTTATCTCTTGCCAAAGCTTGCAAGACTCATCCTGTCATAGAAGCTGTCCTAGAACCTGAACCTGAACCTGAGAGCACTGGAGCAGAGGATCAAGTCTCCGAAATCGGCGATTCTGGAGCTGGATCGGTCGTTGACCTCGACAACAATGGCGATGAAGCTCAAGACAAGAAGCCTAAGCCGAAGAAGTCTGGTGCGAAGAAGTCTGGTGCGAAGAAGTCTGGTGCGAAGAAGTCTGGTGCGAAGAAGTCTGATACCAACAAACCCAAAGGTCAGACCCTTCCCTCTGCCAAACGAGAATGCTTGACCCTACGTACCGACGAGTTCGAGCTACCATATCCCTTGCTTCCAATGCCCGCCACCAGCAAGAAAACAAACGATGGATTCGTCTCTTCAGTACCCAAGAATTATACCAGAGCCATGGATCCAGAGATCAAGATAATGTTGGTGGAGGACTTGACCGCCTTGATGGCCATGACCAGTCCCAGGGGAACGGCCTTCGAGGTGAACAAAATCAAGGTCAAGGACCGTGCCGTCTACCTCGGCAACAAATACCCTGCAACTTATTTCACAAACGGGTCGGGACCCCTGACCTGGGCGAACAAGGTCCACGACCAATGGGAAAACCTCATCTCTGGCCGTAAGAAGCATTCACCCGACCTGCGAATGGCTCTCTTTGGTCACAATGAAAAAGATGTAGAAGTTTTCAAGCAGAGGGTACTCGAAGTTTTGACCCGGGCTCACAGCATTGCTGAGGCTCAAGAGTGGGCCGCTACGCGTCAAACTCATCTCAAGAAGCTTGAGCTCGTAAAAGCTCAAGCTCAAGGTCAATTTGTCTACGATGGTGACTACATTCCTGCAGAGTTCCGCATCCCCAAAGACGGTCTACCCATGGATGGCAACGAGGACCAGGTAGAGAAAGCCAAGCGTAAGGAATCAGCTCTTCCTCCTCAGCCGCCTGCCCTCGTACCCACTCAAGGTCAAGGTCTTTCACGCCAACGTCCACCTCCAACACAAACCACTGCTTCTCCTCCGACTCAAGGTCAGGTTCGTCCGCCCGGACCTCGAGATCAGACTTCTCCTCGTACTGGGATTCAAGTACCTGCTCTCCCTTTGAGTCAAGATCAAGCCCCAGCTCCCTTCAAGGCCCAAGAACCTACCCCTCGGCCTTCAGCTCAAGACTCTGCTTTGGCTATCAATGTCGAGCCTACTGATACTGCAATTGATCATGAAGACCAACTCGAGATTGATCTCGCGGCTACTCCTGCTCAAACTAGCGCTCAGTCGTTGAAGCGTCGCCGCGAATTTCAGAGCTCCTTCCACGAGGAGCATCTGCCCAAGAAGCTCAAGACCGAGCCACTTGAAGATCACGACCTTCTTCAGCCCGGTGACCCCAATCAGTCTGAAGATCATGGTCAACTTGTGGCCACTTACAGGTCGACCGTGGCCGACGAGAAGACCAAGGTCGCCAAAGGATGGTCGGACAACTTCCATGACCGTCTAGGTGTTGCGCAAGGAGATTTTACCGCGCAAGCGACCCTGGCCTTCGCCGGATCACCCGCAATGACTAGAGACCAGCGCAAGCTTCTGTCCCAGCTTCAAATGTCTTGTAAGACCCTGACTGCCAAGGAGATCAACGATCACCTAAGCCATCTGGTGCTCACAGCCTTTCACCAGAGTAGTCTGGAGATCAAGGAGACTTTTAGACTGAGCCGCGCCAGATGGATTGTGACTGGCGCCATTGCTGTTTACAAGGATCGCGAGCTCACTGCAGCTCATGCCCTGACCGTCGTATATGTCAAGCACGGCCAACAAGCCATGGATGAGGCAGCTAGAGCCCTGGCTGCATTCAAGGTCTGGTCGCCTGGTGTTATTCCTGTGAAGCAGTTTGGCGATCTCCCCAGCCCTCCGATCAACACATTTCTGCTGGGCAAAGACATCGCTACGGCTATGTGGCCCGAGCTTCTAGTTACCAAAGCATCCCATGTTCGTCGTGCAGATCCGACCAATGAGGAATTGACGAAGATGCCCGACGCAGAAGCAGCCAAGCTTTGGCCGGAGAGTCACAGATCGATCGTGGCCACGGTCATGCAAAAGGACAGAATTTCCGGGGAATATCCAGTGACCGAGACCATTCATGTCGATACTACACAGAGTAGCGAGAGCATAGACAATGCCTTGACCGGCAAGTTCTTCATCAACAGGATCCTGCCGTCGCTGAGAGAAGTTTGGGGTGATGATCTGGATGCTGAAGCTCTGTGGTCAGCAGTCATGACCGACGGAAAGCTCAGGAACAACCCCTGGACAAAACAGGAGGAGCAAGGTTCAACTCTACCTGCCATGCGTAGAGCCAAGATCGTCAAGAAAATGAAGCTCGAGGAAGTCGAAGATGAAAAACCCAAACCATCCGAGTCTGTCAACCCGGCCAAGAAGACCAACCCCAAGAAGGTCAATGAGGTTAGGGAACCCATAAAAAAGAAGGTTCGCGGCAGTGCTAAAAAGAGGGAGCCATCGAGAAAGGCCCCATTCATCATGGATGATGTTGATGCTGATGGAACTGACGCCGAGGACAGCAATACCACGGAGCTCACGGTCAAGGCCAAACGCCCGACTATGGCAAAGAGCACTTCGCGCAAGGCCAAGGCTGCGCTCAAGGCCAAGGCTGCGTCCAAGGCCAAGGCTGTGGAGGATCCCGAAACTGACGACGACGTCCCAATCACGACCTTGGACCTGTCCAAGCTCGACTCTACAAAGCTGGCCACCATCAAGAGACTTGAGACGAGTGCCCCGGGCCTGACGACCTTGAAGCTCGTGACTATGCGTGATGATCCTGAGTTTCCAGACTGGCTGCTTCCGACCGTCAACAAAGCCTTGGAAGCCCGTATGCCCAAGGCCGATGAAGAGCTGGCTACACGCTTTGGTTTCTGAGCTCAGATCTGAATCTAGCCTCAACAGACCCTGACCTTCGTGAAGCTCGAGGTCTGCGATCTTTCTCCTTTTGCCCGATTTCTTATCACATTTGTTTTTTTGTTTTTCTTTCTTATCTAACTCATGAGCTCGAGCTTGCTTAGTCCTCAACGACAAAGCAGAATTGCACCAAGCTCCTCTTGAGATTCAACTTCTCAAGCCATTTCCTTTTCTTCATCCAGCCCACATCACGATCGAGCTTGACCGGCCTGCAGATTGCAGTCAAGGTCAAGGCACACAGGCCATCATCTTATAAGCACATCGGCCCCATAAGTAGCACATCAATCATCTCCTCTCGTACATCTGAAGTATTCTATCGCACGTGTACCGTGACCGTCAGAATCGTTTTACATGTAAGCGAACGTTAAAGGTACAGACTCTTTGATGGGCAGCACAAAGACTTCAAGGATCTCGACGGATAGGTCGTTCCTGTACTTATAATTGACTATCGGTCCGCAGGTTTCATGTCATACCACTACGCACAGGCTAGCTTGAGAGTCAACGGACTTAGTCATGACCACTGGATTCAGCTCAAGCCGTGGGCGAGAACTTTAGTGCCCCAGAAGATCGAGATACAAGGAGGCGAGTTCATGACATTCGAACTGCCCAATTTCTTCTTCTATACTCGTGCAAACAGCCTCGGAATGCACAGCTTGACAATCATCAGTTCTAAACCAATCCACGAATATTCACCCGAGGAGTACGAGACTACGTGTATGGAGACCCTGCTCCAGGTGTTCGTAAGATGGGGGCTCGAGTTGGAGCATTGCCGTCTAGAGAGCATATGGGGAGCATCGACTGATGCTGAAGCTCCTTCGTTCAGTGGCGAAGAGAGAGTCATCATGGAAGGCAAAGAACATACCCAAGCCGCCCTTCCACTACTCCGTGCGAGATTCTTGTAGAAACAAGAAGGATGACTGTAAACTCAACGAGACGACAATGGCGCAAGCAACATGTCTTGGATATTATACAGTTGTTACCGAGCGCTTGAGGCGCAAATTGCTATGGTGAGACATGGTTCGTCAACGACACCAACAAGCCGAGCAATTTTGTCAGTCATCAAAGATCAGACCACTTCTTGCTTCCGTGTGCGATCATACAGAACTCTGGCACGAGAGTGTGTATCACACAAGCCACCCTCTTCGTTTCTCCCTTGGGGATGTGACACATCAACAGCCCCTTTTCCGCGTAATCCTCAGACTCAGCAACAAACATCATATCCTTCTGCAGATACGGATTCACTAGACACCGTTGTCTATGGAGACTTGTAGCCTGTTCTACAAGGTCGCCACGTCGCTCGAGATGACCTTCAAATCGGCAACAATAGTCCTCAGGTGGCTGGAAAGGGCCTGGTTGCACTTTTTGGATTATTTCGTCCGAATCGATTGCTTGCACGGCGTAGAAGCCTATGTAGAAATCTGTTTTTGGTTTCTTCGTAGGCGCGCCATCCGCGAATGTTTCGCCTGTCAGGTATGAACAATACTCTCATCGATTCGTTTGACATCACATACCTGTCCAAGGCTCCTCTTCCACGACTTCGTAATTCTCCTTCGCTTCATACCAATCCGTATTGGCAATCTGCAAGTTGACAAGCAAAAGTCCGGATTCTTCGATCTTCATCCAGAAAAGATCTGGCTTGAGTCTTGCGTCGCCGCCTTCTTCCGGGTCGCCACTATCCAGGTTAACGGCGATTATTCCTTTTTCTTCCCACTCTGCATCTGCAACCACAAGAAAGTAATGGGGGTCAACTTTCTCTTCATCGCAGGTTGCGAGATGGTGCTGAATCACTTCCTTCATTGAGCCAAACACAGTCTCGATCCTGCATTGTACGCGATCGTCTTGCGGTCCATGTTTGTATGTCTCAACTATCTCATTCATCTCCGAATTGCTCGCTTCAAGAATCGCTGGCAGCTCTGATATACAGTCAACTAGACAGTATAAAGCGAAAGTGTCGATTGACATTGGGTTGGTCTGGTATCTTGCCATTTCCGGTATCAGTTCCGGAAGTTTCAAATCGACTTCGGCCATGGTTGTTTGTTGCTGGCTATTCTGGTCTGGAAACTGGAAGCTCTGGAGAGGAAGTCGTCTTGACTTTTGAGCTTGCTCCTTGTCATGCCAAGCCAATCCTTCATGCCGATCAGAGAAGTGTTCCGCGGAGCTGGTGTGATTATAGATGTGTTTTAACCATCCATGGCAGAGAAGTCTCTAGAGATTCTGGCCTCCCCGTGTGCTAAATCTTGTTACACAGACTCTCAAGCCGCAGCGATGCGCATTGATTGACGCATCAAAATGTACGATTGTATTGAGCAACGGCACGTCGTCCACGGAGACTGATTGAATGATTGGTTCACTCTCGCTGTTTCCGTTGCTAAATCTATCTCAATTCACCATTTATGGTGTCATTCAACAAGAGCTGTCGTCTCGTTTCTCATCATCAACAAAGAAGGGGCGAACAGTGGCCGAGCCCGCTCGTTGCTTCCTTAGATCGCACAGATGATCAAATATGCCACAGCTCCTCTGTTACCAAGGCCTGTCATTCACTTTTTCTGGCCCTCAATTTCCAACTACATCACCACATTGTTGATTGCAACTAAGTCATCCATGTACCTCATGACGTCCTTATCACTCTCACGGCTCAAGTTGTCAACCGCCCTCTCCCAAGTTACCCATATGGGCAACGTTCTCTCCACAGATCCATTCTGGTGCAGTTGAAATTGCTCCCAACTTGGACAAGGATACTTTGATGATTCTGCTTGAGCGCCGAACCAAAATGTCTGCTCCAAGTGGTTCGAAGAGTTGATGCGTTGAGTTACTGCGATGGGTTCGTGAGAGGCTTCTTCGGACATGTGCACATCGGAGGTATTGAAGTCTAGGATGTTGTCTTCGCGAAGCCACCAGTCTTCCCTACTTGTCTTCACACGGCTGACAGAAGATTCCTCCACGCTTTGTTCATGTCCGTTCATTCTTGTATTGATCTGTACCATGTCTTCTACCGGAAGTGGTAGGGCGTTTGTGTGAACAGGCAGAAGAGCTGAGTCGACAGATATTCCAGTGATCTCGTAGGTGGAACGCAATGCACAGTCGAGTAACGTTTCGTCAATCCTCTTGCGCCCCTCTGGCAGAAAGTAATCATGAGATATCGCACCACCTTGCATGGGTGTGACGCGTACAATGATGAGGTAGCCTTCTAACTTCGGATCGAAAGTTACGGTACCGCAGGAGATGATGAAGTCTTCGGCTAAAAAGGTAGATCTGGGAGTACACATGATCGTAGCTGGTAAGTCAAGGGACGAAGTGAAAGATTTGAAGCAGAAGGAGTTAGAGACGTCCTTATATCACCATCCTGTTGATGATCGACGGGAAACATATTTGTTTGCTCTGGCCAGGCAAAACTCTTGTGAGACTGCAAGGGCTGGCTCGAGAGGGACTCGCAAGTCTCCCATCACGTGAGTTGGTAAACAGCCGCGATCAACATTTTGGACCTGCATACTGTATGCTATAAACTAATCTAATAATTAGAGATTCCGTTCTGATCATTGCAATCCACCCTAGGTACTGTAAGACCCATACGTACAGCCCGTACGCCCAAACTCAAGGAATCTGCTTCTTCTCGCCTGGCTTGAGCCCCTTCTCTAAATCTAACTTCCAGGGCGGGTTGATGCCATCGTTGAACATGGCGTCCGTGACATCTTGACACCAGTCCTGCTGTGCCTCCATACCACGTGCCTCAAAGTATTTGAGTGCAAACACTAGAGGCATGAATGTTGCAAAACGACCCATGGACGATGCGTCCGGTTCGCAGAAATATGGCATCATCTGACACATGTAAATGGCAATCTGCAGAATCTGTTTGTTGAGGTCCCCCATTAAGATACTGCATTTCCCGTTGGGGTATTTCAAAAGGACGTCTTGGAGCGTGCGCTGAATGGTGAACAAGTAGAGCCAGTATATCGATTGCAGATATCCAGTGAGGAAGTCGGGAAAATCGACGGCCAGCGGGAAGGTCTTGTTGTCACACAATCGTGAGAACCTCTTGAATTTGGATACGTCAACGTTGGTGATGGCTGGCTCTTTCAGTGCGGCGTGATATTCAGCTTCCCATTCTTGGAGCTCTCCGATGGCGGTAACCAAATCTGCGATTATCCCATTCAGGTAAGTCGGTTCACCGCTTGCGATGAGGTTATCGGCGCGCTCAAATAGACCTGGAATGTGTACCAAAACATCGAAAAGGCGAGGTGACGAGTCTGTGTACTCTGTGCTTTTGGTAATTTTCATCCATTTCGGCTCTGCAAATACGATCCCTTTGCGTTTGAGGACACCTTGTAGAATCTTTGAGACTGTTAGCACTTAATCTGTGATTGCAATCAGAGTGAAAACTTACAGAAGAATGCCTGGCATGGAAGAAAAGCATGTTATCAAGTTCTGTTTTGAGCGGGACTGGTCCCCGCTGTACTAAGAAATTCTCTACTCCATTCACATGGCTGATCCAGCTTCCTTGCTGTGCTACAGGACGGAATAGCTTTAAAGGGGTGTCAGTACATAGATCCGGAACGAGGAAAATCAGAGCTTACCTCGCAAAACTCAAGCAATTTCATGGCTCCCAGAACATCATTATTGCCAAGCACATCTGGCTTGTTGAGTGCGACCACGAGGCATGTCAACGCTTGCCCATACCTTCTCCTCGCATGTTCGAAGAAAGTCTGATCCTGGTAAGACACTCCAAGTTGCAACAGACTAATCGTGTCGACAGCAGCAAGCAAAGCCGGCGATGACTTGGAGTTGATGGTTTTCTGCAAACATGAGAAGTCGGAAATATGAGCACGTTTCGGCTGTTCGTCCAGTGTCGTTGGCCGATACAACCGCATGCTGACATCAAACATTTGCGAACGGTTTGTCGCAGCGCTGAAGATAGCCTGTGGTATCACCGTATACTCGGTCGCAACAGGCTTCTCGACGAGACTCAACGCTCTGACTCGCTCGGTAGGTGGTACAGGTGCACCACTGTCAGAATCGCTGCTACTGCTGGAACCGCTCCTCCAACCTCTTTCCACACGCTTTGCGACCGCCAGTGTTTCGTCGCGCCATTCCAGTCCGTCGGTCTTCATACCCCGGTACCCCGGGCAGGGGGTATTGTGAATCTGGCATTTTTTACATCCCGGGCGTCCTTCGTCGCATTTGATCTTCCGTTTCCGACAGTTGGCACAGCCCGTCGACCGTGGCGCCATTACAGTAAGTCCATGGGAAAGAGTTGAGTCGAAAGAGATTGTTGCCGTGCCTCTTTCACGCCCCCTCTTGCGAAGTGCGTAATCGATCGACCCGGCACTGTGGGCGGCTAGATCGGTCTATCGTATTGGATACAGGCTTGGTTTCGCCCCTCCACCTCTACCACAAACAATTGTGATTCACAATTGCTACTGGCTGACCAAACCTCCATCAAATGGTCGGTTAGCTCAGTTGGTTAGAGCGTGGTGCTAATATCTCATGATATGATACGCCAAGGTCGCGGGTTCGACCGTGAGTACACACAACTTGTTTGAACCTCAGCACAAATACTAACAATGCTCCAGCCCGTACTGACCATCGTCAAAGCTTTATCTTTTGCTTCTTTCCGTGGTAAAGCGCCTCGCTTTCGTTTTGACTGAGGGTCGGCGAATTTGAATGTGTATGTGGGCTAGGGCGACCGGCGGCTAAGCGAGCGATGGGTGGGTACCCCTCTTTTGTGAATCGCAAGCCTTTTCCTTGTGTTTGTTCGCCTGCGCATCACGATCATGGTCAGATTCAAGCAGAGGGCTAATGTACAATTTTCGAGGATAGTGTTTGGAGCAGTCGTGATATTGAGCTAGCAAAGTACGGCCGAAACAGATACCTCAGGCTTGACGTTTATTCCACTCAAGTCTCAGCAATTCTCTGCTCACCCGTTGAGCAACAATATGCTCGAATAGCGACACAAGCAATGTTATTCTCGACCTCATAAAACCTCGGGATCGACCCTGCTTCAATCCTGTTCCTCATTTGCGAGCCTTCTTTACTGCATGCTTGTCGCGGAGATATCTCATGACGTCCTGGGCGTGCTCACTCGGCTCACTGTTAACCTCCTCCTCGGTCACCCATTCCACGTAGAGGCCTTCTGTTCCATTGGCCTTGTCCTCGGCCCTGACAGAGTCGGCGGTCATTCTGGGTAGATGCTTTGTACGCTCCATGAACACGCTCATCCTCTCGGTCACCACAGGATCCTCTGGTCCGGAGTAGGCTCCCTCGATGACTGTTGATGGTCTGCGTTCGGTCAATTCCTCGACCTGAGGCAGAGCCCGACCCATCTCTATCCTTTCTCTTTTCCTCTCAGCCTGAACCCGACCCTCGTTCAAGGGCGATCTTCTGCTTGTCCTGAACCCTGGGAGTAACCATCCATCTGCAGTCATCTGAGCGAAATGGGGGTCATCGCTGCCCACGCCCTGCTCTTTGATCGTCTCGAGGTGATTTTGGAATTTGTTAGTGTGAGCGTAGGCTCGCCCACAATCACACCTCGCGAGACGTTCCTCGTCCTTCCCTTGGAGGATGGTCACTCTTCTCAACCAGATCTTTAGGGGTGAATGATAGTTCGACTCTAGGTGTCGCTGCATGTCATACTTGTTCTTGTAAACCGTGAGCTTCTTGGCGGTCGGGATGGTGTCGTCCGCCAGACACTCCGGACAAGGTCTTGGATCCCCTTTGCGAAACTGATCCGAGTCACCCTGCAGCATAACCTCCAGGAACATGTGCAGTACTAGATCGTACGACACCTCGAAGACTTGACCTGCCTCGAAAGACCGGTCAGTCTCCAACTCCAGAGTAGTCGTGTTTATTGCTGCTGGTTCTTCCCCAGTGCTGACCGAGACGTCTGGTTCGGCAATCGGTTCGACCTCTTCATCTACGCCAAACTGCACGTCCGTGACTTCCTCGAGATCCAATCTCTCATCTCCTTCTTCGTTGTCATCATCCTCGAGCTCATCCAAATCTTCGTCCGCGAGATCGTGCAGGTTGGGATTTCTCTGCTCCTTGACCCTCTTCTCGATCATGGCCATGAGTTTCGAAGGCGCTCTCATTTCCGCTTGCCGAGCCTTCAGCTCATCGAGGGTGAACCTTTCTCTTTGGAAAGCCTGGTTTTCGGCATGCAGAGCCTTCCAGGCCAATCTCTTAAGCCGTCGAGCTTCCAAAGTGGCTTGATGCCCACCAAGATTCTTGTCGATGTTTTCATTGACGTAGGCGTCTATTCTGGCCTGAAGCGCAACGTGATCGACCTTCAGAGTTGCTCTGAAAAGGATCGGAGCGTTGTGATTTAATACCGCTTGAGGTATCTGGACTTCATCCAGGGCAATAGCGGTCACGTCTAGGTCGAAGTTGACCTGTTCATAAGAACTCTCATACACCTTTGAGTTGGGCGCATGGTGGAGGAACTGTCGGACAGCATCTCTTCCAGCAGCACGGTCAACGCTGGTTGCTGCCTTCCGTCTAAAAGCGTACATTGTACCGGACTTAAAGCCGGCGTCTTTCGCTCTCTTTCCCAAGTAGTCGGTGAGCGAGTGTGCGGAGACCGGTTGCTTGGGGATCAAAGCTCTGCCACCCGGAGTTGCAGCAAGGAACATCGGCTCATTAAGGAACTCTTTCGAGACCATGACCTCGACATGTGTCCCCGCGAGAAGATCTTCCAAAGTATTGTACTGGGACAAGACTCCACGCTTCAGAGCGATCGCTAGAATCCTGACCGTAGGCGACAACAAGATGTTGTCAGGGTTTGTCGGCGCTCTCAGGGTTAGCCTCAAGGTTCCTTCGACGTCATGACCATTCTCCAATGCGCTTGGGTCCTGGAAGCCTTTCATGTAGGGGAACTCGACGGTCATGTCGAAACGATTGGGGAACTCCAAATTTCGTCTGATTTGGATATCCTTCCAACGCAAGTAATTGTTCCTGCGATGCGTGCTCCACCCGATAGCGCCAGGTCGAACACCGCAGACGAGGGCCAACGTCCATACGGCATGATGGGATTCGGCTACGTCGAAGGCATTGGTGTTCTCAAGGTCATGGTCAATCAAGTATCTTAGTTCGTGGCGCCCGAAAAACGGCTTTTCGCGCCTGTCCACGTTGACTCCGAACTTGTCCACAGCGAAATAAAGTGCAGCATTGGTGTGGGCTTGGAGTGATCGAAAGTTTGGCGGCGATTTCATGTATACTCGGGTCCAGTGCAGAATGGACCATCTTCTGTTGGTGATGGTGGCCAGTCTGGGTCGTGTGTCGGTGGAGCTACGGGGACTGACCTGTTTGGCCATCCAGGTCAAGTAGAACCTCAACAGTTTCCAGAATTCCTCTCTATCGTCGGGAAAGAATAACGGATCATTCTCTGGACCTTGGTTGTTCTTGATCTTAAGCTCTCCATGACGACCATTTTTGATGAAATGCAAGATGCAGGTGGTTCTGTACTCGCCAAGGTGACGCTCTTGTCGAGTATGTGTCGAGGCAGCTCCGACTCTGAATCCATCCGATTCTCCTACAGTACGCTCAATCTCGTCAATCTCAGCGAGCTTGGCCCCGGTAATTTCTTTGGCTATACCCAAGGTGCCGTCTGCTGCCTTCTCAAAAAATCCTTCGAAGTAATCGTTCAGGGTTTGGCGGCGGGTAACGATTGGCGGTGCAAGCCCAGACATGACGGCGGTCAGGTAGTGGCAACGAAGCGTGCTGGTGGACCCTGTTGTTGACCTTGACCGAGCCTGGAAGCACGATATATGGTCCCCTCAAGACTGAGAAGCTCGGTCTCATGCAATGTGTGCCTGACCTTGGCTTTGGTGAAGAGGAATTCGTATGCCGTAGGTCTGGTCTTGATGTTTGACCTTACAGAACGTCCTTGCTGTCACGATGTGAGAACCTGGTTGGAAGATTCCGGAATAGGCAAGTTCTGTTAATCGAATTGAGAATACCAATGTACTGAAGAGGGCAGTTGCGTTTCTTAGCAGGTGTTGCTCGCTCGGTTTCTTCGCCGACGACTGGAGTAAGTCGGCGACAATGCACACTCGCAAAGGTGCGCAGACGTCCACTGTGGGCAGGTACGTGAATATGTGCTAATACTGGTGATGAAGGCGACTGATCAGACTGATACCACACAGAGGGTGCCTGGGAGGTGTTGCAAGAGTGCATGCGCAATGACAACGTGGAGGAGAAGCGAAAGATGAACGGTGACGGCAGTAACAGTCAAGCCATCGCAGCTGCCAAATGTAGAAGGAGCAGCCACGTCCATTTGGCATGTGATTTTTTTACCTGCTGCCTGCCTTGATGGCTTTTTCCTTTGTTGCTTCCTGCCGCAACCAAGTTGCAAGGTTGATCGCGCCACCTCGACCAGACTACGACTCCTGGGACACATCACCTTGGGCTGTCTCGAGCTCGAAGCCTACGTACATGACCATTGGGTTCATCCACCACCAAGGTCAGGGTTTGTAACAGAATCCTGCAACACCTAAGTCCGGATTCTTCTGCAAGCACAATCACCGGGTTCTACGACAGTCATCAGCTCTACCACAGTCACCGAGCAAGCACCCCTGAGTAAAGCCCTTGGATCAGCGCCCCTTAGCCAGCGGACCTGAAGCATCACCTCCAACCAGCCCAAGGCCAATCACGCACTCCGTAGCGGGTCCCTCCAAAGTCACTCATCAGGTCTGATCACGATCAGGTCATGCCAGACCACACCAACCTTCCAGAAGGTGATGTCCCCAATTCCATGTTGTGGCCGAGAGCTCCTGCATCCATGGTCACCAAAGAAGACATTATCCTTCACCAACAGGAGGTCCTCTTCAAGAAGTTGATTGCCTTGGACACCAAGGCTGAGGAACGCCACCAGGCCAGGTACGTGTAGCGATGCCTAACCTTGTATTGTCCCAATCTCAGGGTTGCGACATGTGCTGACTCTATCTCCACCTAGCCAAAGAGAGCAGAAGAAAGTGAACACCTTGCTGGGCCTGGTCGCCGCACATCTCGAGATCGATCCGAAGTCCCTGGCTTCAACAAAGGCTTCAACAAAGAGCATGAAGGCCACCAGAAGACCTGCGGCCAAGGCTGCCGTCCACAGCCTTCGAGATGCCTTGAAGGATGATATATTGATGGTCTCAAAAGCATACGTTAAGGAGCATCCTGGTACTCTTCTGAAGACCCTGACCACGAAGGTCAAGGAAGAAGGTTTGGTGACCAAGTGGGCTTCGTGGGTAGAGGCGCATCTTCAGGATGAACATCGTGCTGAGTTTCGTGGATTTGACGAAGAGAAGAAGGGTTGGGCATACAAGGAGGCTGCCAAGGGGGTCTTTCCCACCACGACCACGACCACGACCACGACCGCAACTGGAATCAGGGGCAAGGGCAAAAGGGCTGCTGAAGATGCAGAGTCGCACGACGTCTCTGCTGACCAGGACCACGACGAAACCGGAAGTTCGGGTCCAGCGAAGCGCTCAAGAAAGACTAGAGCGAACAAGACGTCTATCCTAGTTGATGATGATGACGAAGAGGAGTCCGACGACCGCCAGCCTCAGACATCCCAAGACGGGGAGTACGAGGGCAACACTCTTGTCGACGAGAATGAGGATGAGAATCATGATGAAAACAACTCTTAGGTTCACTATTGAAGAGTTTCTCTAGGGAAGGGTTTACTGCTCCTAGCTTTCATGAGTTTCTCAAAGCTCAAGGTCGAGTCAACTACTGCTCAGTATCCAAGATATGTAGCTACTGCTCAGCATTCAAGAAGTCAATCACCATTGCGCTTGGACCACTTCTATTTCGTTGACCAGACACCAAGAATCGTGTTTTGTAACTCGTTTGTTCGTTTTCGGTTGTGCAAATGGATCAATCACAATGGTAATGTGGTCCTTCAAAGATCCGAGGTTGGTGAATGCCTTTCTGAGGCGGGGCATAATCCATACTAGGTCCGGCTCTGTGTAGAGGAATAGGATTTCTTTGATAGCGGCCGCGTGAACAGGACTTTTGGATACTGCCAGTAGTTTTGTCATGCCAGATCTATTCGTAAGATCTACGTCGAAGCAAGTAAGACATCGTAGGAAGTGCACGTGACAAGGGTCGTGAAGGACTTTGCAGGTTCGCCTGAGATTGGTTATGCTGTCAGTTGCAGTAGTCCCAGGGTCACTATCGACCACCACCAGATCAACGATAGCTGTGAGAAGCTCCGGTGGTAAATCAAGTAGAGTGGCGGCCATAGTGATCGATCATATGTATTACGACAGCTTCAGACCTTGCAGACGACGAGCAGGGGTTTTATGTATCTCAGGCCCAAGTGTCATGGAGGAAGCTGGAAGGAAAGGTGCAACATTGCTCCCCGTGCGCCAAGATCTGTCACTTCTAGCTGTAAAACTGCATAACGTTTTTTTGAATCGCTCTGGTTGTCCGCAGAGAGGAGCTAACTATTACACTCTCAGTGGAGGGGTGCACTGATTTTGATAACATTGTGCATTTCTACAGCATGCGCGTGATAAAGTTTAGCACACAGGGAGGGTTGCAGCTCGATAGAGGAGTCGATAGAGGAGTCGATCACCATAGCGCTTGGACCACTTCTATCTCTCGCGCAAGTCAACCCACGAATGATGAGCGCGTTCTTCCCTTCGACCTTTGATTTTGCATTATTGTCTAATACTCAAACAGCTCACCCATGTAGTCTTTCTGTCGGTAGAGCCTGCTGTACGACTCCAACAAACCACATCAGCAAAAGCCGTCTCACGGGTTGCAGCAGCACAAACAAAAGCAAACTGCTCAACCACACCTCAACGGCGCCTGTCAAACAATCATGTTCGAGGTAAATTCACGGCTTCCATAGAAATGCCCAACACATCACTGCGGCTGTCAGACTTATCACAACATTGTTACAAAACAGACACGGCATGCGGCAGACCGCTACCATCTCCGCCTCCACCGCGCACGCTCAGTAATCCTCACAAATACCGAGTTGGTCGAAATTCGCGCTGCCCAGCGCACCTTTGAGGGCGCATATATACGAACTTCATTGGGTCAATTCTCATTTGCTCTGGTGGTTCTGAAGATTTTCACGGCAGAGTTCTATAGTATAGGGGCTTTGTTCGCAATCTATGGAGCTGGCGTGTTGGGAGTGAGCGCGTTTAGACGGATGCAGGGGAACAGACAGTTCTTTTCTGAAGTTGGTGAGGATGGGCTGAGGAGGAAGAGGTTTAGGACTAGTGGAAATGTTGTGGTAGTTTTGACTGCATTGAGTGTCGCGAGTTATATATGTTTGCTGGTGCTCACTTTGAGACTGTAGAGTAGCATCTACTTGTCGAGCGATGGACAAGCAAAGTGGACTATGATTAATGAACAACTTTTACATTGCTAAATGCATGGAAATTCATGGCTCTGATCTACAAGCTGAGTGCATCGGGGATCGTGATTTGTACCTCGCAACCATCGTCACCTCCTTCGGGACATCCTCCTGAAATCCGTTGCAACTTCTCCATCTGTGTCATGGCAGATCGGCATCGGACGTACACTGTACCTTGCAATATTTCACTCCAAAGCATGGCTCAGACCTGCTCAGAATGACTGGCTTCCACCAAGGATGTCAATCCAAAACCAGCTTGCCGGGATTCACGTCTGATCATCGGCTTTCCTTTGTTGTGTGAGTTGGCAGCAGCAAACAAAGAACTGGTCAGCCACCGCGCGGTGGACAGCAGCGAATATTGAGGCGCGCTCCGGATTACTCGGTGCATGAACGTGGGGAGGAAGCAAATATTGGCTATGCTTTGACAGGTAATGCAGCCGCAAGCGGGCGTTTGGCGGGGTCCGAAGACCGCAAGGCGGAGTTGAACGGGGGTGCCGATAGTTGCACCTGCGGAGAGGGAGATCAAGGATCGCAAGCAAACCAAAACATTGACCAGCAAAGAGGTGGAAAGTAAGGAGCACACCGATGTCTGGGCAGGCAGATGGTTTGACGCGAGACAAGGACGATGGTAATTTCTTGTCGTTCATCTCAACAAGTTTTGGGTGGGCGAGACGCAGCTTTCGGTCGGCGTGGCATCCATCCGCAGTTCGATTGGCTCCCCCTTGTTGATTTTTTTCCGAGCTGGCAGCCTTGAGATAGGATAGGTAGTAGAAAGAAGGCAACGGTCTATTCGGCCCTCTTCTGTCTTGTTGCATGCGTTATCATCAGTCAGCTGCTGCCCTCGAAGAATAAACTTGATTCCCATCTGCCATCTCCTGACTTCAAGATCCCCTCAGGCTCAACTCAGACGCATAAAAGACACAGCCGGGCATTCTACGCCATCCATACGAATCATCTGCCTTGAGCTGCTTGTGATCAGCCGGGGCGCGCCAGGAACTGGTACTTTTTGTACTGGAAGTCTTTCGGCGAACCGTGGAAAGAAAAGAATACTGCAAGACGTTCTGCGACGCAACCTTATTACAAGCGCGCAAGTTATTTATGATTCACAACCACGCGCCAACACAGTCATAATTTATCTCGCCTGGCTACACGAACTTCAGGCTCTTCTCATCAACTTTGGATCAGCTTTTATCCATCACGATCGCGACATCCCATCGTGAGCTAACTTTCTTCTTTCCATCAGGATTCAGGATCACGCGCATCGCCTATTACCACGGAATTACGAATTTATATATTCCAAAGTAAACAGGCTTCGCCTATCACCAGCCCAAGGCCGTTCTCGGAGTTAGTCAGCTGGCCTCGCCGAGTCCTTGTCTGGTCGCAGCGCGCCGCGATAGGAGAGCGCTAGAACGTCATAGGCCCGTCCGTGTGGTCGGAAATTCTGGACCCTCTTTTTTCTCAGCATGCCACTCATCTGCGAACCGTCGGGAATCCTGTCAGCTTCTTCAACTTCGTCCACCCTCCCCTTCCACCTCCGTCGCCAGAGCCAACAGAGTGACATTGCAAAGTCTGTGATGATGAGCAACGTGCAGGACCAACAGCGCCGAAGCATTGACGAGAACACGCACAAAGACCTGAAGACGAGCCTCAACAGCAGCCTGGGCAACGCCGCCAGCAAGAAAGGCTCTCAGACCCCCGAGATCCAATCCTTCCGCCCTCCCCCCACGAACCGCACAGCATCCGCCGTCGGTGCCACCAGTACTGGCGCATTAAACGACACTCCCGATGGCACCGCTCCAAATAGTCCAAGGCTATTGCCTATAAGGCAAAACTCGGGCTCGAGTACCCCGCGCGTCCGACCAACAACCCTCGACATCCCCGGCCTCACAAAGTCAAAGGTCTCGCCCGATGGCAGAATCGCCAAGAGAGATGTCGGCGCCAAGTTGGTCATCGTCATGGTCGGTCTGCCTGCTCGAGGAAAGAGTTACATCACAAAGAAGCTCGCTAGATACTTGAACTGGCTACAACACGACACGCGCATCTTCAATGTTGGAGAGAGACGCCGTGTCGCTGCGGGAGGCCCCAATACTCTGGAAAAGACGAAGAGTCACGCACATCGCGCTTCTTTCCTGCCTACCGAGCACCGTCCGAGTCTGGCCAGTCTCAACGGCATCGTCGACGCCAAAACACATCTCGGTTCTTCGGGCCTCGCTGCACAGATCCAAGCCAACAGCGATCAACACCAAAACCATGACAATGACAGCCAATCTCGTAGGCTCACGATGCCGACCATACAGCTCCCTCCTGCTACCGAAGAAGATGAGCCTGAAGCCGTCGACGACGGTACAGATGGTGTAGAGTTGACGAAGGTCTCTACACCCGAAATGCCCGACTCGGATTCCATGGATCAATCGGCCAACTTCTTCGACCCCCAGAACAAGAGAGCTGCCTTGATCCGCGAGCAGTGCGCCATGGACACGCTGGACGAACTCCTCGACTACATCCTTGAAGGCAATGGCTCGGTCGGTATTCTCGACGCTACAAACAGTACCCTCGAGCGCAGAAAGGTCATCATGAAGAGAATTCGCGAAAGAGCTGGCACCGAGCTGAACGTCCTCTTCCTCGAGAGTCGCTGTGTTGACGAGAACTTGCTTGAATCAAACATGCGCCTGAAGCTTTCAGGTCCCGACTACAAGGACCAAGATCCTGTCGCTGCTCTTGAGGACTTCAAGAAGCGTGTCGCCATCTACGAAAAAGCCTACGTACCACTAGGCGAATACGAGGAGAAGAACAACATGCCATACATCCAAATGATCGATGTAGGCCGCAAGGTCATCTCGCATCAAATCCGCGGCTTCCTCTCCGCCCAGGCCAATTACTACCTCCTCAACTTCAACCTCGCACCTCGCATGATCTGGATCACGCGCCACGGTCTTTCTATGGACAACGTTTCAGGCAAGATTGGAGGTGATTCCGACCTCAGCAAAGAGGGCCTACAATACGCCAAAACACTCACCAAATTCATCGAGCACGCTCGTAGGGAATGGGACATGAAGCAACTCCACAAGCTCACCCACTCACATTTCCCTCCTCAACCTGGTGACACAACTCCGCCCAACCCCCACTACCAGCCCAACGACAACAATGAGTTACAACAAAAGTCCTTCTGCGTATGGACTTCCATGCTCAAGCGCAGCATTCAGACGGCTCAATTCTTCGACGATGAAGAGTATGACTCGAAGCAGATGCGCATGTTGGACGAACTCAACGCTGGTATCATGGAGGGTCTCACATACTCCTCCATCGCCGAAGCCCACCCTGCCGAATACGCCCTCCGCAAAAAGGACAAGCTTCACTACCGCTACCCCGGTCCTGGCGGTGAGGGATATCTTGACATCATCAACCGTTTGCGTCCTGTGATTGTCGAGCTTGAGCGCATGGAAGACCACTGCTTGCTCGTCGGTCACCGTAGTGTCGCTCGTGTTTTGCTAGCATACTTCCGCGGCTTGAAGAGAGAGGAAGTCGCAGACTTGGATGTACCAATCGGTATGCTCTACTGCCTCGAGCCCAAGCCTTACGGTGTAGACTTCAAAGCATACAAGTGGGACAAGAACACCGAATGGTTCTACGAACAGCCCAACTTCCAGCTCAAGCGCGCCGAGGACGATATGCAATGATTTAAGAGTGGAAAGCCATTTTTTCTTGTACGACTGGATATTCTGTTATTTCTTTTCTCTTGGGTGTTAGGGGTACTGCACAGGGGTGGGACACTACAAGGGCGTTTCTCATCATCATCATGCTTTTTTCCGATGAAGCATTGCGAGACTGGGGGTTTTGCGAACACATACGGAAAGGATTAGGGGATTTTTATACCAAGGAAGCGAACATGCTTTTAGAGGATCATGACATTCCTGCCTTTCAACGAGTCTCCTTATTACCATACTCTCTTCTCAGTCCCCTTTACAATTTTTGATGTGTAAACTTGGTGTGTAGACGTCGCATCTCTGATCATCACGAATCATTATTCAGTGACGATCAATAGGCTTTAGAAGACAAGTAGAGGTGTCCGAGGAGTGTGCCTGGCCCTTACAATGTGGTCCGACGCCCATATTCGGACAACACAGGACTCAAGCCCTGAGCAGTCCCAATCGACGTTTCAAATTGCAGTCTCCACCACTCGACCAGATCGCGGTTCTCCATGAAGGTCGCAAATTGCGTAAGGGGGGTCACTTTGTCGTCCCACACACTGCCAGAGGTTGATTCGAGGTCTTTGCGTACTGTGTAGGAACCAGTGTCGACAAATTGCTGCTGATACTCATCGCTGACGAGCCAACTCATGAAGAGTTTGGCACTTTCAGGACGGGAGGTTGTGGTGAAGATGCCACCGGTCTGCGGCCAGAGGACACGGGCATCGCTGGGGGTCTTGCTGGCCAGGTTTTCCGCGCCGTTGAGGTTTGTTGTGAAAGAGAGGGCGCGTGTAGTATTGGTCTGGCTGATAAGGTCGGCAGGTTGGCCTGTACCGCGAATCCACTGAATATTTTGCTGAAGCAATGTATCGAACCACTCCCAACCGTAGTTCTCGATGATGATGGAGAAGAGATAGGTGATAGCATCATCGTCATTGGGGTAGGTCAATGCGAGCTTACTTTTCCAGACAGGGTTGATCAACTCGCCAAAGATCGAGGGCACCTCCGTCTCATTCAAGAGATCAGTATTATAGATCAAGTCGCCAAATTGGTCAAGATGGATGTCAGCAAGAGATAGATTTTGTCGATGGTCAATGAATCTGCTTACAAATAAAAGCTCCGAGAAAATTACCCTCAGGGTCCTTGATGGCAGAGTAGACGTTGTCCCAATCAGCAGGCTTGTAGGGGTACAGTCTGCCCTCGCGCTTCCATCTACCAAAGTCATGCAGGGTCTGCAGAACAGCGATATCAGCACCGTCATCGCCGTTACGTTGATACTGTCGATTGACACGGCTATCGTGATATTTAGACACATCGACGGTCAAGTTCAGCTTGACATCCGGGAATCTGGCTTTCCAGGCAGCAATAGTTGGGTCGCCTTGGCTGATTTCTGCAAGATTGCTGTCAGCGAACCTTCCTAAAGAGCACAGAGATTTGTCTGGACACCCACCGTCACCGCCCCAAAGCACTATGAGCTCGCCAGTTTCGTTTCTGGCAACAGCGTAGATCTGATCCAGGGTTCTGTTGTCAATATCGACCGCGTGTCCGGGAAAGGAGTTTGGGAGAGGTAAAATGGCAGAAAAGGCAGGGGCTGTGAAAGCCAGTGCAAATATTGTCTCGCAAAACTTCATGATAGCAATGTCTCTCTTGAACAGAGGATAATGGCAGACGATTGGGGCTGATGCTTCTTCTGTTGCTCGACAGGCACTCAAGCTTTATATCTGCAGAAGATTTCACTCCCATAATACCCTTTCACGGAATTTCTCCGTCGAGGTTCTTGATAATTATCAAGCATTGTTCGCCATAAAGGTTGTAGTCAATATTGCCGACCAATCTGTGCTTGGCACGCGATTATCAAGCACATGGATGGTTTCCGCGTTGCGCTCAGGTCTCATCCAGTTGCGTGATCGGGTCAACGAGGACCCGCAAACATCAATTCGCTCTCTGTCTTGTAACAAGCCACGGACCCTCGAACCTAGATAAATCATCAATCGATTGCACACTTGGCTCTCTAGCAAGCTTCCTAGGTTCGAGCCAAGCTGCTTTGGAAGCAGGTTTGGGAGCTTCGGGTCTCAACGCGCGATCAGATGTCTACCACACGATTGGTGACAGAGATCAGCTTATACTTAAAGGCGGTGGACGTGACGAGACCTCAAACGATAATTGAGCTTCGTCGTTCAAATCTTTCCTCGCATGGCTGCTCGCGCAGTCTCCGGAGCTGCCCAAAGTACGCCAAAGACAACGTCCTGCTTCGATCTGCCTCACCGCACTCGGTCGACAGCGTTCATCCTAGTGATCTCAATGGTGCAACGTGATCAACACGTAATACGGGCCTGTATCAACCGTGTGTCGCGGTGAGAAAGGTCAAAGTCACATGGTTATTGGCAACACCCTGATGGCCGTGATTTTGGCCATCTGGGAAAGACGATATGACACCTCCGTGCAGCTCCGCGAATTTGTGACGAATCCAAATCATGCGACAACGTTGTACTCGAGTAGATTGTTCCAAAGAAAATGGAATTGTCGTCAACTCCATACGAGTCTGGACTTTAGAGGAAGTGGTTTGACTGTCCAAAGTCTCGCTATAGATGTAGGACACATAGTTGATGTTATATAGCCAGAGAAAAGTCCGAATGTTCACCGCGGAGAGCGTTTCCACCCAACGTCATACAGCGTAGTCCGAGGGTATGCATAATTATTATTTATTCCATCGGTTTTTCTTCCATTCACCCGCTGTACGAAAGCCGGAGTCATTGTCAAAGCACATTTAATTGCTTCATCTCATTGCCACATAACCGGACTTCCTCCTTAACAACATCCTTGCTCAATCACATACAGCATGGCTTCTCTCTCTCGATCAGTCTCATCATTGGCAGCTAGTGCGCGCATCAATGTCGTGCTGAGGATTGGATCCCGCGTGCCGCGTACTGCGTGCCTCAACCGCGTTAATGGGCCTACTTCTGTCATGGGATGGCGTGCAGGAAGCTCTGCTGCCGGTCCCAAGAGAAAGCAGCCTATTACTGCTAATGATCAGGCTCCCACACAAATCATCGGCCAAGGCAAGGTATACAAGAACGCCGAGGACGCGGTTGCAGATATCAAGAGCGGCTCTACAATTTTGAGTTCCGGCTTCGGTCTTTGCGGCGTTGCAGGTGAGCTCCCTATACCAACAAAACCACAACGTCATCCTAATGATTCTTTGTAGAAACTATTATTCAGGCACTTGCGAAAAGAGGAAATGAAGTCACCAACCTGACCGCTGTGTCTAACAACGCTGGTGCTGGAGATGGCGGTCTTGCTTCTTTGGTCAAGTCTGGCCAAATCACAAAGTTGATCATTTCATATCTTGGTAACAACAAGGTGCTCGAGAAGAAGTATCTTTCTGGAGAGATCGGCATCGAGCTTTGTCCTCAAGGAACTCTTGCGGAGAGAATTAGAGCTGGTGGTGCAGGTGTCCCTGCTTTCTACACCCCTACTGGTGTCAACACTGCCGTCATGACTGGCGGTATTCCTGTGAGAGTCGGACCTCCTGTCGAGGGCTCTACTGAGACTGTCGTGGTCGAGGCTGGTACTCCCCGCGAAACTCGCGTCTTCGACGGAAAGACCTACAACATGGAGCGCGCCATCAAGGGTGACGTCGGTGTTTTGAGAGCATGGAAGGTCGACGAGGCTGGAAACTGCCGCTTCCGGTGAGTATCTCTGAGGCAACAACGCTGCAAGTATCAGTTTCTGACAGAGAACAGCTACACCACCAAGGCATTTGGTGTTCTGGTCGCCAAGGCTGCTGCCATCTCTATCGTTGAGGCTGAGGAAATTGTTCCCGTTGGCTCCATTCACCCTGATGATGTCCACCTTCCTGGAATTTACATCGACCGTATTGTCCCTGCCACAGCAGAGAAGGGCATTGAGTCTAGAATGACTCGTTCCGCGGAGGAGAAGACAACTGAGGCCCCCAAGGAAAAGTCTCCTGCTATGATCAGAAGAGAAAGAATTGCCAAGCGTGCTTCTAAGGAGCTCAAGAACGGCATGTACGTCAACTTGGGAGTTGGTATGCCTACATTGGCTCCATCATTCTTGAACGCCGAGACCAAGGTCTGGATCCAGTCCGAGAACGGTCTCCTCGGTCTTGGCCCTTACCCTACTGAGGACGAGGTCGATGCCGATCTTATCAATGCCGGAAAGGAGACCGTCACCATGGTCCCTGGTGGTTCCACTTTCGACTCTGCCGAGTCTTTCGCCATGATTCGTGGTGGTCACGTCGATGTGTCCATTCTCGGTGCCCTCGAGGTTAGCGCTAACGGTGATCTTGCTAACTATATGATCCCCGGCAAGGTCGTCAAGGGAATGGGTGGTGCTATGGACCTTGTCTCCAACCCCGAACAGACTAAGATTGTCTGCTTGACTGACCACGTCGACAAGTACGGCAAGTCAAAGGTCGTGCAAGAATGCTCCCTTCCTCTTACCGGAGCTCGCGTCGTCAGCACCATCATCACCGACCTCTGTGTCTTCCAGGTGGACCTCAAGGATGGCGGTCTTACCCTTACCGAGCTGGCTGAGGGCGTTACTGTCGAGGACATCAAGGCCAAGACTGATGCATCATTCAAGGTCGCCAAGGACATTCAGTCCATGGAGTAGATACAAATCCTCAGTGCCATTCCAAGCTGATATTCTTGGAAAATACTCTGTGGATATTTTACTCACCCGGACCCAGCCGCCGGGTGATCGACCGGACCAAGATTGCAGGGTCGTGTCAAGACGCTGGCCATGAGCCGTACAAAACATTCGATTTGATAGATAGAGGGTTAGATGTATATACCATTGTATTAGGATGTGTTTTTTTCTTCTTGGACAATGCCTTTGAAGGATGGCTGCACTTCACCTTGGATTTTGCGATTAGACAGCTTGGTGATTTCATTCTCACTAAAATTACTTTTTTTGAGAAACACAGGCATATCAACACGAGACTATCTATCTGTTGCTCTGCTCCGAGTTTGTGTCACTTTGCTACAGGTACTATCTGTACTACTGCTGTCGATCAATACATTGTCTCAAGCTATGCAATGAAGACCCTTCGGACCGCACGCGGCTACTTGAGCGATAAGCCTTGAGCAGACAACAGTTCCATGGGACGTATAACAACGATCTGTTTGCTGGTTGAAAGGATATCTCAGTGCTTTCTTCTAGTGTCTATGGTCTGGCGGAGTGCCCGCCGGTCTGCCTCACGTTTTTAGTCCCTGAGTCCACATGGGGATGCTTTCGTCCGGATCTAACGAGTGATCTCCGTCTGGCCGGAAATGAATGTCAGCATCCCCAGAATCATGGATGTTTTCGTGTGTGTGATGCCAACTCTTCTCGGGGCCCTGGTTTTCGCTTCTACGACTCGATTTGTCTCTTTCTCTGCCTTTCTCATTGTCACGACGCGAAGTACGGAACAAGACCAGAAATCGAAACATCCAGATCCGAACAGCAATGCAGAGCTTAGAGGCGGGCTTTTTGCGGCCCCTATTTAGTGATGGATCACACTGTGCACGTGACGGGCCGTCAATGCTCAGGGACATCTCCCGGTGGAAGGAGCGAGGCTGCCCCACCTACAAAACTAGCTTCAGTTGACTTCGGTTGACATCTCAATAACATCAACTTCTGAACCTCGAGCATTCCACCGGCTGCCAACAACCGCTCGTGGGGAAGACCAAGCTTTGTTGATCTACATCAAACAACTTACTACCTATACACAAATCAGGATCAGCAGTCAATACTCACTCGTGCCTGACACGGTCATCTGGATGGAAGCCTTGTAGCCAATGGGCGACTCTAGCAGCAGAGCACCTCACGTCCACCCTCCTTAACCAATGACTCGTCTTGCAGTACATTCACCGCATCAGACATAGACTTGTCTTTCTCACGGACCAGGGAGCTGGTCTATCGAAATCACGAAGAGTCAAATGCTCAGGGGAGCTTGAGCAACCACGAAAGATCGCCATGTCGAGATAGATATATAACGTGTGAGGAGGTCGGACATCAGCAACTCATCTTGCTCATCAAGTCCTTCCACTCTTTACCACTCTGACATTCTTTTACAAGACTCTCACTCTTTACAAGTCTTTTTCCACAAGACTCTCACTCTTTACAACCCTTCTTTCACGATCTTACATCCATATCTCCCGGATCTGTCCACTCGAATCCTTACAACCATCAATCACCATGCGTTTCACTCAAGCTTTCGCCATCGCCGGTCTGTCCGCTTCCCTGGTCGCCGCTCTGCCTATCGGTTCGACTGGAAGCGTTCTTGGTAACGTCGGATCTGGCGTCCACCCGGTTATCACCTCTTCTGGTACTACTATTGATGGTGTCGGCACCGTGGTTGATGGAGTTGGCGGCATTGTCGGTGGTGTAGGAACCACAGTTGGAGGTGTTGGTTCCACAGTTAACACTGTTGGCCAGAATGCTGCTGGAGAAAACGTCCTTAAGCGCTCCGGTGTTCTTGACGGTGTTCACCCTATTGTCACTTCGACTGGCGTGACCGTTGACGGCGTGGGATCTGTCGTTGGCGGTGTGGGCGGTATCGTTGGTGGGGTTGGTTCTACTCTTGGTGGTGCTGGAACAACTGTCAATGGTTTGGGTCAGCACGTCGAGAACGTGAAGCGTTCTCCTCTTCTCGACGCAGTTGTCGGTAATCCCGTTGTCGGCGGTGTTACTGGCACGGTCGAGGGCGTCGTTGGAGAGGTCACCCAAGGCGATGTCGCTGCCGGTGTGAGTAACATTCTCGGAACTGTGGTCAAGCGCTCCTCTATCCTCGGCGACGGCCTCGACTCTACTGTCAACAACACTGAGGCTACCGTCTCCCAAGCTACTGGCGACGTTGTCAACTAAGTCGACACATACACATACGCAAGCATGAGCCTTTCCACCTTGATTCGGACGGAACAGCTACGATCATGATATGATTGCAGAGGCACTTTCACCAAAGCAATCATGGTGGTGGGAATTTCCTATGTACAGCTTCGATGTTCTACCAAATCTCCGTATTATTTTAATCATTCAATATACCCGTATACTTCATCGAGACCAGATTTCCTACACTGAACGCTTGCGAGCAAGTTTTCTTTGATGTCTCCCTCGGTTTTTTTTTTTTTTTTAAGAAGCAATCAGACTCTTGGAACAACCGTTTGTTGTGGTCTTTTGTGCGCTTCGAACCAACTGAACATCGTCACTGATTTGCTCATCGAAAAGCTGGGCACTCGAAGAGCAAACTACCTATTTATACAAGTCGAACTTCAGCTTATACCGATCGTCGCTTTATACATAAACATGATGTCATACAACTGCATTTCCCCAGCCTACCTAGGTGCGTCCTCCGCGGCCTCCCACTCCGATCACCTTAATCCACCACTCTTAACTCTTTTGAGGCAAGTCCATCGGAGCCATCGACGTCTTTTGCAGTTGCATGTTGGACTGTTGAGCCGCACGCGGCATATCGAGTCGATCACAGCACAGATCTCTCCAGATCATGACCACAATCGGAATGGACCATAACAAAGCTCAGAAAGATCGTCTGGAAAGAGGGACCTTTGGCCAATGGCTGGCTTTCAAAAGTCGAAAGGAGAAAGATGCGATTCCCGGTTTGGGGTATTGGATAATATGCTTGACCTCAACCTGCATCTCTTCGAACTTGAGTTGCTCGATGACCAGCGAGATCGTCGGTTGTAAGTGAACATATTTGATCTCTAGTGACCCCGGGGCAGAATGGAACAATTCTTCTTACCTTTGCTACCAATCTACCTCGCACATTTTCCAAGCCCGCATCTCGATAGGAACTCATCAGGTTCATCTTCATACCACGCCAATTACCAAAATCAGCCCCCTATCTCGCAACCATGCGTTTCGCTCAAGCCTTCGCCANAATGGCCTCATCGAAGGTCTTGGTCAATTGACGGACGTCGCGTTCACTGCTGTTGGTACTGCCGGTGAAGCAGCTGTCGAGGGCGGTGAAGACCAACCTGAAGTCAACGCTAAACGCGCTCTCGTCGCACCCTTCAGCGATGGAAAGGGCAATGGCCTCATCGAAGGTCTTGGTCAATTGACGGACGTCGCGTTCACTGCTGTTGGTACTGCTGGTGGAGCAGCTGTCGAGGGCGGCGAGGACCAACCTGAAGTCAACGCCTAAGTGGACTCAACATCAATATCGCCCTTGGAAATCTGCTGGAAAGATTGAAAACACCCGCCCTGAGGGTGACTTTTTGTACATATTAATTCTCGTTCATGTTAATAAGTTCGGTGGTTTAGATTTGATGTCGTAACGAAATTGCATCTTGTGTTTTTGGAAAACTGGCTTATCGACAAGACATACTGGATATCGTCTGTTCAAGATTTGATTCTCGCTAATGTTTGTACTTACGGGCTGTTGTAACTACTGTACTCTCCTGCAGTGATATGCTTCTGTTACCGTTGTTACGTCATCAAGATACAGGACAGCAGAGAGGTTTGTATGATAGGAGTCGTAGAGACGCGAGATGTTACATTCTAGCAGCGGATTGCGTACCCTATCATCAAACATCATTTGAACTGCATGTATAGCTTTCTACCCCCACTGACGAAAATGATTTAATGATGGTGCTACTCAACAACAGTCAACAGAATAGCTCTAGGTTATTCGCCCGTGCTTCCTCTAATGAGCGAAGCGGAAGTCCAGTCTCTTGTTACCCTGATCAGTAGTGTTGGAAACATAATCGTTCCTCTGCTCCTGAGTCATAGCACTCCACTTCTTCTCCCTCTGCTTGTTCCTGAAGATATAGTATGTTTTAGCCAGTGCGTACAGTGCAATGGCCAAACAGTTTACAGCAACCAGCTGCATATTGCCACGATGATATAGTGGCTTATCGTCCTGGCGATAGACGTTACTGCCTATCACACCTCCGGCCTGCACTGACATGTTGTATACAGCGGCAGAGATTGTGCGCGTGCGTACTGAACCGGCATTGCGCGATGTCCAGGCGACGAGGATAGCGTGGCAGTAAGGGTAGCCGAGGAGGACCACCAATAGCGCATAGGTACCCCACGGATCCGTGCCTGAGCCAGGCCACCAGCGCAGTGCAATCAAGCAAGGTAACATCCAAATGTTTTGTATAGCGGCGATAAAAGAGCGCTCTTTGACTTTCTCGCTGAGCCAGGTGATACCGAGCAAGGTGATGATGGTGACGGCATTGGGTACAATTGTGAGGAGGTTGGTGTTGAACGTGCTGAAGCCGAGTTGTCGGAGCGTCAAGGTGAGATAGTTGGTAATTGGAGTGGCAGGAATGAAGACAACAAGGCCGAGCGCATAGATCTGTTTGATGTATCAGCAGTGCACGGATTAGACAGAATTCGCAATCTTACAGGCCACAAATCGTAGTCGGATAGAGATTGCCATAGACGTCTGATTGTGATTGCTTGTCTGTTGTGCATGTCGCCTTTAGACGGGTCATCTCTCAAGACGCGATTGACGACGATCTTAACTTCACGGTCCGTGAACCAGCCCTTAGGACGGAACCAAGTCTTGGTCTGCACGGCTGAAGCGGGCATGAGGAAGACGGAAGCGACACCGATGGCAAAGGTCATCAGTCCCTAGGATTTTTGTTAGCAAATATAACTGCAAGCATAGAGAATAACAAACCTCAATCAAGAAAAGCCATCTCCAGCCTGCAAGACCATGAGCGTTGTCGAGATGGAAGATTCCAAACGCTAGAAGCGATGCGACGATAGTGGTCAAGTTCAAGGCTGTCCAGAAGAAACTCAATCTGATAGGCAGTTCAGTACTGGTGTAGAAGTACGAAAGCCACAACACGAGGTCTGGGATAAAACCACCCTCGAGAACACCAATGAGGCATCGGCAAACGTAAAAGCTAGAGCGGCCGTTGAGACCAGCTTGGGCAGCAGCAACGATTGACCAAAGCATCATTTGAATGGGGATCCATCGGTCCGGTCCCAGCTTCTTAGAAACAAGCTGCGATGGGACTTCAGCTGCCATGAACGACAATTTGAACAAAGTCTGGCCTGGAAGTTGTCAGATTTAGTTTGCCAGATGGAGAAGGAAGATATTCACAAACCATAGTTGTACTCATTAGTAGTCAAGCCAAGGTCGTCGAGCATGTTGTCCGACAGAGCTTGTGAGATGTTTCCGCGGTCAAGCTGCAGAGCAAAGAACATGACACATGCCCAAAGGCAGACATGCCAGTCTAGACGTCTCACAAGACCTTTTTCTTCTGCTGCTGTCCATTCAATTTCTGGGTCAAAGGCCTCTCGAGACTCGTATTCCGCTTCCTCGTACAGGTTGCGATAATACTCGGCGACCTTTGGATCCTTGAAAGGATTTCTGGCATCAATGGAGCTTCTGTCGGATGCCTCGTCAACTTCCGACGGGGTCTTGCTGTCGGCTGTAACCTCAAACTCTTGTTTGGAGGCCATGGTGGAAAGAAGGAATGAGATTGGATTGAATGCACAATCGTACTTACAGAGAGCCTCGCAGGGCTATTTCAAGTCTTCAGAAACCATGTGCTGCGATTTCGTGCTTTTAGGAGCCCTATTCGCCATTGCAGCGTGGCGCAAATGTGCTCGGCATCTCAGACGGTTGAGCCAATATGCAAGATAATGTCACGTTCGAATATGGCGACAGCTCGGGCTGAACAGATGAACGGCAATGGAATGGTGGAGATAGGAAAAGTGGTAAACTGGTATTGTCCAATGGAGAAAGGAGGTTGAAAAAGGGCAAGCAAGACGCGAAATGGCGTGCTTGGCTCGGCTTTCAGGTCGACCATACCAAGAGGCAGGCTTCACCCTCTGCGCCTGCCTTCCGATATAGCCAAGAGGAAACAGACTCCATCGAACACGGCAGTGTGCATGCGACAACTGACTCTAGCAACAGGGCGATCAACGTGGCTGCCGTATGGTTGGGCAGGCATCGCCTTGTCCCTTGGATGTCGGGTTATCTACCCTGATGTGATCTGCCTCTCACAGTCCGGGCTAGCCTTAATGCGCTTCCTCTTAGAACTTTTGACAGCCCAAGTCATGTCCGGAGTCCTAGGCTCTATCGCTTGGGTGTGTTGTGATACGCAGCGCAGCTTTTAGCCGCAGCGCATGGCGCAATATGCTTAGGATTCCATCTCTTTTCATAGGTCCAGACTCGTTACTGAGAGCGGTCGCGTCAATCTGACTAGGACATGCTGAACTCATTGCGTGCGCCGGTCTGCGGAGATAGTGTCACGTAGAACTCGAGTTCGTCATCGTTCGATATGGTGGCGCCGAGGCGTGGTCGACTTCCAATTGTGATGTGGTGGAGAACTTCGTACTGTCCTTGATACTCTCATTCAGATACTCTCCGTTTTGGCACTGGTTTGTTGGCGAACAGATAGAATGACGCGACCTGACCGAAGAAAGGCGGTAGCTGCCTCCGTGAACGAGTCAACTCGGGAAACATTTCAGAGCACGGCGCGCAACTCTGAGACCAACGGATATTCTCCTGCTCCTGCCGACCGCTGGCCAAACAGTTGCACTGGCTTTGAAGCGACTACGGATATTGGCAATATGTGAATCTTCTCATGTTACCCCCAATGCATTCTTTACTACACACATATGCTATCTCAAAACAAAGCTAAAGATACATGCTCGCTTGTAAGACCATGCTTGCATACCATGCCTACCACAATTCACAAGTGGGCTCCTTGACAGGGCAGCTAAAAGCTTCTCTGAATTCGCGCGAGTTGGCCGTTGTACCCTGCATGTCGTTAGCACCACTATCTTGACGTATATCTGGGGGGAGGTATACCTTAATTCTGAAAATGTCAGGACTGTGAGGGTCCGTGTAGATTCTTTGCACGACTTGCTCCTCTCTGAATGGCAATTAGTGCTGCTAAGTGGAATAAACGTGGTCAACATACCTCATCTTGCCACACCACGTCTGTCCGTATGCGAGGAAGAAGATCTGCTCCTTGGTGAAGTGGTCTAAGCCGGGAAGCATCAAGTCTGCTTTCTCATCATCGCGACGCTTCCAAGATTGATACGCCGCAGTAAGGCCACCAGCATCAGCGATGTTCTCTCCCAAAGTAAGCTTGCCGTTGATTGGCAGAGGTCCATTTTTGGTAGGAACAGTGTAGTTGTGGTATTGCTCCACAAAGCAGTCTGTTTTGGTCTTGAAAGCCTGGATTGTAGAATTGTCCCACCAGTCAGTGTAATTGCCGTTCTGATCGTAGTTTCTGCCGGAAGAGTCGAAAGCGTGCGACAATTCGTGACCAGCCACAGCTCCAAAGGCTCCGTATGAGAGATACTTGGGAATAGAGGGATCATAGAAGACAGGAGCTTGCATGATACCAGCCGGGAACACAATCTCGTTACCAGGAGGGTTGTAATAGGCATTGACGGTCTGTGCGCTCATACCCCATTCGTCCTTGTCAACAGGTTTACCAACTTGTGCCCAAGATTCACGCACATCCTGTCTGACGACTGACAGCTTGTTCTCGAAGAAGGTTGTCGCCGAGATACTGACATTGCTGTAGTACTCTTGCAACTCTCCTGCGTTGGTGATATCAGGACTTTGAGTTGGGTATCCGATCTTCTGGCGAATGAGATGAACCTTTTCGATAGCCAGCTGGCGCACGCTTTCGGTCATCCACTCTGATTCATTGAGCTTTATAGAGAATTCATCCTTGATGTCAAGAATGATCTGGTCGCCGAGGTCTTTTGCTTCTTTGGAGAAAGCCCTCTCTACGAAGAAGCGACTCATGATCCATTCTGTTCTGAATTAGTGCCATGAAGCATTATGTGGTGAGATGTGACTTACCAAGATCGTTGCCAACACTACTCACACAGGTTCTCCAGCGCTCCTGCTTCACGTCCGGAGCTTGGCCTCGGAGCTTGTTTCTGAATCGCAACAGCGGTTGTACGGCTGGATCTTCTACAGCTCCGGCCCATGATTGAACCACCTTCCACACCAGGTATGTCTTGATGGTCTTTCGCGAGGAGGACTTGAGAATCTTCTCCAGTGCCTTGAGATAATCAGGCGAACCAACAATGATCTTTGAAGGTGTGTAACCGCTTGCGAACGTGTCAAGAATCTCCTTGACAGATATTTCCGAGTTATAGGCTTCAGTCTCTTTCAAAGTACGGGGATTGTAGTACTTCGTGACATCTGCAGCATCCTCTGGGTCTGGTGCGACATTGGCCATGGACTTCTCGAGGGCCACAAGGCTGTCCACGAGATCCTTGCTTAGTACAATCATATCCTGATTGTCAGACATGAATAAGAGCGCATCAGGCTTGGCTTCCTTCAGAAGTGCTTCCAGCACGCTTCCAATGGTTTCTTTGTATGAGTCAACAACCTCGGCGCGCTCGTAGTACTGCTTGCTGGGAAGTCCAAAAGAGTATGGTGCACCGACGGAGATGACGTTAGTGTCTGGATCCTTGTCATCAGCGCCGACATCGATCGAGACGGGGCCCCCAACGCCGATGCTCATCAGGAATTCGATGGCCTTTGTGAGAGAGTTGTCATCCTTGTTCTTCTTCGACTTCTCAGTAGGGTAGATCTTGTCGAGTTGCAAGAGCAGATCCAGCAGGGGCTTTGATCCAATTGAAGCGAGTAAGGACTCATTCATACAAGCATTGTAGCCGTCCTGCAGCTTGTCGAAGATCTCCTGGTCCGGGTTGGCGGCTGTCCAGAAGAGCGACGTGTCCTTCGGGGCAGGCGACTCCAAGATATGCTTCAGGATGAGTTGGTTGTTCTCGTTCATGATCTGGAGGTTGCCAACGCCTGCTTGGTCCTCTCGGATCTCATGGGCAGCGTCGAAGCCAGCACAGACATAAGCCCGGAAGTCATCACAAGGGTCCAGCATTTCGTAACTGGTCTTATGTTAGCATCTCAGAATGGCAATACAAGAACTATGTCGTACCTTGGCGATAGACTACGAAGAATGTTTGCAGATGCGAGCACACATGCAGCTGATGTGCAGAGCTCGGTGGAGTTGCTATGCGGGTCGGATGGTTTCTCACCATGTGAATCATGATGCTTGTGCTTCTTGCCACTGCCGCGGATGGTCTGCACTAGGAGTGGAACGAGGACCAGAATGAGCAGGAGAATGATGATGAGGTAGACGCCATTGCGCTGCAAGAAGCGCTTCATACGCGTACCGAACGACTCCCTGGCTTCGCTCCGGTCACCTGTTGGGGCGTCACCATTGAGCAATGGTGTACGCTCAGTTCTGTTGTTGCTTGCCATGTCGTCAGCTCTGGCAAGGTGTTTGGTAGAGACAAGGGAGCCTGGAGCTCCGAGACTCCATTCGTCATGAGGTCGGGGAAGCGGGGTCGGCTCGTGCCTGAAACTCGGCTGACGATCCTTTGACCTGCATCTTGCTTTCCCTGTTTCCCTCCTCTGTCACACTGTCCATCCTCACGCGGCAATTCTGAGACATTGAAGTTGTGGAGATGCACGAGAGTTCTCCTGAATGGTAGCCGTTCACAAAGATAGACTGTGAGACACTTCCTTACTGGACCGACTCTAACTATGGAACTTTTGTGCAATTCAACAGCTACACGCTTGATACTAACTTGTCCCATCCCAAGCCAATCGCTCTCTTATGGCCGCACTTCTGGTGGGAAACATATACTCGATATGACTGAGCCGAGATTACGATTTACCTTGGTCGAAGGATTCGTACGCATGGACCTCAATATTCAGGCTCCACTATCAAGCCATGGACGAATTCGGATTCTCACATTCAACGATCTTGAGCAGGGCAACGAGGACAATTTAGTTTCTTGATCTCCAGGCATCCGTTATCAAGCTACCTTGACTTCAGAAACCTCAAGATAAATCTCGTCTCGATGGCAGACATGCAGCTAGACGACAAGGCCGAAACGCTTCTGTCAAGGATAACCAAAGTCCGCGATACAACTCCATTGCCAGCAGAACTTGCATCTCTCGGTCTTCGAATCCAATACTTCTTTCTTGTCTGGGCTGTGAAAATCACCATCGCCGTCCAACTAGCCTATCTGCGCTTCTTCTACCCGACTCCGGAAACACAACCATCATTCATCAAGACATATGACTGCAGACCTAAACTTCCAGTTCGTGTTTTCGAACCAAAATCTCGACTCGGAGGAACACAAGATACCTTACCTCTTTATATCAACATCCATGGAGGAGCGTTCGCAACTTGTGATGCGTCAATCGACGATTCATTCTGCAAGTCCTGGTCCCAGCGTACTGGTATGGTGGTGGTGAGCCTCAACTACAGGAAGTCGCCCGTACATCGATTTCCTGTTCCAGTTCTCGATATTGCAGCGGTAGCGCGTGCCATCATTGATGACGAGACTCTGAACATCGACAAGTCACGTGTGGTCATTGGTGGGTTTAGCGCTGGTGGTAAACTGGCATTGACAGCTTGTCAACTGCCTGAGCTAGAAGGACGAATCAAAGCTGCAGTGTCGTACTTTCCAATCGTCGACTGGAGCGCTCCGCCGCATGCTAAATGGTCCGAGCGTCTGTACACGGAGAAGCCATCTGAATCACTCAATACCGCTGGCCCAGCACTAGATTGGGCATATGTACCTGCGGGTCAAAATCGAAAAGAGAAGCTGCTCAGTCCTTGCTATGCCAGCAGAGAAGAACTTCCCAAATGGGTGTGTTTGATTGGAGCTCAGCACGACATGCTTTGTCGTGAGTCGAGGGATATGATCTACTCGCTTGCTGGCGAAGATGTGCCCGAATATGGCTGGGATGAGGGTTGGGAGCGTGGCACCTACAAATGGGTTCTTGCAATGGGCGTTAGACATGGTTTTACGGACGACTTTCGCAAGAAACGAGGTCATAGCTCCGAGCAACGAAAGCAGGTCTGCGAGGAGATTTATGCTTCGGTGCATAAGTGGCTAGAAAACAAGGTCTTGGTGGGAAATTGAACGGTTTCTTTCACACAGGGATCGGAAGGTCCCGCGGAAGGACTGCGCCAATTTCGCCCTTGCTTTTCCAGCGACGGTCAGTACATGGCTGCAGAGCACGATTTATTTCTGTGCATGGTCGTATCTTGCGAAAGCGCTTACTGTCAACGGCAAAGACTGATGGATCTTGTATTTTTGGTGATCTAAATCTTCTAACTATCTTCATCGCCATCATTGTTTTTCGCCACCATCGCTCGAGTTTCCTGTGTTTACAGAAAGCGTCGAACGATCATTTTTTCCTCACCAGCATCTTCTTGCGATATTAGTCACCTCCTCCACGGTAACCAACACCATCGCCGCAGTCAAGTCCAATATCGCCGTGATCGTTTCCAGTGTGATTGGCATCCTGGCATTGGTCCACAAGATCATTGTGCGTGTCCTGAGTTTCTACGTTGCATTGTCTGTCTTGTTGATCACCATAGTTGTAATGACTTGCAGGCGTCTGGCGACCATGACCTGCATTCTGGTCGCTGCCAGGATTGTTCTCGGTACTGCGCCAATCTTCTGGGGTCTCTTGAGGAGAAGTATGATGAGGAGCCTCCACCGCGACGGGTCCTACGTAACCTCCCCAGCCAGAGTATCCAAAGTCATTCACCAACCGCTGCCTGAGCCTCTCACCAGAAGCTCTGTAAGGTCTGGTCTGCGGCATTTGTCTCAAGTATACTGCTTGGCTTGTCGGTCTTGATTCTGCTACTTTCGCTGCTCTGCCAGGTCTTACATGGCTAGGAGAAGGGGAGATCGGCACTGGAGGCAGATGCGATGGTGAATCTATGGCTGTCCAGTCTCCTGATTCTCCATGACAAAAGCAGAGTGTTTCAATAATCCTTTTGAACAAAGTTCGCTTTTTGGGTGTCTGGATAGGTGGGAGAGGAGCCGGAATGGCATCGACTTGGGTGGAGAATGTTTTGATTTGTAATGATGTGTCTACTTCCGCAGATGGAGTCGTGTATCTTGGATTTGGAGTTGAAGAGTCGGCATGATAATTGTAGTTGACCCAAAGACCAGGGCTGTCGGGGAGGGGTGGGTAGATACTCGGGGATACAGAGAGCATTCCAGGTTGCGAATCACATATGTCATGTGCAGCGTGTATGTCGTTAGCTGGCGGTGGCTGAGGTGGGTCAATACTGCTGCCCGGCGATGGGTCATCAGCCTCTGGCGTTACAATGGAACCGCTCTCGCTTCGTGGAAGGTTGATATTCTCGGCCTGAGAGTACACGCTGGTGATGGTCGGCGAAGGATACCAGTGTACAGCATCTTTCAAACAGGGGCTGGGGGGGTATGGGGGGAAAGCAGCGTTCTGCGGCCCATCGTCAAACCCTTTCCATTCTTCTTCGGCATTTTGATACTCGTCAGACTGCGAGTAGCGCCTATCACGGGTTGCACGAATATCTTCCTCTGAGCCTAGAGTCCTGGCGTGCCCTGAACGTGAATACACATCGGTCTCGACCGATACATCTGCGACGACCTCGGGATATGTAGCGGAGCTGTAGAATGAAGGTGCTCTGTAATTTCCGTTCTCCGGTTGAGCACACTGTCTTTCGTATGCTGTATGCAGATCTTTCTCTGATTGTGGAAGCGCAATGTTGTCCAGACCTGTTGGGTACGCGTTGTCTCCGAGCGGTGTATCTGTAATCTGCTCAGGGAACGGCACGAAGCTGCCAAATGAGCCTCTGGAACTGCTCTTATCTCGTTGAGAATACACAGGGGCAGTTGGTGACAGATAATTCTGTGGAGGGCTCTGTGTACCTAAGTTCCCGTCCTGCGATGATTTCAAGTTCTGCTGTGACGCTGGAATAAGGTAGCTGTCGATGGTCGCTTGGTTCGGTGTGCTGTCTGGAGATGCTAGCGAATGATCTCGTGAGTGATCAAACGAAAGGGGTGAGAGACAGTAATCTCTATTAGACCGATCCATATTGTCTTCGTCGCCTTGCAGGACCTCACGATTGGGAAAGCCGAAGAAATATTCGAGGAAAGAGGTGAGAAGGATCAGATAAACGTGGTCTATATATTCGCCTCCTTTTCGCTTGATGAGTCAATTTGCGCAACCACACCAAGCTTTTCGCACAAACCAGAGAAAAGAGCTTTATCTCTATTTAACAACCGCATCCAGTGCCGCAACCGCAGCCAGTGCCACAAATAGCAGCGCCCGAACAAGTAGCAGCCCCGCCTGGAGTAGTTGCTGACATGGTCGCAATACTGCCAGCAGTACCGCCGGTACTCTTGCCGCCGCTCTTTGTGAACGACGATCTGCCTGATCTTCTGGACAAGAGAGATCTGGCCAACCTGACAGGTTTGGCGGGCTTTGAGCTCTTATTTGCGGCATCCTTGTGCATGCACGTCAACTTGCTCAGGAGCTTTGCCACCCAGCCCTTCTTGGGTGCGTTTCTGAGAGGGTTTCTGGCTGGGACAGGAGGGGCGGCTTGCTCCTGCTGCTGCTGTCCCTTTTGCTGCTCCAAGGCTTTGAGCTGATCTAGAGTCTCCAGGGCAGAACTTTTGCGCAGAGGTTTGGTTTCCGACTCCTCGGGGTGGATGGACGTGGAGCTATCCTCGGGCGAGACGGTGAGGGGCGCCTCGGTCAAGTCTGGACCGCTAGGGTCGCTTTGTTCAGGATGATCGAACGCAAGCTTGCAGACTACTTGACCTTCTGGTGATGGCTGGCGCTGAGGTGTTGGAGGAAGTCTGACTTCGACGGGCTCTGGATTAGGTCTGTCCTCGATATGCACAGAGTGCATCTTGAGAGGTGCCGGCATGTCTGGATAGACCGGAATAGTAATATCCTCCCTGATGGGGGTCATGGTCTTATTGATTGGTCTCTGAAGATTGAGAGAAGTCATGTTGGTAGATGTTGCAGTTTTTCTGACACGGGTTGAGAGACAGAATACAAGTGACCAGGTAAAATTCTCATCGACTTTGTAGTCGCTTCGTGAGCCATTGTGCTGTTAGCTCTAAGAGCTTTGGTATGACTTGGTCTTGGAGGAGTGATTACAAGCGTATTGTTGGTCAGAAACCATGTGGTTTTGATTGATCTGCGGCAATTCGAGTGCTCTCATACGTCGTCTTCCGGAATTGTTCAGTGCAAGTTCCGATGACTCGCGTCGTTCTCACACACGCAGATGACGAACCAAACGGTCTGTGCCAGCGAGGCCAAGATGAACAATCCAAGAATCGCTGTCCCTCTCTTTAGACCAGCCTTGGCTTGTCCGTTTTGTTGATCGAGGCCACAAGGATTTGCAAGCTGCGATCACAGCCTTCATCTGAACCTCCCATCAACTCTGGATGTTTTTAAGATTGCGAGAAGAGTTCTCGCAAATAACCGATACGAGAAGGAAGAAGCGACCTCCAAAGGTCGTATGAGGCTAGCCCGAGTGCTACTGCCTGTTCTGTGTGTTCTGCCTGGGTACTGATGCTATCCTCGACATCGGCCGCCGGAATGCGCACAGTCCCCAAAGGTTAACGACTGGCCAGTCCTAGGTTTTCGGGACGATCCGATCGGTTCAAAAGCAATCTGCATGTCGATAGGATTCATGGCTCTTCCAGGTAGGGGACTGAGGAGTCCATCCCTTTGCATCTACTTTTCTGTCAATTTTGCGCGGTGAAAAAAATTCGAATGCAGGAAGAATGTATTATGACACCTCTTGAGGTGCAGACGCCAGCGTCTTATAAAATTATGTGCAGAGGAAGTAGGCAGAAATCAAGGCAAGGGTGAAGAGGGAGTGAACTCGGTGTTCCACTCCGGCCACTGCTTGTCTACAGCCCAATCGCCGCAGTCTGGCTGGCCACTGTCGCCCTCGACCAACCTTCTCCAGACAGTGGATATGACTCTCTTGTGTTCTGGGTGTGGTCGTACTGATACGTAAATGCCTGTGCCATGTCTACCTCTAGCGACTTCCATGTCGATGAACCCGCCGCAAACGTTGCGCAAGATGACGGAAGCGGGACTGCTGTCGTCCCAAACGCGAGGGTATGAATCGTTGCCTGGGAAGTAGATGCGTGCTTCAAGCTTTTCGATCGGGTAGCGTGGCGCCTTGCCTAGTGTGGCTGATACGAGATGTGCGAGTTGTTCCAGGTGCAGCGGTTGTTCTGCAGTCACGGACTTGGGATAGCTGCCCGCGATGTGTATGCTGCGTGCCTGGCGGAAAAAGTCCGGACATTTCGTCTTGAAGACATGTAGGCCCAACGGGAACTGTATGAAGAGGCTTGTTTTTCTGTTGTTCTTGACGCGGAAGTGGGTGCTGAGTTCGGCATGAACTTGGTGGTTGAGCAGGAAGAGTGAGGACAAAGTCGAATGGTGTGTCTCGCCGAGATAGTCCTGAGGCCTTGGTGCTGATGAGACGTCGATGCGGGCGGGGTCTGAGATTGAGAGGAGGCGAGATGAATAGCCCTCGAGGATGACGGGTTCGTGGAGAGGAGGCAGGCCTGGTAAAGGGGCGCGTTTGTCGCCGTATTGTCGGTGAACAAGATCGGGACCAGTGCCCGTCAGCTCGCAAGCTCCGATTGTGACGGCTGCTCCCTCGACTGCTGCATATTCATAGATGATGAGACGAAGCTCTAGTGGAAGCTCGAGAAAAGACATGGTGTCAATTGATATACTCTGAAGTAATAAGTGAAACAATAGGTGAAGAAAGTAAACAGAAAGAAGGTCATATGTTTCTTACAGCGGCGGGGTTTATTATCTATCTTATCGCTCACTTTATCGCCGTTGAACCGTCCCGCGCCTCTATTTACTGTCGACTGGACCCACTTGTAAACAACCTGCACAATGCAACACCCGTGATATCGTGAAGTTTATACCCGCTGATACTCGACACACGCCAGCATTGAGCCTGCTGTGCTTATCACGCCCTCTTCAAACCTTCCGAATGACCAATCTTTGGCGCTTCAACGCAAGGGGTGACCCTAACCACACGACTCGTGTCTCACCCATCGACTGGCTGTTCCTCGGCAAATCTTTCCCCAGTCATCTGGAGTTCATCTGGAGTTTGGCAGCTCTTCCACCATGTCGTCTGTCGATTCCTCTCCTTGCGCCGTACATCAGAATATCCGCGTCTCTATCTCTTTTTGTGTCTGCAGCGCAGTATCTACTTCCAGCACTTTGCCTTCTTGAACATCTTGACTTGCGACGTTGTGTTCGGTCAAGCTCGGGTCCAACGGACATCCTTCAAGCCACACTCGGGCAGTGCCCCAGGCACCACCTTTCCATCCATGTATCTCGCGAGTAGATTTCGCTCTCACCATCCCTAAATCTTCCTTCCAATCAGGCAACTGAATTGCTGACACCCCTCTTGTCGTGAAGGAACAAAAGTTTAAGTATCGCATAGAGATATATTGTCTACTCTTTCCCCTCACGTTGACTTATCGTTTCGTATCTCTCACTTTCTCTCACTACAAAAGCAACAATCATAATGAGTCAGAGTATTGCTTTTCTAGGCGCAACAGGCGGATGTGCAGGCTCCTGTCTCATTGCCGCCCTCAATGAAGGATACACTTGCCGCGCTCTCGCCCGCACACCCTCAAAGCTCACCTCTTCTCTAAAAGCTAAAGGCGTCTCTGAGTCCTCCTTCGCCAATCTTGAGGTCACGAAAGGAAACGCCAAAGACATGTCCGCTGTCAAATCACTTCTACAACCGCCTTCCGGAAGCATCGTTGATACTATCGTCTTCGGCGTCGGCGCAGCTCCAAAATTGAGACTGCACATCATGCCCGTCACGTTAGATGATCCAGAACTATGCCGTACAGCAATGGCGACCCTGATGGCTGCTTTGTCCGAGATCAAGGCGGCTACGAAACCGAGACTCCTTGTCATCTCCACTACTGGCATCACTCGTGGACCTAGAGATGTGCCATTGGCTTATGTACCGCTATATCATTGGATGCTCGCCGTCCCCCACGTCGACAAAGAAATTATGGAGAGATTGGTCTGGGAGCAGAAAGACAAGGCCGAGACTGAGAAGGTCATTGGCGAGTTCGCTATTGTGCGGCCGACATTGTTGTCGGATGGGCAAGGTGTGGGTGTGCAGAAGGTCAGGTATGGACTTGAGGACAATCCTGCGCTTGGTTGGATGATCGATAGAAAGGATGTTGGCGATTGGATCTTTGAGAAATTGTTGAAGCCGTCAGAGTTGGGGGAGTTCAGGGATCAAGCTATCAGTTTGACTGCTTGAGATCTTGCCCTCTTTTGATGGCTTTTTCGCGCTCTCATTGGAAATTGATCTTGACGCAAAATCATTCTGCATTGCGACAGATGGTCGCTGACCGATAATTGGAGGTCATCGATATGAACGGGCAATTCAGGAGTGTGTTGAGCATATATAAGAAGTGAGACACTATGAATGAATGGGAGTATGGTGGGATCGATCTTGTGTATTGCTATAGACGGCTATAGTTGCAATCTTGTGATTCAATCCATGTGCAGTAATGAAAGTCATTGTTTTTACTTCTATGTGTAGCCTGCCGTGTCCTGGCATCCTGTATGCAATTGTTTCATAATTCGTTTAGTGCTTCATCGAGTGTCACGTTGCTTCATTCGTGCCTGTATTGTCATCCGCCTTTTTCGATCTGATGCCTTCTTCGCATACCTCAAATTCGACACCGTCCACCCCGTTATTGTCACGCGACCAAGCTGAGAAGGCGACTTTGAGATGTCGTTTCCATCCGACGATGTCCATACCCGGCCCTAGGAGATAATCTTGAGGCTTGAGTATTGGTTGCTTGAGCAGCACGATGCGGGCCGACAATTGGTTTGTCCATGTCAGTCCTAATGATGGTGTCTTGAGGTCACGCAAAAAGCGCTGATCGCCCCAGCCGGTGAAGAACCGTTGTTGGTGATCCAGCGATAGGGGATCGTTTGTAGAGAAAACTTGTATGGGTTGCTGAGACAGTTGAGGTGGAACAGCATTATTGTTGTTCGCATTCGAGACTTGTGTACTAACAGAGGATTGCGAGAGCGGGGTGGGAGTCACAGCGGCATCGAAGTAGGAAGCGATGGGGCCAAATCGATCGAGGACTTGATTGGCGACGACGACGGCGACGTTATGGGTACGAGCGAGGTCGCGCAGATGAGAGCCAAGTTGAGTCAGCTGCAGACTGCGACGAGCCAGAGCATCCGATGACGAAGCAGCGCCAGCGCGGTCGAACTCAGCACGGAAATTTGCGGCTATGGAATCGATGATAATGAGGCCAACGTTGGCTCGAGCGATTTGAACGGGCACTTGGTAGCGCAGAACATGGTCTTGGGACTCGAGGTCTTGTAGTTGGGCACTCTGCACGCGGGACAGTGATGGTCGTTCAGATTCCGATAACAGAGATAGATACGGATGCCTTGTCAATATCTGGTTCAGGCGCGTGGTTGACAAGGGGGCCTCAGTCGAAAGATACAGAGCAGTCTTTCCGAGACCCTTGGGTGGCGCTAGTTGTACAGCTAGTAGCAGGGTCAAGAGGAGCTGGGTCTTGCCTGCCGCACTTTCTCCTGTAATCTCGCAGACTTGTCCAGCTGGGAAGCCGCCTCCAAGTGCTGCATCGAGGTCATCGTCCAGCGTGCTGATGTGCGACCATGTTGGTCTTGTGTCTTCTTCTCCTGACTTGGCAGTAGCATCCTCCTCTTCGCTATGGCCATTCCTGGACTCGTCAAAGCCGAGCTGGGCGTGAAGCTGGGCGATCAGGGTTGCGGTAAGTTCGCGTACTTGATCGATAGACACGTCGGCGCGGCGGGCGACATCGACGGGGCCGAGAGTCATCAAGTCATTGCTGCTGATATTGGCCTTTTCCAGTCGTTCCAGCACTTTCTCGAATGGCTCCGTGTCGATGTTCGGAAGCAGCTGGATGATATCACTCATGGCTGACTTCCTTCCTCCTCTTGCTGACCTCGGGCTTGTTGTCAAAACTTCTTTGCTTGTTCGAGAAGCCGCGACTCTCACGCGTCTTCCATTTCCCCGGCTTTGTGTGGCCCGTGCCTGGCTGCAACTTCTCCAGATTGTCGGTCTGGGCCCGCGTCACCGTGGTCATCCGAGGTGACTTCTCCGATACCAGCAAGAGCCTCAGAATCTCCACAAGTGCATGCATGTGCATGTACAAGCAGTTTTCCGTCTTCCACTGATCCGCCATTTGTGTTTCCAAGGTGAGTAATAACCGAAACTGCCAGCCAAAGGCATATTTCTGGCGAGCCCATAAATTGCATCGTTTTGGTTCCCCTCATGATCCAAAGAGCCGGAGCAGCGGCTGTCAAGACGTGCCCCTCCATTTATCCTTTGCGGACCCTGCATGATGCTGTCACATGCGATAACGTCGATATAACTGTATCAACTTCGCCAGCCCTCCCTCTTGTTCGCCTTCTTCCTGTTCTAGCCCACCTCAAATGCCACCCTACTGTCTACAAGACTGCCACTACTTCTTCCGCACCGCTCTTCGTGGCCTGTCCATCTCGACGACCATCTCACCCTTGTACACTTGAACTGACACATGATCGCCATGACTGCCAGAAGACTTACCAATACCTCGACCTCATTAGACAAGGTTGTTTCCTCGTCGAGTCCCCCAAGATCCGTTCCTCCAGAGTTCGACCGCTCCAACTCTGCCTCGAAGGAGACTGGAAAGTCATTGCCTGTCGCATCGCAGAAAAGCGAGAAGGCCGCCATGGCTACTCAGGGTGTCACTTTCGCATCTCAAGACAAGCTGCCCAAGCTTCCTATCCCGGACCTGGACAAGTCTTGTACCAAGTATCTCTCATCTCTCAGACCTTTGCAATCAGCCAGAGAGCATGCAGAATCCGAAGCTGCTGTCCAAGAGTTTCTCCGAGCAGAGGGACCTGAACTGCAGGAGAAGCTCAAGAAGTATGCCTCGGGAAAGTCCAGCTACATCGAACAGTTTTGTATGTGTCTTGCACTCTCAGCCTCGTCAAAGCTAACACTTCTCAGGGTACGACTCATACCTCAACTTCGACAACCCCGTCGTTCTTAACCTCAATCCTTTCTTCTTACTCGAAGACGACCCAACACCCGCCCGAAACAACCAAGTCACCCGCGCCGCATCGCTTGTCATATCTGCACTCTCATTTGTGAGAGCTGTGAGGAAGGAAGAGCTGGAGCCAGACACCATTCGAGGTCAACCTCTGGACATGTACCAATACTCGCGCCTGTTTGGCACCGCTCGCATCCCCACCGAAAACGGTTGCCAGATCGGTCAAGATCCTTCGTCCAAGCACATTGTCGTTCTGGTGCGCGGCCAGTTTTACTGGTTCGATGTGCTGGACGACAATAACGACCTGATCATGACCGAGAAGGACATCACTGTGAATCTGCAAGTTATTGTGGATGATGCTCAGCAGATACCCATCCAGGAATTTGCAAGAAACGCTGTCGGAGTACTCAGCACCGAGAATCGAAAGATCTGGTCCAGTCTTCGCGACGTCCTCTCACGAGAGGAAGGCTCAAATAACTCTGACAGCCTCAACATCGTCGACTCTGCTCTTTTCATTCTGTGTCTCGACTACACAGAGCCAAAGTCCGGCGCTGATCTCTGTATGAACATGCTCTGCGGAACGTCTCAGATCGAAGACGGTCTGCAAGTTGGCACATGTACCAACCGTTGGTATGACAAGCTGCAACTCATCGTCTGCAAGAACGGCAGTGCGGGCATCAACTTCGAACACACAGGTGTAGACGGTCATACAGTCCTACGTTTCGCATCTGACGTCTACACTGACACCATTCTTCGCTTCGCTCGTACTATTAACGGCAAAGCACCCTCGCTTTGGGCATCCGACTCACCCGATCCTGCTAAGCGAGATCCAAACAGCTTCGGCGACGTCTCGACGACACCTCACAGATTGGAATGGGACATGCTGCCAGAAGTCTCCACAGCCGTTCGATTCGCCGAGACTCGTCTTGCAGACCTCATTCAGCAGAACGAGTTCGCAACTCTTGAGTTCATGCAGTATGGCAAGAACTTCATGACCAGCATGGGCTTCTCTCCAGATGCTTTCGTTCAGATGGCCTTCCAGGCAGCTTACTACGGTCTGTACGGAAGGATGGAGTGTGTTTACGAACCAGCCATGACCAAAGTCTTCTTCCACGGCCGCACCGAAGCTATTCGACCAGTCACTGATGAGTCTACCGAATTCGTCAAACTCTTCTGGGGAGACAACCCGCCTTCCAAGAAAGTCGAAGCGTTGCGCAAAGCTTGTCAAAAGCACACCGAGATCACAAAAGAGTGTGCCAAAGCTCAAGGACAAGACAGACATCTTTATGCCTTGTTCTGTGTTTGGCAACGAATGATTGATGGTGATGAGGAAATTTTGAGTCAGAACGGAGACAGTGGTGACAACCTAGACGGGAACTCATCCGATATGATGAGTGACGATGACAGCTCTCGAAGCTCGATGAACAGAGTCCAAACCAATACTGGTGTCATGCCATCTTTGTTTGCCGACGGTGGCTGGGACCGACTCAACACCACCATCCTTTCTACGTCCAACTGCGGCAACCCTTCTCTGCGTCAGTTCGGATTCGGACCCACCTCAGGCGATGGCTTCGGTATCGGCTACATCATCAAAGATGGTAGCGTTAGTATTTGTGCATCTTCCAAGCATCGTCAAACGAAGCGTTACATCGATGCCATTGAAAGCTACTTCTTGGAGATGAGGAAAGTCCTACGACAGACACAAAGAAGAGGCACAAACACCGACAAGCTCGCCAGCCGTGCACGAGAAGTCGAAGAGCTGAAGGCAAAAGCAAGGCCCAAGAGTGCTAGACTGAAGTCTCGTGGCAAGCTTGTTGATGGTACTAGAACACCCGCCATGGAGAGTGAGCAGGTCAGCGACGATGACGGTTTAGGTGGCTGTAAGTTTAACACATCCTTTTATATGCAATATGATGCTGACAAGTCTCATAGATGGCTTCTTCGATGCTGGAATGCTATTACAAGCGCTGAAGCAGGAGCAAGGCGGCAACATCAAGCCTAGTCAAAAGGCTGCGGCGAGGAACAAGGTTGGAAAGAAGTTGCAATTGATGGACTATTAGCAGATTGTCGCTTCTGTTTCATGATATATCCGATCTAATGCCATCTTTATTGTCGACAAACGTACTTTTTGCACTTTTCTGTCACTACACCTGTGCACAAATATGTCTTCGCCATGTGTATTGCCTCAATATGCCAATATCTTCATTTTATCTACCCCATATAGCATTCCATTCAAAACGTGCTACTCGCACTACGCATCGTCTTTTGTTCAAATCCAGTACCTCTTCAGGCGGAAGTACACGCCTGTAATCAAACACATTGCCAACACAGCGGTTTCTATGATCCCGATCCAGCAACAAGATCTGTAGAAAATGTATCCCGTAACAGCAAGGATGGTCAGGAAGAGAATCAAGAGAACACCAGCGGATATCGCCGGACCCATAGCTCTAGCAACGCTGATGAGTTGATCCTTAAGCTTGACGCCTACAGCTTGCATGAAATCTCTGAATGCGGTCATGGCAGGATGGATGACCGGTTCGGGGGCAAGTCTGCTGCTATAACCCGTATTGTTGAAGTCGGCGAGAGACGGGTGGTCGATGGCGCTTCCGCTTTTTGTCAATTGCATCTGCTGGCTGGGGTAGGGAAAAAATCGGACAGTGGTGACGATTGCATGACAGACCTGGCGATAGGTGTATGCATCACTAGTGCATGACTGGGCAGTCAGCCATTCCGGGCTGAATGTATGCTTGCACTGTCCTAGATCCGTCCATGAATCCAGGGTGAGTTCGAGGACTCCTTGATGTGGGTGTCGGTGCAAGTCGAGTATAAACTCCGTAAGACAGTTTGCACATTTCTCAACATTGGGTCCTTCGCGGACGACTTCGAAAGTGCTGTCATTATCCATGTCCAAGAGTGATGCAGTGCGTGCTTTGAGCTCCGCCACGTTGGCCGGGTCTCGGCAGTGGCAGGTTTTAATCCTTTTTGTGGTCAACAGGTCAATCAGGTGTGATCTGTCTAGTCCTCGAGAGTTGAGAGACGCCAGGTATTTTCGGCTGAGAAGAATGCGCTGGGTGACATGTAGCACAAGATTGCGACCCACAAACTGAGGTTTCATCTCGATTTTCTCCATCCAGGCCGTCCGATAATCGCGAGCGCAAGTCTGAAGTCGCCAGTCGGAATTGGCTGGAATGACTTCTGGTGCGGAGCCATGAGCTTCTCCGAGACGACGTCGGTACATGATCTGTCTGAAATGCTCAAATGACAGATATATTCTCCAAACACTGTAGTTCAGATACATAGCGTCCGGGTCGAATGGCTGACAGCCACAAAGTCGATACCACGGGTCGAAGATGCCAGGGCGACCAGGACAAATCTTTCCCAATTTGCGGCGAGGGCGCATCTTCTGACAGTAGTCACAAACGGCCAAGCCAGGGCGCTCCTTTAGCAAAACTTCGAGAAGTTCCAAGCGCTCTAAGCTGATCAGGTCCGGACGAACAACCTTCAGGTAGTCATCTTGATCAAGTGCCTTTTTGCACGAGAAGTGGCGCTTCCAGATATTGTTGAGGTAATCGTTGCGAAGGAACATATCTTTGCATGTGAGAGCCATACATGCGACGCCGTGAATGGGGAGATGATCTGATATGCTCAGGATCAAGTCTGGTGGAGTTGTCCGATTGCGCTCGGCTTTTCTGAACTCTTGGTGAGAGACATATTGTCCTTGGTGATAGGCTCGGTGGACTGTTAAGTAGTGGTGGGACGGACTTGGTGATGAAGTTGATGTCGGGATTTTTTTTGAAGGGCGATGCGTATGCAGCTACATTCTTGAAACTCCAGAAGCTATACCTCGACTTTGAGTCACCGATGATGATGACTCTACGCGGACATGACTGTGTGGGTTTGTTCCACCACAATCGACACCACTACTCGCGAGACTCAAAGTGATTGTGACCGTCAGAAGGCACGATGCTTTTGAGATTTGCAGAGCTGTCCACTGAGAATGGTTGTACTGGGAGCTCTCATCAGACATCGCGTTTGCCTACTGTGCATAGCTACAGCTATCAATGGCAGTGGGCGTAGCCATGTTGAAAATCAGCACAGTCTTCTCAAACATGCTCAATGAGCCCAACTCAACCCGTGACTCACGGGGATTCGTCAACAACAAGAATAGTACAACCCGTCCTTGCTTCTCGAGAACTACTTTTCGACCTTAGAACCATCTACTGTCAGTAGAACTTCATGGAGTCCGGTAGCCCAAGCGTGATAGCCAACAATCTGCCATTTCCCTTCCTGAGCTTACCACCCGAGCTCAGAATTGGTCTCCAAGTTCCATATCGCAAACACACCCTCTTTTCGCGGTCTGTTTGGCGCGCACATAGATATAATATGGCCGCGCAGCCGATCGTCTGCACGTCGTGATCCGTTCCGATGTGCTGCACCGGTTCACTGTTGGAGCGATCAGCATCCAAGAAATTGTCAAGTCCTTTCGATTGGTTATACAGGATGGCAAGAGTGGGTGACGCATGTGATTGTGCATGGGACGCAGAACCTCCGTCCTCGACGCCCCGCTGGGCTGGAGATATCAAATGCAGAGTCTTTCTGACATTGCAGTCCCATCTGCTGGGAGCGAGTGCGATGACTGCTCTCACTGGCTGGTTGTGCCGATATGGAAACGATTGTGTCTTCTCATAGCTACGCAGCGGCATGTAACGAGCAACAGAGACTCAACTCGGCAAGAAACTTCTTTGGACAGTCGGGCAAGTTGGTGAATGCCGGCAACGTAAAGCGCGTAGAAGCGCATGGTAAGGGCATGGGCTTGCATTGATAGGCAAGCCGTCGAGATAGCAGAAGCTGCAACATATATCAACCTGCAGACGCAACAACAGCGACCTGGTTTGCAATCAATAGCCCTACCAATGTGGCTCGCATGTGCATTGCAGGAAGCAGCCAGCTCGAGCGGAGCGGGTCAAGCGGTACCTGACATTATCGAAAGCCTTTTTTATTAACAAAGCCGTCAAACGCGTCAGTGGCGACGGGCCCGTGAAGGACAATAAGAGTCGCTTTTCTGTCTCGCGTGGTGGTAGATAGGATCGACTGAGATCCCCACCCCGGACTGTTTCGCGTAGATTGTGGCAGATGTTGTTCCGAGATTGAGGGCTGGACCGAGATGCCGCAATGGCGGAGCTCTTAGACGAAGTGAAGGGCGAACGCGTAAGGCTCTGCGGAGTCTTGCTCGTGATCCAAAGACCTGGTATCCATCATAGATTGCATACGATGTGTCTGCGATGGGGATCAGCGATGAAAACTTCTTGTCGGGATGATTGTTTTGGCACTCCGTACAGAAAGAGAAAGCTCGAGTCTTGGCTTCTGGAAGGTCGCTTCTGCGGGAGCTGAGGCGCATGCAGCTGCTCGAATCACAAAGCACTCTTGGAAACCTAGCTATCAAAATGCACAATGTTATGGAGGATCATCCAGAGAGGTTCTGCTGCGCGTTGACACCTGCTGCATAGTGAATCCTCATGCGCCCGGTATCATTTTCTTAACTGTCCTCGTTGTCCAACGTTTCATGCGCGATGTTTGACCTTTGCTGAATGCACTGAAAGTCCGTAGCTCGAGCTCGAGGAGAATGATAGGTATGCATACCCATGTCAACTCCGTACATATCAATGTGTCTCCCAATGGCAAAGAAAACAAAACAAACAATGGATCAAGCAATAGCAAACCCAAGATCCGGTACAGCGCAAAGAAGCACTGATGAACATTCCCACACCGCACCCCAATGTCTCAAATCTACCACAGCTCAGTGAGAAAAAGTCGCAATCTGTCCATCATCCGAACCGAACATCTTTGCGCAGCGACACGGGCAGTGTCGAAATTTGACAAGACGCGCTGGTTGCACGCAAGAACGTTTCTTGTCAGGCGTCCCAAACCATTTACGACTTTAAAGTTTGCGCTCGGGAAGGGACGAAGGTTCAACGGGCCGCCAACTTCCAAAACGACCGGCGGCCGTTGCTGCATATCAACGAGATTGCTTTGGTTAAAATGACGGTCGCGTGCGACCATTGGAATTTTGTGTGAAAGTATGCTTTTGTTATAGAAATCCATGGCTCATTATGTTGTGAGGCAGAAAGGAGTGTAAAAGAACAGAGGAGATTCGTTTATAGAAGCACTAAAAGTAAAGGAGAAGCATAAGTCGCTCAGGGGATATCGGTGAAAGGGACAGAATCGGGTAAATGTATGCGCGAGGACAAGTCCTCTGCGCAGAAGAAACAGATGTGACAGAGGAGACGTTATATCGTGAGAAGTTCCACTCTTTTCAGCCCGCTTGATCTGAGGAGTAGAGTGATAACTCAAATGAGAACATATAGGAAAGGGCCATATTGAGAGCTCAAGCGGATCGTTCACGCTTGTGCAGCGCCGGTCTTGGCTTTGTGATGAACTTGTCGTGCTCGGCTCTCAAGTCACCAAGACTGGGACTCATGACTACACGCGGTCTTTGAGACTGCTGTGCAGTAAGGCCCCTGATGCTCCGCGAGCTGGCGGGTCTGCTGAGGCTGAGCGCACTAGCAGCGCGGACTAGACTGGGGTTGGGACTGGAAGGTCGCGAACTCAACGCAGAGCCTTTACGGCTGCGAGATCCAAAAGCGACATCACTTGGGCTCACGACCTGGCCAGCGAATGGTGATGAAGTGATTATGGTGCCAGGGGACGCAGCTGGGGAAGGAACAGGACTGTCGCTGCGGAACAAGGGATGAATATGTGACTGGTCCTGGTTGAGTTGTTGGTTCGATGGGCGGCGATTCAGAGAAGGTGCAAATGGAGGAAAGGCAGGCGATTCGGGTACTTCGTCGGCCTCCTCGTCTTCTTCGCTCGCCTCAGGAAAAGGTCCGTCAAGGGGGTAAGCGGGAGACACTGGTCTGCTGCCAGGGATGGTCTCAAGTCGGTGTGACTGTGCGGTGCGCAATGCTGATAGGGTACTAGTCGGCTCCACTGTAGTAGGAGTAGCAACATTCCAAGTTTCGAAACCGTCGGAGGGTCTACGTTCTGAGGTCGAGTCCGAGCGCGAACTCTCCTTTGATTGCTTCGGCGTGTTCTTTGTACTCTTGCCATGTCGGAGGAACTGCTGAACAGAGTTACGAACGCTAGACTTGATGCCCGTCGATTGATCGGAAACATCGGAAAATGTTGATACTGGTCGGTTGAAATTAGGTGTGTAGGGCGAGAGTGTGTTCAAGGAGAGGGCATGGGTCTTGTGCTCAGCAACGTCAACGTAACTTCGGAGGGGATCTGAGGTGAAGATGACAGAATCCGGCAACGAAGATCCTTGTCTTCTGTAGAGGATGCAGTAGACGCCAATAGAGATGAGCGAGAATGCCCACATTGCAAGAGCGGCAGCAACCATAGATCCAAGGTGCTCTGACGGACCATGTGTCTTGATGAGAGGTAGATTGTTGTACATCCAGCCGAGAACATAAATGGAAAGAATCATGGCGACAGTGAACGGCAACAGAATTGCAGTGGCTAGAGTCCATTTCCAAGATTGCAGATTCCGGGCAGTGCAAGTGTAAAAGACGACGAATACGAAAAGAATTGCAATCGCCAGTATGTCAAATACAGCAGCGGCCAATGCATGCATATGTATAGGAGTAGGTACCAGTACCGAAGCTGCAAACAATGTAATGAAAGTGGCAAGGGCAGTGGTGGAGAAGCAGGCTGCGAGGCAGCTGAGAATGCATGCCGGGTCTCTTTGTATTAGAGCCATGGCGAAGAAGTTAGTGTCCCGCGAATGAGTGTCGTGTTAGGTAGAATGAGTGTTGTATGCCTCTTGAGGGTGTCGATGAGACTGTTGGACCAGCAAGAGATCTTTTTTGGAGGAATGAAGATGGAAGAATAAGTTTCAGTTGTTTCAATTGTGCATGAAACCTCAATGCTTCTGTCAATGGCTGATGAAATGCTGTATCCAGGTTCGGGGTGCTCCTAAGGTTCGAAATGTCCCTCGAAGCTGTCGATGTTGAAACGGATAACGAAGGAAGGGAAGAAGAGGTGAAACGGTGATTGTAAGCTGGACGAGAAACGAAGATGCAGGATGACACGAGATTGACTGTGTGCGCAAGCCTCGAGCCTCAAGCATGAACGTTGTGTGGTGTATGCAGCCAAGGATTCTCGGTCGTCGGGGATGTACGCTAGAATATCATACCGAGCCCTTGCACGGTTTCATGCATGAAATCGATAGTGGTCCGGGGGAGTGGTGATGATCAAGACAAAAAAAGAAAGACAAAAGGCCTGAAAGGCAGAGGATGGACGGAGTATATGTAAGGAGAGTCACTGCGGGCAAGGATGGAGATGCTCATCTAAATTTTTCCAAGGATGATCACATAGAAGGCGGCAGCAAGCCATCAACACACGCTCGGTTGTTGTTTGCGATCATCAACAAGGTCTTTCCGGATTGCGCGCCTGTGTAATCCGGGTTCTGGGGGCTGACCATGCCGTGGTTAGCAATCGGCGGCGGCATTTCGCTACCAAACGCCATGGTTGAGCATGGGGGACGCGCTCAGCCGCGAACTTGACCTCTTCTAGATGGCGAGCATTGAGCAATCGACCGTCCCAGTCCGGCGCCCAGAATACAGACGGCGCGAGACAAGTGCAGCTGCGAGTTGCCGCGCTTTTATTATTTTGAACTTTGTGTTGCATGCAGGAGAGAGGGGGAGTCTCGAGATGACACGAGAGGCTCTGGTAGAGAGCTGCCGTCAAACATGTCGGCGAGGACGAAGCTTCTGAGCAGTCATCAGTCAGCTTTGACAGGTCTGAGGTGGGGCTGCCTTGCAAAGCCAAATCGCGGGTTGCGGGCAATCGAAATTGCAACACACAAAGGCTTGTGCGATACACGGAAGAATAGTAATAATGCATAGTGGTGCAAGATGTACGACAACATCTGGTTATTATTGCGAAGCTCACGACGTGCAATATCGATATACTGATCGACGTCACAGAGGACCCTTAGATTGACAAGCTTCTTGAAACCGCGAGGCCGTCCATTCGAGGATGAATGATGAGGATGACGCTCAAGGAGTGCGATAGCAGTTGTTGCTGAGGAGGGGCCTTAAGGTGGTACGAAGTCTCGGAGGGTTTTTCTCTTCCTAGTCGCACGTGCAGTAGAGTGGAGGCCTTGACTAGTTGGCACGACTGGCTCAGCTTGCATGATGGAGCCTGGAAACATTCTCATGAAGCTATTCGAAGTAGGGATAAGAAGCGAAATTCCGATGTTACCGCCTTCTTGTGCCTGTACAAGTTGTGGTGCGGTGATTGGACATGATCAGGAAGCATAAACTTAGTAGCATATTGTTGCATTGACTGAGAGAAAGTCATCTCAAACATCCAGGGGTGCTCTCCACCTCATGCATCAAGTGTCTGGTCTCTGGGCCCTCCGCATGGCAATAGTATCGTGTATTCGCGTTACACGGCTCTGCACGCGCTGGGTCGAGCATATCAGGAAGTGAGGGGGCGATGAGGAGCAAGAAGGATCCATAAGGATTGTAAGACAGTTGAAGACACCTCCCCGTGTGCAGAACTTTGTCACGCGCATGCTGCAGAAATGCACAATGTTTTTAAGATCAGTGCAGCTGTCCACTAAGAGTGCGACAGTTAGGAACTCTCTACGGACGGCCGGACCAATGCTGAAAACATTGTGCATTTCTACAGTCCAAGCGGCCCTAGGCGTGGCCGTGAGATGGCTAGACGTGACAGATTTTAGCACACGGGGAGGCAAGAAGGATTGAGCGCAAAAGAGACGGAAGTGACTAGAAATCTTTGATTGCGACGACGCGAGACTGTCTGGGCTCGGTCATCGGGTAGAGAAAGGCAGAGCATGTTAGACTGTGAAAGCTGTTGCAGAAGAGTGAAAGGTGATGAAGTGCCAAGCGATTCTGTATGACGCTCTGCGGGCGGCTTTCTCGAAGCTCAACCCTCGTGTCCAGCTTGCCACAGTCTTCATACAACTCCCGCTTCTATCACTCTTGTCAACTCGCTTTGGATCTGCCACATCCAAACACCACAAACCGAATCACCGAAACCCACAAAGACAAGAAACAGCACGATGAAGTTGACATTCAGTAAGTGCTCTGCAAAAGTCGTGCCTCATCCTCAGAAGCGCCCCCACTAACAGACACTCCAGAGGATCTCAAGCAGCAGAAGTTCGTTATCGAGGCCGAGCCTTCGGAGACGGTACGCTTTTCCATCTTACAATATCAAGACATGCCATGAACTAACTCTTCTCAGATCGGCGAAGTCAAGTCAAAGATCTCGTCCGAGAAGGGCTGGGAGCCGTCGACACAGAAGCTCATCTACTCGGGTAAGATCTTGCAAGACGACAAGACAGTTGAGTCGTACAAGATCGAGGAGAAGGGTTTCATCGTCTGCATGACGTCCAAGGTATGTCTTCTCCCCCAAATCTGCTTCTCAAAGACAGGCGCCTAATACGTAACAAAGCCCAAGGCTGCTCCTTCGAAACCCTCAGCGCCCGCAACCCCAGCTCCTGCCGCCCAGGCCGCAACCCCTGCCGCTCCTCAAGCACCGACCTCGTCTTCTACCTCCACCTCTGCTCCCGTCCCTGCTACCCCCTCTCCCGCCGCCGCAAATGAAGGTGGCCGCTTCAACGATCCTTCAGCGCTGACCCTTGGCGAGGAGCGCGCTTCGGCCATCTCTAACATGGAGGCCATGGGTTTCCCTCGCGCCGAAATCGACCGTGCCATGCGCGCTGCTTTCTTCAACCCCGACCGTGCCGTCGAGTACCTTCTGAACGGCATCCCCGAGAGTGCTCTGCGTGAGCAGGAGCAGCAACAGCAGAACCAGCAAGCCGCTCCCAGACAAAGCCAGACCCCTTCCTCAGCCCCCGCTGCTGCGCAACCTACTGGTGGTGAAGCAGAGGGTGTCAACTTGTTCGAGGCCGCCGCTCAGGCTGGTCAAGGCGGTGGTCGTGGAGCCGCCCGCGCAGCTCAACCCGCTCAGGGTGCTGAAACTGGACTTGGTGCAGGTGGTGATCCTCTGGAGTTCCTTAGAAACAACCCCCAGTTCCAGCAACTTCGCCAGCTCGTTCAGGCTCAGCCTCAGATGCTGGAGCCCATCCTTCAGCAAGTTGCTGCTGGTAACCCCCAGATCGCACAGCTCATCGGCCAAAATCCCGAAGCCTTCATGTCGCTTCTCGCTGAGGATGTTGACGACGATGCCGCTCTGCCCGCCGGTGCCCAGGCCATCAGCGTTACTGAAGAGGAGAGAGAAGCCATCGAAAGAGTGGGTCGCCTTCCGTCTATATTTTTCTTCGTCTGCTAACCAACTCAATAGCTCTGCCGTCTTGGTTTCGAAAGAGATCTTGTCATCCAGGCCTACTTCGCATGTGACAAGAACGAGGAGCTCGCAGCCAACTTCCTCTTCGATCAACCAGAGGACCCCGAGGAGCAATAAAATTGTCGCCTAGACAGAGTAGGATGATATCCCGGCCGTTCTTGCAGTCAAGGCGGCCATACACGATGGTCACGACGCTTTTGCTTTTCTAATTCACAATGTCCAAAAGGACTCGGTACATAGCGCGGAGAAATTGATTTCGCTCATCTCAAGTGTTTCTATTGTGTTGGACAACGTTTTGAAACTGCCTTTAATTTCGGTTTTGAATGGTTGTTCCCAGCTTCAAGTCATTACTAGAAATCTCATTTCGAGTTCTTTTCTTCAACGAGTGAATTTAGTGGTGTGCCTGTCGTTCGCTCGGCTTTTGAGGCTAGGACAATGCACAACAGAAACATGTCAGCCTGAGCCTGTTGTTGTTTCCCACCTGTGCTAGACCAAGGCATACATGCAGCTGTTAACAACATACGTTGATGTTCTGAGATAGGTGTAGTCGTGAGAAGAAAGCGATTGCTCGACGCCTCCGGTGGATATACAACTGATACGGGAAAGTGTTTTGTGACTCTGAAACCGCCGACTCGTTTACCACAGCAAACAGGAAGGTTGGAAAATGCGGTCTGCAGAGAGCCGTTTTTGCATTTATCTCCTTTGAATGCTCGAAGCACTCTCGGGCCACGTCGAGAAGCCCGGGTGGAGCCGTCGGCTTTCGAGATGTCGCGCTAGTGAGCGAGGCGTCATATGATTGGTCGGACGTAACTCGCTTTGGAGGCTCAAGGTGTGTGTGTCCAAGTGAGAAGACTTCGATATGTTATTCATGATCAAAGACCTTTCGAGAGTCGATCGACTTCGCTCCTTCATCATTTCGTGCTCTTACCCATATATGTCCTTTTTGTATTTTCAACAGCCGCGTTGCCCGTTCTGAAGACCGTCTTTTCTGAAGGCGATCAAGTTTTGCACAAAAGCAACATCATCTCGACCAACCTGACCATACGAGGTGAGTAAATCTTGCAATGCACCAACATCAATGTCGCTTCGTCTCTTAATCGACGTTCACTCGACACCTTGATTCGACAGTCTCTTTCACTCAAGACTGCCTGCCAATCACTTTATCTACACCCTCCGGCCTCCGTGTTGCTGCAAGCTGTAATTACACCCAACAGCACACGAATGTGCTTTGGCTCCAACTTCATCCACTAAACACATTATTTTCACAAAACGTGTATACCGCTCAGGACAATAGCTGCTAGGGTGTCTACCATCAATGTTTCTGACACCGAGTCTAGCAGAGAGCTTCTACGTCACATCAACTCAGCCGAGCAAACTCTGGTCAAGCCTCTCTTTCTTCTTTCTCCGTAAGTGTTTCCAAAATTTCTTTTGAACATGTCAGTAATCCAAAATGATGGTAGCCTGCGGCCACGATGGAGCTCAGACGGAAACGAGCTGCCACGCCGCAGAAGCCATCGCGCCTGCAGCCTACAGAACCTTTACATATGACTACGCGTGCCGCTTCGAAGGCTGCTTCTTCAAACGGTGGATCCAGCCGTCGCGGTTCCCTCTACTCCAATGGTCAAATCAGTCCAATGACTGGTTTCGACAATGAAGGCGAGCGATATCCTAAAAGAAGGAGAGTCTCAACCGCTTCCAAGTCGACACCCACTGGGGCTACCTATGCCTCTCAGTCGTCTTCCTCGAGGCCGTCCACGAGGAGTATGTCTGGTGGTAACCTTCATCCAATTGCCGAATCATCGCCAGTTCCTCGCAGAAAGAGGAAGCGCACATCAGACGTTACAGCCGAGAACATTTCAGTAGCACAACCTATCAAAAGTAGGACTGAACTTGAGCGTGCTCTGATCTCCCCTACCAAGAAGCAACCATCTAGGAAGGCCAAACGTTCTTCAGCCTCGTCTCAAGAACAGGAAACCGCTGAGGATGATTCCGGTAGTGGTGAGGAAGAGGCTGCTGAAGATGATCTAGATGACACTGTGGAATCTCTCCAAGTACCACAATCTTCAGCAGATGGTTCAGGAGAGGATGCGCGCAATCATGACACAGAAGGGAAGATGAACGGCATGGCGAACGCCCACATCGAGGATGAAGACGCAAATGTCTCAATGGACGGCGACCAAGAAGCGTCAGATCAGCAGCAACCTCAACCCACCCAACCAGAAGAGGCTACAGAGCGGTCTGGAGATACCCAAGCTGAAGAAGATGATGCGCAGATATCTATGGACATACAGAATGGTGACCACGCTGAACAAGACGAAGATAATGTTCAAGGAGAGTCCGATGTAGACGAAGACATGGATGTTTCGCGCGACGAACTGAGCCTCCCCAAACAACTTGGCATCGCGACGCTTGACCCTACGCCTATGGTTTCGGCCACAGCATCTCCTACAGGCTCAAATCAGGACTCTACCGTAGATCAAGAATCTCCGACGAAGCAACTGACCTCTGTACCTCTGGGAGAGGCGCCGACCGCTAGTCAAGATGGTGACAAGCCTGTCAAACGCCTACCAGGAAGACGCAGAGCACCTCATGCCAATCCAAAGGTCGAGGCTGCTTTGCGTAGACAACTGCATCTGAGAATGGCATATCGAGCAGTGGCCAAGAACTTGAAGCCGATCTTGGCTGAGTTATCAAAGCGAAGTCTAAGCAATATTCACAAAGACCCTGAATCGCACACGACATTCTCAGAGTACCCTGTCGTCAAAGAGAGTCTCAACGATCATTTTGAGGAACGCCTTGCTTGGATACAGACACAAAAAGATCTGATCAAACAGAGGCTCGATCAAATACTTCGAGAGCAGACAGAAATGCGAAAAAGAAACTACGAGGTAAGCACAGTTCCTCGAAGTCATATCTCATGGCTATTGATTGACTTGCGATATAGCATGTTGCACGAGATATCAAGGAGGATATGATTGTTCGCTTGCAGCGCGACTTTCTCAACACGTTGCGTCAGCAGCAGCAAGCTGAGGACGACGAATACAGTGATGATGAGGTATGTGCATTAAATTTTACCAAACCATCGCATCTATCTGACTCAGTACCCAGGGCGACGACGTTGTTCCTTCGCTTCGACGTGTTACCGCTAAAGGTGCACTCAAGGGTATATTGGGCCCAGAGTACCACTGGCGAAGCAGACCTGCTCTGGAGACAGAACGATTATTCGATGAGATGTACGATCGTCGTGAAGTGGCGCATGAGCACTATCAGCACGATAAGAGGTCCGCTCTAGAAGACCCAAGGCCATTCACTACCTTCGACCCCATCGTTAGAGACGCTGCGGAAGCTCAACAAAAAATGAAGGGCCTTCTTGCCGCTCTGGGAGAAGCTGCAGAAGATGTCGCAAAGCCACCTCCTGTCCCGATTGTCGAAGCCCCAGCGGCAATTCCAATCATACCAAACGACGAGGCTCTAGGACTTTTGATGCTGGCCGAGGCATCAACAACTGCCAATATCATGCCGGATAACATCTCGATGGCCGAAACTGAACCACCGATAGATGTACCTTCGCGGCAAGACAATCTCAGCGTACCAAGACCTAGTATGTCACGAGCGCAGAGTCTTGCTACTTCTGCGCCTACAGCCGATACCACGACCAAGCCTCTCGAGGAACCAGCCACCGAGCAGCGCCCTCCCACTACGGTTCCTATCAGCTTCAGTCAAGCTGTACTCGAGCCATCCACGACGCAGACTGCTCCTCTGTTCCCCCGAGCTGCACAGCCTGAGCAGCAAGAGCATAGACTTCAATCAGGACTTCCACAGCTTCCATCCATCGGCCAAGTGGTAGCATCTCAATCCCAAGCAGATACACTGTCGCAGACTGTAGCTGCGTCTGTGCCACTATCAACTCCAACACTATCTAGACCTCCACCTAACGACTTTTGGTCGAGTCTCGCTGTGGGCAACGTGAAGACTGACTCACAAGGCAAAGCTGAGTTTGCTCCTAAACCAGCTATGAAGCAGCCGTCTCAACAGCCGCTCCAGCAGTCCGTCCAACCGACTGCTCAGCAAACATCGAGATCCGAGATGCCAGTCAGTAGTGGTGCAGACAACACAAAGCCTGAAGAGAGAAGTTCTCGACCATCGTTGCCCGGTGCTTCTACTACTCTTGAACCTTTGCATCAGAGGTTGAGAAGTACTTCTGATTCTTTCGGCCCATTGCTCGATCGCCCAGGCGATCTCGACGGACCAAAGCCCCGGAAGATGCCTGCACCTAAGAAGTCTCTGTATGGGCCTTGGCCTCGTAGCAGAAATTACAATCCTCTGGATAGAAGACCAAGTTCTACCACCACCACAGCGCCGCAACCGAGCTTACCCGGTATCAACCCAAGACCCTCAAGTGGTTTCAACGGATCCGGACCTGGACCTGGGCCTTACAGCACATCAGAGTCTCGACACACAAGTTATGCGCCAGCTCCTCCGCCTCCAATGTCGGGATTCCCTACTGCTTGTGCGGCTCCATATGGTCCAAATCCGATGTATGGAGCAGCTCCGCCGCCTCCGTATGCCTACGAGCAACGCGGTCCCTACCCACCAATGGCACCGTACGCACCACCAAGCGGTTTCCCAGGACTACCGGGAGCACCCATGCAACAAGGTCAAGGGCCCCCTCCGTTCTACGGTAGTCCACATGGGCTGCCGCCTCCACCTCAGCAACAAGGTGGCTATGGCCCACCGGCGATAACATCTCGACCTCCACCAACACCACCAGCTTATGGACCCCAGTATGGGGGACAGCCCATACTACCAGCCAGTCACGATGCTCGATACGGGCCTAACGGTGCGCCAGCTTCCAACAATGCGGGACCAGCTTTTGCACAGTATCAGCAACACGATGGAAGAAGAAGACGTAATCAGAGTCTTGGTCATAGAGAGTTCCAGCACTACCATGGACCGCGATGATTGAAGGTATTGATGGAAGAATAGCGACGGCATGCAAGCTCGTTGATGGCATGAGCGTTATACTTGGTAGACATAGTGATCTTGACTACAAGCAAGAAAGAAAGTCTTATTTGTTTCTTCGTACCTTTTCAATCAAAGATGAGAGTACAAGCGATTCGTGAAAGTCGTTCAGAAGTTTTGACAATGATCCAGCGAGATGGTTCCAAGTCACCAGGCTGCCCAATAAAGTCGTTCGTGAAGAGCATCAACAGCAACTGGATGCTGAGGCGGCCAATGGAGCAGATGTTCTAGAAGGGTGAGTCAAGATGGTAGATGGAAAGGGCGACTCTGATTGGCCAGTCTTGCTTGAGTCAAACCGGGCGTCCGAAAAGAGGAAAGCGCGGGCGGCGAGCTTTCCCTGACGTCCTTGGTACAAATTGCGGGCAAAAGAACATGTGAGAGAATTGCAAGAAGCAAGAAGCCCACCCTCTGCCTTTTGCCTGCACATCCAATCAACCACCACACTTTCGCCCAACTTATACTCTTTCACCAGAAACAATCCTCACGACTACCGACTAAATCAACCAATCATGGCTGTCCGCGCTCAATTCGAAAACTCCAACGAGTAAGCAAGAAAATCGACCGAGCATGGAAAACAGAGCGCAAGCATGCTAACCAATGCCCCAGGGTTGGTGTCTTCTCTACCCTCACAAACTCTTACGCCCTCGTTGCTGTCGGTGCATCCGAGAACTTCTACAGGTAAGAACAAGAGAAAGACGAAGGCGCAAAGAGATGAACTAACCGGCGGCCCAGTGTCTTCGAGGCCGAACTCCAGGACGTTATCCCCATCTGCCACACCACCATCGCCGGCACTCGCATCATTGGTCGCCTCACAGCCGGCAACCGCAGAGGTCTCCTCGTTCCCACCAGCACATCAGACCAAGAGCTGCAACACTTGCGCAACAGCATACCCGACGATGTCAAGATCCAGCGCATCGAGGAGCGCCTGTCCGCACTCGGCAACGTCATTTGCTGCAACGACCACGTCGCCCTTGTCCACCCCGATCTGGAGCGCGAGACCGAGGAGATCATTGCCGATGTTTTGGGTGTCGAGGTTTTCAGACAGACAATCGCCGACAACGTCCTTGTCGGTTCCTACATGAGCTTGAGCAACGCTGGTGGTATCGTCCACCCCAAGACCAGCATCCAGGACCAGGATGAGTTGAGTTCGCTTCTCCAGGTTCCTCTCGTTGCCGGTTCCGTCAACAGAGGTTCGCCCGTCGTCGGTGCCGGTATGGTCGTCAACGACTGGATGGCCGTCACCGGTCTGGATACCACTGCCACCGAGCTCAGCGTTGTCGAGTCCATCTTCAAGCTTGGCGAGGGTATGGGTCCCTCGGCCATCAACACCACCAACAAGGACACCATGGTCGAGTCCTTCTACTAGACGCTCATTCTGCTTGTCAAACCACCATAAAAGAACTTTCTCGGTTTCATCGGCTTCTCATTCGAATCTACACGCGCTCCTGCGTTCGGTCCATGGCCTTCGTCTTGGTTGCGCCCGACATGCCCAGTGCGCGCACGCAACAGGCAAGACCGGCCCTCACGCCACAGACGGCCACCTCACAGAGTGGTGCGAAAGGAATTTGCTGCGGCGGGAAAGAGGAAAAGGACGCGTTGACATGGGAGTTGTGGACATCGTACACACTTGCGTACTAGATACCCTTTTCGAGATCAGACAAAAGGCTGGCTTCGATCTCCTCTTGAGATCTTTGCATATATTTGACTTTTATGACCTCTCGCATTGTATCGTTCCCTCGTTCTCCCTCTCTGACCTAACAGACGTGCTTTCAAGCTGTCGGCATTCAAAATTGTGATGGAGTGACTGCCGTTCCGACTCATGACAGCTCGCTGTACTCATCACCCTGTCTTGAAATATCGAATGGCGACTATGCCATCCACGAATCCGCTACATGTTTCTGAGATGTACTTTTCGATTCTCTGTTATATACGCTCTGATGGCCGCGAGCTTTTGAGATCACAGTGTCATGTTGTCGTCGACAATCCATGTTTTTGTCTATTTCGGACTTTGTTGCAGAAATGTTGACTCTTCACCAAAGTTTCCACCCTTGACTTTCCAAACAGATCAAAGTCGACATATATCAACTACATCCTGGCATCTGGAAAGGCTATACAGATCAACTCCATTACTTGAAACCATCCGACACTGTGATGTCGGCGGATGAAATGTTTATGGTCAGTTTAAACGAAACAAGCAGTCACAATAAGCCCCTTTAGCTCAGTTGGTAGAGCGCGGCACTAGTAATGCCGAGGTCACCGGTTCGACTCCGTTAGGGGGCATTTATATCATTTTTTGTCTGGCGTCCGTGTCCAGGCACCATTTCTTTTGTCATTCGGAAGGCTAAGAGGCAGGCAGATGTGGGCGGAGGTGGACAGATGGATGCGTTCCACAAGCAAGAACCTTCAATTTTTGTACGAAGGGAAGGGAAAGAAAAGCAATATACAGAAGTGATACCAATTGAATAAAGAAAACCATGCTATGCTATTTTGTTCCTTCCCTGTCTGCAACTTCTCCTTCTTCCCTGCATCTTGTTTCACATCGGAGATGACCGCTCTTACTCATCCCTAGGGAACTCGTCCGTCAACTTCAGAGCAGCCTTGACGTTCATACTCAACAATTCCTGAATGAGCAACTTGGCGGCGTATGGCAAAGTCATCCTCACGACACCTCTGGAGGACTGACAGCTCTGGCACCAATTCTGGTAACCCATCATACCGCAAGTCTCGCAGACGTCAACTTCATGGGCATCAGAAGACAACATCAGACGTTCGAGCAGCAGCTGAGAAGCACCGTACGCGATCAGACAATCACGTTCCATTTCTCCCAAACGCAGACCACCTTGACGCGAACGACCTTCTGTGGGTTGGCGGGTGAGAATAGCGCGAGGACCGGTGGCACGAGAGTGCATCTTGTCCTGCACCATATGCTTGAGTTTCTGGTAGTAGATGGGACCCATGAAGACGTAGGCAGGTAGAGATTCACCAGTGATACCAGAGGTCAGGTGGTCTTTGCCCGAGTAGCTGAAGCCATGAGAGATGAGAATATCGCCCATGTCTTCGACTTTGCTGCCGCCGAAAGCAGTACCGTATTCATGGCCACCACGCAGAATTCCTGCTTTTCCGGACAGAAGTTCAAGCATTTTGCCCACGGTCATACGACTAGGAAAACCGTGAGGGTTCATGATGATGTCGGGACAGATACCCATGTCGTTGAAGGGCATGTCTGTTTGTTCAGCAAGAAGACCAGTGACACCTTTTTGACCGTGGCGAGAGGAGAACTTGTCACCAATTTCCGGACGGCGGGTCTGTCGTGTTTGGATCTTGATTATCGGTGTGTTGGACTCGTTGGCGCTGATCATGACTTTGTCGGCGTAGGCTGGGTCGGGAAGTTTGTAGGACATGTGTTGAGGTGCCCAGCCGGCGTTTGTGGTGTTCATGCCTTGGTTGACTGGTGTTTCCTTGAGCATGTAGCATTCGCCTGACTCCATCTCTGCGCCGACTTCGATGAGACCATCGTTGCCAATCTTCTTGTGACGAGGGTTCGAGGGATCACGGTCGCCGATGCGGTCGGTCTGACCGTTCTGGTATTGCTTCAGTGGCATGCTGACCTTCTTGAATACTTGACAGCGTCCGAAACCACGATCGCAAGAGGCTTTGTTCAGAACCAGAGCATCCTCAATATCGTAACCAGAGTATGACATGACAGCAACCATGGCGTTTTGGCCTGCAGGAAGTTTGTCGTACTTGATGAGCTCGATCGTTCTGCTCTTGACCATGGGCTTTTGCGGATATACCATGAGGTAAAGCAGCGTATCGATTCTTGTGAGTTGATTGTAAGCAATAGCACCAATGGCTTGTTTACCCATAGCGCATTGGTAGGTGTTACGGGGAGACTGGTTGTGGTGAGGGTAGGGAATAAGACCGGCAACGGCACCGAGGATGGTGAAAGGCTCAATCTCGAGATGTGTAGTGTGCTGGTTGATATCATGTTCGTAGACTGCAATGTTACAGTCGTTCTCTTCGTTAACATCGAGGTACTCGACAAGTCCACGTGAAAGGAAATCATCAAACTCGAGTGTGCCCTTGCGGAGAGATTCGAGGTATCGTGTCGTGACCTTTGACTTGCCCTTCTCGACAATGATGAGTGGTCGGACGATACGACCTTCATCGGTTGCAATATGTACACCATTATGGTGGTGGTTGATGTAGATGCTGACGAACTCAGAGATTCTTCCCATGCGACGGAATCTGCGGAAGGCGATCAGGAAACGCTTGGGCTCGCGAGTCAAGGCCACAGGTGTACCGTTGAGGAAGATGATGTAGGCACCATCGGCGTAGAGCTCGGTACCGCTTGCAGATGTCACATCCTCAGCACCAAGCACGAAGATCATCTTGCGTACAGGGTCTTCTTCGTCCATCGTGGTAATATGTGTCATCAAAGCCAAGTTCTTGACCAGACCACAGGCCTCACCTTCGGGAGTATCTGAAGTACAAAGCATACCGAATTGAGAGGGTTGTAGCGCACGAGGACCAGAAACCTTTCTAGTCTTCTCGAATTGAGAGGAGATTCTGGTCATCATACCAAGAGCGGCGATGAAACTCAGACGACTCAAAACGTGAGTGACACCAGCTCGGTCCATGCGGAAACGCTTCAATGTCCAGTTACCAGTTGAGATGGCACGCTCCAGACCTTGCGTGATTCGAGATTCGTGCATTGTGATGTAATCGGCAGGGTTGAACGCGCGAGTTCTGTTCGGTTTCCTCAAGACCTTATCCCAACTTTGCTTGATGAGCTTGTTGAAGTCCTTGAATAAATCCTCGAATAACAGAGCCATCATTGATCCGGAGAGTTCCAGACGCTTGTTACCAAGGTAGTCTCGGTCGTCGATGAGTTTCGGATCGTGCATACACATAATGACTCTGCGGACCATGAAAGCAATATAAAGAGCCTTTGGTCGGAAGTTTATGGCTGTCACGCCAACGTGAGGGATGATTGTGTTGGACAGCTTCTCGACAGCGTTTTGCTTGTTGGTCTTCTTGGGCACACCATATTGACCAAATCTCTCAGGTCGTAGGCGTGCACCAACATATTCGAGGGCTTGTTCTTGGGTGGACACTCCTGAGCGAGCGGCCTCTTCAAGATTGACAGAAAACTCATCCTGATACACAGCGTCATCGCCAGCGACTAGAAGCATAATTTCATGGTCTGACTGAACTCCCATGGCTCGCAGAGCGATCGCGACGGGAATGTCCTCGGTAAGAGAGTTGTGCTTGAGAACGATCAGACCTTTCTTGAGAAGAACGTAAGTCTTGGTTTTGACGTTTGCAGTGTGACTGGTGACGGAGGCCTGAATGATTCCCTTGAACATTTCCACAATGACACGGTTCTTGCTGAGCTGCTCCTGGACCAGAATGACCTTTTCTTGACCGCGGACAACAAAGTAACCACCAGGATCGACGGCGCATTCGTTGAGCAAGCCCATTTCCTTTTCTGACCGGCCAGACAAGACACACTTGTTACTCCTCAGCATGACAGGCATTCTTCCGATGTACACGTTACGTTCCATCTTCAGACCATTCTGCGATCTGGCTTCGAAGTTGACGTAGATTGGAGCCGAGTATGTCAGATCGCGCAGGCGACACTCGTTGGGCGTGATGCCAGGACCAGAGAGACCAGGTACCGTACTATGGCGGTCTTCAACGCGTTCCGGCTTGCCAATGCGGATGTCAGTGTATCTGATGAACATGTTAGGGTCAACATCGCTATGGACAGTGGCGTTGGCGCGAAGAATGGTCTTGAGCTCCGTGTCGACAAAGAAGTTGTAAGAGTCAATGTGTTGTTTCACCAGACCTTTGACCTTGAGGAAAGCTGGCAGGAGGTTCCATTTATCCTGGGTTGATTAGCTCTTCTAGTTCTTGTGCTTCCAGGGAGAAGAGCGGCTCACCCTTGCTGTGTTGATAGGATCAGTCAAGCCTTTGCCGTAATAGAAAGGCTCGAGCAGAGTATCGGACTGCGAAAGATTAGCGATCATCAGCCAAAAAATGGAACAATGGTCTTACAGGATCGGTAGAATGAGAATGCCGCCTCTTCCTAGCCGGTGGTGGCATGGCCGTGGCATCCTGTGCTGGTGTTTCGCCATCTACTGGCGCTTGTGGTTGCGAGTTGACATTTGATGCTGCTGGTATTACGTTTGCTGCAGCCGATGCCTTCCTCGTCTGAGCCTGCAGATCGTTAGTAGTGCATCGAAGTGATAGCTAGATCTTATTGTGTTGTTACCTTTGGCGGAGCGACGCGAGCCTTGGGAGGCATTTTCACAGGTAGCGACAAGATTTAGCGCGCAAAAGCAGGATCAACCACTGAAACGAAGTGCTCTCGCCGAAGCACGAGGTGCTCGATTGGCGATGCAAAGCTTTCGATGCGATAGACCAGTCACGAAAAAAAGTGGCGGGGTCAAAAGTTGTATGCGCCTCTGTGAAGATCGCGGGAACTGCGTTGCTATCGCGCCGTACCGGGACTACGACTTGCAGCACCTCAAAGATACAATGATCTTCTTTTTCAGAAGACTGAGAGGACTATTCGATAGCAGTACGCGCCTACGAGTGAGAGTTGTCCACGGTCGAGTTTGCCTTTTGGATTGTTCTCGAGATTCTTCTGGGTCAAAGCTGCGACCGGAAGACGGAAAGCCAGCCCTCGGCAGACAAGCCGAGCGGGCGTTGGACAATCGCGCCAAGCTGGCCAGGGTCTCTCAAATGGCAACCTTGGTTAAACGCGATATCTGCTCGAGTAAACCAGTTCAGCTACAGTAGCAGTATCATGGTAGGGATGTCATTCAAAAAGGTATGAGGTGCACAGCATTATCCAACGAGAGATACAGCTAACGATCACCAGAATTTCGTGAGATCAGAAATGAGGAAGTCGCTGTCTCGCCGAGCGATGTGCATGGTCTTGATCAGAATCGCGATCACTGACAACTCTAGAACATCGTCTAGTACATGTGAATACAGACTCCTAACTTGGATACAATCCACCAATCCCACCTGCCAGTTCGGGTAAGAAGTCTCAGGCAATACGACACTGCGACGGGATTGAATTGTTGCATGGCAATGAAGCCTAGGACTGGACCTCGGAATGTTGGGCGATGGCCTAAGAGGCAGATCAAGTCTAGACGGCTCGTGAAGCTGCACGTGTACAGACAGCAAACACTCGTGATAGCGAGATTGAAAAGCACGGTCTTGTTCGGGGGAGAGGTAGCGGGATATGACGAAAAGTAGGTCAGCAAACCGGCGGGCTTCTGCCCTGCATGACCCTGCGGAAAAGGCAAAGAACAGGTGGGAGATGATTCGAGGATGGTCCAAGTGGCATGTTCGTGGCAGCAAAAGAAAGGGCAGTCGGAGATTCCTGGAGTCTGACCTGTCGCGAGGGTTGGACTCTTGGAGAAGGATGGATGCACGCTTGGGCCTTAACCGCGGCGTGTGAAACTCAACCGGCGGCGAGGCTTGATGCTTTCTCCACAGTTGGCTGGCAGTGGACCTGAGGCTTCGGACAAGCAGAGCTTCTTCTTTCTCTCCGTCGTTCATTCTTACCGCGCGTGGTGTATGATTGGAAGTGTGTTTTTGTATTGTACTGCCTGAGCGCGAGGCCTGCCTTGTATGTACGAGTTGAGACAGCCTCACCCTCTCCATCCCGGCCAGAGTCGCTCTTCCTGGACCCCTTGATCCAAAGCGCCTACCCCCACATTCAAGTCACCGCCTGTTTGAGTAATAGCCATACCTGACATGTGTCTACGAGTCGCACCACTGACCAGTCCAGCAGGAGGACTCGTATCGTATCAGCATGGCTTTCTCCAAAGGCCTCTCAGACAGACCCGACGGCGCTCTCTTGTACCGCCCTCATCAGTCGCCGCGAGAAGATGCGCCCTACCCAACATCAGCTACCACTTTTCCCTCGCCTCTATCGCCTTTGCGGAATCTCAGCCTGGCTGCTACTGCTGCAGAGGGTCGCGGAAGCCTGCAACGTCGCTTTACCACGAATGCCCTGCCTACCTTATCGCCTATCGCTCAGCAGCGACGTCAGGCTGCCGATCCCGCCATGACGGTGAGCCTACTTCCTATATCTTCCATGTTGAAAGAGGAGGATTGGGGTATACCATGCCTTAGGACTGTGTCGACCTATACCAAGCGGTCATGTCCGCGTTGGGTTGACTTGCTGCTGTTGGTTACGGTTGCGACAGCATGGTTGAGAAGATACCTCTGGTCAAAGAAGATATGCTGACTGAGTCCTTTTGCTGCAGGCCTTCAACAAGATTACTCCCGTAAGTCTGCATCCCGAAATCTGGTTCTGATGCCTCCCCCGGTCGACCTTGTCGTCCAATCCTCCGTGTTTTTGGTCGGGAATTTCGTCCTGGGCTTTAGTCGTTGACGCTCGTTGTTTTTCTCTCGTGATTTTTCAAGACATGTCCCACTTGTGTCAAATATTGGCCCACTGCTTCGTTTACCCTTTTGCCATATCTTGTTGTGCATTTTACCTTCCCACTTCTAGCCAGAGCGAACCGTCGTTATGCACGAACGTTCGGGATCTTACATTCCTGGCACATCCGGTACTGACGTCTCGCAGACAGAGAGGAAAACTCGTCAATACGAAGAACTTCTTGCTCAGCAACGTCGTATCCAGGCACAGATGGCCATGATTGACCCGGAAACTCGTCGTGAGGTCGACGAGCAACAAAAGTTGGAGCAGGACATCACCATGTTCACAACTGGACACTTGAGCGAGCCCACCACGCCACCAGATTACTATAGCTCCGTCAATCGTGTACACAGCGCTCGTCTGTCCACTGCTAGTATGGCATCGCCTCCTGGTTTCCCGACTCGTCCCAGTCGTTCAGGCTCGCAACTTACATCTCCCCATGCAGCCTTCTCTAGGCCTGTCACCTCTCATACTCACACGTCATCTATTCCTTCCAGATCAGTGCCCGCTTCGCGCCGTGGCTCAGACGAAGATGAGGAGGAGAACGCTTATTCGTTCGCGGACATCAATCACCGCGCCGCAGCCAAGTATGTACAAATCTCCTTCTTATTCATCAGCTATTGTCCCAAGTCCTGCTTTCACACTTCACCTTCCTCCTTCCGCATACCCTTAGTAGTAAGCGTGCTTCAATGATTCCCTTCAATACGAGTGGTCAATTGTCTCCTCGAACTCGACAATACCGCTCGAAGCTATTCACTCCTTCCTTTCCAACAACTATAAAGTACCTCACCCACCTCCTACTCTCCCTCCCTCCTTCCTTCTACTACTCCTTCTACTACTCCTTCCACCTCAACAAACCTTGGACTTGTTCATCATTTGTTACCTTCATCAGTGCTGGTCACTGTTCTTCTTCATCACCTTGTCGTACTCATACTTCATCTCAAACACCACGATCTCTCGCACAACTTCGATCACACGATCTCAACTTTTGTTCTAATTTCAATCACCAACAGCCTCAACCGCAACTCAATGCCTGTCAAGATGGCCGAACTGTCTTCCCTCCTTGGCTCTGTCAACACCACCGGCTTTCTGTTTGGCGACGAGGACGACCACAAGTCGACCCGTGTCCAGAACCAGGCCGCTTCTCCTGACGCAAACAACTACCTTCAACTCCAGACCAGCAACGACAAGTTCCCTATTCTCGTTCGTCGTGACGGCGAGGGTATGCAGCTTTCCGCTTCTTCCGCAGCCATGGAACTGGCCCAGGCCCAGCAGAACGGCTCCGACAATCAGCTCATGACAGATCGTACCAACGCCTCCCGCACCAACAGACAGAGTCTTCCTCCCAGCGCCATGCGTCAGACTGGATACGGCGAGGCTGCCATGTCTCCTCTCAACGGTATCTTGACCGAGCTCAACACCGCAAAGAACACTGCCGCCAACAGACGATCTGTCGAAGTCAAGTTCAGTGGCCTTGCTACTTCCAAGCGTCCTGGTCTTCTGGCCTCACCCAAGGGTATTGGCTCAAACGGCGTGCCCAAGCTGCAGGGCTCTTACTCGACCAACGACATTCCCACCTTGAAGAGCACAAACGCCGGCAACTTCTCCGACATCTCTGGCGCCGTTCAAAGCCCTCGCCCTGAGTTCATCTCTCCTGCTCGCCAGACCTCTGTCCTCGGCAACGGCCACCAGAACGGCTTCCACACCCCCTCTCGTCAAGAACAGAACAAGCCCGAAGAACACTCCAGCGCCGCCTCGCAAAGATCTGGCCTCCAAGCCAGTGCTGCACCCTTCGGACCTTCAGTCGCTTCGCCTTCCTTCGAGCCTGCTCGCGCCTTCAACGCCATCACGAACGCCAACAGCAACGGCAACGGTCATTCAAGCCCTCTTTCCATGCAGAGCTACGGCAATGGAGCCTACTACGGCGGCTATGGTATGCAGATGTTGGGCAATGGCTTCAACCAGATGTATGTTGGCAACCAGGGTGGAGGTCAGTGGGCTAGCCCGCCCGGTCCCATGCCCGGCTTCCAGCACGGATTTGGTGGTGGTTATTCGCAGCAACTCTCCCAGCAGAGCCCCGCGCGCTACAACGACAGCCAGGCTCGCGTCATGCAACAACGCCGCAGCCAGAACGGGGAAGGTACGTGTTTCTTTCCCTCCACAAACAAAACAACAATTCTTGCTAACATGACTTCAGACAACTCGCGCTACCTCAATGTCGATTTGCAGGATGTCGTTGGCGAGATCTATGGCCTTTGCAAGGATCAGCACGGCTGTCGCTACCTGCAGAAGAAGCTCGAAGAAGGCAATGCTGAGAACATCAGACTCATCTTCGAGGAGACCAACCCTCACATGATCGAGTTGATGACTGGTGAGTGACTTGTTCACACCTCTTTTGACGTATGCTGACTCTTCCACACAGACCCCTTCGGCAACTACCTCTGCCAGAAGCTCCTCGAGTACGCCAACGACGATCAGCGCACTGTCCTCATCCGCGCAGCCGCACCCTCTATGGTCAAGATTGCTCTCAACCAGCACGGTACTCGCGCTCTGCAGAAGATGATCGAGTTCATCTCGACCCCCGAGCAGATCGAGATCATCACCGAGGCTCTGAGATACGAAGTCGTTCCTCTCATCCAGGATCTCAACGGCAACCACGTCATCCAGAAGTGCCTCAACCATCTGTCCCCCGAGGACGCCCAGTTCATCTTTGACGCTGTTGGCACTAGCTGTGTCATTGTCGGCACTCATCGTCATGGCTGCTGTGTTCTCCAGCGCTGTATCGATCATGCTTCTGGCAACCAGAAGGGTCAGCTTGTTCAGTACATCACCATGAACGCCTTCACTCTTGTTCAGGATCCTTTCGGCAACTATGTTGTACAGTACATCCTCGACCTTGGTGAGCCTGCCTTCTCCGAGCCTCTCGCTGAGAGCTTCCTCGGCAACGTTGCAATCCTCTCCAGACAGAAGTTCAGTTCCAACGTCATCGAGAAGTCGATTCGCACTGGCAACGAGAACACCAGACGCGCTCTCATCAATGAGATTATGAACCCTGTTGATCTCGAGAAGCTTCTCCGCGACTCCTACGCCAACTACGTTGTCCAGACGGCCATGGACTACGCCGACCCTGAGACCAAGGCTCGTCTCATCGACAACATCCGTCCCATCCTTCACTCGATCCGTCACACTCCCTATGGTCGTCGCATCGCTGGCAAGATTCAGGACTACGACCAGCACCTCAACGGCCTCCCTGGCGCCATCTCTCCTCCCAGCACCATGACTCCTGGTCAGATCGGCTCGACTCCCTTCCGTACCAGCAGATCCAACACCGTGAGCTCATACACAAGCAACAGCCCTGTCGGTAACTCCGTCGGCAACTACGGCGCTTCCAGCATGGGCTCTCCCACCTCTCACCATCGTCACCATGGATCGATCAACAACATGCTCGCTCAGCCTGGCCAGCAGCAGTCCAACGGCTTCGGCCAGGGCTACCAGCAGTTCGGCCACGCTTCCCGTGCCTCTCGTTCGTCCAACATGGGCAATTACTGATCGAGTCTCGCGATTTGTTGAACAACGACTTCATCTTAGGGGTTCCACAACTGTACTTTTTACTTGGGATGTGTTGTTTTTTTGCATTAGTTTGCATAGCGCCATCCACGAACAAAATCAAAAGAAGGGGTTGAACATATGGGATGATCTTCGAACAGTTCAACTTCTTTTTTCGACACGAAGATACGACAAAGACATTACGGCCGCCTCCTCAATAGAAGTCGAGCAGGGCATATGGGGAATTTTCTGCTACTACAAGCATCAGCGAAGGAAGCGAAGGAATCAGCATGGCTAGCCTTGCCTTGCAGCGCATTTCGGGCGATGTGTAACTAGCTTTCTTTCTTTCTATACAATTGGAGCTTGACATTGACACAAATGAGTTGGCTGCTATCTGAATCGTGACATGAATCACAACTCAATACTGCTTCCAATTCTTCCAAGGGCATTGACGCTCGCTCATGGGCTGTCGTACGGCATGAAGAGCGACTGGAGAGCGAGATCGGTAAGGATGTGTGAGAAAGCCATCTTAGCCATGGTTCGTAAACAAGCCAAGGGATGCAACAACAGGCTGTTCCTACGTGATACTGAGTTATGCAGTGCGACAAGTGGAGGCTCGGGAGGATGAAGCAAGGGGTGGACACATACCAGAAGCCATGTGGTAATGCCGGAACCAGGCACGCATGATGTCAATGAAATGCAAGCAGAGACAAAGAGAGTAAAGGCAGGTCAAGCAATGCAACTCTCCAAACATGATTGAGCAGCTCAAAGCTTCACCAAACACTAGCGACTCGAGAGAAGAGCAGCAATGTGCATCAGAAACATCGTCAGAAACGAGGGCTGCAACCACAATCACGAAGGCAGAGTAGAGCAGTGTGGAGTCAGGAGATTAGGATTGTGCAAGAAGACACAGGACAAGGTGCATCTGGATGAGAAGAAGTGGATTTGCGACAATTGTAACAGGGCGTTGAAGAGAGCAGTGGATGCTATGAAAAACAAGAGAGGGATGCTTAATGAGTGTTGACATAATATCTGGACGGTGTTTGCTTCTGAGGGAGGAAAGAAGGACGAGGCGCAAATGCCGAAGAGGACCCGGAGCGCGAAGCTGCAACTTGACGCTCCATCCAAACTCTCAAAAGTCATCTCACTCCGACCAGCACAATTCAAACACCGGGTCCGCTGCCGTCCGTCCACTTCGATCTACTTGGAATAACTCAGTTCATCCAACAAACTTGCGCATTCAATCAGCTAGGCACCACAAAGGCAGACGACGCAAGAGGTCAAGATGGCAGCCGTAGCTGTCAATGGAGGCGCTGGCGCAAAGAAGCTTAGCAAGAACGCCTTCCGCAGACAGCAGAAGAAGGCCCAGAAAGAACGCTCCGTGTGTAGACCTCTTTCCCAATCTGTGCCATCTTTGACTGACACTGTTTCGACTAAGGCATCCGTCACCCCATCCGTCGCCGAGTCCACCGATGTTTCCGAAGCAGAAACCCCGAAGCCCGAGACTGGTCGCCAACCCGACGCTCAAGTCAACACTCGCGATGATCCCATGCAAAATAATGACCTCCCGAACGACGACTTTACCATCCCCGAAGATGACCCCCTCTATGCCGAATTTCAGAGCGTCCTCTCTAGGTTCAACGAGCTGGACAAGACGCAAACAAAAGAAGACGAGAAGCCCGAGATTTTTTACGATGATGACAACGATGACATCCCTGACGAGGAGGACGAGAACCAGCCAAAGCTGTCAAAGAAGGCACGCAAGGCCGCCAGCAAGTTGACCATCGCCGAGCTCAAACGCTTAGTGCGCAAGCCAGAGCTCGTTGAATGGACGGATATTGATGCTTCAGACCCGCTACTACTCGTGCGTATCAAGTCACAGCGCAATGTTGTACCTGTGCCGTCGCATTGGGCCCTGAAGCGCGAATATCTCTCTTCCAAGCGTGGTATCGAGAAGACACACTTCAACTTGCCCAAGTTTATCGCCGATACTGGTATCGCTGAGATGCGCGACGCTGTTTTAGAAAAGCAGGCTGAAGCGACGTTGAAACAAAAGCAGCGCGAGAGAGTTCAGGGAAAGCTTGGAAAACTCGACATTGATTACCAGAAGCTCTATGAAGCCTTCTTCCGCCACCAAACCAAGCCTCCGCTCACTCGCTACGGTGAGGTCTACTACGAGGGTAAGGAGTACGAGACTAATCTCCGCCATCTGCGACCTGGTGAGTTGAGCGACGAGTTGAGAGAGGCTCTCAACATGCCTCCTGGCGCTCCTCCACCATGGCTCATCAACCAACAACGATTCGGTCCTCCTCCATCATATCCTGGTCTCAAGATTCCTGGCCTGAATGCCCCTCCGCCACCAGGCGCATCATGGGGTTTCCACCCTGGTGGCTACGGAAAGCCGCCTGTTGACGAGTACACCAACCGACCTCTATTTGGTGGTGACATCTTCGGTGTTAGCAGCGCGGAAGACGAAGAGGCACCGACTGGAGCACCGGTAGAGAAGACTCTATGGGGTGAGCTACAAGAACGCGAAGAGGAAGAGGAAGAAGAAGAGGAGGATGAAGATGAAGATGAGGAAGATGGTGATGAGGCAATGGACGAGGAAGATATTGGCACAGGACTTGAGACACCAAGCGGCATGGCATCAGCTGTACCTACCGAGATTGGCATTGAGAGTATGGGAGGTGACTTCGAACTACGCAAGAACGCAAGAGCGGCCGAACCCGAAGACAATGGCGCTCCCCGATCAGCATACCAGGTACTTCCGGAACAAAACATCCGTGCCCAGGGTTTCTTTGGAGGCGAGAGAGCCTACGACTTGCGGGCAGCACAGCAAAATCTACCCGTACTGGGACAAGAAAACAGAGGCAGCAAGCGCAAGGTCGGCGACATCGATGTCAGTGTAGACGTAGACGCCCTCGAAAGAGACGACCGCTTGAGCAAGGACGAGATCCAAAGACAGTTTGAGGCACAAAGACAAGCACAAGCCGAGGGACAGTGGAAGGGCAGAGTTGATCAGGAAGATTTGAGCCAAATGATTGCCGAAGAGAGCAACAAGAGGCTGAAGCAAGATAAGGAGAGAAACGAGCGCAGAAGAGGAGGCGGTGACAGCAAGAGTAGCAGGAGATAGGAAGGTCACTGGATCCACTTTACCGGTTTACCACCCTGCATCTGGACCGAGAGCCTTGGGAATGAAGCGCCTCATGATCAGCTAAAAGAAAGCAAGATGAAATGAAGCAACCCAATTGACAATTCTATCTAATTTGCAGCAACGGATGTGCTTCTGGACGAGATGAGGCACTGCCCCAGGTTGTCTGCCTAGTGTGTGAGAGGACAGGTAAGCTTGCGACTAACGGCTGGCTACAGAGAGGACCAAGCGTATCAAATTGCAGACAGACACGGACATGGACATGGACATGTTGGAGAGGCTGGAGGAGAATGGCCGTGTCACGTGGGTTAGAGAAAAGCTGGGGTCTGAAAGCACGGACTCGCATGTCCAAATGTTTGTCCCTTGACAAAGCGCAAACACAGCTGCCTCACATCATCAGAGCTTCGGCATAGATTCTTGTTGGCCGCCATCTCGACAGCCGAACGAAAAACCAACGCACGAAGCAGCAAACATGGACAGAGATCGTGATCGGGATCGAAGGTGGTGCTCACATATCCATCTCCACTTGGCGCCGTGTCACTGATGCTTCCTCCAGACCCTTCCCACGTGAGGACCAATACGGCGACGGCCGCGGTCAGTCGTATCGCCCTCCGCGCTCTCCAGTTCCGCGATCAGACACATACCGTGCACCTCGCTCACCACCTCGAGGCAATGCATATGTCGATTCATATCGTGCTCCCCCGAGAAATCGCAGCCGCTCGCCCATACCCTTCCGCCGTCGTTCACGAAGCCCTCCGCCCTTCAGGCCAAGAGACGGTGGAGACAGCTACAGAGGAAGAGCTCGCTCACCACCACCTAGAAGAGGTGGTTTCATGAGGGACGAGAGCTACAGACCACCGCCTGCCTCGCGCTTCCACAGAGACACTCTTCCATACAACACCCGCTCGCCAGTACGTGCCCCTCGCGACCGTTCTCCCCTTCCTTTGAAGCGCGGTCGTGATGTCTCACCTGCCGGCAGCCGTGGCAGAAGATCTCCGCCTCCAGCGAAGCGTGAAAGGCTCGACTCTCCACCTCGTTCAAGATACAATGCCTACCCACCGTCGAGAGACGTCAGCCCCGGTCTTGGACGTGACAGGCGTGAGATGCGCTTGACTCCTCCTCGTGGTGTCACTCGTGGTTATCGCCTATTGTCTCGTTCGCCCATGCAGCACAACGAGAACATCAACCCTCGTAAGGTCGACTGGAGACGTCGCTCCCCATCGCCCGCAAGACCACGCCCTGATCTCATGACGACCGAACACTCAGGTGCTGCATCTGTTACCAGCTCAAGACGCTCATCACCGCCCATCCATCCCAGCAGACTTGCCGCTATTGATCCCCTTCCAAAAGACGACCTGTTCGCGAATCGCATACCCGCACGTGCTGTTTCGCCAATTCCAGCTCCCGCCCCCCCTCGATCACCTATCGTTTCAAGACCGCGATCACCTATTCCTTCCAGACCCAGATCACCGATACCTCCTCCGACCGACGTTCGCTCCCCTGTTCGTAAGCGCGACCCTACTCCGCCACCCCGCGAGCGTGAAATTCCTACCGGACCAGCCATTCGCGCTCCCCCAACTGGTCCTGCAAGGCTAGACGAACCTTTGACCAGAGCTCCGCCAACAGGACCTGGTGCTTCCAGATCTTATGCACAAGCCGCTAGTGATGTTCCGATCCCCACCGGTCCAAGAATGAGAGCCAATTCTCCCCCGACACACCCAAGAGGAGGCATTCAGACCAGGGGCGGCTACCAAAGAGATTATCCTCCCCGAGACTTCGTCCCACGCGGTGACTACCATGGACCACGTGGAAGAGGAGGGCCGTATGGTGGGCCATCATACCGCGGAGGTCGAGGTGGTGGTTATGTGTCACAGCACAACAGAGATCCGGACTTTGCCTCGACACCACCATCAGGCCCCCGCGGCTCTATGAGCTCACACGCTCCTCCACCACCTTTCAGAGGTGGCGTACATGGCTCAGGCACATACCCACGTACCACACGCTTCGCACCCAACGGAGCACCTTTACCTTCTGGACCCAAAGCCGACACAGTTATGGGTGGTACGGGCGAGTTTGATCGAGGAGCCAAGCCGGTCAATGTCTACCTGGCAGACTTGCCGCGTGTCGTCGATGGTGGTATCAAGGCACCCGAACTTTACGACAGAGGCCGCCTGAACAAGCTAGAGGATGAGGCGGAGAAGTTGCGACAGGTCATCGAAGACAAGCAAGCACGCAAGCGCAAAGGTTTGCAAGAATGGGCCAAGCTCAGCCGCGACAGCGAGACTGCAAGTTTCAGAGCGCAGTTGGCGGATGAGAATGTGCGAGCGCTTGCTGGAGAGAACGATGGCGGTGCCGCATTCTAGTGATATGGCAGATGACTGCAATTGGAGAGACCAGAGGCACTTGGAGAGGTTTTATGAGGATGAGGAAAATGGCTTATTATGAGAACGAAGAGAGACTTGATGTTGAAGATATACCCCACCTGTACGAGGAAAACTACGAGTACTGCCGGCAGCTGTGAATGAGGAATATGCTTGATGATGATGATGATGTTGATGATGCTGCTACAAGACAACACTGACGTGCATGTCCTTGGTCGCGATGTCTCAAGAAGGGGTGTAAAGGCAGAGACACCCAGGAGCTGATTGATCACTGAGAGTTTGCTTTTCAACAGGACAAACAATCCCGAAGAGGAAGGCACGATCAAGAGGATCTAAAGGTAACCCCGCCTGCTTGTTCTGGACTGGCCGAGGCGTCTGAAGCTTTTCGCAAAGTGAAAGCAGCGCAAAAGGTCCAAGCTTTCATCTTGACCCACTCACACGGACTGCCGTTCGAGAATTGTTGGAGGAAAGCGCGGATTCTGCCTCTGCCTCTGCCTCCACACTCGCCTCTTTCTCGTCGCTTCCACTTCTTCACCAACCTTCACCAACCTCTCAAAACTTTGCTCTTTGCAACCACTACATCGACTCTCTATCAATTACCGAGATCTTCTCACAACAAAACACCTTCAACATGCAGAACTTCGGTGCCCCCGCTCCCCCCATGACTGGCCGCGCTTGCTACAACTGTACGTTTTCTTCACTCGATTCTTCGGCGCGCAATAGTGCGCAACTGTCATCTGTCCCTCCGACACCTGTCAAGCATCATCTGCGCTGTTGCCGCTCGAGGATCCACTTCATCACTCCAAGAGCATAGACTGACATTCTTCACCATAGGCGGCGACGTCTCCCACCAGGCCCGCGACTGCCCCACCAAGGGTAACCCCACCTGCTACAACTGCGGTGGCCAGGGCCATCTCTCTCGCGAGTGCACCAACCCCCAGAAGGAGAAGTCTTGCTACGGCTGTGGTGAGACTGGTCACATCTCCCGCGAGTGCCCCAAGGGCGGTGCTCCCCGTGGTGGTGCCGGTATGGGTGGTGGTCAGGAGTGCTACAAGTGCGGCCAGGTCGGCCACATTGCCCGCAACTGCTCCCAGGGCGGCGGCTTCCAGCAGCAGCAGCAGGGTGGCTACCAGAGCCAGGGCTACGGCGCTCCCCGCGGCCAGACCTGCTACTCTTGCGGTGGTTTCGGCCACATGTCTCGCGACTGCACCCAGGGCCAGAAGTGCTACAACTGTTTGTCTCCCTGATCTGTTCATTCTTCCAGCCAAAACATTTGCTAACACAACCAACAGGCGGTGAGGTCGGTCACCTTTCTCGCGACTGCTCTGCCGAGATCAGCCACGACCGTGTCTGCTACAAGTGCAAGCAGCCCGGCCACGTCCAGGCCGCTTGCCCCAACTAAGGGCTTGCTCGTCTGCTCTTGACGACTGTCTCTTTTTCTTGACCAGCTTTGCGCATTCCGTCTTGCTTCTTTTTTTCACGACCGTCATGACCTTTGATCGCAACGGCCAGTCTCCAACAAAAGCTTTCTTGTATGCACTTTCACACAAGGGGGTGGTATACGTTAGGTGGAGGGGACAGGTCGAGTCTTGCCTTTCTAACCGCTGAGGACGAGGAAAAAACACAACGGACACGAAGGGCATTTGATGTGATGGGGGGAGAGAGACCGATCATGCATTTTCTTCTGATTTTTCTTTTATTTTCCTTTGTTGCCTTTGATGCCACCATCTTGGACAGAAGGGACAAGCCCTTGGTTTTTTCTTCTATTGGTACACCGAGGGCTTGTACTTCTTCTTTCACACAAAAAGCCATGCCGCCGACCGAGAGTTGAGAGAGGACGAGAAGAGGGAGAGCTTTACGGATTTTTCTTCACGACAGATGTCTATACCCACTGCAATTTCAAAGGACGAAGTTTTTTGGCGGTTTGATTTTCGATCATCACAACATTCCTCCATGTTCCTCAATGCCTGTGAAGTGACTTGCTCTATGATGCAGAGACTTTCTATCCTTCCACAATCAGGTTTTGTGGCTGTACCTTCTCTAGAGTCATGCTCTTCTGGAATCGATTCTCTCATGTACTTCTGCAGCTTGGTATGGACCTTTTCTCCGCGTGCCTTTTCGCTTGTGCATGTCTCAAGGTGGGGGCCCGCATTCAGCCGAGTGGATGTCCCGCCTCTTGTATACCACGCCTCTGACGTCGGCGACACTCTTGATGCGCGTGGCTGTGATCATTAGAGTTTCAAGATAACCTGTTGCTTGATCTTGCAGGAAAAGCAGATCTCAAAGCAGGTGGCTAGCACGCGAGCATGTCTCGTCTCACGAAGGACAAAACCGCGTGGCAGTTTGCAATGTGATGCCAAGGTGTCAATGTACGGGAGACCGCAGGACTGCTTCGACTTCTGAGTTGTTGCACAAACATTGTTCTCCTACTTTCTCATGCCACGTTTTAGGAGGAGTTCATGATGTTTGTCGCATGTACTGTTCCCGGATCAAGCGGTCCACTATGAGATGGATAGGGCGGATGTGTGCATGTTGCATGACGAACAAGCATGCCGTGCAAAGACTCCGATGGCTCAAGATCGACAATCGGAGTGCGGCTCCCAGTTCAGAACGGACCATGGTTGAAAACCAGGAACAATGCCCTTGTGTCTGCTATGTATGATGTCTTGTGAGGATAGAAAGACGAGGTCGCCTGCTGTCGTGCCTACACTGTTAACTCTAACCTTCTTCTTTTCTGACTTTTATTTCTTCATGAGACAGCAAACTCTCTTCTTTACCTCTACCTCCTGCACGTTTCGATAATTCTTTCCACCTTCTGCATCACATCACCTTCATCATGAGGCTTACTCCTTTGACTTGCGCGGCATTGACTCTGGCATCCAGGGTTGTTGCGCAGACCAAAGTAACAGCAGACAACACGACTCAACCCGTCTCTTTCTTCTACACTCGCCCTCTATCTGAAGCACCTGCTCTGAATGTTACTCTGCAAGCAGACTTCACACCTGGCTATGTCTTCGTCTCGCCGTACAAGGCAATCAAGCCAGCACCTTACATCTACGACAAATTCGGAAACCTCGTCTGGGATGGCTATGGAGTGACTGGATCAGCAAATGCGCACAACTTCCGCCCTTGCGAATACAGGGGACAACCCCATCTCTGCTTCACTCAGGTCAATCAACAGAATGGCTATGGAATTGGCCAAGGTGTCATCGTCGACTCAGATTACAAGGTTGTGGCAACAGTTCAGACGGGAGGAAACACCGAACCTGCAGACATGCACGAATTCCAGCTGCTTAACGATGGCGACACGGCAATTCTCAGTGCTTACCAGATTGTGCCATTCGATCTATCCTACTTCAACATCACCACTGGATTGGGCTGGTTGTCTGAAGGCGTCTTCCAGGAAGTTAACGTGACTACGGGAGAGGTCCTGTTCGAATGGTTCTCCACCAACCACGTTGACCCCAGTGAGAGTCAGATCACACCAAACAGCACTGACACAGGAGGTGACGGCTTCGGACCTCAGACAGCCTTTGACTATTTCCACATCAACGCTGTCGACAAGTCGGCCGCTTCTGGCAACTACCTCGTCTCAGCCAGACACACGAGCACCCTGTACTACATCAATGCCACCGACCGCGATGTCATCTGGAAACTCAGCTACCAAGGAGACTCGGACTACTCGTGCTCAAACTTCAACTTCAGCTTCCAACACGATGCACGTCTGCTCTCAGAAAACGATACCACGACTGTCCTCTCCATCTTCGACAATGCAAGCAACGGCTACGCGACCACTACCTCGCAATCATCAGGCAAAGTCATTGCTCTTGACCACAACACTGGTGTTGCAACGATGATTTCCAACACCACTTTCCCCTCCGACGAAGGTGTCCTCTCAACTTCTCAAGGCAACACGCAAGCTCTAGGCAACGGCGGATTCTTCCATAGTTGGGGCAACCAACCCTACTTCTCCGAACATTCCGACAACGGCACCGCCGTCCTCCTCGCTCAGTTCGCTGCTCAAGGCTCGGCTCAGAACTACCGCGCCTTTTCCGCCGATTGGGACAGCACTCCCGCAACTACGGTGCCTGACGTCTACGCTTACGCCATCAACTCGACCGCCGCGACCCGCATCTACGTCTCCTGGAACGGCGCCACTTCAGTCTCATCCTGGCAATTCTACGGCGGCAGTTTTGTTGGTGACGATTTCCTGGTCATTGGACAAACTGCCAAAGAGGGCTTCGAGACTTTCTGGGAGGCTGATAAGTTTTATCAGTGGGTGAGAGTTGAAGCTATCGGTGCTGATGGTAACGCACTCCGCAATTCGAGCTACACTGGTACTTTTGTACCTTCTGCTATGTTGGCTGGTGCTTGCGATGAAAGTGGATGCGGTGTTGCTAGTTCCTACTCTTCATAGTTGACGAGAAAAATCTGGCGACTGAGAGCTTGCTCTATCAAGAGATGGGGCGAGACTGGAGTGGCCGTTGATATCAGTCCTGGCTTTCTGACATTGCTTTTGCTACTGTATTGCTCATAATTACGAAATCACGAAGAATGAACATATGCTTCTATCTATTCTTGCTTTCGTTTGTTTCTTCTTTGGTCGTTGATGCGGATGCAAAAGATGCTTCCAGAACGGGCAATGATCGGCGGGAGCTCTGGACTGGCGCGTCTTCCGTGACTTCTCTTCTTGCTCTTCTTCTCAACACACCTTCGCTCTTGCCATGATTTCCATCAGCGACTTCTCTTTCTTCTCTTGAGCCTACAATCTGTCGGCAGGTAGCGGCTGCCACCGATGCGATGGCTCAGGCCGTTACACTCAATCGTGTAGTGTGATCGATGCGCGCTTTCGTGTTAGAGCGAAAGGTAGGTCTTGCGTGTGATGCATTTTATTCTCATCATTCTTTCTTTGCTTCCTGGCCTTTTTCTGTCTTTGTGTTCTATCATTCTGCTTAAAGCATTCCTCTCATTCTTGCAGAATTCATCCCTGGAATAGAATATGGAAATACATCGCCCAGCAGTACTCGATCCAAGCAGAGTGTGTCCTGAAGAAGAGCTCTCCCTAGTGAAGGCAGGAGAAGGTCTGACTCTCAGTGGATAGCTGGAATCACTCAGAAAGCACAGTGCCTTAAGGCAGGTATCAGTAGTCATGCCATGGAGATATGAGGGAGCTATTCTTACGTCGACTGAGGCAATCCGACTGGTACCACTACTGCCTCGGCACTCACATTGTCGCTCATAGTCTCTCTAATGTTACCGAGAGTGAGCGTCGTTGCCTTGAGGCTGATCAATGAACAAGGCTCCGCAAGCATTCACAGATAGCCTCTCCAATAGCAACAGCTCTCCAATTGTCACTACAGCAACACCTCCAACTCAGTTGCCTCACTTTCACTCTCTGGCACCCTTCGAGTTCACAGCCTGCTTCCAGCACCTTCCAAACCACTACTTAAGGCCTCTCCTCCTCCACCTCAAACCAATCCTTCCTTCCACCACTCCACCACTCCAACACCTCTACCACTCTCGGCCTACTTGACCGTTCTCTTCTGCCTTTTGCTTTCTTACTTCATACTTCTACACCTTCTGTTACACCCAGTCTTCCGTACATCGCCACACCAATCAACATCGTCCACATCACAGGACCACACCATCAACACCTCGAAGTCCGCTCTGGCAGCGACACTTCGACACCGTTGATCACCTTTCAAAGATCTTCTACTCTGGACTCCACCAAGTACAGATCTTGACAGACCTTCGACTTCTACTGGACCGACACAACTTGCCGCTCCAACTTCTGCATCATCGCGGACCTCAGATCTTCTCGCCAGATCTTTCGACACCTCGCTCGACTTCACTCTAGCGACCAGATACTCAGCCATCACCGCATCTCACAAGATCTCCGACTTCTTCGTACTTTACACCTTCCACAAGCTCGACTCTGTTTCTTCGGTCGACTTCGCACATACGACTCAGCAGTCGACAGATCTTTGCTCGCCAACGATCTACTTGATCACTATCACCAACTTCGAGATTTCCATCTTCGGTATGTACTTTGAGATCTTCTGACTTCTCTGTTTCTTCTGGACTTTGGCTTATACGTTTGCAGCATTTTGACAAGATGTCCAAAACCTACTCTGACAAGGATACGCGGCGCACGAAGTCTCCTGAGTTTCAGACGGGAAAGAAACGTCCTCACGGCGAAGCGACGAGCAGAAGCCCTGCTCCCGAAGATCCCGACGCGAAACGTGTGAAAACAGAACCGAACATCAAAGAGGAGAAAATCCCCACCGGTAAGAGCATGACGTGAGCATTCTTTCATACTTTGACTGACGAAGTCCAAGAGCCTAGGCCACCAAGAGCGATAGGTGGAGGCAACCTGCAACTCTACGATGGTGAGGAATGTTACAGCGTGGCCGTCCACGAACCTCTCCAAGACCAACTTACAGTCAATACCGAAAAACACCAGCAGGCTGTTAGGCACGTCGCAGAGATTGCCCGTATGGTCAGCAAATGGTTAGACCGATATCGAGAAGAAGACGACCAACTTGCGAGTTTTGCAGAGTGGTTCAGTAACAATCTAACGGCCCCCGAGATCAAGCTTGTTCTGTTTGTCCTCATGGGAAAAACCGGTCAGGGCAAGACATCGACACTGAACAGCTTGATCAGCGCAAAGCAGCTTGCCCGTGCGGTGAGTCACTTGACTTGAAACACTGTTAGACTAACGCTGACTTTTGGACGTAGGGAAAAGGCGTGAAGAGTTGTACTCAAACCGTCAACACATTTTCACACGGAGAGCAGAGTGAAAAGTTCTTGGTCACCATATTTTTGCTCCCGAAAGATAAAATCAGGAACATGGTTCAGAAGTGTGCCAACGACTTGGTCACACATTTCAAGCATGTCCACAGTGCAGCAGATCAGTCAGAAGACGAGGATGAAGAGCAGGAAGAAGATCCTATCGGCTCCGCATATCTGAAGAAGGCTCGTTCGGCACAGATAACTCTTCGTGACCTGTTCCTCCCCGACGACGACTCAGACGCTCTCGAGGACATGGAGGACTGGGCCGAGAAGAGAGGCCTTCTTTCCGCAACCAGTGTCGAAGCCCCAGCCGAGGCTGTCGACAAGCTTGTTGAAGAGCTAGAGGCACGCGCGGTGGCCAATGACTTTAGCTTGAATACAGGCAAACTTATTATCGTTGCAGAGAGCCAAGGAGAACTGGATGGAAAGACTCGGATTTTCACTGATCGAGGTGGGTTTGCCCCCGTCGTTGACACCATTGAAACCCAGCTGTTCAATGCCTGGATGAACCAGGGTATCAAGCTCGTTGATCGTCCCGGAACATCAGACAAGAACGAGTACATGCTAGACCACGCGGCTAGCGTGTCCAAGACTTGCACTTCAGAAGTTATCGTTTCCGAACTTTCGCGCTGTCTTTCAAATGACGACCTGGATGCGACCCTGATCAAAGCCATACGTGATAAGGGCCCTGCGAATGTCTGTTTGGTACTTACCGGACGCGAGGTATGTTGCTCATGTTGCTCAACATTCTTGATTAACACTGATTCTCTTCTCAGACGATGGAGGATCTATCGGAGGAGAACTGGAAGCCCGACGAAAAGGCCAAGCTCAAAACGATGAAAGACGATCTCAGAGCTCTTCAACCCAACACCGTGGAACACAAGACCCAGGAGGATCTGATCACCAAACACAGAATCGTTGTCCGCGACCGCATCATCACCAATTACTTCAGCCAGAAAAGATACGCTGGCATCAAGGTGGTGACGGTTTCTAACTCCGACTACGAAAAGCACATCACACCCGGACACGCTATGGGCAAGCCGTTCTTGTCCGTGCTGGAGACCAGGATCCCGGAGCTCCGGGCATGGATGTGCGAGGCACCCGGTAACCTCCAAGTTCGCAGATTTGCAATCTATCTTCACGAGTTTATTCGAAAGTGTGCTCGAACCAGGATGTGGACTGAAAATGCCGTCACAGTCCGGAGAGGAGAGGCTTCTAAAGCCTACGAAGAGATTGCCTATATGCCTCTCGCTACGTATCAGTCGGATCTGGATAGAGCGGCTGACTCCTACCATTCCGAGATGGAACATCTGAAGAACTCGAAGTGGGGTGGGAAGGCATTTCAGACCATCGAAGGATGGATGTCAATTAACGTGCGAAGAGTGACTGCTGTCTTGAAGAATTCAGGACGCTACACTCCTCCAAAGAAGAAGTCGGAGACTGAGATTCCCGCCACAATATCTTTCAACGGGGACCTTCTCAAGGTTGCTGAAATGAAAATTCGTGCCAAAGAAAACATCATCATCCAGCAATACCACAAGATCGAAAAACAGCTCGTCACAGATTTGCGCGCAAAGTTGACCGAAGTGGATCGTACTCTTGTCTCGCAGGACCTCATTGGAGGTTCAGACAAAAAAGGATTCTCGTCCTTTGTCGAACGCGAGGGAGATACATGCATCCGCGGTATCAAGGCAGATGGTCTCGTCCTTGAAAAGGAAGTTCGGTATGTGCATCGTATTGCTCACGAACTTGAACGCTGCTAACAATGACAGAATCCTCATCGACTTTTGTTTACGGGACGAATCTTACGACGGGACTAATTCCTCCGCATTCATCCAAGCAATGCACCAACTCTACGAAAAGGCGATGACGCATTGGAAGCCGGGTTCCAAAAAGGTCCCTCCTGGTGGAATAAGTAAAGCTCGTCTGAGACACGTCAGAGAGAATGTTGTTCTCAGGAACGGTCCTTACTCTGCAATGTCCGATGAGATTCGCAACAGACTGAAGGCTTCTTTCATTACGTGGGCACGCAATGTCCAACAGCGCCTGGACGAGCTCTTTGAAACGATCAAAAAGTATCTCTTCTCGTCCTTTGAGGGAAAGAGGATGCCTGAAGAGAAACGTCTTGTGGTTGGTAAGATCATCAAGGACAGAATGACAGAAGCCCTTGACAAGTTGGAACCCGAGCTCCAGCCTTACTTGAAGCACACACTCTAAGTCTTCGAGGAAAAAAAGCTCAAAGCCAGAAAGACTTGGTCGGAAAGAGAAGAGAAGAGGCACAGAAGACAAACAAAGTTTCGGACAACACGGGCGAAAGGAAAATCGCTCCGCTAGTTTCGTAACTACGAAGAACGACTCGAAGGACGCAATCCCGATTTCTGACGGAAGCGCGTAGGAGCAGCTTAGTCTGCTGTCTTACTGCCCTGTCTCTTCGCGTACTCTCCGAACTAGAACCTGTTGAAGTTCGTCGTACAGGCGTTCACCACGAGTGAGAGGCAAGGAAGTTCAACATGAGTTGGCAGTTTCAGCATTCTAGCCACTTTGACAATGAATTTTTGCTTCTATTTCCACTTACTTTCTTAACCTTCTTCTTAGCAACAGTGAAATACGTCATCTGCCAACATGCACGAAGCTGAAGTCTGAAATGCGAGAGACAACGAGCTGACATCAACACAGGAAAGATCACCAAATCAGATCCACATATCTAAAATCAATGCAAGTCGATGGGCACGAGAGGGAGTACCAAGATCCCAAACAACCAGCCAAAGGCTTTTCAGACTTGCTCAATGCGTAAGGAGGGCAAGCCGAAGCTTTCTGTACTCCGGGATACTGATAAAGAACTAGGCTAAAGTCGTGTACCGCGCGCCAAAGACGATGTTCGCAAATCAAGGTGAAGAAAACACAAGCCGAAGTTCGACAAGAGCTTTTCGACGGCGAGCCGAAGTCGAACAAGAGCTTTCGAAGAGCAAGCCGAAGTCTCTTAACAGCAGGGCGAGAAGACTGAAGAAAAGCCGAAGTTGTTGTTCCCAATCCAGCATAATGTACTGAGGAGCGAGACGTCAAAGTACCTTCGTACCTCTTGGGGCGTCCTTCATCTCCCACTCCTGTCGGCGAGACACATCAACCATTCCCGTCCAACGACGTTCCTCTGCACTTCAGACACCAATCCGATCTTGCTGACAAAACCGCAGGAAGGAACAGAATGATCATGCAGGTCGGTGAGACCATCCCTCCGTGTCCGCGGGTTGGCAGGTTATCTCCGGATGTTACCCGATTGGGAAGTCGTAAGTCCGACGTGCTTGTTGCAGCGATGATATATAAACCAGCAGGTGCGATGCTGAGAGAAGACCAAACACACCTTCCAGCTTTTGAATCTGTCGTTGAAAATCAACATCTCTAGCTCGCAATCAACTCTCGAATTACACAATGCCTTCCTTCATCAAGAAAGTAACCATTGTCGGCGTAAGCAACATCTTTCTTGAATCTCATTCGCATGACAAGCTAACAATCAACACAGGCCTCGGGAAATATGGGCAAACACACCATCACCGAGCTCCTCAAGACCAACATCCAAATTACCGCCCTCACCCGCCAAGGAAGCAACCTTTCCGTCCCCAATGGTGTCTCCATCAAAGAAGTCGACTACGATGACATCTCCTCGATCACCACCGCCCTCGAAGGACAAGACTTCCTCATGATCACCCTCTCCGTCATCACACCTCCTGGCGTCCACAGCAACCTCGTCCAAGCAGCTGCAAAAGCTGGTATCAAATACATCATGCCCAATGCTTACGGCTTCGACTTCCACAACAAAGCCTTGATCTCCGATATCGATGTCGCGTCTCGGTTCTCTGAATACAGTTCTGAGATTGAGAGGTTGGGTATGAGTCACTTCAGTCTGGTCTGCAGTTTTTGGTATGAGTGGAGTTTGGGTATTGGGGTGCTCTACGGTATCGACATCAAGGAAAGGAAAGCGACATTCTTCGATGATGGAACCACAAGAATCAACACCAGTACTTGGCAACAATGCGGAAGAGCTGTCGCGAAAATTCTTTCCCTGCCGATCGATGGTGAAGGAGAGACGCTGGAAAGCTGGAAGAACAAGAGTTTCTACATCAGCAGCTTCCGCGTTAACCAGCGAGAGATGTTGGACTCTGTGCATCGCGTCATGGGTACTGAAGACAAAGACTGGGAGATCAGCTATGAGCCAACCAAGAAGCGATACATTCAGGCAGTGGAGGATATGAAGACCGGAGATCGAAACGCATTCGCCAAAGCGATGTACGCGAGAGTGTTCTTCCCAGATGGCAGCGGCGACTACGAATCCAGAAGAGGCTTGAATAATGAGATCTTGGACCTGCCCACTGAGGAGTTGGATGAGGCTACCAAGAGGACTGTTGACTTGGTCGAGAGTGGGTGGAATCCCTTTGGCCAGTAGCTTGTTCTGCAGATTGTGTCGATGCAGCTGCTGCAATTGAAGATGTTTTCGGACCCAGAGTCGTGTTCAGTGAGAGCATTTCCGACAGCTCATCTTTCCGGACAATTGTAGTAGGATGAAAGTATTGCGCATTTCTGTAGCTTCAATGTGTCGTGAGGTGAATACTTGATGGCGAAGATGTCAGAGTCCGTACATCACAGAATTGGATGATGAGAATCCGGTCTCCATGCGTAAGGTTCTATTTCTGGACATATCGCATTGCAGAATGCGATCAACAACCTAGTCGCTCCTGCTTGAGAGACCAACAGACGTGCCTTTGCACGATTATCTTCAAAATTCGGCAGACCTTGCCCAGGATCGCTACTGCCTCAGGCTCTCTTAGTGTTGTGGTTCTTCTTATCAAGTTAATTGTGCATTCTCACATTGCTTCTGGGTGATTGCAATGGATGGGCGGAGGTGACGCACTCGTACAAGAGGTTCGCAAACAAGAAGGCCTGCGGTCTTGCGAGATCGGGCTCCGATATCGCACCAGGACACTTCAGCTTCTTGCACTCACTCTATCATCCTTCCTTCTGCACTCTTCCACGTACAACTTCTTTAATAGACGACCGCAGTGAGGAATTTGTACGATAGCATGAGCCTCACCAATCACATGCAGAAACATAGTATCTCCTAATCAATCAATTACGATAACAAGCCCTCGCTTATAGCCCCCCGAAAATCAATTTGACCGAGTAAATAGCGAACGCTTTGTCCTCTTCACTGCAGATTGCTTGCGACAACTTCAGCACTTGATAAAAAAGGCCATCATCTGCCGGTGTGAAAATATGTAGTTTTTCTTTCCCTTATACAGTCGAAACTTTTACACATAGTGAAAATGCCTAATCCGAAAGATACACCTAATCCTTATGGCCACCCTGTCTATAAGAATTGGGTGAGGCAATCACCAGAGGAGAGGGTGAAGGGGTTGATGAAGGCGCATGGGACTGCTGCGGATGAACCGGTATGTGGTGATTTTTTTGTTGTTTTCGTTTGCTTTCTCTTATCAGTTTTCGTGTTGAGAAAGAGGAGGGAGTAAACTATATATCTTGTCATCGAGTGACATGAAGGCACTACCTGAATAACCCTGCAACCTCATGTCACATCTTCTATAATCACTTCTGCATACCACACAACAGACAAAGACAATCACTTGTCACATATATAAATCCACCAAACACTTCAAGAAGTATCATTTATCACTAATACCCTATCCAGCGCTTCAGCGATCTCCTCTACCACCCCACAGAAGGCTCTCTCCCAGTAAATCTGGTCTCCGTCACAAAAACCTCCCCAACAACAGCTTCCGCAATCTTCACCTTCACAATCCCCGCTTATTACACAAACGGCTGGCTGAACATGCACGGCGCAGCCCAAACACTAATCTACGACAACCTGACCACCTTGGCTCTCGCGCCAATCTCGAAACCCGGATTTTGGATGTTGGGAGGTGTGAGTAGAGTGTTGGATGTCAAGTTTTTGAGACCGGCGGGGGTAGGGGAGAAAGTTACGGTGGAGGTGGAGGTTGTCCATGTGGGTAGGGCGGCGGCGAGTTTGAGGGGTGTGATGAAGGATGGTAAGGGTAGGGTGTTGAGTACGTGTGAGCATGACAAGAGTAATATTGATCCGGAGGTTGCGAAGTTGTAGAAGCGACTTTTGATATGCAATGTAGTTGTCCTTTCGCCTGTCTTATTCTGAGCTATGGATGTTTTGCATATCAGCCTCAAGCTCAGATGTCGCGGAACTCTTTCTGCATGCTGAATTCTCTCTGCGATCGAGTACACAGCCTATATGTAATGCTTGGACCTCCCAGCTCAATGCAACTTAACGTGTCTTTTGATGAATTTACGACTTTCCAGCCTCACCCAAGTTTCGGCTTCTTTCGAGTTAATGGGGAAACAAATCTTGTGTCAATGGCCATTGTCTTCGCTCTCTCCAGCTCAAGCCTGATGCAAGCGTATTCCGTTCTCCATGCATCCATTTTCTGCTTCGTTTCGGCCTTGTGTCGCGTCTCTGCTTCACTCAATTCGTTTTTCAGGCGATCGATTTCATCCTTGTATGCCTTGCTGTGGTTGTTGTCATCTTCAGGGTAGAGAACCTCAATCAGGACTCGACGATCGAGTCTCGGGTGTGATTGGAGCGTGTCGGGTGCGACTTCGCTTTCGACTTCGGAAGTGTGGTGAGGCAAGGGTGCTCCGGTTTGGGGTTTGTCGTGAAGCACCGCTCCTTGTACTTGCTGGTGTCCATTGAGTTGTCCGCTGGTCACATGAAGTCATGCATGATGATTTGTGTGCAAAGGATGTTGCCGCTGGAGCAGGCGGGAGGAAAGCACCTTCCGAATTCGAAAGCCGTGAAGGAGGCTCGATTGCTCATCGCTGAAACAGGCGTCGCCCCCTGAAAACGATGATCCGCAACGGAAGAGTATGGTTTGATGTGAAAGAGGAAAGTGAACGTTCTAAGAGTGGATGGGAACTCCGCTACTCTGTGATGAGAGAGCCACTTCTGATGCTGAAGTTTACTCAACGAGCCAGATCAGGTAAGCCCAGCAAGCTATATCGTCACGAGCCAAAACACTTGCGCCAAACAATTATGAAATCGCCAATACGGCTGATCAGGAAAGTGTTTCCAAGCATGTCAAGGAGATCATTACACAATGGATTGGAAGGAAAGGGACCTCAGCTCAAAGGTAGCTCATGGCTGATGATAGTATAGTTTTGCACAAAACCACCACTTTCTCACCCGGTGGTGGGGTGGTGTGAGGGAACGGCTGCTGTGTTCCGAATTGTGTTACTCAGTCGCTACCAAGCACTACCCTACAGACGTTGGTTCGAATCCTAGACCGGGCAAATCTTCTTTCTTTTTGCACGATCGACATCCATTTTCCTCCCTGCTGTGCTGTCGTACTTTTGGCATCTCTTCCGGATACCGACGGAGTCATCACTCGCTGAAGTGAAAGTCACTGGTATAATAGACGGAACTCTCACTTTAGTTTGCTCGGATCTCTTTCTCGCCGTCATCCCTCTCTGCCTCTTTTCTTCACACCGACCGATTGTCCGGTCAGATCAACAGAAGTCCAGCGTAGTCATAGTCGAGCTCAAGTTGTTCTTCCTCCCTCGCCCAACCAACTGCGTTCCAAGCTCAGTCTCGAATTGGCCACTGAGTAACCTGGTACATGTTGTTTTTACGGGGGTTGCTCTCCTTGTTTATTGACCAACGAAGGTTTTTCCAATGAACGAGGTCTGTCGCGTCCTCGGAACGGAAAACGTCTTCACGAGAACTAAGCTTCCAGGAGCCGACTCCAGGGACACCCGAAAGATTTTCGTTGAGATAGATCAGAGCGTCGATGTCAGAGTGCTTGTCTGCGTCATGACGGCGTTGGTCTTCTTGGAAGACACTATGGCAATCGTAAGAAGGATCTGTAAAAGCAATAACCTTGACTTGACTGCAATAACCAAGTAGCCCTGCATGTCTCTTGAGCGTGTTGAAGTATGCATCGACCAGAGTTCGGCATTGTTCGAGATTTTCCTCACGATTGGCTTCGGCTGATTGTCGTGGAAGGTACAGAGCTCGGTTTCCAGGATAGCCGATGCACTTCAAAGTTTGTAAGTGCTTGAGCTTTGCAAGAATGCGCATCCATTCCATGGACTGAATGTAGAGAGACATGGGGCAGATCTCGATGCGCTGGTGATAGAAGAGTGGAATGCCGAGCTGACGAAGATTCGGACAGGTATCACATAGCTCCTCAAGCTTCGTGGACGAGATATGTCCTTGTTGCTCTCCAGAGAAGCATGACAGCACGGACTGTAAATCCAGGTACTCCAAAGTTGAAGCATGGCCAAGTAACCAGCTGATTTCAATGGGAAAATGGCATGTGGCGCCATAATTCGCGTAGATGCACAGCTTACGCAGTCCGGAGAACGACTGCAAAAATGTTCCCAATTGGACTCTCATGCCATCGTCGATATGGTGGCGAGTCCAGCCGAGGAACCTGGGGTTGATGGCAAAGATGAACAACTCCTGCAAGCTAATCACGGATCCGGATGTCTGCAGGGTCTGTAATGCAGCGATGATGTCTTCTGTGTCTTCGCAATCAACCAATCGTAGCGATCGAAGAGCTACTAGATTACTGAACAAAGGCAACTGTTTCCAGTCATCTGGTAACTGTACATGGTACAACTCTAGCTTAGTGATCGTTGATGGACAGAAGCTGAGACTGGACATTCCAGTCCAGAACAAATTCCAGCCAGTGTCCTTCACACGGGGATGATGCGAGTGATCAATAGTGAGGCATTCCAACTTTGCATTGGTAGAGATGAGATGGGCAAGATTGCGACCATCAGCGAGGTCCAAGCTGTGAGCCTGCAGTTCACACCATGGAAAGTGCAGGGATTTGAGGTTAGTTGGCTTGAGACGATCGGCTACGCTAGCTGACCAAGGCTTATGACGGTCCAGATGGAGATGTTCGAGACAGGTCTGATGGCGCATCAACAGTCTGACCGCGGTGTTGGAGAAATACTTGTGGGCTGAAAACGACAGGAGGCCATCAGGGGGAATGGATCTCAGCATCTTGTGTATCATGAGTTGAAATGGATACGCTGGGTCTCCAGACTTTTCATCGGTCACGTCATGTATCATGTGGTAAAATCGGTACGCTCGATCTCCAGACTTTCTGTCAGTCTCCTCGAATCGCTGAGTTCCATCTTCAGGATGCCAACGCGAGACTTTTCTGAGCATTGAAGTTTGGGGCAACAACTCAAGGTGGCGGATGTGTCTCAGCCCTTTGTTGTCCGGAGAGCAGAAATTGTAGATCGTCTCCTGTTCTCCAGCACTGAATCGAACCCGAACATTGTGGTAGAGATGGTGGAGACCACCGTTGTAAGCGTCGCGACGCGTTAGCATCCAGCTCCGGAGATTCGAGGGTCGTCGGATCTGTAGAGGCGTTAGTAATGAGCTATGTTGACTTAAGTTCGTCAAACTGACATGCGAGGCAATCAGATAGCAAACATCTTCTGGAAGCTGGACATGGATGTCAACCCTGCCGTCCTGGGTAGACATTGTCAAGCTGGTAGTGGATTGAGGATGTTGTCAAAAGTAAAGTGAGGGACAGTCGATAGATAATATAGGTGTTGAGTTGCCTGGAATTGGCGCTTTCGTGAATGCCAGAATTGATCATGAGTCGCCCAGAAGCTTCTTGACACCAAGGTCTTTGTTCTGTATGTTTGTCCTGCGGTGTCTGTGAATATGAGACAATGCGACACTGGTCTCAAAAGGTGTTAATGCGAACCTACAGATCTATGAGATCCTGATTCCACAGGCTCTGGCCGTCCACTGCAAGTTGGCAAGCCAAAGAGTGTTGACCCAGTACTGCACAATGACAAGATCATCTCGCAACCCTTCCATTCATTTCTGCGATGCAAGATGAACCTAAGTCGTGTTTGTGTCGATTGTAGTCGACTAAATGCATGTCCGAAGTTGATGCATAACATTCATCATCAGGCAGTCTTGACTCTCAAAGCCGACTGATGATTGCGGAAGGCGTGACCTGCGGCGTGTTCATGCTTCTGCCTGGAGCATTGTTTCTCTGCTTCTACCTTTAGCATCTCAAGAGAAAGCCCTCGCCAACGAGTCAACACTATTGCCAGAATAGAGATATTACGAGCAACGAAGGAAGATAGTGACTAGGCGTGCAGGAAGCGGCGTCAGGTGGCACCTAACCTTCTCAAATTGCTCCACCAACAATGCGTGCCAAGCCTCGATTTCTTCCCGACCCGTATCCAGAAATAACAACTCCATGCATTACTTCCTTCTATGACTTGTCGCCTGACGAAATTGAGCCGATTTTGATGGCCTAGTATGGCCTTGGAGAGGTATAAGATGGGTAATCGCCATGTTTCTCTAATTTGGTTCACCTCCAACTTCACCCTGCCTTGACTTCACCACCCAATTCCCATCACCATATTATCATCATGAAGACTGTAGCCATCATCGCAGCCGCTGCTGCTACCTTGTCCACCATGGCAGAGGCTCAGGCGTTCACTTTGAAACTTGCTACTTCAGGTTCTTGGGACAATCTTCCTCTTGTCGCCTGGAACGGCATGTTTATTGCAGCCCTTCCAGGAAATAGCACAACCGCAACCTGTCCTCCTTGGGACACCAACTGCCCAGGAGCGGAGACAATCATTCTCTCAGGTCCAACTCTCGAAGGTGCGCCAACACAGCTTTGGATGGGCGTCCTCCAGGAGCACGGCCAAAGAGTCTACACACATGAGCCCCCCAAGGGACTATTCGAGTACCAAGACTACGGCGACCTCATCAGCTACACAGCAGCCGGAACCACCGAAGACGCCAACAAGCCAAAGGTTGACAACTATGGAGATCTGTGGAACATCCTCGAGTATGACTTCGACTACAGCTACGGTGCAAAGCAAGGTGATCATGTCCTCGCTCATGGGCCTGACAACAGCACCTTCTTCGGACTTTGCTCTGCGCAACACCCTTGGGGTGGACAGTTGCTTATTCTCTCGACTGTTTCCAAGTACTGCGGACCTGTCAACGTCAGAGTCGAGGAGACGAATGTGGCCGCTCCCCAATTCTACAACTGCGACGGCTGCGAATTCAGAGGATCTTGTGATAGTTACCCTTCCTGTGATTACCCTTTCTGCAGCAGGGACAAGAAGCTCTGGTATATCTGACCGAATCAATGAAGGATGAAGATAGTGCATTACGAAATCACGGCTGCATTGCATACTGAGGTCTTGCCGAGTTGAAGCATCATGATAATTACATACTTATATGTATACAAATAGCCATGACCAATCGAACACAAAAGCCTCTACATCGTTCAACTCTTACTCAGCCCAAGCTATATGTGACCATAAGTCAAATCAATTGCTTACAGAGGATCAGTAACGAATCACAACAATATCGTGAAATTGTAGGAAATGCAGTGACTTTCGACAAGAGAGCACAATGAATGATCGTTTGCAGTGAGTAAATTGCAGCATGAAGTCTAGTCTCTACAAAACGGGAGCTAGTCTATCATCGCTCGCATGTGCCAGTTGTGTCGCAACGTGAAAACAGGAAGAGTTGAGATGGCCGGCTTCAGCAGAATAGATCAACAGGCGAGTGTATTACATCGAACATTACGAATTTGCATCCTAGCAATCTATTTCCCAAACACATTATCACATCATAATCCTCCTCTCACCACATCACGACTTGGTGAACGAGTCATAAACAACTCGTTTACCAAGTAGATGGACCAAAAGTGGCGCCTTCTGGCAGGACCTTCGCGACGGCAGTACCCAGGTAGTCCATAGTGTTGTAGACACCAACATTGCCCCACCAGTTAGGTGCATCAGTATTGGTCAAACTGATGGTCAACACGAGCAGAATAGTCGAGATAGCAAGACCAGAGTCCAAAGCAGCCGAAGTGATGTAGTTGAAACGCATCCACCAGCCTCTGAATCTGTTTCTGATCCACTTGTTGAAGATGAAACCAACAACACCCCAAGACAGATAGTTCAAGGGAGTAGCAGGAGGAATCTGTCCAGTACCACCGAAGATCAAAGGAGCGCTGAGGAAGCGGATGGGTGACTTGGGCCACTGCTTGGCGGCGAAATAGAAGATAACAGGGGCAGCAGCACCGGCGAGCCAGAACCATTGAAGATTCTTGTAGGTAGAGTCACCGCTGAACATACGAGCGGGCCCGATGACCCCCCAGATCACACTTGCATTGTAAAAAACGCGGCCGCCGGGACATGTGAAGTGGTTGACTTGGTGGAGAGCACATAGGTCGGTGATACCGCCACCGAAGGCCCATTCGAAGACGGCAAGTTGGACGATACAGGACCAGATGGTGGCGATCAGCTGGCCGAGGAACATGGTTCTTGGGGGAACCTTGAGGTAGTGACCTGGACGAGTGAATAATTAGCAAATAGTTCGTGAGTTGTAGCCTAAGTCATTGGGCTTAGATTGACTTACCGAGCTTCATGTCCTGAGTAAAGGCAAGACCTTGGGTCATGGTGATGTAGCCGTAGGTCTTGAACAACATCATGGCGTTGGGCTTTCCGGGCTGCATGTATCCAATAAGGAACTCGGTGAAAACGTTGAGGCCAAGCTAGAGGATAGATAGTCAGTGTTGTTCTGTAGATAGTCATAGGAAGAAGGTGCCAAGATTCGTGGTCAAGTTAGGGGTGAATGTCGCCCCAAAATTCCCAAAACATCACCAGATCATATTTTTGGCACCCTCTTCTCGAACCACACACTGTTACTCACCTGAACATTTGTGATTGCCTGTACCAGGCCAATTGGCACGAACCACACGAACGAGATGATGAAGGCAAGAATGAGTGCCCACCAACTCATTTCCGTGGGATAAGCATAGATCGTGGCAAAGGAAAGTCCGATACAGACAACAAGCAACGAAATGAACCACCAAGCAGGTACTTTAGGATACTTGTCCATCATCTCTTGGTGGATATCGCGCATCTCGTCACGAGAGCGTCGCCATCTGTCGATGATGAACTTTCCATGGAAGAGAATGGTGTGGACCACAACAGCCGAGATAGCAGCAAAGGAGAGACCATAGCAGAGAGCAAAAGTAGTCGACAAGAAGAGAGGCGAGTACTCCTTGTACTTGGTAAGATCCAGGGTGATCTCAGGAGTGAGAATTCTTGACACGTTGTAGACACCAGCGGTATTATCATAGGAACTGGAGTCACTGAATGGCAGATAATCGGCATACCAAGTTCCACTGAAGTGAACAGCCGATGCAGTGATCCAGTAGAAGAGAACAAGACCGATCAAGGTATTGCCAATGGCGTGCCATGGAGGAATCAAGGGACTGAAAACGTATCCGGTGATTTGAGTCCAATCGAATGTGATGGGCAAAAGTGCCATACCACTGTAGCCTCCAAAGACTTTGTTGACTGTGATATTGTTGGGAGCGATCCAAGTAGGGAAAGCAAACACACTCAAGAACTGAGCGATATAACCAGGGAACCAGTAGTACAGGAAGGAACCCATGAAGACGTAGAAGAAATAGCGGTATCTGCTAATACGCCAGCCATTGGTCTTAGCGGGGTCGGTCTTCGAGTTGTCATGTAGAGTGTACATGAAAGCACAATTGACCAGATCTTGAGGCCAGATCATGGCGGCAGGCTCGACGAGCCATCTGGAGAAGAGACCAGCAAGACCGAAACCAACACATTGGGTACTCAGAGCGACAAGAACTCCGAAGCCCCAACCCCAGTTGAACTTGTAGAAGCCACGCTGAGCCTGAAGGATGTCGGTGAAGTATCCAACACCAGTTCCGAAAGAAGCGTTGGCCATGATTACGATCATGGCGTGTTCCTTGAAGTTGAATGGACCAGGGTTGAGGTTCCACTTGATGCCGAAAGTCGTGTGCTGGCGATCAGGCATGACTTTGTGCCATGCAACACCCAAAGGATAGACGACAAGTTGCGCCACGTAAGAGGTGATGGTGATCGAGGGCGAACGTAAGGAGAAAAGCATGTTCAGGCCAGATCCGATAGTCGTCATGATCATTCCAATCACCCACATGCGAATGGTGTTACATGGTCTAGTCAAAATGTCAATTGGTGAACGGGCGACGGAAGAATCAAAGATGACTTACACATCAACGTCGTAATTTCTGACGGCAGCTCTGACTTCCGGGTACGGCGAATTTTCCAGCAAGTCTCCCACAAGCTGATTCTCGCCGTCTTTATCATGATGTCCGACAGCTTCATCGACTGCTGCAAGATCGTCACTCTCGAGGTTGGGGTCCCAAAGTGCGTCTGCATTTTTCTTGAACACTTGTGCATTCAGTCAGCCCAAGAACGGTCATCGACACTGGAATAAAGTGTACCTTTGAGACGCCTGGCGGCCTCTTCTTCCGATAGCTCATGAGCTGAGGAGACACCGATGTCCTTCTCATTTGGCTCGCCCCTGGGGCTAGAGTTGCCAGAACTATGAATCTCGTCGACAGCAACACCCTCGCTGACCTCGGTCGAGCCGAGACCTAACTTCTTGAGAAAGCCAGGCATGTTGTCGAGCGACGTCGAAAACAAGAAAGATGTCGAGAAAGATGAGTAGCAAATCTGATGCTCGAGAGCAAGCTTGTACTTATATGCGTATACGTGGTAGAAATATGTTGCAACACACCTTGCGGTGCGATAGATAGCTACAGGCGAGATAACCTCAATGGGAAGGTCAATTGATTGACACTATCCTAGGTATCGGAAGGATTAACTTTCATTGGCCTCGTCTTGGCTATAATGATAAGCTAATTGATGTGAAAAGAAGCATCGAAGGTCGTATTCGAACGATTCAGAAGGCAAAAAATAGCTTGACGTCTATGGCTGGTGCCATTCACATCAGGGCTTGACCAACTTACCCTACCTCAGCGCATTTTCAGTTAGTCAACATAGTATTTTGATAGCATTTCGGATTACGATTCGCTACAGGGTATTTAGCCGCTGATCGATTGTAGAGATCTGCTGAGCGAGAACGGTCGACTCGGGGGTAGCACTCGGCAGTCGGATCACTGCTATCGGTCCAACGACCCACTATGGGCGTGATGGTCTCAGAGCACCGGTGCTAAAAGTCGTAAGGGTCTGGACAGATAGTCAAGCAACAGAGAACAACTCCCATTGTTTGTACAGGAATCTGTAAAAGGCTTCAATAGCTCGAGGGACATGCTACTACGCTTGAGAAGACCTGACCACCATCCAACGACGTCCAATTGACAATTCTGCTACGCACCTGTCAACGATAGCAGACCATGAGGATTACGTCCGTTAACATTAGTCCTGTAAGAAGATAGGTAGGCGAGATGACCTCGGATCAGGGTGCGGTTGTGCCGGATGAAGGAGCCGCCACGTCGAGATAAGAGTCGCCAGCCTATATTGCGTCCAATGGCATGCAACATCTGATGGTGCCAAGGAGGCAGAGCCGCGACAAGAGACGCTTCTCAATTCTTCTTTGATAGTGGCGTACACTTGGTATGCGAACAAGAGCGGCCAAGGGACAATCACGCTTTTCGAGCGAGCCTTGGCCTTGACATCGGATGCTGTATAACTCTGGTGTTCGCCGTGAGACGACGCGTGCCCATGAGATTTCGTAGACTTCGACGCGCCTCTGTTATCTTGTGAGTGGCCCTATCCATACGCAAATTGTGAGTTGGCCCAAGCGTGTGCTCTCCATGCGGGGGTTGCCGCCCAAGGGTTGGTGAGGGTTTCCGAGACTCCGGCTCTCGTAACGAGTCTGAGCGGCGTGTCGTCAATTCTTGCTGCCAGAAAGTTCGAGCGAAAGATAAGAAGGGCGCCGGAAATCCCATCAATGGGGCGGTCAGTTCGTGATCCTGCGAGGCGTATCCAGAAGCCGATGAAGTCCTTCGAACCTCGAAAAATGTAACCCTGGAATCAGTAGACCACACGAGCAGGTACCCGAACATCTCTCTTCTCGGCAATTCTTTCAATGACACAGCCTGTATGGGAACGTACAGTCTCCTCATACTTCTTCTCCCGCTCCTTCGACCACGCAGGCTGGGAATTGATCTATCAGTTGTACTGTATCTCTAAACCCACGTTTCCTTGCTATCGTGCCCGGGCGGACGACGCGTCGACCATGGCTCCTTCCTCATCGAGGTGTACGATTGAGATGTACTTTCTTCAGAAAACAGCACGATATCGAGTGCACTTTCTGTTTCAAGCCGCAGTCGCTCTTACCTTAAGTACAACATTGTCCAAGTCCGAGAAAATCGAGAGCCTGTGTTCATGCGAAGTGCTCAGCTCTCCAGAAAACTGAAATGAATCTGCAGGAGCGAAGTGAGGTCTATTTGTTGATATAGGTCATGAGGCTTGGCGTCTGCCTATTCGAAAATACTTCTATCGGCCGACGATATCGCTAGGCCCAGAAGCGACACCGCTCGCCGTCATGCAGCCACAACGACAACCTGTGACCGGAGCTTGTGTGATTGATATCTCGCATTCTCGCCCTTCCTCTGAAATCTCAACTACTATAGGAACGATATGCCGGATCAATCTCAAGCCATCTTGCTATTGTATCTCGAATCGTCTCAGGAACCTCACCGACCACCTGAGCCATCTCAGAAGTACAGATAGCATGAGTCACAATGGACTTGGGAGCTACACACCAATGGCTGTCTGTAACCTCGATGCCCAAGACTTCCCGCCAACTCGAGTCTCTTAGACTGGCCAACTTCCACGGCATTCTTCCTGCGAACAGAACGTATGCCAACACGCCCAAAGCCCATAGATCCGCCTTCGCCCTGTCATACTCCAACGAGGTGAAAACTTCGGGTGGGAGATACGCTGGTGTGCCATAATCGCCTGGCGCCACGTTGGTCTCGGCTTCTAGAGCATCAACTCTGCAGCGATGGAACGTCGCACTTCCGAAGTCAATCAGCTTAGGTTTTTGATCCGATGTCAGGAGTACATTTTCGAGCTTGATGTCGCCATGTGAGATACCGAGACTGTGCATGGCATGTATGCCCACCTCGAGGCTCAATATGATGTCGACGAGCTCTTGTGGGCCTAAAGTGAGGCGGAGGTCCATAAGGCTATACGGTACGTGTTCCGTCACCACATACCATTGGCATGCCGAAGAAAAATGGAGTAAATCCAGAGTTGGTGTCATCGAAGATATGTTCGAGACCATAGCCCCTAGATGGTACTCCAACTTGGTTTCTTGAGTCTCGTCGGTGGTGCATGAGGGCAATCTGTATTCCTTGATAGCCACTGTTTTATTATCTGCATAACGACGGTAGGTTGAGACTGTAGCGGATGAGCCGCTACCCATGGTGCGTATGAACTCTCCATACTCGGCTGATATGGATACTTCAATCGGTCTCGGAAGTATTGATGTATAATCTAGGACACAAGAGGAGGCCTGTGCTGCAAGGTGGATAGAGGCGACTGCGTAGGTCGGCCATACGAGTGCGATAGAATTCCGTAAGCGCATGACTGGGAGAAATGAACGATCCGCAGAGGGCTTGATTCGATACTCGACAACTGACGACGGAATGTCTAGGAGAAGCTAGATCATGGACGCTTTCATGCCTGCCACCAGATGCATATGCCCATCTTCTCACCTCTGATGCCTATGCCGAAAGAGGGAAGTGGTCACAAGATCACTTGCAGCATATGGTCTTCGTGTCAGCTTGCCAAACGACGTCTTCCATAAGCACAGAGCCGAGCTCTCTGTCACCGACCGGTCGGCTCAAAAGCTATCAAAAAGCCACAAGATACTGTTATTGGGACGTTTGTCCAGAGAGCATATGTGTTCACTCTCAGTGGACATTGTCACCGCCGAGAAACCATCGTATCTTTCGATGGCTATTTACCAGGAGCTCTCGGTAAGCAGCGAGCTTGGCGCTGGTACATGACTTCTCTCCAAGCATTTGTGTACTTGAAAGGTTTTCGGCATGATTTACGGTCCTGCGTTCATGCACTACATTCACGCTCTACTTTGATCCTGCAGACGACACAAGACACGGCCGAAGCAGTAACTTATCAGTCGTCTGCTTGACCTCTACAGTATAGCGGTGAAGTAAAGTGACAAGCAGAGTGCATGAAGTTTCGAAAAGCTGACTGTACGACACCAGAAAGAGGGGTTACTTGGACAGAAAAGTTCCACAATGTGAGACGTCAACGGAGGAAAGAACAACCAAGTCGAGCTAATGCTTGCCCGCAAGAGCTTGACATGCTTGAATCCGCAGCTAGCTATGCCCGAAGCAGAAACTGCTCATGCGAACAATCATGATCGACGCAATGCTGTACTCTTGCTGTCGGATATCGGCATTGGCGGTGTGCATGGCTCGTATAGACCCTAGCTAGATCGTTTGCTTGACGCACAGCACAACATCTCATGCTCACATCCGTGAGATTTGTCTGTGAGAATTGAATCCTCTCGACTCACCGTCGTGTTTTGCGAGCTCTGATTGGGAATAGGGACTATTGGCGCACAGGACGGCGGGACAGGCCCGGTCTATCACCGACATGGTAGTAATGTGGAACAGTTGAGCATAAGCTAACCTGCCATTCGACGAGAACTCATGGATCTCGGAAGAGTATATGAGCAACACGATTCACCCATGCTCCATTCGCTCTCCAACTCTGCCTCATTGACTCAAGTCCTTCAAGTCAACTCAACAGATACCCACCACCATGAAGTTCACTTCTATCCTCTCATTCGTAGTCCTCCTTACCGCAGGCGCCAATGCAATGCCCACTGCCAATGATGCACTGAGTAAGTCCTCCAACATGGGAGATCATAACGCAGCACCAATTATGCTAACATCACCCTCAGAGACACGCTCAGCTATTCTCGAGCGTGAAGCCGCCCCCGAAAGCGACATCTACCACTCGACCTACAAGAAGCGCGAAAGCGATATCTACCATGCCACCTACAAGAAGCGTGAAGCCTCTCCCGAAAGCGACATCTACCACGCAACTTACAAAAAGCGTGAAGCTGTACCTGAGAGTGACATCTACCATGCCACCTACAAGAAACGTGAGAGCGATCTTTACCACGGTACCAAGAAGAGACGCGTTACCGCACTCGTTGTTTGAAGTGGCACGGAGAGATGTGTTGAAGGAAGGTTAGCAGGATACAAATTGAGAGAGGAGGATTTGAGAAGATGTATCCAGACAGTTGATAATCCATATTTCGTACACAGATAAGAGACATGGAATCAGTCTGCCAAAATGAAACTTACTGTGATACGAAATGGTAATCGAGCCTAACTAAGCTTGCGTTCGAACTTGTCTGTGTGGAGACTCTTTTGTCCTTGTGCGTGTCCACACAAACGGACAAAGGTTGTGTTGCTGGTTTAGAACACTGAGAATTAACGAAAGACCACGTCCCTTGTTTTTCTACAGCAACGGGGACGGGGAGCAATCGTAAGCATGAGGAACCATGCAGCTCGCGTGACTGACGAGTTCTCACTTACATATGCTGCTCACCCCTCTTTAAGACCTTCATTTATCTTTCATCCTCTTCTTATTCTGAGCGAATCCAACTCCTATCATGCCCGGGAATATGTCCGTCCGGTTCAAAAGTCAGGAGTTCAACTCTGAAATCAATCTACCACTCATGCAAAGTCGAGACAGCATGGAAAAGTACCATGATGACAATTACGACGCCAGTAGCGAGGGCTCATCACGCCAAAGCGAGATTCGATCACCTCTCCAAACGCATTGGCTCGTCTACTTGACCCTGATCATGAACGGCATCTTGACCATCGTGACATTTTTCCTCTTGATATGGATTTCCGTCATTCAAAAGAGAAATTACGATATCTTTGAACACGTTCCCCCGTACAAAAGCGAGATCATCCATACACCAGGAATAGCGCCACCGCTACTGGGACCTGAGTGTGAGTCCATGACGAGCCTTCGAAGACTACGGCCAGGCTGACCGATTCTCAGTCCAGAAACATACCGAAGTCTTCCATCGGAATGAGAGCTTCATGGGAGAGAAGACAAAGGCATATCCAGCATGGCACGAGATCCTACACCGAGCGAGACACGGCCGTGTGGCATTCGAAAGTCGACCCGGCGAATTCTTCGGTATCGGTGGATATCACGAATTGCATTGCGTCGTAAGTTGTCGTGTACCAGAGATCGATTCCTAGTGTTGACCATAATTTCCTAGTGGCTATTGCAACAAACAATTGACAAGGCCATCAATGGAGTCGTCCCTGATGAAATTGAGGCTGACCACTTGTATCATTGTGCCGAGTTCTTGCGGCAGTCAGTCATGTGACATGCCGACAACACGATTGAGAGAAGATTTGAGGGTATCCTGGGACCTTTCTCTGCCAACAACACTCACGTGTGTGGGAACTGGTGGGCACTCATGGATTGGGCTGATGCACACAAGTACGCCGGGGTGTACCTCAATCCGACATCCAAGTTACCTCCGTGAGGTGGATTCGGAGAAATTCAATCCCGCCATGATAACATCTCGGGCTTGGGTCAGCGTCGAGAAAAGTGTTGAGGACGACAATCTGTGCTGGCCGGAACAGAAGTGTGGCATCGTAAGCTATGTTAAAGTAAATTTATCTTGTTGTTCTCACTTCAGGGCTTTGTCGTGTCGTAAAAGTCGTCGCAATTCTATCCGGAAGCCATACCGACCGTTGCCATCATGATTGCTTCATTTCGTGTCCTCTCGATTTTGCTACACATTCTATCCGTGACGAACGGCTGGGGTAGATGGCAATGCTTTCGACGAATCGCAATTTGTCGGGAAATGAAGATCAGAAGTTCAAGTGCAATATGAAGGATTGCGACTGTTTTCCAGCAATTTGGATCCCTTGAGCATCTCAATCTTGATTGTGGAAGTGCTGCCGGTATGAGCATCGACACACAAGAGTGACACAGGTCTCAGGCGTTGTCCTACAGTACTCTCGTGACACACACCGGGCTTGCCATGCGGATGAGGCGCACCTTCATCTTCGACTTTGTGACATGTTGTCGTTTTGCCTGATGTTGCGGATTCGTTTGGCAGTGCTTCGATTGTCAACGATGACTTGATTTGCTCGACCATGTAGTCGTTGTCTCATTATATGATACGTTTCTTGTATAGAGTATTGTGTGGATCAATATTGTTCGATATACCCCCGCAATATACAAGCAGTCAAACGATGCTGAAACGATCGCGGCCTGCCGTCGATCACACCAATATTCGAATTGAGCCGCACGATTGTCGGCAAGTCGGGTGCTGCGGGTGAGACGACTAGGATGGTCGAGATTGCCGCAAGCGATGTACACGATATGCAGCAAATACATGTGCGCAAGAAGCGCCAGGCGCCAAGGTGGTGTATAGTACAACCAGATTGGATGAGCAAGTAATGTTTTCTGGTGTGTTGATTACGGACCCGGAGAACAGGAGACGCGCGGGAAACATATTGTCCACTCGTGTTGGTTGATATAAAATGCAAGTTGAGTGGGATGCAGTCGTCTGTCCATCACCTGCTGAATGCAGAGACTTGGCGCGAGTAGGATGCGCTACTCGAGTACTCGAGGACATTGTGAGTCGAGACAGCTGCTACAAGGTTGCAAAGTGGTGGTGGGGACGACTCTGCAACCACTGACAGGGCACCTCGGCAAGTGGCACCTCCGCGACAGCTACGCGTGTTGTTGAGAGTGCTTTAACACGAGGGGTAATGTACATGCAATCGAGCCCTAGAACCACGACTCAAAAGGCAGGTAAAATCGTGGGAATAGGCCCACACACGCTCTACAGACCTTGCTAAGGCATGCAGAGGGGAGGCATATGGCTGCCAGTGAGACGCGCGGCGGCGTAGGCGTGTCTGGACGGTGAAGGTCTGCAGATGACGAAAACCGGTTTGAGCGCGTCGATGTAGAAGAACGTTTGAAGAACGTTTGGGAGGTTGGGGCGTGAATCAATTCTAAGATGGTTCATGCCGGCGAACAGAACAAAACCTGAACAAGCACTTCTTAAACAGGGCTGGCGGCCCGATTTCAAGGCGATGCTCATACAGCAACATTAACCAAGCACCGTATTCCTGATCCACAAAAGAGCGAAACCGATGCGTGATACGCAGGAGTTGCAACAACATCAACGATCACGACGGTTTCAGTCAATATGTTTAACTAAACAAGGGTGCAGGATGCCTCGCAATCGCATCGTTGCTATCTTAGGGCGACAGGTGCAAGCCGCATATCGAACGAACTACTGTACAGCAGTCTTCCGACGATAGCTCCGTGGTGAGAACGAGTTGCTGGTTATGACCCATATAAATCAATTTTATGCTCGAGTCAACAGCAGCCAAAAGCAGACCAAGGAGAAAAAGGAGAGTCAACAGAACAGAGTTCAAGAATGGATCCAGACTTCCGGGCGCGCACGGCGAACGGATCTCCCGCTAGCAGATTGTTTCACTTCACCTTGCAGGGGGGCGTGCGCCTGCAGCAGCGCATGTTGCAAGATTGCAATTGGTCGAAACGCGCTTTGCGAGCTATTGCGCGGTCGTGAGACGGCGAGGCCGTGTTGGCTGAACTGTTGGCTGTCGTCGATTGGCGACGACCAAAGACGTGGTGAAAGTCGACGGGACAGGCTTCAAAGTCACCAATCGACGTCGCTGTTCCCATGGCTGGTCCGCGGGCAGAAGTGAAACGGTGCCAAGTAGTCAAGACATTGCCATCGTCATGCTGCTCTAGGTAAGAAGGCCGTCTCTTTGGTTCACAGGGGAGCTCGCACAGGCCATTCACGTCCCTTTAAGGAAAAGATATGGGGGGACAGCTGGGTTTGGGGGCAGAGGCTAATTCTGTTTTTGTCACAGGTTAAAGCAGTGGTCGTTCCATGTACAGCGGCCGTCTCGCTTGCCTTCTTCAACGTAGATTTAGCAGACGTCCGCCGTGCCCCTTCGCGCGTGGCCGTCAACCCTTTTGAATTGAGCGAGGCTGACGCTTTTTTCCCTTCCCGCGGAAGCGTCCTTTTGTCTCTTTCTGCAACTGCCTATTCGTTGCGTGCTCCCTACCACGTACTCTATTATCGCAGCGCTTCGCTTTCCCAAGAACTCGACACCTCTGCAACGCAATTGTGCCAATACTCGTATCCTAGCCGCCTGTCCGATAAAGAGCGCCTGCTAAGGAAAGGCTGACTGCCGATCGCGCATCTCTTCCGTCAATAGTGTGTGCCTTCGAGTCCACTCGTTGTGATCCCCTTCTGACCCTGCAGCTGCCCGTCAATTGTCCATTATCACCATCATCGTCGCCGCCGCACCCTGTCCCGGCGCCATGACGACCATCATTGCTGCACCTACTGCTCACGCCGTTCCTCGAGACCAAGGACTGTCCAGTCTTGCCCATCTCGCTGCCTCTGCTCCTCCAATGGCAACAAGAACCACTCCTCCTGGCACGAACGCGTCAACTACTGTTGGGGATTCTCCCAGATCTGCGCCAAGGCACAGTGTTGAAGACAACGTCTCTCCCAAGAGGTATCACGTCTCCATGCTCATTGACTTCATCTTCATACTAACTATGACCGATAGTGCTCGCGCTGCTGGACTGCGATCCGTCACAAAAATTAAGAAGGAGCCACCGGCCTCGCCCAACCCATCAGCAAAACCTCGTCCAAGAAGACTTGACCTGTCCGTACACGGAGCTACTGGCCGTGGTCCTCAGACTGCCCGTCCGGCTCCCTTGACAGCAAGAGACTCAGCTGGACTTGCTATCCACGACCTCGGTGTTGCGTGCCTGTCGCCAGGTTTCCAGACTCAAGACCCGACCATGAGGTCGCAACTCCAACGCAGTTTAGACGTAAGAGAGCAGCAACGTCAGATCATTGAGGCGCGCCAAAAGGGCGTGAAGCCTCCTTCTGACGCACCCGGTACTGGTCCCGGCGCCGAGTCAGCACAGTTTGGCATGCCTCAGAGAAATCCTTCAACATCGCGAAGAAAGGGCCCTCCTCCGGGCTTGTCCATCACAGCTCCATCAGCTGCTACATTCTCTAACGAGCGCGTTATTCAATCTGCTCCTCTGCACCACTCTTTCACAGGCTTGCGCCCGCACGCACATCAACCTAGCGGTCTCAGCCAAACTAGCCACATCCACCACGTCCCTGCCACACAGACTGCCAACCGTCTTCCTCCAATCTCTGACGTCTTCGCCCACGATAGCTTACAAGCACCTCCATCGGCTCGCCCACCGACTGCCATGTTCGCAACTGGCCATTCTCCCAGCATTGGTCCCCCTCCTCTCCAGAGTCCCAGCATGATGCAGCATCAACACAACCAGGGCCCTTCCACGGGACGTGGACGGGAATTCAAGAGCGCGGAAGAGGCTGTACAGGAAATGTCCCGCGGACGTGAAGATCTGCTGCCAAAGATTGTGCACTATGGCGGCGCACAACCACCCACACCCCCCTCGCCAATGCCCCCGAGCCAGCAATCCCAACACCCCGGGCACCCGCAGTCGTATCCCCATCCTCCTCAGCGTCAGTCACCCCACGCCTCCGGAGCTGCACGTGTCGACGCCCTCAGGTCAGAGCACAGCCAGTCCCAAATGGCCGGTAGAAGACGCCCTCGCGACGAATACGAGCGTGAACACGGCAGCCCGCTAGGCCAGCAAGAGGCCAAACGGGCCACATATCACCCCGATGCCAGTGCCGACTGGCGCTCTGGCATGAGCAACCAAGAAAAGAGAGATGAGTTCTTGCGCTTGTGCTCGCGCGCCTGGGATTTGTTCCACTCTTGATCTCGACCAAATTTCACGACATGGCCAGACACATTTTCGACGTTTCTATTTGCATATCAACAACATTTGTGCGCGCCATCTATATCATCATTCTTGACGGCTGGATCTTTATTTCTAACATGCCCGGGAGTTCTATCAGAGGAGGAGTCGAGATGGGAAAAAGATGGAAGTATACACGTCTTTTCTACACTGTTATTGGGAAAGGGATTTGAATGATTGCGTTCTTGTTCCATCTGTTTGCGAGGGTCTGATTTTACGACGACCTTGAACTGTTTGATTTTCTTGTTCTCTCACTATATCCCCTTCGCTTCTTTCTTGCATCTCAAACATCTGAATGCTTGCCCTATTTTGTTTTTTTCTGCAGCTTTCTTCTTTCTCGTCCCATCATTCTTCATTGTTTTCCGAGAGCCGAAGCCAGGCGGCGAGAAGTCAGATTCATCGACATCCTTACCGTCTAATCGTAATGCTCTATTCTTTCTTTCCAACCCTCTTTTCAACCGTCTCCAGTATCTTGTTTCGAAAGAAGGTCGTACAAATAAGAAGAAACTAAAAATGGAAAGTCCAGACTTGGAGTGACACATAGGCGCCAAGAGAGAATATTGCATGGCTTGACGGAGCCCGAGACCATGTTTCGGAAGAGGATGCAAAGCAACATGTCACCAGCTGCATGTCGACGATTCGAGCGCTTGTAGAAAGCCATGGCATGTGGGCAGCGGAGGAGTGCTCGAGTGCTTGGTGGATGGTGCGCAGGGATATTGATCCTGCTGGCGTGGGGTAAAATGCTGTATCCTTGTTCCAACTTCCATGCAGTGTTCTGGTCATGCAAAACGCAGGGGTTAATGCTTGATCCTTGTGGAAGGAAGGCAGGATGAGCCTGTTATGTAGGGGTGCTTTATTAACCGTTAATAATCGATTATTAATGCGTACATCAATTATTGCCCTTTGTACGCAGTAAGTACGCATTATTAATGGTCAATAATTACTCACGTGACCTACCCCTCAGTTCTGAGGCTCTAGCTCTTAGCTCTTAGCTCTCAGCTCTGAGCCGTCGTCAGTTATATAGACGACATGGCTAGTAGACCTTAAGGTGCTATTAGCGCTTAGTTCGATGCCCTCGCGCACGGCTACTTTAACTGCTACTAGTGCTATAACTAGAAGGTTAAGAGAAGGAACAAGGAGCTAAGGATGAAGCACTTACTTTAGTGCGCTTAGTTTAAGAGCGCTATATAGAGCGGCTAACTAGCGCTTAGTGCCTTTAACGATAATGCCGAGTTTAAGGCTTAGCTTGCTCGCGCTACTTAAGGTAAGCAGTTAGAGCCGCTCTCTAAAGCATAACTTCTAAACCGCCGTAAGCTCGATAGCCTTGCTTTAATGGCGGTATATAGAGGTAGCTTACTATTTAACTACTTCTAGTCGAATCCGCTACTCCTCTAGCTACTTAAGGCTCTTAATCCGAGCCTTCGATATAACCCTCCGTCGCGCGCTCGGTTAAGCGACGAGCTTCTTAAGTAAGCTTTAAGTGCTATAATAGCTCGAGTAAAAGCAATAGTTAACTAGGAGCCGTATGTTAACGTCATTATCGATGAATCCGGCGCTCGAAATAGGGATCGAATCGTTAATATCTTAGTAAACACGTTAGCTAGCTAAGCCTTCTATATCGAGTCGTTTAATGCTAGTAGAGCTACGGTATCGGCGGAGTAGATACGAGAGACTATTACTAAGAAGGTTAGAGTACTCTATAATGGCGATTTAAAGAGGTAGAACAGCATATACACTAATACCTATAGCGCTTAGAGGAGCTTCTATATAGCTCTATACGAGCATCTAGAGACTACGCACGTGTTTACGGTGTTATGCGATAACTATAGTCTCTAGCTCGGCCTTAAGGATAATGGCGACCCTAATACTAAAGGCTCCATTAGCTTATATGCTATACTAGTTCGCGAGCTTAACATAGTACTTACCTTCTTCCGCGTAAGCGACAAGATCTAGCAGCTATTACTTTAAATAGCTAATAAGGAAGGCGAGTAACTAGTAGCGTTCGCTATTGCTTACGCTACTCGTTAGGGCTCTTACTATGCTGCTATTAACGCGCTGCTTAAGAATAAGCTAGTTCTTAAGGTCGCCTCGGCGCAAGGAGTAGTAACTAAGCTATTAGTAAAGAAGCTTATTAACGACGAGGCATAGTAGGAGCGACTTATAACGTTATAGCGCTTAATTAAGCCCTTCCACTTTGCGTAGAAGCTCTCTAAGAACGACCGGTCGACTATAGGCTAAGTTATCCCTCGCTAGCGCGCTCTACGCAATAAATTAAGCTCGATACTAAACTTACCGTATAAATAAGAGGTCCTTAAGCGACTAGATTAGCGCATAGCTATTTAAACTACCGACATTTACTATGCCGCTTACCTCTTAAACTGTTAGATAGATCGTCTAGTAATAACGACCGAGGGCGCCGTAGCGACAATTCGCTTCTTTAACTAGCATGTTAAGAGCTCGAAGAGGCTAAAGCTCTAGAGCTAGTTTATCTACTTTATTAAGCGCACTAGCATCTTTGCCTCCGAGGAGCTATAGAAGGACGACATACGCTTCTAGCCGTCAATATTCTAGTTAATAGTTAAATGGCGAGGTGCTAGTAAGCTCGCTAAGCTAGCTAGAAGGCTAGCTATTATACNNGCAAACTCCGTGCCATCTAAGCGCTCATTTTTAGCTATAAATTACCTTTAAAACGCCTTCNNATCTNNCATGTCGACTATTATAACCGATCGGCTATANNGTATCTACATTAACTCGAGAGTTCTTAACCGCCGTATAGAGCTAATAACTAACTAGTAGNAGCAATTANAGATTAAGCGCCGAGCTAAGAGGCATGCTACGTAGAATAATCCTATTACCGAGCGTATCTAGCGCGCGCTAGATATTAAGTAGCTTAAGAAGTCCGATTCGATAGCCCTTAAAGATGCTATTAAAATAGTAGTAGCAACTATTCTAGCAACTCTTAATGCTCTTAGCTAGCTCGAGTTCCCTTATAAAGACCTCGACGCGCGAGCTATACTACCTCCTCCGCTAATTAAGCCCTCCTCGTAGCTAGGCCTAATACTATACGGTTAGCAGTTCTAGGGATCCTTACCATCTATACCTTAGTATCCGAGTAAAAAGCAGAGTAATCTAAGGAAGAGGAAGCAGCTATACGATAGAGCTACGCTAGCGCTAGAGAGGCTATATAATAGAGCTACGCTAGCGCTAGAGACCCCTTACATTACTTCCTCTTAGCTATAGTCTTAATACTCGTCGATTAAGGACCCTCTAAACGACACTTAGTTCTCTATTACTAGCTTAGCGCTAACTTAGCTTGCTACGCTATCTTAGACCCCTTACTATTTAAGCTTAGCTCGCTTAACTTAGCGATCTAAGCGAGCTACATTACAAGAGCTAGGGTCGAGCTTCTTTAATGGCTGCGCTTAGCTACTAGAGCTAGAGGCTATATATAGTTAAGAGGGAGGTCTATAGGCGCCGTTTGAATTTACTTAAAGCACTTAATATAGTTAGTAAAATAGCAAGCAGAAGATTTCAAAAGTGCAAAAAGAAGGGCTTAGCTCCGAGTCGAACCCTAGCCCTTAATAATTNCGCGNACGCAAAACAGTGCTAGCCTCTAACGACTAGGCTAACNAGTCTAGTCGTNAGAGGCTNGCACATGATTACTAAGCATGCTTGCGTATATATAGGTACGCGGCGGCAGAGGACAGGGTCACCCTCTCAACATGCCAAGATGTAATAATTAATGGATTATTAATGGTTATTAACTCAATTATTAATGCGTACATTATTAATTCTAGTCAAGCCTACTGTTATGGGGATTGCAATACTCTTCTGAGAGGAGCGTATCTGACCCAGGCTGATGGAAATAGAGCAAGACATTGACGTGGACTGCGAGAATATAATTGCAGCAGAGTTGCGCAATCTTGCCAGGGTATGAAGAAGTTTGTGCAACACCAGCATGCAATATTCTCAGGGCTTCTCAAACTGGCTTGTCGTGCGACTGAACAGTATGCGCAGCCGGTGCAGGTGGTTCTTCCACGCCATCTTGTCGCACCTCGATATCGCGTATCTCTGGCACCTCGTCTTCACCCTCATCTTCCTCGTCGACTTCAACCTCCTTGCCATCTTCAAGCTTGCGATACTTTCTCCTAGCCTTCTTGTTCTTACTCGCCTTTTTCTTCTTTTCCCTCTCAGCTTTCAAAGCGGCACGACTGTCATCTCCTAGAGTCAAGAGTTCGATCCTCTCTGCCAAGATGCGTCTTGCGATTTTGCGGTTTTGACTGCGACTTCGAGTTTCCTGACATTTTATCACGATTCCGGTGGGCAGGTGTTTTAATTGTACGGCTGAGGATGTCTTGTTGATCTTTTGGCCTCCGGGTCCTGTGCCTTTGAGGAAAGCTTCTGTGATGTCTGATTCTTCGATTGTGGGGCGTGGTGGAAGTGGTTTTTGAGGGAGGGGAGTGGTTGTGGTGAAGCAGCAGGCGCGGAGAGCGGAAGGAGGGGCAGCTGGAATTGGCCTCGCGGAGAGGAACACACGGCGTAGCGACAGCATTGAAGCCTTTGGAAGTGTCGATGTCTACCTATAATTTAGGAAAGAACAGAGTGACGATACGTCATGCAAACAAAAGAAGCAGCACCAGAGCGTTTGGCCGGGCCGGCTGTCGACTCCCGAGAGTTGCGCTTCTCCTGATTCCAAGGGTCCAAATCTAAACTCACCTTTCGTCTTGCTGCCTTTGGTCATCCTCTTCTCATTCGACCTCTTTCGACTTGTGCTCTGACAATCGCGACATCTGCGGCTTCCACCCACCACCCTTTCCGCCCACATCCGCCTCCGCCTTCTCATACCAAAAACAAAATCCCGACTACGATCCAACAAACAAACACCGCATTAAACACCTCCGACCGCAATTGAATGTCCGCATCCATTCACGAACTCTTCAACCCGGCGACAACTACAATCATGTTGTCCGCACCCATCAGTCTCCCCACCGTCCTCATTGGCGCCGGCATCATCTTTCTCTTCGCGCTGGCATTATATCCGTCTTCACTGCTGCGCTGGTTCCAACGCAAGCGCTATCAATATGAAGTCACTTTTTCGCTTTACATGTTGACGCCGACTGAGAAGTTCATTTTCAGTGAGTGTTGCTTTTCCTCCTTCTCCTTCTGCTCCTCCTCCAACCTCTTGCGACAACGCTGGAACATGATGGCTAATTGAAGTATAGATTCCATACTCTTCCTCTTCCTATCCATGGTTTCGATCGCCGTTGCGCTGTACTTGCCCCGTCATGTCAAGATCATCGCACATCGCGCGTACTACTACGTCTCTGGAGATTTGCTGAAGAATGGAACTACAAGTGGTGTCTTGGGGTCAAGCAGTGCCGCTGCTGGTAGCGTCTTGGCCGAGCATGCGCCTACTGCTGTTGCTGAAGCCGTGGGAAGTGCTTGATCAGCTGGCACACCATTGACCACACAGCCGGCCCCGACAAGGCAAAAAAGAGCATGGGAGGGGATGGATATACGAAAGTTCTGGAAAACGAGGGAGTGGAGCCTCCCCTCTTTCTATTTGAGTAAACTCTTTTAATTCGACGCTGATAGATGAGCATTGGGAAAACACACATGGCGTTTTGATTTTCCAAATTGAGGATGATGGCGATATAATGGCTCACATCCCTGCCAGAATACAACAAGCTTGATCATCCATCGATCCTGGATTTTCTCTGTCCTGTTGGGCGGCAAACACTGACTGGTCTTTGGACCTGTATAGCCTATGTTGACAGCAAGAAAACTTCTCTCGCTGGTAGCACTTCAAGACATGTACGACAACACCAGCACCTTCCGCAGCTAGAGGGCTCCCAAGTGCAAATGAAAGTATAAAAGCCTAGCAAAAAGAAACCACGCACATCCATCACAACAAAACAGCAAAAAAACCAATCTCTTGGGAAACATCTTTTCGACCAAATTGTCAATGCGACCAACCAAGGCTGTGAGTCGAACTCACAACCTCTGGATTCTATTTATGCTCGGATTTGGAGAGGTTTCAATAGAAAGCAATCATTGGTTCCCATTGGGCTAAGCCTCCTGTCTTCTTGAAGTTGAGCAAGAGTTTGACTTGTTATGACCCCTTAGCTTGAAAGTGAAGGATTTGGTGGTTTGTTTTGATTCATTGATTCACCATTATTTGTTTCTATGTATGAATTACAAGACTTTGGATCACAATGAATCACAAGACTCTCAAAAGATTCCTGCCACTTCTCTTGGATCACCATTCTTGGCCCAGATAGTTGAATTGCAAGTACCACGCGAGTGACCTAGAAAACCATTCTCTGCCATGCTGTATATATCCGACTTTTCTCTTCTGCAATCTACTCTTGTCGGATCGAAATCAAATCATGGGCTTACATTCTCGCCTGCATAATTCGATCCGACAATCTTGATGGGAGAGGGGATAGTAAAACGGACAGTTCTGCTCGATCAATGGAAGGATATGTTTTGTAGAAATCCTCGTCAAACTTGAGTTGTCCAAGTGTATCGAAATGTTCGACGGGAGCAGACGAAGAAAGTGCAATGGGATATAGCTTGAGCCGGTGATACACATAGCCGTTAGAGTATACTGTCGTCAAGAAATCTTGGGTTAGAACTGTGCATATAGTTGTTCGCTGTCTATTGTATACTATGCCATCCTCGCCTAGGATGTCATGCGATGTACAGAGTGGAGGGTGCACTATAAGTACAAGATTCATCAACAACTTCTCGCGGAGCGTTCATGAGAGTCGGGATGACTGCCCGACTCGATCCAGCACAACTATATAGCCATCAAACTCAAATCGAGTTGATCTCTGGAGGACTTGCCGATCTCATAAGCCAGCATAGCGTGGTTTTGATAATGAACCAACAATCGCCATCGCTTCAATCCGTCGTCGAGGTGTTCAGTGCCTTGTACAGGGCCAACAGCGATACCGTGTATTCCAGCTTTTGGTCGATGTCCGGCTTCTTCTTGGCTGGGAAGAGGTAGCATATGATCCACCCTGAATCCATATATCCTTTTCTCCATTCGTGGTCTGTCTTGTGGCGAGAGGGTTGGGTCTTGCTTGGCATAATCGAGCATACGCGTAACAGTCTGGGTGAGTGATAGTATGGCGATGCGACCTTTCTGTGTTGCTACAATCACAACACCCAAACTGGGTATTTGTGCATACATGTTGATGCGGCCGAATTTGCCGGACTCGAAACATGCGGGCACTTCTTGCCGGAAGAGACGTCTCATCGATGGCATAGGGAAGTGTTCCCAGGCTTTGCTGTTCGGCGCTGGTTGGTAGAGGTAGACGTCTTTGAATGAAAGTTGTAGTATTGGACAGGGGAGGTCGCCGCACATGCTCTCGCCACGTCTGAATCTGGCTCCTGGTCTGACAGTCTCGATTAGCAAGGCCCATGGAGAGAAGCAATTTCGGACTCACTTGGGTTTCTCCACTTGGAAAAGGCTTCCGTCTTGCCTTTGAACGGTTACATGAGACTCCTCGGCCGAATCGTACCCGACTTCATCGTCGCTATCATCACTGTCCTCGGGCATTCGGTCTTCACTTTCGTCCTCTTCTTCTTCCTCAATAGTGCTGCTGATCTGAGAGTGACTTCGCCGGGAAGTAGTCCCACTTGAAGATACGTTGGCAGTTTGCCGTGACATCTCCAAGGGGTCTGCATAATTGCCATTTTTCACTTCAACTGGTTTGCCGAAGTCCTTGAATGGTCGACGCACGTTCTCAAGTCGATCCACAGTCCTGCCCAAGTCCCAGATGGCGGTGTCTTTCACCTTTTGCAGGTCCACACTAGGCTGGTCTTCAGAGATGCCCAGTGCTTCTTCTACGGTTTCTGTGTTCCTGAAAGATAATGGATCAAGAAACAAAAGACCCCACACTCCGTTGCGTGGATCCATCCAGCCAGAGGGTATTGAGAATACAGGAGGACTCAATGCGGCATTGACGAGCTGAATCAACTGTAGGTTATGTACATCCCATGTCGCCACTTGTCCGAGAATGTCGGCAGTCAGCAGCCACCTACCGGCAGGATCATTGCCAGTATTACAAAAAGCGATGTCGGGCAGGTTTTGAGATCCCTGAGCATGAGCCAGAATACGAACGTCGTTCTTGCGCCGATCGTTTGGCGGCTTGACTTCATTCATCGCATAGTAGTAGACCTCATCCTCGTCTGAAAGATCAATCTCGTCTTCAGGCTCGCCATCGGTGAGTGCAAAGGTGAATACGGTTGTTGCGTGTGTGTTGGAGCTGGCAGCAATCATGCGAGCCGTACTGTGAATAGCCAATCCCCATGCACTGAGGCCCACATTCCGTTGAAAGAATGGCTTGACATCGGTCCCGAGAATACCAAGAGTATTGTCGTAGTAGGCTCGCTTTTCAATCGCGCTGTAGATATGCCGGATGTAGTATGCTTCGACATCGCCATCATCTCTAGCTACGGCGATTATCTCTTCGGTTCCAAGTAGCTGTACCAGAAGCCTGTTGATGGCTCGTGTGCCTCGATTTGCGTAACGTCCATAGTGTCTCTGATCTTCAGGAGATTGTGGTTTCGTCTCTGTGTCTATGATCAAGACAGGCTCTTGCTCAATATTCTGGGATGGAAATTGCGGCTCATAGACATATATCCTGTCCACGTAGGCCACAAAGTAGAGATTGTAGACGTGCGAAAGACCGGTCTAGCCAGTTCATGAGCGATCAGTCTACGTTGTGTGTCGCGGTCGTGTTACGCACCACATTGCATGGAATTTTGAATCGTCCCGTGGCATCCTCAGAGCAGCCTGGCACATTTTCATCGTGTGGTTTGCTTCCCGGGAAGCGATCCTTGAATGACTGCGCCCCGGTGACGGTAAGGCTGACCTCTTTGAACTGCCGACAGCCTGACAACATCTTGGTTCAGTTAATTAACATGCTGGCATGTCAACCAAGAAACGAGGTGACTTTAAGCGCCGAGCTGGCAAATCAGTGCGGGATGGCTGATATGTGTTTGACTGCAATATGCTGATATCAGCTTGTGAGGATGACAGCGAACAAACGAGATATGTTATTTTGCCAATTTGTCAGACAGATGTTCCTTGATCTTTACTGTAGTCGGGAGGTGGTCTGCACATCAGTCGCTACTGCCCTCTGCTGATTTTGTGATGATGCCCGGTTGTCGGATCCTCAAGCCCGCCGATCATTGTTGGTGACACATCCGAGCCACGTTGTCAACCGAGCAGCGCGTTGCTGACGCCAAGCGCGGCAATGTGGTCAACAATTTGGTCCAACTTTCATGCCGAACATCCCCACCATCACTTACTGCTTTGCAGGCCTTCAATCTTCTTCACTGCACGTGAACGTGCTGTAGCGAGCGTCTACTGCAGGCTGTATTCATCTGGCCCGCTACAGGATCACGCCGCTTTGATCAGGCCAATAGGCAATGCCCCGGACTATCAGCACTCGTCAAGCCACAGACCTCCCACTGAATGCATACACTATGCATGTCATCAATATGGCTGCTTGCAGAAGAACAAGTCAGGTCGTTGGAGCGAGTGGTTTGCTAAAATCAAGCACCTTCAATGCTTCGCCACCCGCGATGCTGCAGATATCCGCTTGACCTTGCATCAACGAAAATGACATGGGGTTTTGTACATTCTGGTCTTGGTCAGTGCTTCAAGTCTAAAGACGACTAAATACTATTACTCGCCTCTATGGGTTTTTAGTCCTCGGAACAAATGGCATTGGCGCAATGACCGTAAATGCTGTACGACACGAGGTGCATTCGTAGCGTCCTCACCGGTTCTGGACTCCGATGCAGCATCTGGTGAATTTTACTTTCTGGCGGAGTCACGCCCGGCAGAGAGGTCATTAAATGGAACCAAAACTGCAATATTTCAATAGAATCGAAACCACGCAGCTGTTATTTCAATAAATTGAAATACCCTGCAACTGAAATGCCGTAGATATTCTATTCTAGTTTCAACTACAATTTAACTAGCGAAATGGTCCATTTTGATAGTGGTTTATATCTACAATATTCTCTAGCTAGGGTGAACCCCTTAGCAACTCGAGCGTCTCAAAATTGACTCTAGGTCGAATAAATTACTCGAGGGCGAGCGGCGCGCTCGCTAGACTACTAGTAGAGCAAGGCTAGGGTCGACACGCAAATTTTACACGAGCGCGACATAAAGTTAGCTAATTAGAGCATTAGATCTTATCTCTAAGATAAGATCTAGCTAATTAGAGCGTTAGGATTCGTCGCACTTAGCAACTAATGCCTAAGCTTTGCTAGCTACTTGTCTTAGCGCGCGCATTAACTCCTAAAGTAATCTACATTAACCTAACTACCGACATTAAAAAATCTACATAATTTCTAACATTAATCCTCGCTTACATCTATAATCTTCTACTACTTAGATACGTATAAAAGCTATTTCCTAACGCATATAACGCATTATTTCCTCTTATTTCTACTATTTATATTACTTAAAATGACTACTAAACGTAGCAGGAATAGCACTCGACCTAATATATAAGATATCCGTAACTATCTACGTCTATTACCTAAGGCCTCTTAACTATATAACACTAACCTTAACTACGCACCTCTTATTACTACTAAGCGTCTAATAAGGTCTAATAAAGCAGTTTAATTTATAGACTATCGTATAAAGGAATAAAGAGAGCGTAAGCTCGAAGTAGCTAATAAGGGTCGCTTCGAGGTATGCGGCTTAGAGTCTTAGTAGTGCTTAGTAGTAGCCGAGGACTATAGTTCGAATCGGGGCTAAACTATATTATTACCTCCCCCTATAATAAGCAAGCTCCGTTAAGCTTAAGAAACGTCTAAATCTACCATAAAATTTAGAGTAGTAGATAGTTAAGTGTTTACTTTGTTTGCTTTTCTAACCTATTCCCTAACCGTCGACTTAGTCTACGAAGTAACTCTATAAGTAGTCCTTCCTTATTCCTAACTATTATCTTAGTCTCCTACTCGTATCGCTCCGTACGTAGAGTCTCCTATATCGTAAGGAGTTAAGGCTTCGTACGTAATTATTAGTATACATTAGAATAGGTCTAAAACTATCTAAGCTCTTAGGTAGGGGGCGTAAGAGGCTTAATTCTTTACTAGATCTACGGTCTAAGGCGCGGGCTCCTTAGATATAAGCTTTATTATCGCTACTATAGTATTAGACGGCTCGTCGCTATTAAGAGGTAGCTTAAATCCTCTCTATAGCCTAGGTTAACCCTTAGATCGCGCATTAGCGTAAAACTCTACGACGACGTATTCTAATCTATCTACTAGGTTCTACTATAGCTCCTACTAGGGTTAATTAAACCCTAAGTATTTAATAAGGTAGAATAGCTAGTTTCCCTTACCTCTACGACGGTGTTCTAAAGTAACAATATTCTCTACTTCCTAGAATTCTTCCCCCTCTTAATCTACGGACATAGGTAGTAGATTAGCTTACTTCTATATCGGTAGGGGATCGTTAGCGATAGGCGTAAGTAGGGAGACGTAGAAGGTGTTAGTACTAAGTTTAAAGGACAAGGGGAGTAAGAGCTTATATACGTAGGGGTAGAAGGCTAGAATAGCTTCTATAATCTTATAAGGGCTAATTCTTTTATTATCTAGTTTCTTTGCTAGGCGGAGGCAGTTCTTAAGGTTACGGGTGCTAAGCTAGACTATGTCGCCGGGCTTAAAAGTAGGTACTTTAAGGACTTCGTACGCCCTACGCTCCTATCTCTATAATTATATTAAGGTTAGCTCTTCGTTTAATGCAATATATAGCTTCGTTATGTTGTCGGCGAAAAGCTACGCTTATTCCTTAGAAAGGCGAACTAGTGCTAGTACGTAAGAGTCGTAGCTAGTTAGCGCCCTAGTTACTAGTACCGTACGCATGTTTCTTCTATAGTCGGCGAAGAACGGAGAGATACTAGTAAGCTTAGTGTCGCGGTTATTAAGAGCAAACTTAGCTAGAGGGAACCATTTAACCTAGTCGTCCTAAGCTAAATTAATAAAGGCGCGTAGGTACTACTCTATCTACTAATTTGTGTTTTCGTCTTGTCCATTCGACTAAGGGTGCTATATAGTAGACATAGACTACTAGATGCCTAGTAACGACGCGAGCTCCCTAAAGAAGACTAAATCCTATTAAGTCCTACGGTCGTTAACTATTTTAACTAGGACGCTATAGAGCTTAATAATCTAGAGCATTATAAAGGCCGCGTTAGTTATAGTAATAGTACGTATAGGAATAAAGTGCTTCCTCTTAGTAAAGCGATCTATAGTAGTTATAATGTTTATAAACTAAGTGCTATTATAATCTAAGCTCTCTAGTAGGGCTACGACGAAATCGACGGACTATAAAAACCCTAGGCTAGAGGGGACTAATAGAGCTTTCTCCCTACTATAAGTAGAGCAAGGGACCTTCGTTCTTAAATATATATAGTAGTTCTTAACGTAGCGGCGCACATTATTGGTTATCCCTAGCTAGATGTAGTTATAAGAGACGAGGTAATACGTGCTAGTGCGGCTAGGGTGTCCTACTAAAGGTGTTACGTAGTAGTCTTTAATTAGCTGCGTGCGGAAATCTATAGGCACGTAGAGGCTATCTTTAACATAGACTAGCCCTTCGTAGAGCGTATAGTTAGTAAGGGAAATGCTAACATGTTTAAGGTTAGTAGGGAGGAATAGTGTTAGCTTCTAAGCTTGCTAGCGTAACGCGGTTATAATGGCTTTAGCTAAGTCGTCGAATAGTTAATTAATACATATCTTGTCGTATAAAGAAAGGGTTATCGATAGTTCTTCGTCTAAGGTTAATAACGCGAGTAGTACTAAGCTTAGGACTATAGAGTCCGTTAGTAACTAGCCTATAGGCATGTTCTTAGGGCGTATTATAGCCTAGTAACGATCCATTTCTCGTTCGTCATCTAGTAAATAAGGGAAATTAGAGGAACGTCGAGATAGCGCATCTAGTTTTCCCTATTAAGCTCTAGGTCTATAGGTGATTTTCTAGTTAAACTTAGATATAAACTCCGACTAGCGGACTTATTGTCGGCTAAGTCGCTATTTAGTAGTAAAGTACTCTAGGGCTTTATAGTCTATTAGGACGCTTATAGGTGCATCGGGAGACGCGCTCTAGAGCTCTAGTTCCTATTCCTTAAAGGCATAGATAATTGCGAGCATCTCTTTATCGTATATAGGATAGCGGCACTCTATAGCTGTCATCTTCTTAGACATAAAGGCGACTAGTCTTAGTAACTTCCTATAGTCTAGATTATTATACTATTAGGAAAGAACAGCTGCTATAACGAAGTCTAAGGCATTAGTTTCTAGGATAATATCTTTATCGAAATCGAAGTACGCTAGGATAGGCGCTTAAGTAAATCGGAGCTTTAGGTCTTCGAAGGCGGCGGTAGCCTCTAGTGTTATAGAGAAACGGCCATTAGACTTAGTAAGGTCGGTAAGAGGTTTAGCTAGCTACGAGAAACGTTCGATAAATCTTCTATAGAAATTAGAGAAGCTAAGAAAGCCTTATACGTCTTTAAGTATATAAGGCACTAGCTACTCGAGGACGGTATCGATCTTCTAAGGGTCTATCTTAAGGCCGTCGGTAGATATAATTAGCCTAAGGTACTTAGTAGACGTAACCTCGAACTCGCTTTTATCGATGTCGGCGTAGAGGCGGGCCTCTCGGAGGCGTTATAGGACCTTCTTAACGTACATACGATACTCCTTAAGTGTTTCGCTAAACATGAGGATGTTATCTAAGTAGCCCGTATAGAAGTCGTCTAGGTATTTATATAAGGTACTATTAATAAACGACTAGAAGGTGCTAGGGGCATTATAGAGCCTAAAGGGCATAACGAGATACTTATATTAGCTATATCGCATGTTAAAGGCGGTCTTCTACTTGTCTCCTTATTTAACTTAGATATTATTAAAGGTAGCGATAATGTTAAATTTGCTAAAGAACTTAGCCTTAGCTAGTCTATTAAGGGTTTTGCGGATAAGTAGAATAGGGTATCGGTTCTTTATAGTAATGTCGTTTAGGCCTCGGTAGTTAATATAGAAGCGTATGCCGCCTCTAGGTTTTCTAACGAGTAAGATAGGTATAGTAGTAGGCAAGGCCGAGGAGCAGATAAAACCCTTATTAAGATGCTTATTAAGATACTTCTTAGTAGCTATTAATTCGTCCTAGCTTATGCCCTATAGCCTAAAGTATAGAGGTTGCTTACCTTCTTATAACCTAATTTCGTAGTCCTAAGGGCGGTGCTCTAGTAGCGAATTAGCTAATGCTCGCGAGAAGATATTAGTAAATTCTCTATAGTAAGATAGAAGAAGGATCGTAGGGTCGGAGAAGTCCTTATTAAGCATAAACTTCTCGATGTCGGCTTAGGAAATAGCAGATAGTTATAAAGGAGGAAGGTTATTAGGGACGCCGTAGAGCTTATTAGCGGCCTCCTATTCTACTACTTCGTCGACTTTAATATAGAGTAAGGCAAACGCCTTATTGCCTTTAGATGCTAGTTATGCGAACTCCTTAGCTATAGCTTCTTAGATTAAGAAGGGTTCTTCGGGCGGCGGTAGTTTATTAGTATTTACGTAGGGAACAATCATTAGTAATCCTCCGCCCGTCTTTAAATAGTAGTAGCGGTAGTAATCTAAGTATAAAGAAATTGTACGCTAGTACTAATCTAGTAATGCGTTATAGCGTTCTATCTAAGGGACTCCGAGGATAAGATCTCGCTTTCCGCCGAGATTAGCAATATAGCATATATATTATTTATAGTAATAGCCGATATAGAGCTAGACGCAAGCGACGTAAGTAATAGCGTTAGGGTAGAGCTAGCTGCTAGCTAGTCGGATAGCTCGTAGTTTAGTAAGTAGGATAAGAGGGAAATAGTACGTAAGGGATTTATTAAGGAACAAAGCATTAGCTCTAGAGTTATATAATGCTTAAGTAGAAGAGACGACGGTAGGGTTAGATTAATTTAAGGCTAATAAACAGTCTATAAGAAAGTGCTTACTATTTAAGGCTCCTTCGGTGCTAGTTAAATGTAGGACGGCCTCTACCGTCTTCTTCTTCTTCTTTAAAGGTAGAGGGGGTAGACTTAGTAGATTTTGTTCTTCTTATTTATCTGGTTAGGGTCTCTAGACGCGACTTTGTTTAGAGACTACTCGTTTTCCGAGTCGCGAGTAAGGGGGATACTACTAGCTTTACTAACTACGTTATCGGTAGCGGGCATACTAGCTAGGTAGTTAACGTTATTAACACGGTTAGTGTTCTTAGGGTAGTTAAAGGAGGTATAGCCCTTCTTATAGTAGCAGAAATAGCGTCCTTCGGCGCGGAGCTTCTAGCGTAGTTCGTTAGTTAGCCTAGGAAGCGTAGTAACCGAGGAGGCAGTAGTACTAGCGTTACTAGTAGAGCTACAGGAGGAACTATAGCTAGAAGTACTAGAAGTACTAGCATTACGTTAGCGAGGAGGGCGGCGTTCGCGGTCGATAGGCTTCTTCTAAGCGTCTTAGAAGATAAAGTAGGCGTTAAGAGCGTCGCCGCAACGGATAACGTCCTTAAGTAATACGTAGTAGGTTCCGTTATTAATACGTTAGCCGTAGCAGGAGTTAAGCTTATATTAAAGTTTCTATATCTCGTGTTCGTTAGAGAGGCCTATATAGGCGGAGCACTCCTAGAAGCGAGTAAGGAAGTCCTTAAAGGACTCGTTATAATTCTAAGCGAGGTTTTCGAACTTAGTATATATACGAGCTTATTTATAGCGATCTCTATACTAGTCGTTAAGCTAGTTAAGGCATTCTTAGGCCGTTAGGAAGCAGAGGGAGTAGTTAGGAGAGTCCGGCATACGTATAAGGAGACGCTCGAATACTAAACTACCCGTACGTAATAGGATATAGTCTAGCTTAGCTTACTTAGATCTATCCTTATAGTTACTAGAGGTAAAGAGCTTAATACGCATCTTAACCTTCTACTAGGAGAAGCTAATTAAGGATTTGTTATTAAACTTAGGTAGGTTAGGGATACGTAGGGGGCACAAGGATAAGGAACCTAAGGTATTAGTAGTATATATAAGTCCTAACGGAGCTTTAGAAGGACGAGAAGGCATAATAGGATTAGTCTTATAGTAGGGGGACTAGCGACGAGGCGTAGTAATCTACAAGGGCGACTAAGATCTACTACGTAAGGAGAAACGTAGTTAGGAAGGGGTATAGTTACGACCGCGGTCGCCTTTAAGGTAGGTAATCTTAGCTTATATCTTAGCGATGTTGTTTTATTATAGCGCGAGAGTCTCTTATTATTAATTAATAATCTTCTTACATTATTTAAGTCTAGTATTATAGTGCTAAGCAATGTCGCATAAAGACTTTAGGTCGCGTTCGTCCTAGATAGCGTTACCCTCGAGGGCATTAATGTCTTCTAAGAGTTAGTTAATAGCTTCTTTAGCTCTATAGTAGCTTTACTAGACAGCGATGACTACGCGGAACTAGCTATAGGGGTATTAGGTAACTTTAGTAGCAAAGTCTTCTTTATCGAGGGCAGAGAATTGTTTAAGAGTTTTAATATCTATATTACTCTTACGGCGTAGCGCGTTAGTAATAAGGTCGTTAAGGTTTAACTCGAAGTCCTTCGTAACGTCGAGGAGCGTATCGTCGATATAGTT